TGGGATGATTTTGTTGACAGTGCATTATGGGCTGCAAGAATAAGAGTTCACACTACTACTGGATATAGCCCATTCTTCTTAACCTATGGTAGAGAACCTAGACTTCCAGGCGATGCGTTGGTCCCATATATCGACAAGCAAACCTTTCAAGATGAACGGACTGTAGCAGACATAACATCCAGAGAATTAGCCGATCTTGGTCAACATCGTGCTGCTGCCGAATTTCGCATGAAGGCCATGGCTGAAAAGGATAAAGCAAAGTGGGATGCGCAAATCAAACCCACTACTTTCGAAGCAGGTGATAAAGTTATGTTGACGCATGAAGGTCGTTATGGACTAGAACCCCTCTGGTGTGATGTTTTGATAATAGAGTTATATAATAAGATGATATAGAGACAAAGGTAGATACTTTGAGACTGTTCCATACAATTTTTATTGTTTTTTTTTTATTATAAATTATTCTAGCATATTTATACATGAAGAGATGTCGGAGTAAGTAGTAGTAGAGTTCATGCAAATGACTGAGTCTCTATTATCATAGACTACTTTAAATTAATTAAATAATGTAAATTATGGATTTCGGTTTATAAGTCTTGATCTATTAAAAGATCCATTGTCTTATTCAGTACAAGAGGTTCTTTTATGTCTATTTCTGATGTAAATTGATTATGATGTATTTTAGTATGTAAATGAAGACTTATTTAATGTCAGATCATCACATCTGGAAAGGACCTTACATTGTCACGGCTTGCTACCCTGAATATGGCACATACAAGTTAGAAACTTTGGCTGGTGAACCCTTAAAATCGTTAGTACATGTCGATCGCCTTAAAGCTGCTCATGGCAACACACCTTCAATTCCTTGGTATGATCCTGTAGTAGCTAGATAAGAGTGGCGAAACGTTATGACAAATATTGGTCGTGCTGCTGTTGTTCCCACATTACCACCCACTATTGTAGACAAAGAAGTTTTTGGTGAAAGGGATTACCCAAACATGAAAGCTACTATTGCTGACCCTATATCTGCTCCTATTGATACGGTCGATCCCATTGATCCTACGGCTAATACAGCTGATCCTGTGGTTAATCCTATGAATGATTCTATTGATCCTAGTAATCATGGTCTTTCTTTACCCACCAACGATCTTTCTACCGACAATGCTGACATATATGAACCATCTCAAATGACTTCTGCTCCTTCCCTGTCTTCGTCCACAGAGAATATACAAGTTGGTACTTCTGATGATGTGTCTACACCTTTGACGAACCCTTCTGATCAAGAACAACTTCCTGTTGTTGACTATCCTTCTCTGACTGTTCCTTCTCCTACATACCTACCAGAAATGGATGACAAAGAAACTGAGAAGATGATCGACACTGATCATTTTGCGGATGAACAAGAACACGTTTATCCTCCTGATGACTCCTCTGAGGCTGATTACAACTTTGATGTCGACATCGACGAACTTGACAAGACTACCGCTGAATCTGCACCTACTCTGCCTACTGCCTCCTCACCCCAACCTGTTTTGCCTTCTTTACACGTTCAGAGGCGAACGTCAAGCCAGGAGGGGGTAATGTCACCGATATTAGCACTTCCGAGCACAAGCAGCCAATTGAGGTTCAATATAATCTACCAAATATGTATAAACCTAACAAGAAAAGGTTTAAACCTCAATTGGCCAACAAGAGAAAAAAGAAGACGAAGTTGAATCTGATTCGTGCAAGGAAGTTGCCTTTGGAAAAGACCAAGCCTTTACTAGAATAGTTAAGAAACAAGAATTGTTTAGCGTAAAGCACATAATTGCTCCTTCCTTTATTTGATTTAGAATAGATATTTTAGCGTAATACACAAAACATATAAATACTGTGTTGTTGATAAATGTAAGTTCTTCATCTTAAGACTTACTTAATCAAAACACAGGTAATATAAAAATATAAATAATAATAAAAGATCTTAAGACTTACTTTATCAAAACACAGACGTCACTGCCTTCTAGAATATTTTCCCAGTAATATCATTGGCTAGAAAATATTCTATCGTCACCTGACCTGTACTATTGAACACAAACCTTAAGAAAATATCAATTTGACAAAAATGTCAAGGTATAATGATAATTCAGTCGATATCTTGAAGGTGTTCTTTATTGTTTGCGAGTGTGAGTCTTGATGTTGTCGGATCAAATGCGGATCAACAGAAAAGCAAATCCAGTACAAATAATTCAAAATACAATTGACAACAAAACAAATAGAATATAAGATAAAAATAACTAAGGTACATGATAATGTTAATAAATGTTCCCAAAAGCATCCTTCTTCAGATAACTACCAAGTATGTTCTTTCCCAGAGCAACCAGTTACTAAGACAGGAGTTTTACCAAGGACAGACCCCAATTAACAATATTGTATAGTAGCTTTCTTCTTTCTTATTTGTTTCTTTCCTTTCTCTTGTATACTTCAATTGACAGACAGATAAATCCAATCTTCCCAAGATTTTCCAGATTTCTTCTTCAATTCAGTAGTCAGAAAAATAACCTTTCTTCTTTTTTTGTATTTTTTTATGATGATAAGATTCCCCTTTATTGAAAAATATGTGATGTGATATTTATACTATTTTTTTGACTAAAATATATGATTCGATAAAAATAAGAAATAAGAAGAAATGTCAGTCGATTGATATTATCGAGAGTGTAAAGAAGAGATAGGGTGATTTTGTTTGATTTGTTTTCTGGGATGATAATATTTCGCTTAAAGGAATAACAATTAAGATTCGTCTTGATTCCATTTTGAGATTGATTGCTTCATGTGATTTAATGATCTTCTGAGAGTGATTGTGAGTTTTCATTTTAAAAGGCGTACCAATTATATTGCTTCCTGCTGACTTGGAAAATAAAAATTTTAACATTTTGACACTTACCAACAAACCTGTCAAAATGTAATTTTGCGTCTTGTTACGGATGTTGATAGCTGCAATAAGATCACGTGACCAAGAAATACTATTTTAGGTTTATTCTTTAACTCGTGATTCTAAAGAAGTAGACCCAAAAAGGAAATTATTTAAACTGAGTAGTTTTTATCACTAATCAAAAATTGAATGCCTTTTATTCTTTAGATTATGTGGGTTATTTATATGTTTTCTAGTTATTTATACTAGTACGTAATTAGTAATTGAAGACATGAAATATAAAATAATATGCTAAATATAATTGCTAATAATTGACTAATATCAATGTTTTGCTAAGTATCCTTTTTGGTTCTTTTTCTTCGTTCTTTGCTTCGTTTTATGTTAGGTGAGAACCTTCTTCTTTTCTTTGCGTTTGCTTCTTTTCGGAATTTCATTTCTAGTTCTAGCGGCAGTTCTTGCATGAGTTGTGTATTACTTGCAGTGTGGTTCGTAACAAAATTTGACTCGACAAAAAATGTCACAGAAAATAGTGATTCCAGTAAGAAGCAACCAATTGAAGTTGAATATAACCTTCCAACAAACTATAATCCGAACAAACGAAGGTTTAAACCACAAATACTGAACAAAAGAAGAAAGAAAGTCCGCCTCAACTTAATTCGCATTAGAAAAGCCAAGCACACTTTAGATTCGTCAAGACAGAAACATCAATCAGCTTTAAGTATTTAATTACTTCCTTCTCCATATGTTATAGTTTATATATTTTAGTACAATTAGAAAACATATAAATACTGTGTTATTGATACTTGTAAGTTCTTCATCTTATACTTACTGTATCAATACACAGGTAACATTACATTTATTATAAATAAATATCTTATACTTACTGTATCAATACACAGGTAACATTACATTTATTATAAATAAATATCTTATACTTACTGTATCAATACACAGTTCCTTTCTGTGACGTCACGTTATTTCCAGAATATTTCCCAGTGAATCTATTGGCTAAGAAACGTTCTATTGTCTCGTGACTTGACTATAAAAACACAAACCTAAGTAAAATATCAAATCGACAAAATGTCACGGTATAATGTTGAGTATTCAGTCCTAGTTGAGGGTGTTCTTTATTGTAGTTTTGGTGTTATCAGATCAAACGCGGATCAACAAAAGGAGGCCTATTTACAGAATGTAAACGGTCATGATTTCATTAAAGGATTCTCACTTACAAATCCAGTACAACAAATGATAATAATAATAAAAATATAGATGACAGATACAAGAATTAAAATATAACTAAAGTATAGACATGTTAACCAATGCTTCAAATTCTTCTCCAGATAACTACCAAGTGTGTTCTACCAAAGAGCAACCAGTTATATGAGACAGTTAAGCCAAATATTCTCCAACTTCCAAACAATAGTTTCTTTTTAACTTCTTTCCTTCCTTTCAAGTACAGACAGACAGATTCGATCTTCAGACTAAGATATACCAGAATACTTCTTCTTACTTGAGGAAATGTCAAATAGATTTTTGATAATGATAAGATTCTCTCTTTTTCTTTATTTTAAAAATATATCGATATTTATATGTTTTCAATATTTCTTTTTCGTATGATTTTGTCATTTAGAATATCACTCGATAAAAATCGAATTGATCAAAATGATTGATTTGAGAAGATTTGCGATTGTGAGGTGACCTTTTTCGCTTAAATGTAGATATTTGTGAAACTTCTTTGGTGTTCAGGTTGCCTTCCATTTTTAGAAATAGTATGGGTTGCTTCAAGCGATTTTGAGTGATTATATTTTGGCAGTAGAAATTGTTTTCAAACAACGATCCAATCAAAGTAGTTGCAACGTCATCCAAAAATATTTTTGAAATCAAACTTCGAAACTCAATTGTTAACTTCACAAAATGTCGCAGATATTAGTACTTCCGACCGCCAACAGCCAATCGAGGTTGAATATAACCTTCCCTATATGTATAGATCAAACAAAAAAAGGTTTAAACCTCAAATATCAAACAAGAAAAGAAAGAAGGTTAGACTGAATCTATTACGCTTAAGGAAGTTGCCTTTAGGAGACGCCAAGCTCGCGTGGCATTCGTCGAAAAAGAAGTAATCAATCAAGTTGAAGGATATAATTACTTCCTGCTTTATTAGTGATAGAATAGATATTTTAGTATAGAATAGAAAAATATAAATACCGTGTTGTTGATGATTATAAGTTACTTATCAAAGACTTATAATATCAAAACACAGGTAACATATAACAAAGAAATAAAAAAAAAAGATCAAAGACTTATAATATCAAAACACAGACGTCACTGCCTTCTAGAATATTTTCCCAGTAATACCATTGGCTAGAAAATATTCTATCGTCACCTGACCTGTATTATTGAATACAAAGGTTAAAGAAATATTAACTTGACAAAATGTCGTCTTGATATTATAACAACTAATAGTATTTAAGTAATACTAATTAAGAGTAAAGAGATAATTAATTGATTTCTTTATTGAATAACGATGATCTTATATTTATACTTTTCTACCAAGTAATATGGATAATTCTATAAAGAAAATAAGAAAGTTGTGGAAGGTTCCGGAACCATGATTACTAATCCGAGATTAGTAATCATAGTTCCTGAACCTTCTACGACTTTCTTATTTTCTAATTAGACATTTCTATTGTACCTCATAAAATGTATAAATATAAACATAACATACAATGAAATAAAGGAATCAATCATCGCTTTACTATTAATCTTTTATTATAAGAAATACTATTCGTTGTTCCAACATCAAGACAACAAAAAAAAAGGTGGTTTCTTGGTTTAGTGGTATAATTCTCGCTTAGGGTGCGAGAGGTCCCGGGTTCGATTCCCGGAGAAACCCTCTTTTGATTTTCTAAATTCGCTTTTTGATAATCAGGGTTTTCTTGTTGATAACCTTATGCACCACCTGCAAGAACAACTTTTTATGTCTGTAAGGTATAGTGCTGAATAAGATATATTGTTGCAGGACAAAGGTAGAGATCGCAAGAACTTGTAGATATAAGAACAATAAATATAGCAGATCAATAGACAGCAAGTTATATGTAATGAGCACCATGTTTTAACTCGTCCGATTATGTTATTTGGATAAGAAAAGATACAAGGATATAATATAATATAACATACAATGATCAAATGTAATGCAAGATCAAGGGACCCAATTAGACAAATGATATAATAATAGTCTAGTTTAAAATAAAAGACAGTACATGTAAGGTACGGTTGTGAGTCTAAGGTAAAAATATGGATGTCTTTATTTAAGTTGAATCTATTCTAAAGTAGTCATGTTGGACTTGCAAAAGTGCAATCATGACAATCCAAGTACAATACATTTATGGGTCATTGTAAAAATGGTAAGATGTATCAAGCTCTTGCCGACTAAAAGTAAGATGAGCAATATGTGCTGAAGTCTAATGTGATATAGAGTAATACAGTAATTGGGATCCAAAGTAAAAGAATAAGTATTCTGTGACACCAGTAGCTGTCAGAATTTAGAGTTGAATAATATGGAGTTCAAATTTGGGTAGAAAAAATACGCATAGAAAAATAGAGTATGAAATGGTCGTTTCGTAACAATATAAAAGAATCGAAAGCAAGGAATGAAAGCTGAAGTCAATTTACAAAGAAACTGACTACTAATGTTGTAAGGTAAAAGACTGCCCTAAGATGCTTAACTATCAAAACTGGATAATTTAAATGAAAGCAAGAGAAAATAGAGTTTGCAATGTAATGCACGATTCGAATAGCAAGAATAACAGTAATATAACAGTAGGTTAGAAACCAAATATTTAGTTTTATGTTCTGATTTTTTTAAAGAAAATAATTTGATGATATATTAGATTGTTGAATCATTTAAATATGCAAAAACTGATCATTATTCAAACATACTAATATCAAGGTGCGGCTTTATGTAGATAGTTTTTTAATTGATATACATACAACTCTGAAATCATCATTTTTCATTGCTGCCGTCTCAAACTGGCTTCATTGATGGTTTGCCCATTCCATGTTTCATTTTTATTGATAACCAAACAACCTGGATCGATGAAATCACTTCATTGCACTTATTTTATTTCCATTCAGTTTTTCGTACAACTATACTGCCTGTAGCTTCCATATTCTACTATCGTACGTACTACAAACGTTGATCAACAAAGGAATATCATTTTGAGACAATCTATGTATCCACAGATTAGCAAATAGGTTTCTGCGAATTTAGATAGTCATTACCCTAAATCGGCGGCTAAAGCAGCAGTGTTATTTAAAGGTGATAGAGCAGGTGGATGTCCGCCTTCTTGCATGATAGAATCTTGTAGAATGTCCTGTAATATTGTACTCTGTAGATAAATCAACTGTAGGCTGTCCTCCATAAAGTCAATGATCTAAAGTATACGAATAAGAACCTTCCACTGCAAGTCATCTGTACCTGTTCTGAACATGATGTATCGCCATTATTTTCATCAAAAGTCTGCTTCATACACGATAGCATGTTATGTACCAAATTCGACATCTGGATAGATTGCCAATTTCCATTTGCATTGGATCGCTTCGTTGAAGATGAAGATGACGCATCCGACAGATTTAAATCAGGCGTCTTACAGTTAAGGACACGGCATTTACTAAAGAACAAAACAATATCAGTCAAGAAGCCTTGTGTACCTGCACAACTTACAAATTATTCGCATCAATCACTAAACAAGAAGCCTCATTCACAGAATCTGAAAGTGTAAATTGATCCAATGTACTACGTAGATCAGCATCCAATATAGTCGTAGGTGGTAATGTAGGAATGCCTAAAAGGACGAAATCAGATTTATATGTATCAGAGTAAGAACCCATCAGCGAACGACCATATGATTTAGCAAACAATCGATCCGTCTTGATATGACTGGGTATAATGGTGTCTGAATTAGCGCGTTGTTGATAATGCGTGATATCAGGTTCCATGTGTGTGATTGTTGATCTAGAAAACACAGTGAGGTTGCATATCCACTTATCACATACTTACTTTGGCATAGGGACATGGAAGCACTCGGACGGGGATAACAAAGGGAGTGGCATATCGCCACCTATGGATGAAGGGGAAGACGACATGACAGTAGGATCGGGTGACCATGATCTTTCGTCTGTGTCGCTTAGCCATTTGGATGAGCTTTTAAGTGAGTTTGATAATGAGTCAATAGATGAGGATGGATAGATATGGTGTCCATTTCCTGGTGGTATCGCAATTGATTCCACATCGCCTGTCAAATGCCTGACAATTTTGTCTTCAAACTTGTGTTCATTATTAGTATCATCCAATTCTCGGCTAAAAATAGACTCTGAAGAAGCACAGGTAGGTATAGATCCACTATCTCTTTTTGTTTTGGTTCTAGTCTCAGTATTTTCGAATACTTCATTGCATCTGATAAAATACGATAGGATGTACAAAATTCTTCGTACAATGCTCGGCCTTAATCCAACAACAATCGTTCTTGTGACTCTTGATGGTGTACCTATGAATCCATACAGATCACTTTTTGTTTTTTAGTGTGTGTGTGTGTGTTCGAGAAAGTATCAGCATCACTGCAAAATATGGATATAATATATATATATATATATATATATAGAAAAAACCTGCCTTAGTTGTGCCCATAAGGGATCATAGTTTCCATGGTGACACCCAATCTTCTAAATATAGATGAGATCAGTTGCTTTACATATGACTACAGTAACCTACATTTTCTGTTTCGGGAGGTACAACAGTATGTACCCAAGAAAGATGATGCATTAAAACACCCGTCAATAAGGTCGATATAAAGTAGTTATGTGCCTTGTTATTAAATTGCTGAATTAGAAACATGAGCTCCTTAATCAGATTAGCATCGTATTCAGATTTTTTATGAGGAAATGTTGTCATATTTAGCCATAATGGTTCCTGCAATAATATAAACACACATAATCTTGTATTTCGGCTTGTTTTTTTTACCTGAATCCGAGGTGTCGTATAGAGATCGAAAAATGATTTCTTAAACTGATTGACGGCATCAATAAGGACAGAATCATTCTGGAATGTATTTGAAGCGAGAAACATGTTACTGGATCGTTTTCTAGGTTGTAGTTGCTGAGGAGGAGGAGGAGGATGCGATTTGAAGTATTGATAAAGTTGTTTGAATGCTACTGCTTGTAACTGATGCAATCGATTTTCAATCAAAGCAAAATGCGAAAATATAAAATCATAAAGTGTCTCATTCTTGTCTTCTAATGTGATGATAATAGCAATAGCAAACTTGACGGATCTCGAAGTGTGTCGTGCAGGCTATGATAAACACAATCAATATGAATAGAGAGAGAAATTACATACGCTTTCTAAGTTTGATAATCTAGGAGTAGGTAAAGGTGTAGGACTGAAGGACCCATTTTCCATGTTTGTTTGACTAAATCTTCTTGTACGCTTTGTTGATTGATGAAGGCCTAGCACAGGAGGATAAATAGATGATGAAACAGAAAAATGATCATCATCACTTGACTGCTCAGATACATTGTCTTCACACAAAGAAGAATTGGCAATAAATGATGCAGTCGAGCGATCGCTATTTACAGAGGAAAATGATCTACGTCGAGATGCGTCTGTGTGTTGCTGCTGGTAGATATTATTCAGAGTAAAAAGTTTGGATACAATAATCTGTGGATTTTTTTCTCGTTTATAATAGTGTATCTTTGTATTCATGCCTTTATACGCAAGAGGTGCTGTGCCAAATATCATTTCTCCAGTCAAATCTAATTTCCGATGGTTCTATAACAGAAGAATTCAACATACGTATAGTCAGTTTGTAAGTCCTTACGAGTCGAGCATGGTTCTTTTGTTGATCCGAGATAGATAAAGAGGGCATGGCTCTCATATAAGATGGTCTCCAATCATGTCTTGTGTCCTTAAAGGAGCCCAATTCCATATTTTTACCCGGACTGTATGCTTGAGATCCATTCCAAGACTGGGCTAATGGTGTATGACTATGACCTGAAGACGATTCATTGAGAGAACAGTCCGAATCATAAAGAATTGTCTTGTTTGATTCACCAATGTCTTGACAAAACAAGACCCGTAAATGATCTTCTTTCAAGTCACTTGGTTGCCATCTATAATAATGAAATGAATATTATGTTGAAGTGCATATCAATCATTATTCATCTCTTTTCCAATACACCCCACCGCCGCCTCGCTACCAGTCGCGATCCCCAGCAAGTTACTGTGCTATTAAAATTCTGTTTTATTTACGATTGAGGTTCTAATAGTATTTGACTATAGGCGTCGTCAGCGTCTCTTGAGATAGTTCTGCTACGAAAAAGTCGTTGAAGCATATTTCGTTTTGCTCTCTTCCAAAAAAAAAAAGAGTTTCTTTTTTTTAATATATCCTTTTTTTCTTTTTTTTTTTTTTGCTTTACGATAAGAGAAAAGAGGGAAATATATGTGCTTCAGAAAAAAAAAATAACATTTAAATTTGGAGAAAAAAAAACATTTAAAAGTCCTGCTTGATCGACAAGAGAAAGACAACAGTCTGAATTTTATAGAAAACCAACACGCTTAATATCTTTATCTCTCTTTGTTTTTCACTTCATTCTATATCATTATCGATATGTGCTTCTGAAATACGTGCTGGTTCAAATGGTTTACCAAAAAGAGTTAACTTTCAACTTATCTTATTGGTAAAGATAGACATGTATCTCCGTTATTGTATCACTTATAATTTAACGTGATACATAGTATTTTTTTTTTTTTTTTTTTTTTTTTTTTGCAGAGCGATGTGTTTTCATTTTAAATCAATCCCCACTGTCTGTTTCATGCAGGCACTTTGAATTAGCAGGGTCCAGACTGTAAAAAAGGAAGTACTTTTTGTTTGACCAATAGAAATTCTTGAAATCGATAGAATGTAGAATTCCTTGGTAGACAGTAGATTTCTGCTTGAACTTTGAAATGTAAACAAATCATCAGAAAAACAGACGTCGCGTTTGATAACTTGATAAGAATTTGTTCTTTAATCGTTTTTAATCGACCTCAATAGACGATAAATATGTCATAAAGTTAATTGCAAAAACTGTAGGCATGCTATTGTAGGAATGATAGCTAATCTAATGAAATCGATCATCTCTTAAAACAACTTTAACGGATAAAGTCTACGCAAATCATTCAAAAGCAGGGTAAGGAGAATCATAGCCAGATGAAAGAAGCAAAAGTTATTAATCTTTCTGAACCGTCTGCTAGTATTCACTACAAATCACCGGCTGAACTGACTATATGAGTAGCAACTCCTGGTGAATCATTGGATGATGAGTGCTATGCGATATTGTTTTTGGTAAAATATGGTGTTGATCATGATATGCTTTCTCTAACAATATATGTGAGTGTGTTATAGGTATTCAAGTGTATGGTTTATTGATATGAGAGGTAATGCTTAGATGGATTATGTGCAAATAAGTCATGTTATTTAATGGTCTGATCTATTTCCTCTTGCTGAATGCTGTCTTCAAGGTTGAGTTGCTGGTATGCATTGTATATATTTCTTTTCTGTTGCTCTCTTTTGTGATTGCCTTTCAAGAATGCTTCTAGTGATGAGTATAGTGGTGTATGATTAGACCCATATCACCAACCATAGAAGTGTATACAATATATTATGTAATGCATATATATATAACAAAAGAGGCGTTTATATAATCCAATAATATATAACGATGCTACTAATAATGTCTAATGAGAAGCATAAAAGAACACATTCTAAGCATTTGCGGAATTGGCCTTTACTAGCAAGATTAGCGGTTTTTATCGAAGTTGCGTGTATAGGAACAACCAATTGACCAAGCGTTTAAATTGATCGTTTTACATCTAGTATTGCCCCTTTTACTGCTAAGATTCTCGCCGACATGCATCAACCAAGTCAAATACGAATTGAAGCAAATAGGTATCGGTGTTTTTTGGAGACACTGTTGTTTCATATATCCATGAGCCTGCTCTCGTGGAGGTTCATAAGAATCAATACTTGAAATGAGCCAAGGAGCATGTTAATTGGACAACAGATTAGTGAATCCATGTCATCTAGTTTGATAAATCGCGATTTTTTGTTCAAAAGACCGGTGGTGGTATCAGGGTTGTTTTTTCATAAAGGTGGCTGTTATAAGCAATAGCTCACAATACTTACCATCAAGTATAGCAAGGTGTGAGTAATAGTTTGGGACTGTTTCTGGAGAGGCAGGATTGGTCCTCTCGTTGATGGCATAACGAACCAAGCTAAGTATATTGAAGTTTTGTAGGAAAGTCTTCAATCTTGGCCTATGAAATTGGAATCTCAGAGTAATAGTCGCTTAATCTTTTAAGAAGATAGAACAACTTGTCATACTAGTTAATTGGAAGGTCCAGCAAAGGATTAAGGATTTAATTTTTGGCTTGCCCAAAACCCAGATTCAGATCTCATTGAGCAATTGTACTGGGCTCAGGAAAAGAAATAAAAAGCTAGAGACCTAGTGTTACTATTGTTGTAAGATTGAAGAAAGAGCTTTATAATCTGTGGAATCAGGTCAGTATGGAGCTGACAACTGATCTTATTGAAAGCATAGAGATAAATGTTAGGCAGTTATTGACGCAAATGGAGGCATCGCCAAATATTGCCTTAGTTTTTTGACTCTGTCACAACAAAATATATCCTTCGCGACAATACTAAATAGAAAATAAAAATGCTTAGATATCAATGAAGCACATTAAAGGCTTTCTTTATCATAATGACTTTGTTTCCGAATCTCAAAGATCAGAAATCAGGTGAAGTTCAAGTGGGGTCAATGCACGTTAATAAAAGCTATACTAGCAACAAATGAGGTAGCATGATTCCTCTAAACAGCATATTTCGAATCGTTTCGTTTCATTTGTTAGAAAAGGTGCTGCGTATGGCCTGTTGTATCTAAACCCGATCGTACAAACTTGTTAATAAATCCAACTAAATGCGGTATAAAAGAAAATGCCAAAAATAACAGGAGAGAACTGTTGCTATAGCCAAAACTTGAGTTGTTATACACACACTGTAATTGATACCATGTACATATATAGATTCATAAATTAAAATATACGATAAAGAAGAATTGACGTTGCTGAACTACAACCGAGTAAAAGTATATTCTGTTGAGCGGATTTCGAGGGGGTATCATCATTTGAGTGATCAGTAGCCTATCCCGCCAAGAACATGCTACGAGGGCGTCGCTTAGCGTAGAAGGCAGAGCAATAGTCGAGAAACATTAACAAAGGATTCAAGCCAAGCCAGCAAAGAAGCTAATTAGGACGTTACTGAAAAAGAAAAATTCAATTAATTGAATATAAGCCTCTGTCTAGGGTTGATTTAAATAAAATTCCAGGCACCCAGATTGCATACCGAGGTTTAGTCGTATAGTAATATGACCTAATGAACGGCTAATAAAAGTCAAGAAAATGTCATGCCTGGTATAGTTAAAATAAGGTCAAACGCAGCCAATTTCAGGATAAGGAGGATCTAACTATTAAAATAACTATAGCCTGTAATACAGTTCCCCACGAGCATCTCAAAGCACTTTTACAGTACTCAGTTAGCGTATTTGAGAAGTGCTTAAAGAGTGATTCTAATTAAACAATATTCACACAATTTCAAAGACCGTTCATTGAGATTTCTTTTAGCGTTGCTTTCACTGTAATAAGCTTGGTACTCAAAAAAGGCATAAACTGAGGATCGAAAGTTATCTGGTAGTAATAAAGTATGTATGTTTCTAATATATAAATGATGATCATGAGTTGAATGGATACATCTTTCCGAATGTTTTATCTATTTTCGTGAATGGCGCAACAAGAAAGTTGCTCGCATAAAAGTTGATATATTTTCATCCTTCTTACATACAGAAAAATTCTACTCACAGCGTTATAAAAAGCTTCTTCGGCAACTGCATTGTTGCACGAAATGTATTCATTTTTTCGCACAAAACAGTTAGCAACGGATAAATTGATAATCCGCATTTAAGGCATGAATACATCGCTCTCCTTTTTACGTGAAGCAAACAAAGTAGGAATATCGAAAGCATACTCTCATTGTTTGATTCATATTCAAATTCAAGATGTTTCATTAGTATTTTGAGACAACTTGTTTCTTCGCCTAAATTCTGGTCAAGACAAATTATCCGTCTTCCGAGTGCACCATCTTGCGTCATATAGCGCACTTTTTTTTGTATAAAATGTGAGATTTAGAATTTAGTTTTCTACTTTATATTCTTTTTGTTAATAATGGCTCCTTTGGAAGTAATTGGTGGTGGTTTTGGAAGAACTGGTACAGACAGTCTTCGTAATGCATTGAATATGTTAGGGTAATGTATTGATATAGGCTTCATTAAAACTAATTTTATTTTTATAGATACAATACACATCATATGAAAATGATGTTTGAAGATCCTGAGCAAGATCCTGATGACTTTACTAATGCCTACCATAACAGAGACCAAGCAGATTGGGACAAAATCTTCAAGAACTATGATGCTGCTGTTGACTGGCCATCTGTCACGTTTTACAAAGAACTCCTCAAGAAATACCCCAATGCCAAAGTTGTTTTGACTGTTCGTAGTGCTGATAGTTGGTACAAGTCCGTCAAGAACACAATTTTTAAAGGTGCTATGGCTTTGAGCGCTGGTGGCGCTGTTCCTCCTGGTGCTCCTAATAAGAATTTTACTGACATGTTCAAATCTGTTTGCATGGAAGGCCTTCTCATGGATCCCGAGAGATTTGCTGACGAAGAAAAAGTAAAGCAATTGTTCTTGGATCATAATGAAGAAGTCAAGAGAACTGTTCCCGCAGATCAGTTATTGATTATGGAATTGGGAGAAGGATGGGATAGATTATGTGCCTTCTTGGGTAAAGAAATTCCCAAAGAGCCTTACCCTAACTCCAACTCTACTGCTGAATTTCAGAAACATTTTTCTGAGTCATTTGAATAAAGTGTGAAGTACTTAATGTACCATTTTGAAATTCATGTTGCACAAATGTCTGCAGCATTGAGGCTGGGTTTTCTTCCTTTTTCTTTCCTTCTAGTGCCAAAAATAAGTTTTTGTCTACAAAAAGAACTTCATTCGCCATGTTACTACAAGATGTTCCTGAAACAACTATTGAAAATAACTTTTGGGTATGCCTTGTTTAGGAAAAAATAAGCTTATATAAACATTTATTTCAGTCTTTAGACGCAACAGCTTTAAGTGTTTTGTTAAAACGGCTTGAAGATTCAGACAAGTCAACCAAGACTATTCTAAACTACTTTGAGAAAAGGTATATAGAAACACAAAGTATAAACACATAAGCTCATAATAGCTAATAGATCAAAGATTGAACAAGAATATGGAAATCAATTGTTGGAACTATCAGAGTCCCTGTTTGAGATAGAAGATTGTTTCCAAATTATATCACAATCAACAGAAATGAGTGCAAGGGCTCATATTGAACTAGGGCAGCAAATGAAAAATATGCTTCAAATACCTTTTAAGAACTATATAGACAATAGTCAAGATATTAAAACATTTGTAACGTATGATAGAGCTAAATTATAGTGTATAATGATAAACTAACAGCTTATTTAGATGACAAACCAAATGAAAGACTCAGAAGATATCAAGACATCACTTGGAGAACAAGTAAAAAAGGTATTTTTATGAGTATTCTGTTGTTGTTTTAACTAGTTTATAGGCAAGACAACGCTATGTGAATGAGCATCAAAAGCCAAATCCAAATGATAGACAGATTGAAAAGCTGGATTCTGAATATAGAAAAGCAATATCTACCATGCGATCTAGTTCAGGGCAATGGATATATGACTGGCGTGAATCTTGCAAAACATTTCAGTCATTAGAATTAGATCGTCTAGATTATCTTAAATCTGTTATTAAAACGTATGTTCATCTTTTCAATGTGTATATCTAATATTCAACTAGGTTTTCAAGCATATTGACAAGTACTATCAGTACAGATGATCAGGTAATAAAGAATGAAATGATTGACATTAGACTAAGACAAAAAAAAAAAAAGACGTGTGAAAGGTTATCTATCGCTATGGAGGATATGGAATCTAGTCATGAAATAATGGAATTCATTCAGCACTATAAGACAGGCTCAACTATACCAGGTAAAGCTTAAAGAAAGATAAAATGGCTGACATTCTATAGAACTACCAAAATATACAAAATTCAGACCTCTTGAAGACAATGATTTTTATACAAATCAAGCAAACAACAAAAAGAGTATTTTGATACCAACATTATCGACAAGAAGGTTTAAAGAAATTAATATACCTATACAAAACAATGAAGAGCTTAGATCAATTAGTGATCAATTAAGAAAATTACCTAGCCCAACTGACTCAAATACGAACAATATTATGACATTACAAAAGGTATTAAATTAGAAATTTAATTTTTATTGAATTTTATTACATTAGCAAGAGAAAGAACAAGAAGAAGAATGTCATAGTCCACATCCTTATCCACTTAACCCGGTATACAAACTAGACCAAAAACATCCCTCAAAAAGTGAGCCTATTCTAAACAATAAAGACTGGTATCTCGAGAACAATGCATGCCCATCATCAATCGCCATCACAACAGAGCAACTAAAAAAGCAAGGCTCACCTGCCTCGCCTACAAAGAAATCTTCCATTCTTCTATCCTTCTTAAAAAAGAAAAAAAAGCCAGTAGTACAAGAAAATCATCCTCGGAACAAGAAGCGGCTCTCGCTTGGTCATATCACACAAAAAAGAGCTTCTTCCATCCTCACTCCTCCTAGTCCAATGTTTAGTCCAACTGATTTCTATTATTCCACTGCTGAACAATAAGTGTTTTATTATAATAAAATTCATCTATGTTTAATCCCCACAGCCTTCAAAACGCTGGATTTCCAAGAAGCAGAAGGCTTTAACAAGTTTTGTCTAGAATAGGCCCGCTTGTTCTTGACAAAAAAAGCATTTTCATCTTCATCTTCATCATCATTCTCTTCGTCTGGTTCTTCACTGTACATGTAAACAGAAGCTGTATTTGCTCTTTCTTTTAGTAACATGTTTTTTCTTGAAAAGATAGACGTGTTACTGCTTGCTTGTTTATCATCTTCTAGTGAGGTATAAGAAGATGATCTGGAGCGTCGGAATGCACTTGTGTACTTGCTTCTAAAGGAAGGTGTAGCCAGCAGATTTCCTCTCTTATAATAGGATGAAGGCTTCATTTCTTCTTCTTTAGCATATAACAAAGTTGAATTTGGACTTGACATGATAATGTATAAAGAGAGAAAAAATAAAATAAATAAATGTTTCGAGTTTTTAAACAATCTGAAAGTTTCCTTTAAAGGTGAAGATTAATTTGTTATTTTTTTTGTGTCTCCTTTAAGGACGGGTTCTCGAATAAAGTTTAAACTATCCCTGTCTAGATCAATGGTGATCAAAGATTTACATCTCCTGTCACAAGAATTATATACACTAAAAATAAATACATTCTAGAACAAGAGAAGAGTGGTATATATACTTTATTATAATATTCTCGAGATAGACTATGACAACAGATTGTCCACGGGAAACTTTTGATCAATCAGTTGTATCCAGTCAATCATGTCTTGACGTGTACCTGACTGCAAGGTATAAGCATTGTTATTGGTATAAAGAGCAAAGACATTCTCTCGCTATGAAAAATGTTAGTGGCCTATATACACTTTACCTATATACTTGCCTGAATCATTTGTTCCAGTGCTTCGTTATAGTCGATACGCACTGAAGCTACATTGATGACACCTTGTTCATCTGATTCTGTATCATCAGAGTAGATATAAATGTATGGTCTACGAATAACAAACCATCGCTTGACCCATAAATCTTTAGCTGCATCTTCTTGGTATAATAAATATCCCTTTTTTGAAATGTTTGCTCTATATAAAACAATCAATAAATGATGTAAATCATTGCTCATTGTCAACTTACGGCTGTGTCACTAATTCCACCTCGGCAATCAGCTTTGATATTGACAACGGCTCTTGTGTTAATGTTCCGTTATTCTCAATCAAAATAGGAGGAGGGTCTTGGCTAATCACTATTTCCTTGTCTATGCCAAGTTTCAGTGCCCATAAATCAATCACTCGCTTCAACAAAGCCTGTTTTTCATCTTCACTCAATAAACCAACTTTTGTTGAAGAAGAGGATATCGATTTAGGAGATAAAAGGGTATCATTTTCTGTTTGCTTCAAGTCCAAAATCTGTCTTGTGAAGGCCACTTGTAATTTTCGATGGATGAATTCTTGAATTTGCTTGTAGTCATTCACCAAAGACACGCCTCGGGGGCGCCATGAACCAAGGAATTCTTCACCATGTACGTGTTTAGAAGCTGTATTTAGTCGCCATAATTGGCTTAGTCTTCTTGTCATAGGTGGCTTCAGATGAACCAGAAAGACACTACTGTATTTGCTGAGTTGTTTACCACCCGAATACAAGAGTCTTCTAAACGAACTAAATTTACCACCACCAATCGATCTGTCTCTGCCTTGGATTTGAAATGCAATATCCATATTGAATTGAATTGGCTTTTCACAACATTCTGCCTCGACTTCCCATCTCAAGTTTAAAATGACACGACTATTTGGATCAGTCAATCGATTTAAAAAGATACTTTCATGTTGAGAACTGTCCCATGCGCCTTGAGCAGTTAGACGACTGGTGCCATCCGAATTATAAAACACTTGTTGCTTTGTCAATAGCTTGATAGGAATATTTTCTTGTGCTGGTGATTCTAAAATACGACCTTTGTTATCGAGCAATCGCACATGTCCCACAGATGCCTTTCTAATCTTTGTCCATTCAAACTGATGGCCTGAAGTATGACAGAGAGTAAAGCAAAAGCGTCGTTGAAGACCTTGTCTGATAGTAAAATAGCCCTTGTCCATTGGATTCTTGGATGTCAGCTGGACTGGTGTGTATTCGCCTGAAGGTGATAGTTCACGCACTTCAATCCAAGCAACAACATCATGCCGTTCTGCAGCCAGTAATTCTTCTTCTGATCTACGTTCCACAGAGGCAATAGTCAAGTCACTGTTGCTACTCGTGCTACCTGCAGATGATTTGAGGGATATGTGGTCGCCTGTTGTCTTTTGTTGACTTAAGAGATCAGCCAGCCGAGGTTTTCTCTTTGATCATCCCATCTTTCTTGTTGTACCAAAACGCGTGGTTGAGCTTGACCAAAGACTTGGAAAGGAATAAACCCATTGGACAATATATCCAAGACAGAAGGAGTGACAGTCAATGAGAGTGTTTGACTAAAACCCAACTGAACAGGATTGTTTTCAAAGTAATTTGCAAGTTCTGTAGCAAAAATCTTTTCCGCAGGCGAGTGTGAGGGAAATCCACCAAAAGAAGAGAGCTTGAATTGAACATGGACATCTGTAAATTCTGATTCACTAATGCCACTGAACTCCAATAGTTTGATTTCGAATAGAAGGTTTTGACCTACTTGAAGTGTTGAATGTTGATCTTGATCTTCCACTTTATCCTCATTGTCTTCATCAATGTCTTCAGTGAAATCATTGTTTTCAGGAAAGATAGGTTGTGAATGAGAGAGTAAAGAGAGTCTTGAACTTTCGTTTCGAATCGCTACTGATCTAGCAATAGGTGAAACAATCACACGCAGTTTGCCTCGTATTTGGCCTGTACTACGACAAATAATCTCACAACTAGTTTCGTATACTTGTTGAGTAATCAAGTTGCGAACAGAGACAGAGGCTGCACCAATGCAAGTGTATTTGGGACATGGATTTTCAAAGAACGGGTCTTCCCAATTGAAATGTTTTCGATAAAGTGGTTTGTCCATAAAGTTGTAAAGGTTGCGCATCTTGTGTAATCGTTGTTTGAGCTTTTCAAGTGACCAAACATAAATCACCTGGTTCTTTTTGTCAATGACACGTACACCGACACAAGGCTTTGGTGTTGAAATCAAGCTGGTATCTTCGTCCGTTTCAAATTGATGCAAGGCAGATGTTACTTCATAAAATGAAAGTGGGTTTGAAAAAGGTTCGTCTTCAATGACTGCAAATTGATACAGTACTTGTTTATCAAGTTCCCTGGAGATGATGTTAGCTTCTTTTAACATGACAGCATTTGTCAGGACAACTTCAGCCATATCCACTGTTCGTAATTGCCTCCACTTGCTTAATGTCTTTTCAATCAAAGCAATTTGATGTGGTGAATAAACAGGTAGACTAAGCCCAGAGTCAGATTGCTGTTGAGAAAACTGTCTTGACATGCGATGAATTTTGGCTTCAAACAGTCGTTTTTGGTTATCAAGCTCTTTTTGCATGCGCTCCTTTTCTTGTTTTAGCTTTTCTTCTAGCAGATCTGATTGTGCAATGGATAGATCTGTGCAAACACTTTCAAGACCGTCTTCAATCATTGTTGCAGATGATGAGTTTCTAAACGAGTCTCTTGTGGTAGAAGAGTCATCATCGTCATTATCAGCTCGACTTTCTGAACGAGATCGTCTTGAATTTCGAATCTTTGTTATATCATCATATAGCTTTTCTAGTTCTTCGTCTTTAAGACCACCAAAATTAGCTTCTGTTGAATAGTAATTCAAGACAGCTTCTCGACGAGCATAGTTCCAATCAATCACTTCTGAACCAATCGTACTGTCTGTCGAAGGTGATTCAGGCCTCGATTCATCTTCTGCCACAGCTCCACCATGCATGCTGTTTCCAATAGCCACTTTTTGAAGATCTCTTTCTTTTCGCACTTCTTCTGGATTATTGAATCGAAATATATGATAATAGCCTAAAATGATACGATATCCACTCTTGAGTTGCCTAGGTTCTGTAATTCGCATACCGTTCACCATGGTCAGTGAATCAGCACCAGGATGTAGGGTCACTACACCATTTTTGTTTTCAAATGTACAATGATCATCTTGGATGTTTGAGCCACTCAAACGAATGTCTGCAGGAACATCACTATCTTGCCTTCCTAAACGAGTCATACCAGGCTTGATTTGATACATTAGACATTCAGACATGAGAGGATCTTCATTCAAATTAACAATAAAAGGTATTGTTTTTGGGGTATAAACACCCATATCGTTCTTTTCAATTGTGATACCGAGTTCTTTAAGTGATTTCTCTCTTTCTTGGTGAATCATTTCTGTCTTTTTCAGCTTTTCTTCCCAACTTTCGTTTAAATTGGCCAATAGTTTCTCGGAACTCTGCAGTTGCTCGACAATCTCTTCTTTAGACATCTTCTTTTTCTTGCCTGTACTGTCTGTAATCTCAAATTCTGCAAGTGTCTTTTTATTGGGCGTTGTTGTTGTTGTTGTTGTTGTTGTTGTTGTTGATGTACGACTTGCACTTGTACTTGGATTTGTTCCAGATGATTTGTACACACTTGTTGCTGTAAGTTGCTCCACTTCTTCAGGAGCATAAGTACGCAATCTATCACGAAGAAGTTCAAGTTCATCTTTGAGATCACGAATCAGTTTAGCATTAGGGTCTTCATTCACAACAGCCTTGTTCTTGATCTTTTTGGCTTGGTCTGCATATCGAAGTGTACTAAGTGTTTCATCATAATCTGCTTGTGAAATAGCTGCAATCATGGCTGTCTTGGAGTTACCACCCAGTGAATCTTTAAGTAGCCATGTGAGGACCTATTTTCCAGATGTAAATACATACAAAACAAATCATACTACCTACAGAGTCTCGATAGGGAATAAATGCTTCTTTCTTCTTTCCTCGCTTTCCTTCAAGCGATGATTGTTCTGCTAAACCAGCAATAACTTTACCCAGCGTAGTCAAGGATCTATTGATGTTGGCACCTTCTTTTAATCGTGCGCCTGTTGCGCCTGTACTGTTGGCACGTTCACTACCAGCTAAATCAACCAAACTAATGGATACGTTAGCCATAAATATAACTGCTTGTTTTTTTTTCTTGTATACCTAATTCTGGCTACTTTTTCAGTTTCGAGTTTAGTCAAGTCATCCAATCGTTTCTGTGTTAAGAACAAAGTGAATACAGCATGCGATCTTGAAGATGTTTCGTTCATGTTGGTCGCAGCAACAGTACGTGCTTTGTTGCCTTCGTCCATCAAATGTTCAATATCATCAAATGAAGTAACTACTAGGCGAGAAAGATCTTCTACATATGGGCCCAAAGAGGGATGTTCTCTTACTTTCAAATTGCCCTTGTTTTTAGGATTCAGTAAATCACGCACTTTTTCATTATAGATTTCAATATAAGATACTTCCACTCGATAAGTGAGATTTGGATCCGTATTGGAATTGATTCGGTTGAATAGTTCTGAACATGTACGAGGTGTAATACCTTTGTCTTCACCATAACCCATCTAATGCTCCATGTTATCAATCTGTCTAGGTAGTCTTATTATCGCTTACCATAGAATAAGATTTACCAGCACCCGTTTGACCATCTTGATCTGTATTAGTTTTTGCTTATCAGGCACTTGTTAACTTACATGCGAAAATACAACAGTTATAACCATCAAACGCGTGGTTCAATAGTTCTTCACCCAAATCATTATACACCGTTTGTTGGTCGGCATAAGAAGGATGATTTTTATCCACAGACCAATAAGATTTATCGAACGTAAATGCCTTTACATCTTCTGATTCCTTTCCAGTGCGTTGATCAGGGGGTCTACTGATAATCGTTTGATTGCCTTCCATGCGAATCAAGCCCACAGCCCCGCGAGCAATTTCTATGACAAGTCAGTATGTCTATTAATTGTAACTATCGAATTTAAAACCTCTCGAATTAAAAGGACGACATCGTACAACGACTTTGATATTGCCTCCACTCATTTTCTCTCTTGACAATATAAATTATTGCTATGGTTTATGAATATCAAGCTGGTCATAAAGACATTTACCTTAAAAAAAAAGGAAGCGTTTCAGATGATCAAAGCAAAGATGATGAGCAATATATATATATGTTTTCTTTCCTTGGTTTACACCCGGTCCAAAGTCTAAATCTGAGAATAAACAAGAAGAAAAAAAAAGGGGGAGAGTTGTGAAAACAACAGAATAAAAATGCTACTTTTCCCTTCTCTCTTTTTTTTATACAGCCAATGCGGTGCTTGAATAAGCTTTCAAGATGAATTCGGAACATTGCAAAACAGAGATCATTGCATATATATATATATATATATATATATCGTTGGACACCTTATGATTTCTTTTACTTTGAAAGCTGTCCTTGAAATAGTCATTACAACCTGTCACTTATCAAGTGCTTTGGCTTTGCATGTTTGAAAGTTTTTATTGGTGTAATCACAAAGTATCCAATAAAATTCAGGTACTAATTACCATAAGCATAAGAATCATTTCTACTTCTCAACTATGATTGTTTATATAGACAGTCATTGTCAGGAGAAAGTATTCATATGGCTATTTGAGGAATAAGCAATCTAGATTTATTTGCGTTACAATCATCCCGAGTCATCTGGTAGCGGATTTGAAGGCACAATCACAGGATTTATTTCGGAACTCATTTTGAATAAACCGACGATTGTCAAAAAAGGGAAATTGCTAAACGCATCTGATAAACAAAAGAATGCTCAAGAAGAGTTTTTGTGGTTCAAATAAAGAAGACATTGAAGGACTGTCATCTTTAAGGCTATTAAAACACGGGTAAGGATAAATGTAGACTTATTTCACTTTACAAGTTAGGGTAGTATTTCTTAACAAAGCATAAACAATTCGGTCAATCTCTGAGTATGAAAAGTATCTGTTTGTCCAGTCAGAATTATTTTTTGTGTCTTACAACACTTTATGAGAATAACGTCCATATAAATTGATGTTCTATACTAGATAGAAACAAGTGTTATATTGAGAAATTATTGAGCAGTTAAATAAATGAAGCTCACCATGATTTCCTTTCATCTTAATTGATCACTGCTATAAAGCGATTCTTTGACAAACAGTTTTGATAAAAAAAGATAGTAACGTTAGACGCTTCTTTCTTATATGTATGCATATCACTAGTTTTATTCTATAAAACACAATGTATGTATGCTCACCAAAAATGAATGTAATGCCCAGAAATCTTGAGTTTCGAACCCTTCATCGTCATTCGCTTTACAATAAAAGACTGGACTGTCATTGCAAATATAATTAATTTGTGATATAGGGATATCTCTGCCAAGTTGATTTTAAATCTATATTTGAAGCTGTTGACCGTACCATGAAAGATATATCTTTTCTTACTGAGTGCAAACTCACAAATATTTTAAGGCAAGGCAGAAAAACTGTAATTGCCAATATTGACAAATGTCTTGAGAAAAATTTTTTGCATACATTAAATAATGGCCAGACTTTTCAAATTCTCTTGCTACACTTTAGTTTTCCATTATTTCTTATGTTCCGAAAATAAAGCTATCAATGTTAGAGAATCAGTCTATTCTTTGAGATAAAGCTTTTAACACATAATAAACCCTGTAAAGCAAACTAGGTTCAGAATTTGATTTGGTTGCACATTTGATTGCTCGGGCCAAATCTATTCACTAAGCGATCAAATCCAACTCTGATCCTTTTTTAAGATGATAAAACAAGGCTTAAGAAACAGCTATATATACATATATTGAGATTGAAGGGAATGCAAAGATGTCAAAGAATGCAGAAAAAGAAAAATACTTTGTAAAACGGATAAAAAACGTTTTTAAAGAGGTATATATAACTATATGTGATGGTAGATCAAGTTTTTCCAAGAAATTGCGTAGAAATCATTGTATTTTTTCTTCAAAATACCTACAGAATCTTTCAACGCATTGCTTTAGCGAATGATATACTTACATCCAATAGAAATATTGACTAGTGTACAGGATGGGATAAGTATAAACATGTACTTCTTCTTATCACTCTTTAGCTATTCAGTTTTATAAATAACAATTTCAATCATGTTTATACGGCATTTTCTTTAATTGTTGCTGCATTCATACTTGAGCTAATAGGTAAGCTGGTTTAAATGATACAATTTAGCAAGGTCTGATTAAATTACTGGGTGCAAGTACGGCTCTATTTTGATACAACATTTTTTTTCTCCAGAGCATACGCAATAGTTTTGTTTCAGCGATAATAAAAGAAGTTTTTTCACATATATTTTTGTCAATTCAACAAACGTAAGGCGTTTTATTGTTTATATAAGCAATAGATTCTTTGTTATCGTTACCCTAGCATTTTCATTATAATACACTACCTTATTAGACACCATCAACTTAGCTTTAGCTTGAAACACTTTAGCTGTCATGCAAGCAAAGAAATAAAGTTCTGTGCAACTCTTTATCCTTTTTTATTCAACCCTCCTCATCCGAATTCCCTCCTCCTTTTTTTCTTTCTTCTTTCTCTCTTTTTTTTCTCAATTCATTACTGTCAGTATGCTTGTAACAAAAGATCAATCATCGAAGCCCAAGGTAGACTTCAGCCTGTTTGTCACTGGTGATGGAACTGTAGTAAGCACAAAGGAAAGAGTCATCAAAGGTAATTGAGTAAACACAATAAAACGGTCTACTTATCATACATCAGAGGTGCCTGCTCCAGCAACGTATTTGCCTACTGAAGATCAGTTCTGGAGTAAAGAAAGGCCAGGTTATCCCGACATTCATTTCCTGAAAGAGCACTTTTATCGTGAGGGTAGGTTAACAGAAGCACAAGCATTGTATATACTCGAGCATGGAAGGGAAATTCTCAGGCTAGAGAACAATTTATTGGATATACCAGCTCCTATCACAGGTAATACAAACTGTGGCTCATTTTCATGTGTCTAATGTTCCTGTTAGTATGTGGCGATATTCATGGACAATACTATGATTTGATGAAACTGTTTGAAGTGGGCGGTGATCCAGCTGAGACAACGTATCTTTTTTTAGGTGATTACGTAGACAGAGGTTATTTCTCTATTGAGGTAAGATTTCTTGTTTGTTGTTCGATTCTAAACATGGACACATACAAAAAAAGTGTGTACTCTATTTATGGAGTCTGAAGATATGGTATCCAAACACCATCTTCTTGTTGCGAGGAAATCATGAATGTAGACATTTAACAACCCATTTCACTTTCAGAGTTGAATGCAAGTATTACGTAAAAAAAAAAAAGAAGGAGAATTCACACTTTTTTTCATAGGTCGTCACAAGTACACAGAACAAGTTTATGATGCTTGCATGGAATCATTCTGTAGTTTACCTTTAGGAGCAGTAATGAACCAACAATTTCTTTGTATTCATGGAGGTTTATCGCCCGAATTACATACATTGGCAGACTTTAACAAAGTATACATATCCTCAAAGACATGCTCGAACTCATATGACAAAGATCGATAGATTTCGTGAGCCACCTACACATGGACTTATGGCTGATATTTTATGGGCAGATCCTGCTGAGGATTTTGGAGAAGAGAGTACGAATGATTTATTCTTGGATAATCGTGTGAGAGGTTGCTCCTACTTTTTCACGCAAGTATAGGTTATGACGTTCGTGGCAAAATATTCACTTTTTTTGTTTGTAGTTATGCAGCTGCTTGTGCTTTTTTGCAGAGAAACAATTTACTTTCTATCATTCGGGCTCATGAAGCACAAGATGCAGGGTAAGTCTGGTCATGAAAGAAGGGATATCTATTTATGCGTATACACAAAAAAAAAAAAAGATATCGAATGTATAGAAGAAGTGACGCCACTTCCTTTCCTGCTGTCATGACTATTTTTTCTGCACCCAACTATTTGGATGTGTACAACAATAAGGCAGCGATTCTCAAGTATGAAGATAATGTGATGAATATTCGTCAATTCAATGCTACACCTCATCCTTTTTGGCTGCCAAAGTTTATGGATGTGGTGGAATGGAGTCTGCCTTTTGTAGGAGAAAAGAGTAAGTGAGATGTAGCAAAAGGCATCCAAGTATTGATAGCATTTAGTCACCAATATGCTGCTTGCCATATTGAACATCTGTAGCAAAGAAGAATTGCTAGCAGACGAGGAAGAGGATGAAAAGATGAACAAATCAAACATAGACGCAGCAGAAGATGCTGAACAGCGCAAAATGGTCATTCGCAATAAAATACTTGCGATTGGCAAGATTTCCAGAGTTTATTCTGTCTTGCGTGAAAACTCTGAAAGAATTACTGAACTCAAGTCTCTGTCACCTACTGGAAGATTACCTCTTGGTACTTTGGCATTAGGAGCCGAGGGTATTAAATCAGGTAAAATTTGCTTGATGCCTATAAACCGCCCTTCCTAATTGTAATTATATAGCCATTACTTCGTTTGAAGATGCAAAGAAAGCAGATCTGGAGAATGAAAGATTGCCGCCTTCTGATGAATCAAGAGATGCAATGATACAACAAACACATATGAAGATAAGAAGCGCTGTGGAAGACGACATTCCATTGAACGAAGTTGCTGATGTGATGATGGAAGACGTACAATAATAGAAGAAAGTAATTTAATAAAGAGTTACCATTGTGTCAGAAAAAAAAAAGAAAGAGAACGAGAAGGAGGAGGGTATGCATTGGTTTAATCTCTCTTTCCATAGGTGCGTTCTTTGTGATGATTAAGGTCTAAGATCAACTGCCGCAATACTTTATACTCGCTATCTGCAACATTAATCTTGCGCTTTAATGAGTCACATTTTTTGATGAGGGACTTTTCTTCGGACAAACTAAGCTTTCTTGCTCTAAGAGTACCCTGAAAAGAGCTAAGCTGATGTTCTGCTGTAAAAGAGTCCACTATAGCAGCCACCAAATTCAATTTTGTAGCTGCTATTAACTCGGTGTACTCGTTTTTGCTTTTGATGGTGTCATCAGTACAGGCTACTTTTCTGATCAGGCTACTTGTTGAGTATTGAGAAGCTGCATCTCGCTTTAGGTAAGGATCTGTTTGGGCAGGTGCAGCACGTCTTGAATTACGCTTTTCCATAGTGCTTAAAACCTGCCGAGAACTAGATCGGTTATCACGAGAAGCAGATTCAACATGGTTAGACAAGCTCAAGTTTGCACTGGGATCGCTGGTTTCATGATCTTGCTGCTCTCTCTTAATAGCCTTGAGTATCTGAGAAAAGCTCATAAGAGAAGAAAAGACAATGAAATGAAAAAAAAAATAGTCCTATTTTATCTTTTTTGAACTGTAAGTTTTTACAAGACTCTTCCATTGGCTTTTAAAATGATGACAGTTTTGATTATTTGAGACGAACTAAATGTTTATGTCATTTGAAGACAGATAAAAACTATTCTATTGATTCAATGACAATAGATTTCTTTAAGAATGATTTCTTGTTCTAAGTGATTATTCTCTCTTTTTTCTTTCTTTATAAAAGACTTGCTCTTTCTTTTATTTTGGGCATACCACTAAACGCATTTCATCCTTAAAGTTCTACTTTGTTATCAAAAGAGTTAATTCACCCAGTATGTTATGGTTTAGATATGTCTCATTTGACGATGATCAAGAAAGAAAATCAATCTCCCCCTATGAAATCATATCTGGCTTCGAATCCTTGGATGAGCACAGTTTTTATTTCTTTTCTTTTTATTATGCCTCGTATTGGCCCAAGTGAAGCAAGCAAGAAAAGCTTTGACTTTATTATCATAGGAGGCAAGTGAGTCAGATACTTCTTTTCTCTTTACTTGAGTCTGACTATTTCTTTAAAGGTGGTACTGCTGGTTGTGTGCTTGCCAACAGACTGTCTTCCTCTGAATATACTGTCCTTGTTTTAGAAGCAGGCGACTCAACACCAGATGATTTATTGGACGTACGAATCCCATTGTTCAACAGTAAATTAAAAAATACCAGTGTTGATTGGAAACTCAAGTCGACGTATCAAAACAATGCCAACGATAGAGACATTGGTGTTCCTCTTGGTAAATTATTAGGCGGCTCAAGCGCATTTAATGCATGTATAGCACACCGATGCTCTCCCTCAGATTATGATGTCTGGGGTGCACCTGAATGGACTTATGAGACCCTCAAGCCTTATTTTCGAAAAGCAGAGACATTTCATGACACAAACTCAGTATCTCAAGAACTACATGGTACAACTGGTCCTTTCCACATTTCACAAACACGTACAGAAAATGGACCTATCGGCACATACTTTAGAGCCGTATGTCGAAAACTCGGTTTACCTGAATACGATGATATGACAGACTTGCCTTGTCAAATTGGTGTCACAGGTCTACAGGCCAGCATCTATCAAGGCGAAAGGATTACCACAGCATCGACTTATATTACTAAAGAGATCGAACAACAGCGATCGAACCTGTTTGTTGCCTTGGGCTGTAAAGTCACCCGCGTCTTATTAGAGGATCAACGCGTCACGCATGTGGAATACCTTGCCAATGATGTTATCTACACAGTAGCTGTCGAACGAGAAGCCATTCTTTCTGCAGGCGCCATTTTATCTCCCTTGTTATTGCTTTCAAGTGGGATTGGGCCCCAAGAGGAATTAGGTTCATTAGGTATTGATACGCTTGTCCATCTGCCTGGTGTTGGTAAAAACCTACAGAACCATTGGCGTGTCCCACTTGTCCATGAGACCAAGCATGCCGATATGTCTTTACACGCAGGCATCTTCAAGCACCAAAAGGAATCCTTAGATCGTGCCCTTCAACAAAAAGACGGTCCTTTGACACAATTATGGCCTGATGTTGTAGCTTATATGAAGATTCCGGTAATGCGTGTGTATATATGATACATGACCAGCCTTACTCATCTTGTTGCATAGGATGCTCCTGACAATAGCAGCAGTAGAGAAAACACACCTCAAATTGAATTATTTGCGGGTGGTTTAGCTCTCTGTCGTGAACTATCCCACCTAAAAGAAGTGGACTGTGCTACTTTACTTATGGTCTTGATCGCTCCTTTTTCAAGAGGGTCTGTCAGACTTTCTGATGATAAAAGCCCCCTGATTGATTTTGGGTTATTGCAAGACAAGCGAGATTTAGAATGCTTGGAGAAAGGGCTTCAATTGTCTATGTCGATTGCCAAAGATCCCGAGTATGAAAACAACTGTGTTAAACAATGGATCAAGTATCCAGAAGACGAGCATGACAGTCGTACTTTACACCAATACATTAAGGAAAATATAGATACACTGCATCATTATGCTGGTACATGCAAGGTAAGAAAGAGTGAATTGATATGCTCTTGTATTCATGATCCGACTTTCTCTCTCTCTATATGTATAGATGGGGCTCAAACAAGACGAATCAGCTGTAGTGGATCATCATTTAAGGGTACACGGTATTCAGGGTCTACGTGTCGTGGATGCTTCTTTTTTTCCTACTGTCCCTGCTGGTCAAACATGCTTTCCCGTCATTGCCTGTGCTGAACGCGCTTCTGATCTTATTTTACAAGACAATCAAATACAATTCTAAAATCTTTATTTTCTATAAACAAAGACATGAAAATCTAATATATACACAAAAAAGAGGAAAGAGAGAAGGGGGAAGGTTTAAGCTTTGATAAAAGGATTATGTCCTACTCTAGTTACACGGAGCATCCAACAGAGGATACCACCAATAGCCATCAATAAACCACTCCAGATAGCAGCATAAATATAGCCAGGGGGAGTTGTACTACTGATAATAGCAGAAGAAATGGGGGTGCCAAACATATAACCAAGCGTACTTGTGATATAAAACAAGCCATTAGCAGCAGAGATATTTTCATATCCAGCAACTTCAGGGAGAGCAGCACCGTTTAATGAGAGATAACCACCACCAAAGAAACCATACAAGACAACATAGACCCAGATAGAAGCTTCTGATTTAGCTGTTGTCCAAAGCGCAAGTGTAAAGACACCAGATAAAAATGTACAAATGAACAGGCCATTAAAGCGACCTGTACGATCACTAATCCAGCCAACAACAAGCATAGAAATAGTATTTACAGCAGACATGATAGCACCTAAATTAGTACCGACCCAAGGGTTTAAACCGAGATATTCTGCATAAGCTAAAACAAGTAAGTACAAATCATATAACCAAACTCCAACTTACAGGCCAAGAAAAAGGCTGGTGTCTAAAATAAATCAAATTTTTTTTTAGTGTCAAATTTTTAACTTGTAACACTTTACCAAGTAACCAAATGTGGTAACAATGCCCATAACGAACATGATTTGAAAGGATCTACTGGTCATCAACTTCTTTTGTTTTTGATATAATTCGGAGTAAGATTCGCGTTTGCTGGGTTCAGCATTCTTGGGAGGCTTTACAACAGCAGCAGCAATCAACAAGAGAGCAAAGCACATGAAGCCCATGATTCTCAAGGCCCAGCGATAGCCCAAGTTGGCAATAGCAGCTTGAGCAACATTAGAGAAAATCAAACTACCGATACCTGAACCACACATGCTGCCTGCAACAGCCAAACCTCGACGTGTTGTAAACCATTGCTGAGGAGCCCCTAAAGAAGGAAAGAAGACAAAAGATGCACCAAGACCAAAGATAACACCTTGAGTCAAATACAGTTGCCAGATCTAAAGTTGCATTAAAAAAAAAAACTCCTTAAGAAAGCTTATTATCTTGCATTACCTCATGAGTAATGCTAGCCAACATAAGACCCAAAGGACATAAAATAGCACCGATTAAAAGCATGTTTCTATAGCCAATCTTACAAGAAATCCATTCATTAATAGGGCCAATAATGAAAAACAGGGCAACACAAATAGAACCAATCCAGGTGAGTTCATTCATTTTTCCAGGATAGATATAAGTGTTGTAATGGTTAAGGAAGACAGCCCAGGTATAATTGACACCAAAACTACAATAATGAAATCAGTCTTTTTTTTCTTTGTCTATTTGTTAAATGACATACATTGTCACATTGCCCTAAAATGAAGCATATCAGAAAAGATGATGACACAACTAAAATAAACTTACCAAAAAACCACCAAAGACAACGAGCCATGCAGCTAAGCCGCCATTAGGAGGACCTTCAAGGTCAGTAGAGGAAGAAATTTTTTCAATGTCTTCATCTATGACAGTAGAAGAAATTTGATCTTTTTCATGATGTGATAAAGAAGGATCGCCAGAAATAGTTTTATCATTCATTGTTGAAAAAGAATGATGGCAATAAAAATCGTTGAGGAAATATACAAAAGTTTTGTGAACGAAAGAGAGGAGAAAACGTTAGATATAAAGTATATTTGATTCACAGTTTTAAATGCTATTCTATCAAAAATTTTTCATTGGAGCAGAAGGGTTTTTCAATAGTTTAAAAAGGAGTCTAAAGATTTCTCGGAGGACTTGAACGAATAGATGAGTGAGGAGGATAATAGTTTATTGCCCTTTAATTTGTTTGATAATAAGCATTGGCCCTTGCTTCTTTTGGTCAACTTTTGACAGTGATAATTGATGACATAAATACTTTGTCTTATTTGTCTGGTGCATAAAAGCTATTCTTGTCTCGAGTTTCGTTTCTTTTTCTTCGGTAAATAAAACTGTCTGTGTTTATAATAAAACCAAATTATCCTTGTGTGCTGTAATAAGTAGAAAGAAGCAGGCGAATAACCTTCTTTCTCTCTTTTGCTTATAAAGATTGAGCTCAAGCGATGGATTTGAATACACACAAGAGTATATAGTCTACTTTCTTTTTGTTCAACAAACTCAGATGTTATTTTGTATTATTATCGAGTGATTCGGATTCTCCTTCCGCCCGGAATAGAAGTTTGTCCGAAAAAAAAGAGAGAGAAGACCAAGAAGAGACCCTGTCCTTTAACTCGGAAATGCCAAAACAAACATAGATATATAGCCTTGAAAGTCAATAAGATATTGTTCCTCAATCAATCAAACAGAGTATTTAGTGTGTTCGATTGAAATGAGAACTCGTATCACTTTTGACTCGTTTGCATTTATTTATCAAGGAACAAATTAACTTCTCTATTGCTGTTATTACCCATAAAAAGGCATACATTGATTCTTTCTCTCTCTTTCAGGCTTCGAGTACCACAAAACAATCCTTGTTTCTATCTCCTTTCCGCCTATTTTTTTTCATTTCTTTTTTTATTTTATTTTTTTTTAAACATGTCAAACTACGATACAGTCATTCTTGATATTGAGGGCACTATTACGCCTATTACTTTTGTGCATGAAACTTTGGTAATACTCAACTAAATATCCAAGACAGCTATTGATATCAAACAGTTTCCTTATGTTACTTCTGGCTTGTCTGCTTTCTTGGACAGAACTTGGGATTCACCTGAATTGAAGCAACAGATCGAGTTACTTCGCGATCAAGCTAAAAAAGACGTGGAGGCTGGTATTCCTCAAGCTATCTTGATTCCCTCTTCTGAATCGTAAGTTTACTGTGTGTTTGATCCTATCTTTAATCACTGTTTTAGTCCTGCTGATCAAATCAAGGCTGCTGTGATCGAGACGATTAATTGGCAAATGAAGGCTGATCGCAAGATTGGTGCCTTAAAGTCTTTCCAAGGCTACATGTGGAAAGAAGGATATGAGTCTGGTGTACTTCGTGGCGTGTAAAGTATTACCGTGTATCGCTTGTTTGTTTACTTATATGATTAGTGTTTATGATGATGTTGTGCCTGCTCTTGATCAATGGAAAGCAAGTGGTAAACAGATCTATATTTACTCTTCTGGCAGTGTTCCTGCTCAAAAACTTCTTGTTGGTTATTCTACAAAGGGTGATTTGACCAAGGTAAGTCATGAGCATTCGAAACTTGGATTTGACATAAGTTACTAGTACTTTTCTGGTTATTTCGATACCAGTGTTGGGTTAAAGATTGAAAGTGTATCTTATAGGAACATTGCTCAACAGATTGGCAAGGAGAATGACACAAACCGTATTTTGTTTGTCACTGATAATATCAAAGGTAACAACAAGAAACAAGACAAAGACTGATAGGATTGAATAGAAATCTTTGCTGCTACTGAGGCAGGATACCAAGTCGTTATTTCTGATAGACCTGGAAATGCTCCTTTGGATCCTGAAAGTAAACAGTTCAAGATTGTTACTTCTTTTGAACAAATCTAATGATAATAATAATAATAATAACAATAATAATAAAGCCTCTTTATTGACATTTAGTCTCAATAATAGAAGGACCAACTTCTTCATACTCTTTCTTTGAGATCCATAACTGGTTAAAAGAACCCAATGAAGCCAAAATAGAGCCACCCAACCAACTACTACTTTTGCGTTCAATTTGACTACCAAAGGCATGAACTTTGACTTTGTTCTATAGATATAGATATAGATATATATGTAAGTCACCCTAGATTGTATCATTCAAGCACTTACGCCTGGCACCATCATGGGTAAGTCATTGCTTAATCTTTCTGTAAAACCAGGGAACAACGTATTGCCACCTGTGACAATCACATTGTTGAAAAGCAAAGGACGCAGATCCATATCACAAGCACTGATACTGTTGAATACCAATTGAGATACACCAACAGTATGTTGAAGTTGGTTTCTACTGAGTCCTAATGAAGGGATGATCTGTCCTTCTTTTCCTGGTTCTGTAGGTGGCTAAATAAAGATTTAGGTATGGGAGATCTAGGCAACCACAATGCTTACCAAGCGAATATGACCAGGATGAAACATGATTTCAGGCACTCGATAACGTTCTACCCCAAATGAGTTATTATAGCCATCAGGGAATTCAAATGGCTTTTGAGGTCTTTGTGCCATGAGGCGTGGATCAAATGGAACCTCAGATACTTGAGAGACAGATTCTTTGTATTCATGAATGATCCTCTATAAAGTATACGTTATAAACAATATCGTCATCAACAAAAAACTTACTGAAACTTGATAATCATCAAAACTCTTGGTTGTATTGGGCCTTGAGCGTAATTGAATCTGAGGTCGTTCTCCTGCACGCACAGGTTTTTTGCTTGCAATCTTGTAAAGTGGTGTTACGTCCAACTGTGCATCTTGCTTCAAATGATCACGAATTTGCTGTGTCAATAAGTCACCACCCACAGACTGATGAAGAACACCCTTCTTTAAGACATAACCATCATAAACAGGGACTGCACTTGTCACACTTCCTCCAGAATCCAATACTAAAGCAGTGGCCCTACCAACTGAGAAACTACAAAAATCCTTAGTCTTGTTTTCGATTCACTGCTACACACGTTATTTACGCTGTCATGACTGCATCTTTAGCTACATAGAATGCAGGTACATCAAACTTTTCAAAAGCAAGTTGCATCATCTTTTCACGGTTTTCAGGTGTATTCCATGCTGGTTCAGTACATAATAAAGGGTGTTCAGAAGCATGGACACGGAGCATATCGTTATAGGCTGCTTGCCAGATATGTTCCACAGCATCCCAGTCTTTGACAAGACCGTCTTCCATTGGGGTTTTGATTTCCATATTTGGTCTCCATGTATTGATTTTACTGTCGCCAATGTAATAAGTGTTGTTGGTGTCGATACCATAAGAAGTGGGGAACATGGCTTTAGGAACATCTTCACCTGCAAAACCAACGCGTGTGGAAGTAGATCCCATATCAAATACAAGGGCATTTACTTCATCTAATAAAGTAGGTTAGCATACACTAATAAAAAAAAACGCGTTGATCTAGATTACCTCCACCATAAGTGACCATTTTTTTTTATATATATATATATGAAAGAGAGAAAAAAGAAAAAAGTGCAACTAAAAAAAAAGGGACGTGCGTGACTTGAATTGACTGGATGACGTATCCTCTTTGTTACTTTAAGCAACATCGACCAAGTTTGTGACTTTTATTTGAACTAGTTAACAAAAGTGCATTTGTCAAGAGCATGTTAAAGTATATATGACATCAACAACAACGGCTTTTAAGAGGTCGAGAAGACCAAGGTGCCTAGGAAAGCACCTTTGAGTGCTTTGTCCTAGGTATAATGGTAAATAGATTCTTTTTCTATGTCATCTTGTCCAATAAGAATGAGCATCATGCACAAAAGAAAAAAAAAAAGGTTGATTTACAAGTGTAAGCGTGTCATCTATAGAATCCCTCTTCTTTTTTCTTTTGAGAATCTCTGTCGATGGTAGTATAAGTTTAAAGAAAGGATATGTAACCCAACTTTGATAGCACAGTTGAATGAATTCGATGGTGTCATTCTGCACTATATACTGTTACAAACGAGTAGATACAAAACCCAGATAGATTCATCACCTACCTTGTTCTTTAATAGATTAAACAATACGCTTATACCCCTACATTTGTTCACGATGAATATACAAGAAGTCTATCATGCACGTGATTTTACTGCAATAAAAATACCTAAAGCTGTGTCTGTATTATTATTTTCTCTTATGAACCGTCTTGACCTTCCAGAATATGCAGAAGATGCTGCTGTTTTACGCTTCTATCATCTCGACTCACTTGAGCCCGAAGTATGGGTAGATGATGAACATCATTATGACTATGACCATGAAGAGAAAGAATCCATCCAACAGTTTCATCATCCTGAACAAGATGACATGACCAACCAAACTACCATAAGACCTTCAGAGACAGATATTGATTTGCAAGTCATTGATGATAGCGACCCTTTAGGTGTCTATGCTTCTATCTTTCCAGAGTAAGTTACACTCCTCTTCAGAAAATGCGCTTATGTGCTTTGTAGTGATATGTCGAGAAATAAGAACATTAGTCAGTTAAAAGAAAGTAAGCATGTATACAAACAGAGCTTGTTGTTTATAGTTATCTTAGAGGCTACAATGATGATCACAAACAACAAATTCCAACCTCGGCATTTTTTACTTCAGGTCCATAAAGACACAAACTATAATGATCTTGTAGACGGCGAAGAGAGACTTAGAAGAGGTGTAGATCAAAGAGCAGAAGCTCAAAAGGATCTTGTTCATCAAAACTTTGATCGTTTTGTAAGTGCCAAGAATACAATTGACCATGTCTATGAAGAAATGAAATCAAAGCAATTGAATAAGGAACAAGAATATGGTACCATTGGTATTCAGAAAGCATTAGATGGTAAAGTAAACAATACGAATCATGTGACTGAATAGAAGGAATCATAGCTGCCAATACAAAGGCTGAACAGGTGTATGGACCTGTGGTAGAAAGACGTCAACGAGCAGAAAAAGTGAGAAGTACACTTTATATTTTACAACGTTATCGGTTCTTGTTTAATCTGCCTAGTAGTCTGTTGGAGTCTATTAAACAGGTAAGTTAAGGCGAATATACCGTATCATTCAACCCCAATAGACCAAATATGAAGCTGCTATTCGAGACTATAAAAAGGGCAAATACCTTTATCAAGTACTTAAAGGAGATTTAGATGCTTCAGATAAAAATGCTTTACCTGACCTGGACAATAACGAAACAGGCATTACTGATCTTCATCATAAAGTATTCGATAAAGTATGGGCTGAAGTGAGCAAGATTGTCATTGAGCTTCAAAATGTGTTGCGTAGAATGCTAACTGACCCTTGGCGAAGTATGGACGACCAAGAAAAGACAATCAAGTAAGGTGTATTCAACTCTGGGTTGTGATTGACATAGGACCTATAGTTTCTTGTTTGATTTGGACACAACAGAAGATCCTGCTTGGTATTATCTAGACAGCCAATATCAATGGATTATGGGCTTAATGAAAGAAACATACGATACAAGCATCAAGAAGGTCAATAGACTGAAAGAAGAAAGCGAGACAGAAGAGTCTGCTATCAAGCGTAGTTTAGCTCTCAAGAAAGCAATCAAGCAAATACAGACCAAGTCCTCTGATCTGAATGAATCCTCCGAACTAAGAGTATGGCAAGCTATTTCAGATCTAGTGAAATCCCAATCTTCTCTCTTGTTACGATGTTTGCCTGATTTCTGGAGATTATCAAAGGCTTTTATTGAAGGCAAATTTGCAAACAAGGCAGCAGCTGTGTCTAGTACAGGTCCTATCGGTGTTGCTTCAAATACCCGTAGAAGACGTATTGGCATGGACATGAACAAAGTAGAACAATGCCAGCGCATGACACGCGATATTATTGACCGATATGCTTCTTTGATCTCTGACTATTTCTCCTTGAACGAAACTCATTTACAGACAAAGAAGAGTATAGATGGATCTGAAAAGCATATCATGCCATCTTTTGTGCCTGTCAATGTGAATTCCATTTCCACCTCTGAATATCTGACACTGATCATTAGTGATCTGGCCAGTTGTGTGAATGATATCAATGCTATCAATCTTGCTGGTGAAGCATTTTCAGGTCTGACTGAATTGATGGAAAAGACAAGAAATAAGTTTATTGATGTACTTTGCAAATGTTGGGAAAGAGATGCAAAGACATTTTACATGCTTGAAGAGTGGATCCTGGACTCTCAAAACCCTCATATTACGACCTTATTGAAACGATATTATGATTATCACAAGTATTGTGCTCGATCAGCTTATAAAATAGCCAGTTTGTCTGCAATCACCAGTGATAGACAAGAACGCAAGATTTTACCCCATTATATTGAAAAGATTCGGGGATCCTTTTTGGAATCAACATATACTTTTCTTGATGGCTTGGTTCAACTGGCCTTTACTGACTATACACCATTGAATGAAAAAGACGAACTCTTGTTAGCCAAAAAACGAGAAAAAATCGATGTTCATTCTATGGTAAGACTTATTTTATCATCATGCCATTTGGCTCATCATCCATAGGATGTGCGTATTTTGTTGACTGTGAGCAATTTGGACCATATGCGTAGTAATGTTATGCGCAAACTGATGGATTTATTTGAATCTGCTTACCATGTCAATATGGAAGAAGACTTGCATGTAAGTCAAATGAATGTTGTATTGGGGGAGGGAGTAGGATTCACAATGGCTTGTTTAGACGCTGGTCGATGTGGTTGATCAATTAGATGAAATATTGTTTGGTGATTACATTAAGCGTAAATCACAAATGATTCGAGACATTGTTCGACAAGGCATCCTTATGAGTGGTATTGATTGGTCAAGTATTCCTAAACCACAAGAAGTACATCCCTTTGTGTATGAAGCATTAATGACTCTGGTTATGGTGCATTCTCAAATCAGCAGTGTCACAAAGCAACTGGTCTCAAGAGCCTTGTCCAAGCTACTCGAGGCAATGGCAAGTGATTGTCTCGATAGTTTTAGACAGGTAGAGAGATTTGGTATGGGAGGTATGCTGCAGGCAACATTGGAAATTGAATTTATGCATCAAACACTATCACAGTATGTGACATCTGCTGCATCAGATACCCTTCAATCAATTTATCAAACAATTGAACAAGCTTATGATCCTCAACAGCAACAATCAAGTAGTCTTCAGTCTGAATTAAGCCATGTGAAAGAACTGCTTGTGTTTAGCAGAAAGAGCACAGTCGTACAATTCTTGTGCTTTAAACAAAGCAAGGACCGTAGGAAGACAACCATAGCTAAATAAACATGTCTGAGGGGAGGGGAAGAGGGGAGTTTAGGATAACAAAAAATGTTATTAGTCGATATATGATTACTATTATTTATTATATGGTTTTATACTATAGAATGCGAAAAATATAGATAATATTAATCAAGCTTGTATTCTTTCTTTCCACCAATCTTGAGCATTTTGTCGCCTTCTCCAGCACTAGCTCTTCTTTGTTCAAGACTCTTGTCCATTTCATCAGCCAATTTCTTTGCTCTTTCGGCAGGACTCATGTTACTTTGCCAGTGTTGCTTGGATTGGTTAGGTTGAATAAAGGCCTCTTTGTCTGCCACAGGACGATTGGCTTGAGAATGACGGCTACTGTTGTCAGACCCATATTCAGATCGTGTAGAAGACATTGTTTCAGAAGTAAATTGATCATTGGACTTCATAGGTGAAATATCATATGCTGTTGTAGGGTGGTCACCAGAAAGACCTTGTCCAGAAGCCATGCCTTGTTGACTAGGAATACCTTGTTGACTAGGAATACCTTGTTGACGGTGCATACCTTGACTAGAAGTCATATCTCTTTGAGTGTTACTCATAGTATCGTCTGTTGTAGTGGGGTGATTGCCTGAAATAAATGTGGATGGGTTCATGATAAAGAATAATGTAAGATGTATCATTATATGCTCTGGTTTATATACCCTTCAATGAACAATAGCATCGTCATACTGACATTGTGCCAATCATGGATGAAGCTAAAATTCATGCAAATCTCAAAATGACGTACTTGAACTTTTAACCAAAGACAATCTTACTTAAAAGTCCGGAATTACACAATACAAGCATGATTTACGTAGATAGTCGTTGCGTCTTTTGTATCACTGCCCATATTTCTCTTTTCTCTCTTTCAAAAGCGAGATACTTAAATGAATATGACACTGATAGAAGAGAAAAAAAAAAGACAAACTCTTTCTTTTTAACGAGGAAATCTAGACGGAACTGTTTGTTTGATACTGCAAGTTTTATACTGAGTAAGTCAAGAATAGAATGGTAGATTATCTCTACATGAACGCACACTGGCTATAATAGTTGAATAACTGAGAAAGAGAGAGAAGGCTTACTATACGTGGAACTGCGAGGTAAATTGATTTGAGGTATTATTTATCAAATCAGAATCAAAAGTCGAAACCCACACAGAGACATGTCCAGTAAGATTCGGAATAAGTTGGACAAAAGAGTTTGTGCCAAAAATCGATTAATGTGATATGCTAAGGAGATAGAAACGATTGATAAAGGTTAAACAAGACGTCATTAAATCAAAAGAAAACAAAACAAAACAAAGCACAACTTGATACTACTATAAGAAAAGGGTAGTATTTTCTGCTAACTCATATGTCGTAAAAAAAAAAAAGCGGCTCGTATGATATTTAATGTTTATTCTCTTACAACAACAAAAAAGAATAAACTAGTGCTAGTGCTTGTGACAATGATTTGTCCAAGAATACGATCACTAGACTATCACATTTACAATATGGATTTAAAGGCTCTTATGACTCGAGAAGGACAAAAGCAACCCATGGTATTATCTCATGCAAAAAGAGAAACAAACAAAAACTCTCTTTATTTAAAAAAAAGGGAACTTACAATTGCACCATTAGCAACAATCCGGTGGCCTGATATACTTTTAAAAATGGTAGTCTATTGGACTTCAAATGTTCCAATAAGAAAAAGATATAAGAGTGTACACTTTTCTAACAAGTGAGAGTGAGTGATAGTTGCGAATAAAATATACATGGTATTTTTTATGTAATTAATGTGGCCGTGAGAAAAAAAAAAATTGGATTTATTATACAAAGATACCAGCAGATTTGCGCTGACTAACAGGTTCCCATACTGAGCCCTCAACAGGCATTTCATTTTCGATTTCTACCTTGGTCAAGGCTTCTAAACAAGCTCTGCCTACAGCTGGTTCTAAGATAGCAACGACTTCAGGACGAATAAAACCATTGCGAACACGGTCGGCAAATACTTGCATACATCCAGCCGCTTTAATGGGCTTTGTGGGATCACGGGCACAATGAGCCAAATGGAACAACATAGAAGTCTCCATTTCCATTGAATAAGTCTTGGGATACTTGGTTGTAATTTCGTTGACGAGGTTTTCATTTTCATCCCAAAAGACAGGATCCTGTCTGCCTTGAGAACTGTAGAAGCTACAGCCGTCTACATTTAAACCACCACTTACGACAGGACCAATCATGTTGTTTTCTGCTTCGAGAGGTTCAAGTGCCTTTTCGAGTGTTTCTGTCAAGATGGTTGTCATGCCTTCATCAGCCTTAAAGACACCAGAAATAAGGTAGGGCTTGTCTTTGATTTCGGTATTCACAGGTTCATCAGCGAAATAATCAATATTACGTCTGACACAGTAACCACCGCCAGGGATAATCACAGCACCAGCAGGAGCCTGAGGGGATAAAGAGCCACAGGAACCAAAACGAAGAAGGGCCAAGGTACCATCCACACTAGCTCTTGTTTCTCGGACAAAAAAGTCCATCATAGCAGCACCCATACCACTAAGCAATTTAATCAGCATTACTACGATATATGCCTTTTTACTTACATGGCCATGATGGTCACAGGGACACCTTTGTATCTGCCTGTGATAGTCAGGAATCCTCTTTGGCTTGTTCTCTCAAAGATAGGATGTCCACATTCTTCTTCTGAGTCTAATAATTTGGCAATTCTTCTGGCACGGACATGATCACCCACTGTCAATACTCGGTTGGCTACATCTCCATGCTTCACACTAATATGGTAGACTCTGTCTTCAGCATCTCTGGGGAAATTGGCATTAGAAATTGTTTCTTTCATTTTGAGCGATATAAACAGAAAAAGAAAGAAAGATAAAAAAAAGGCAGAAAATCCTCTTTTTTATATATATATATATATTTAGACCAAGCGGAAAAATTATTCACGCTCTTTTAAAATAGCGTACTTTGAAAGACATGAAAAAAAAGGGAAAAATTAGCGTATTCATGCATATCCGAAATGTGCAAGTTTCTTAAATAGGTCTACAATAAAGACAGTCTTTCAATTTTGCTATATAATATTCAACGAAGCCTTGAAAATTGCTGCACATGATTTGATTGCAAGCAACTGCAATTCTGGAAGTCAATGTCTTTTCTTCTAAGAAACTATTCCTTCTTAAGTTTACTTTTACAAACAGACCAGAATTGCTCGACGAGATTAAGCTCAGGCGAATAAGGAGAGAGGTACAAGCTCTTATATTCTCGACTTTCAATGCATTTTTGGATATCTTGATGCTTATGAGTAGGAATATTGTTCATAGTTAAATAATGACCACAAAGCTCCTCATGAAAATTCATTGCATCCAACATATTGGAGATGAAATTGAAGTAATGTCTAGTAACTGTACCACTATTATTTCTTCTCTCTTTTTTCGATAAAAGAAACACTCTTGGTCTTCTCATGCTGATATTTACAACACCAAAGGGAGGTATCGCATTCAGAACGACAATGGCTTTTGTTCTCGTCTTAGATACCCTCACAATTGTTTGCTCGTTTTCTTTGGACAAAGAAAAAATTCGCCAGAGATTGATGTGAGAAGCAGCTTCGTCAATATGTAAACAGTAGCTGGTGAAGTCTATACTTGTTTCCATTTATTTCTTTACCTTTTGATAGCACTGTTCAATCCTTTCAGGGCTGCTTCTCTCCAAGAATTCTAAAGATGCCTGTTTAAAGGTAGTTTTGCACTTCTCCCTGACAAATGTGTTGACCCTGTTTTTGCTAATATTGAGTTTGCCAAACTTTTTTTTTATCAGCACGTTAAGTATATCATCTAGTATAACGGAATTTATGTTTGCATTTTTCCAATCATCCATAGAGTCATTATGCTCATCAGTTAATGTGATTGATCTACCCACTAGCTTTTCTCTGCCTGCAGCCCTTTCAATAAGTTCCTGAGGAGTTTTGTTATCTTTGCCCATCTAGTCTTGTGCCGTATAAACATTAATACCAAAGGGACAAACACTCGTTCTTTTTTTCTCTTTGATAAATTAAGAAGTTTCCAATAATCTTCTAAATCATTGTCTAGCATTGTTTTAGTCAGACCTAACTACTATCAAAAAAACAAATTTATTGAGCGTAAACGGGGAGGGGGGGGGGGAAGAAACAAAAGGCTCTTAAGTCATCGAAAAGAGAAGTGTACGGAGACTTAGATGATTTAAATATAATCGCAGTTAGTTTTAAAGTGTCCCTCTTTTCATTTTATTATTTTATAATGTTTTTTATTTACATAAATATATCTTTAAATGCATTTGATAAACTCTGTTTTTTTCATGTGATAAATAGTAGTTTTCTATAGAAATATCGCAATCGTTTTCTTTTCTTTAAACATGCATATTCTTGCAAAAGCTTTCGTTTTTTGGAGTGTTCGGCTTCGACAATTGCTTGTTGTTATTCTATAAGCCTTATAAATTTTGCTAGTCAAAGACTTTTATATATTTTCGCATGCTATTTGAGTGTTAATGAACATACAAAAGTAGCAACGTAGGCATTTTATAATGTAGATGTGGGGCAAATGGACAAAAGACATACAGAATGCCCATATGCAGAGATTGAAATAGAAGGGAACTCCAATTCTTCTTGTCGCTGCATCTAAATCGAGCTTTTGCTTTCATCCACTCGTGCTTCTCTCACTTCTCTGATTGACGAGAAACACTTGCACAAACGTTTATAATTAATTATTTTATGTATTTTCCTTTGTATCTCTTAAAATTGTGACCATCTCTTGACAGACTTTAGTCATAGTCTACGTGGAACAAAAAATAAAAACTTTCAAAAAAACAATAAATAAATCGAGCCTTTGCTTAGGACTGCATAAAAATGCAGTTATTCCGCCTTGGCACAATGGCAAAAGTTATGGATTTTTGCTCTCTGAGTCTATTGGTATAGAAAAACTGCGGACTTGCTGGTAAATTATTGAGTAAATAGGCAAAAATGATATGGAGATTTTTCACTCCTATCTCATCATTTTCATAATGCAATTGACAAGCAAACTTATTCATCAAAAACTAGAAATTCTGACGCACATTTCGAGTATTGTAACTTGTCGATAGCTTTATTTTTCGTCTTGTAGCGTCAAAAAGAAGAACAAGAGTTTTCAAAATGAGGATTTTCGTGAATAGTACCCTTTGGTCAAAAGGCCATTTCGACCAAATTTCACGAATCGCTTTTTTTGGTCCAAATCAACTCCAAAGGTAACATGGAAGATAGCAAACATTGCTTATGCGTATTCGAAGCATTATATGCGCATAAATAAGCTTTTATGATACCTTCCTATGCCTAAGAAAAAGGCAAAGATTTGCATGAATTGTTACCTTCTCCATTGTTGAAGTATACATTTGTCTAGCGTCTCTGTTACATGAGTAAGTAATATACCATTATATCGAATGGGGTCAGCTTACTAATGGATATTTTTCCTTTCTACGAATTACAGTATATCATGAACCTTGAACACAGATTTAAAGGCAATGCTTAAATCGATTTGGCTTTTCTGCTTTAGGAAACTCCTTAAAAGCACTCATTTCACATCGACTGGGTTATTCTTTCTGCATACTTCTTATGACTCGTTTTCTTCTTTTGGATAGCGTTGAATTCGTCCCCAGATGCGGAAGATAAAATAGCCTAAAAAACAATACTTTCTTTATTGTATACCAATGTTAAAAAGAAAGAATACCTTGTTGAATTTCTTGAAACAGACAAATAAAGATGTAAATTCAAATGTTTATCGAGGCACTTTATTTGAACTACAAACAATGGAGTCCCTGTCTACTATGACCAACATGACACTTGAACATGTCGGTGGCAAAGGCGATGGCGGGATCGATCTGAAGGGGCAGTGGTTAGATGCCAATGTTGTGATTCAGTGCAAAAATACAAAGCAAGGATGTACACCAGACCATATTCGAGAATTAATGGGGACTGTATTATCAATGACTCCTGCTCGTAAAAAGACCATTGGAATTTTATCGATCAGGAGTTGTAAGCCATTTACACGTGACGTGATTTCACTGTTTAATGCAAGTCCGGTGCCTCTTGGCCTGGCCACTGTGCAAGAAACAACACTCAAGTCACTCATGTTTAACAAGAAGGCACAGGCCATCCTTAAAGGTTTGACTATTTCAACACAACATGATCCAGAAGGCAATGAAAGACTGTTTATAGACATACAACAATAAAAAAGATGATTGCATTTTATTAAGGATTACAATAATGCACTTTCAAATGTCTTCTCATGTTACTCTGTACACTAAATCTTTTTCCGCAGCCTGGTTGAGGGCATACATGTGGCTTCTCTCCTGTATGCGAAAGAATATGGATTCTCAAGGAAGAAGGTCTTGAAAATGTCTTTTGGCATTGATTGCATCTATATCTATTGTTGCTGCTATTGTTAGTGATAGCCACATGTGATGAAATATCAGACGCTGCTCTTCTATGGAGTATTGTTGTGGGTTGTTTATCAAAGGAACAGTCAGAAAATGATCGGTTATGCGGTGGGCGAGGAGGATGCAGGGGTTCAGGTGCGAATACGATAGGTTCTCTAGTGCGAACATTATCTTCTGATTTCCTATTTCCCTCCCAGCCCATAAGTGTAGGCCTAAAGGATTTAAAGGGTGTCTGAGTTAAAGAAGGAGTTGGTGGAGAGAGCATATCTATTGATTATTAGTACACTGGCTACATAGCAACAAATACCTTTTGATGGGTCATGAAGCATGCTTTGAATTGAAGGAAGATGCACTTTGCTGCTGTTCATAGAGAAAGAAAGGGAAGAAAATAAAAGGGAGAAAAAGAGAGAGAAAGAAAAACATTCTCATTGTACATCTATCATTTTACCACTTTTTTAAAAAAGCAAAGAAAGAAAGAAACAAAAAAAAAAAAAAAAAAAAAAAAAGGACTCTTGCATGCAACAATAAAAGCAAAAGACGATCAAGGAGAACAATTTACGATGTATTTTTATTTTTATTTTTGATTATTGCCTCTTCATTTCTCTCTCTCTCTTTTTTTTTTTTTTTTTTTTTGCTAATTCTTATTGAAACACATAGAAGGAAAAAGAATCATAGGATGTTGTTCATGGGATCAAGTCTAAAGATAACAATTATTGTGTTGTACAACAGAAAGATCGACAACATTTGTCATGCATAGAATGACTTGCTTTTTTTATTAGACATTAGATATCGCTTTATAAAAGAGGATCACCGCTCAGACCAAAACTGTTTGGATTATGTAATATAGATGCCTTAGACATAGAACATTATTTGGCTGAGCAGTTGGTACATATATACAGGTAGCACTAAGCGGGAGAGCGGTAAATAATCAAAAATTAGTTTGCATTTTTGTACGACTCTATTGAGCCAGTTTGTACATTTGAATTAATATACAACAGTTGAACTTAGGTTGTTTATCTTCAAACTTGCTATGATACATATAATACTGTGCGTTTGCAGAAACAAGCACCGGATAGACGAGAAGTCTTTGTGTTTTCCTTATTTGGGATTGACATTTTCTATGATCCAATTTGTTCCAATTAAATCAATATACCAGTCTCTTTGCTAGCTTCTGCATAAAATTGATTCAGTCTGATCTTGAGTGTTCTTCTGCCAATGGATTCGTCCAGACTGTAAAGTAGTATGGTCAAATTTGAGTGTATCTTATTATCAACTTTAACTTTTATCCTCAATGCGTCTGATCTGGTACTGTCTAACAGGAAATCTACATCAATGTCCTCGATAAGCTTCTTAGGGTGTTAATCTCTTTCTCCCTCTCTTTTGTATAATTCATCTTTATCTTGGTGGTAAATCAACAGAGAAAAATACTCTGCTTACTCTAGAAAGCAAACATTCCTGTTTAAGTGGATTGCTTTTGAGTAGCTATCAGCTATTCGGTAAAGAAAAAAAAATATAACAAAAAAAGGTTTACTTAACTAAAGCATTTTTTTTTTCACTAATTAATCGCACTTGAAGCAATAAACAAGTACAAGACATACCCACTCTCTCTTTCACTTTGTTGCTTATTTAGAAAACAACTTGTTCTTGTTATATTGAATCATGTTGTACAATCGATGACGATTTTCCTTACTTAAAGAGTCCGCTACAAACATCTCTGTATCTTATTTTTTTTGTAAAAAAAAAAAAAAGTAACAAGTTCGTTAAAAATACTGCTTTATACCAGTCAAAATGTCAAGACTTTTACTTTAAAAAAGAAGAAAGGGGCTTATGAGAGTAAAAAAACAAGCCTCCCCTTTTTTTTTGTTGCTTTTAAAATAGATATTTTTGACTTGTGTTACAGTTTCTAAAAATTCAAATAAAGGTGATAGGCCAAGCCCAATTTATTATATTTCTTTCTCTCTTTCTCTTCATCTCAAAAGAACAAAACAAGTCATCACTATGTCTGAAAACCTCATTGCTTCCCTCCAAGTTGGTCGTACTTCTCCTTCCATGACTGCTGAAGAATACAGAGCCCGTAAGGTTGCCCTTATTACTGGTAAGTTAACCATTGTTTGTTTTGCTTTGCCGTAAGCTTACATGGAGTTTAGGTGTTACTGGTCAAGATGGTTCCTACTTGACTGAATTTTTGTTGGAAAAGGGTTATGAAGTCCACGGTATTATCCGTAGATCTTCTTCCTTCAACACTGGTCGTATTGAACACATCTACAAGGACAGACACGATCAAGGTAAATATAATTAAAAGCGTGTTATTGGAGGCTTTGATTTCAAAGATCCGACAATCTATTTTTGACGTCAATCAGTGCTAATTGACGATCCCTTACTTAATTTAGGTGTCAAGTTCTTCCTTCATCATGGTGATTTGACTGACTCTACATGTCTTGTCCACATCATTTCTCAAGTCCAGCCTACTGAAGTATACAACTTGGCTGCTCAATCTCACGTTAAGGTCTCTTTTGATATGTCTGAATACACTGGTGATGTTGATGCTCTTGGTACACTCCGTCTTTTGGATGCCATCCGTACCTGTGGTCTTGCTGACCGTGTTCGTTTCTACCAGGCCTCTACTTCTGAACTCTACGGTAAGGTCGTTGAAACTCCTCAAAAGGAAACCACTCCCTTCTACCCTCGTTCTCCTTATGGTGTTGCTAAGCTCTACGGTTACTGGATTGTTGTCAACTACCGTGAATCTTATGACATGTATGCCTGTAACGGTATCTTGTTCAACCACGAATCTCCTCGTCGTGGCCGTACCTTTGTCACTCGTAAGATTACCCGTGCTGTTGCTGATATCCATTTGGGTCGTCAAGACTGTCTCTACCTTGGTAACATTGATGCTAAGCGTGATTGGGGACATGCCCGTGACTATGTTGAAGGTATGTGGCTCATGCTTCAACAAGACAAACCTCAAGACTTTGTCTTGGCCACAGGTGAGACCCACACTGTCCGTAGCTTTGTTGAAAAGGCCTTCAAGGTCACTGGCCGTAATATTGTTTGGGAAGGTGAGGGTGTGAATGAAATTGGTAAAGATGCAGATTCTGGCAAGGTCCGTGTTCGTATCGATCCTAAATACTTCCGTCCTGCTGAAGTTGATTTGTTGTTGGGTGATCCTACCAAGGCTAACACTGAATTGGGCTGGAAGCGTAAGGTTGACTTTGATGAATTGGTCACTGAAATGGTTGTTGCTGATATCGAAGGTGGTCTCAACTCTTCAACATTAATGTAATTTTAGATTTCATATTTAATTTAGTACCCATATATACACTCCATAAAAATAATTTGGTCCAGAACATAAATAAAAAGATATATTTGTAGCATATAGTGCCAAATGGTTTTACGGGGGAACTTTGGCAAAAAAAAAAAAAAAAAAAAAAAAAACTGTGCTACTTTGAAGGAACTTTAATATATCAACAAATAATATCATTCAACTGTTAACTGCTTCATATCATCACTTGGACCAATCAAATCTGTTTCTAAACGTGCCTATTTCTCTTTAGACGAATTGAAGTATACAAATTCGTGCTCTAAAGAAAGACTTGCACAAAGTCATTGACACGAGTCTCCGATTTCTTCCCTGCTTTCTACTTCTTCAGTTCTACAGAAGTTTCTTTTAGCGGGACTAATCAAGTGAATATGTATGTAACTGCCAATGTTCAAAGACTTGTATTACTTGATACTTCTTTTTTTTTTTTTTGTTTCAAAAGCTCTAATCGCTTCTTGGCAACCAAAGACAAAAAGCAGAAACCTTGTCTTTTGGAATACAATATCTTTGTTTGTCTGTCTAGTTTATCGTTTGTTATATCTTGAGAGTATTTTTTCTTGAGGAATGACAATGCGCTTTTTCGTTTCAATTAGTCATATATATTGAGCAAAATAAAAAAAAAATGACTAGAAAACGAATTTTGGTTGGTATTATCTTTATTCTATGTAATGATTCAAGTGTAAGCTAACATAAATTGCTTTAAAAGAGTTACCTTACAAAAAGAATTGAAGTTAGCCGATATTAATAGAAAGGTCAACCAGCTTATAATCAAGAAAGAAGTCAGCCGTCATGGTTTACTCAATTGAAGCAGATATCTCTCTGTTCAGCTTTATTTTGAGAATAGATTTACTATGTATGTAGGCGAAAAATAGCTGATATACTTTAAGTCTTGGCTCAAGTTAAAAAGAAGTCTGAGTTTAAATGAGTATTCTCATGTCAAAAACTAAAATAAAAAAATCAAAGAATTTAGAAATTCACCTTTCTTTCGTCCAAAGAATTTTTTAGTACGTTGGTCTGGTCACTCTTGGTGGTGTTCCGGATTTTGCTATAATCCCTTGTGAAGGACTGTATCTCTTAGGTATCAACAATTGTGTCAAGTGCCAAGTAATTGAAGACATCCTGGAATGGTGTCCTTTACTTGTGGTATTGGTATTGCCATCTGCAGCATTGAACAAGACAAGATATAAAGAATAATGGCTCTCAGGAGCAACGAACAAAACACTTATTATAATCTTTTTAAGACATACTAATGAGTAGCCCAGATGACGGTTATTTTCTTTGGGATTATATAAGACTCATATAATGGTACTGAATGCTTCCACAAAAGCATTGTTTTAAAGATATTTCATATGACTAGTCACTTTGCTTCACATACACTAGTTTCCATTTATACGATGATTTTATTTTTCCAAATAAAACTTTCATCCAATACATAATAAAAAGAAAATCCGAAATTCAAGAGAAATGATGGACTAAAGTGTTTAAAAACGAAGAGCTATCAAAAAAAGCGTATTAACAGAGATAATATATGTAAATAGGACGATTTTTTGACTTTTTCTTTGATGTGTGCTCAAACATAGGAAACTCAAAAAACGGGAATTAGAAGACAGAGATAATGGTTTAATTTGAAAAACACTCGCTACCAATACACTTTTGGTGGTGTTATGCTAATAGATTGTTTGTAGTTTATTTTGTAGGTTTATTTAAGAAATTTCAGGCTATGATTTAAGATTGCACAATAAGTTTGATGCTCGAAAAAGGCACACATTGAGCATCAAAAGCATATTAGGTGTGTAATGTATCAAATGGAATCAAAAGTTATTTACTAGTTACAAAGTATGTATATCTTTAATTATATGGATATCCTTCAGATGCTAGTGATAGTTCTTTTGTATGTCAACAACTATTGACAGCCGTTCATTGTCCGAGGGGCTAGAACAGCCAATGAGGTCGGAGTCCTATTCAAATGCAGGACTCGAATGATTCGTTCAAAGATGGCTTTAGTCATCCTCTAACAAATTAAAATGAAAATTTTTTCTGATTTTATTCTTTCAACTTCTTTTTTCTCTTTCTTATATTTTCTTTTCTTTAATCTCATAAGAAGAAAAGAAGTTCACATTTGCATTAAAATAAGCCAATTGTTTTTTTTTACATCTATTTTTGGCTTCTGAGAAAGACAGAGAGAGAGAAAGAAAGAAAAAGAGATAATAAAGAAAAAAAAACATGACTACTGCCATCCCCTTTCCTTTACGTGATCCTCAAATAAAGGACGACGGCAAACCCAAGCAGTTTGCTCCCAACTTGAACGTCAAGTTGATTTGTCCCGATTGTCGTATTGACCCACCACAAATTGTCGAAGAATTCGCCTCGGGAGACTTAGTTTGTGGTGATTGTGGTCTCGTTTTGGGTGATCGTATCATTGACACGCGTTCTGAATGGAGAACCTTTGCTAATGATGAAGGCGATGTATGTATTAAAATGATTTGTCTATATATAGTTTTAATTCATATGATACACACTCTGTTGTGTGCATAGGATCCTTCTCGTGTGGGTGCCGCAGCAAATCCATTGTTGGATGGTAATCAACTGGATACTGTGATTTCCAGAAGAGATGGAGGCTCTGGAACTGCCAAGGACTTGAATAAAGTACATGGTCGAGCCACTGCTGTCAAAGGGGAACGCAATCTTGTCCAAGCTTACAAAGAGATCAGCGCAATGTGTGACTCTATTTCACTTTCAAAGATTGTTAGCGATACTGCCAAACAACTCTATAAACGTGTGGAAGATGAAAAGTTACTTCGAGGCAAATCAAGTGATGCTATCATTGCTGCTTGTATCTTTATTGCTTGTCGTCAAGAAAAAGTAGGCCGTACGTTCCGTGAAATTTGTGCATTGACTCGTGTGCCAAAGAAGGAAATTGGCCGTTGCTATAAATCACTCCAATCCAAGCTTCAAACAAACACATCCATCATGAATTCTGAAGATTTAATGCTTCGTTTTTGCTCCAATTTGCAATTACCAAATTATGTTCAAAAGGCTGGTATTGATCTCGTGAAACATGCCAAGGAACATGGCACACTTGCTGGCAAGTCACCTATTTCTGTTGCTGCTGCCTGCATTTATCTTGTTTCTTACCTTTATCGCCAACCTAAATCAACACGCGATATTGCTCATGTTGCTGGCGTTTCTGAAGTCACTATTAAAAGTGCTTACAAGTCGCTTTATGCAGAAAAGGAAAGCTTGGTTGATATTGAAGCTTTAAGAGCAAAGCCTAACGGTGAAAACTTGAGCTTTGAAGACCTTGCTTTACCTTAACCAATCTATATACACATATACACATACGATTATACATATATACACACATACATAAAAAAAAGATATATATTTAATGTAAATAAAAAAAAAGGAAGTTTATTTTAAGCAGGTGGCAGAGTAGCTAGTCCTACTGGAATAGGAGTATTGTATGCATAAATATAACGATTGTCTTTTCCGTAATAGTAAAGTAAATCATCCGCTGTATTTTCTTGTAAAATACATCCACCTGCACTGACTGAAGGCCTGTTACCATTAGAGAAGCAGTAACATTCATAAAGTATGTTGGCAGTGCCAGTTTGGATCACATCGTATTGAAGCCCAAAGAATTGGAAGTTGTTACCTGATCCTGCTCGACAAGCATTTGAGCAACTAGCATATGGAATAACTCCAGTTGACGAAAGGGTTATAACACCAAGGTTATTATCACTATAACAGCTTGGAATCAAGGGCGATGTAGTTAACGTGCTTGTGGTGACTGTAGTAACAGTAGTGGATGCAGTAGTAGTAGTTGTGGTTGCTGAAATAGATATGATAGTAGTTGGTGTAGTGATTGTAGTTGATTCAGTGGTAGTGGTAGTTGTCGGTAAAGTAGTTGTGGTTGCTGAAATAGATGTGATAGTAGTTGGTGTAGTGATTGTAGTTGATTCAGTGGTGGTGACCGTGGTTGGTAAAGTAGTTGTGGTTGATTCAGTGGTAGTGACAGTTGTCGAAAGAACAGTTGTTACGGGCTGTAATGAGACTGAAACACTTGTTACTGTTGCTGTTGTTGACTGTGTAGTGGTTGTTGTGTCTGTCAGAGTGTTTGTCAATGTCGTTGGAGTGGTTACTGTTTCTGTAAAGCTGGTGGTTGTGGTGTAAGAGGATGTTTGTGTAATTGTGATCGAACTGATATCAGTAGTAAAGGATGTATCGGTGGCGGTTGTGGTGGTAGTAAGGGTGGTAGGCTCTGTAGATGTGGTGGTCACTGTTTCCGTTGTTGTAGAACTCAAGGTCAATGTTGTGCTTGAAGTCTCTGTCGTAGGCACTGTCAATGTTGTCGTGTATGTTGACGTCGTACCGCTTTCTGTAGTTGTGACAGTTTCAAGGAGGGTGGTGCTATAAGTGGTGGTGTCAACACTTACAGAAGTCACTTCTACTGCCGATATTTCTGTCAATGTATTTGTCACAGGCAACAATGTTGTTTCTGTCAATGTAATTTCTCTCAAAACTTCAACAGGCGAGATTTCCGTAGTGACATATGTACTCGTCAGAGTCGTAGGAACCACCGTGGTAACATAAGAGGTAACAGTAACTGATGTTTCATCTTCAACCACTGTTGTATACGTCGTTTCAAAAGTGTATAGGGAGACATCCGTTGTTGTGTAAGTTGTTGTACTTCCTGGGTAAGTATTATAATAAACAATTGTGGAAACAGTTGTATACGTAAGGACCGATACCCTAGGATCTTGAGTGACAGTAACCGTTGTATCTCTTTCTGTCACAGTGACTGTATCTGCAGCAATGCGAACCATCTTAGGCACCACAAGAATATCTTCAAAGACAGGTACATCATCATAGACATGTTCTGAAAGTGCTCTGTAAAGCGAGCCGTCATCCATATGATGTCCTCTCTTTTGGAAGGCTGAGGTGGGTCGATGGCTGTTGAGGAGGCGAATAGCTGCCGTGCCTTCACCGTAAGGACTTGTTGCCTTGATCGTGATGTTGTGAGAACCTTGAGACAAGTCAAAAATACCTCGACTAAAGCGTTCATCCACCAGACCTTCTTCAGGTGTATCAGCATAAACAGTCTTGTCATCAATAAAATCAACATCGGAAGTAGAGCCCAACGAAACACCATTCACGAATACTTCAAATGTATCACCTCGGTTCTTGTAATCAACCACTTGAATATGAGCCGTGTCTTGTACCTTAACTTGAAACGTTTCACCTGCAAAAGCAGAGTTGCCTTGCCAATGAAAAGCAGAGAAGTCATCTTGTAATGAGACCACAGGTGCGCTACTTTGATTAAGAGCGATATTTGACGCATCTATCAGAACTAGACTGGCTAATGATAGGCAGAAGGGAGTTAGGGTCCTCATGTCTTTATTGAAGAAATGAGGGGAAAAAAAAGATAAGGCAAAGCATTGATTTAATACGCAAGATTTAGAGTTTCAAAGAATGTCATATAAACCTTTGTAAAATACACAGAAAGGCATTTTGTTTAGGTTTACTTGTATGTGCCTTTTAAATCAAAGGAATGATATACATACGCTTATTTATTTAATTAAACCTTTTTTTTTTTTTTTTTATTGTTATTAAAGATACCAATTCAAAATACGACTTTTAAAATTAAATACATGCACCAAGCAGGTTAAGCACACATTGAGTGGTGATAGTGAGTGTAGTAGTAACTGCGGAAGTAACTGTGGAAGTCAAAGTGTTTGTGACAGTAGGAGTGGTCGTGGAAGTGATAGTATTGACAAGAACAATCACAGAAGTAGAAGTAATGGGTGCAGGTACAACAGAGGTGCTAGTCGTGGTAATGGTTGTCGTGGTAGTGGAAGGAACAGTGAGCGTGCCGGTAGCTGTGATAACATTGGTAGTAGAAGTCACTGTGGTAGTGGTCGTTGTTGTTGTTGTAGGCGTCGTGCTGACAGTCGTTGTTGTTGCGGGAACAACCAATGTTGTTGTGGTACTGGTTGTGGTTGGAGTTGTTGTCAACGTAGTCGTGAGCGTGATAGATGGACTTGTGGTAGTAGTAATGATTGTAGTCGTATCAATTGTAGCAACAGCTGCATTCGGAGCCAGTACAGTGATGGTCAGGGTGTCCAAGACTACTGTTGATGTTGATGTCACTGTAGATGTGGTAGGAGTGGAAACAGTCGCTAAAGCTATGGTAGTGGATGTTGTTGGCTGCAAGCTGACAGATGTAGTCGTCAATGTTGTTGTAGTGGTAGTAGCGGCACTAGGAATAGAGAAAGATTTGAACCTGGCTATGATAGTGTTTGCACCTGTTGTAGTAAATGTGGTGGTTGAAGAAAGTGTAGTCAATGTCGTATAAGTAGATGTGCCTGTTGTTGTAGAAGGAGAGAGCGTATCAGAAATGACTGTTGTGGTTGAAGTGAACGTAACATCCGATAAGGTTGTGTAGGTTGATGTGATAGTGGTAGAAGAAGGCACTGTGGTGACATAAGTAGTAGGCACACCAAGTATATCTGATGTAACTGTCGTAAGAGAATCACTGCTGCTTGTAAAAGTGGTCGTATACGTAGTAAGAGTAGGTGTGGATGTTGTAAAAGTGCTTGTGTATCCTGCATCAGCTAATACGAGTGTGTCTACAGTAGAGGTAGTCGTGCCTGTGGTAGTAGCGACACTATCCGTAGTACTGGTAATTGTGCTTGTGAATGATGATGTTGTTGTTGAAACGACATCAAAGGTGGCTATAGCTGCAGGTGCAAAGATAGTAAGTGTTGTAGTTGCAGTAACACCTAAATAGAAGTTTTGTTAGTAGAGTCAAATGACTAAAGCTCTTTTCTCTCTCTCTCTCTCTCTCTCTCTCTCTCTCTCTCTCTCTCTCTCTCTCTCTTTCCCACTTTACTGTTTGCATTTGCATTTGTGTTTCTTTGTCTCCAAAGGTTCCATTCATCATCAGAGTCATATTCTTCAAAATAATCATATTGGAAAGGTTCACCAGCTATGAATTCATCAGAGTCATCATCCTGGCGTCTGTTTCTATAGAAAGCAACATCTACGGCTTGATCCAAGACACGGATAGCTGCAGTGCCTTCATCAAAGGGCCCTTTGGCCTTAATTGTGATTCTATGAGGACCTTCAGTCAGACCAAAAACGCCTTTACTAAAACGTTCATCATTCAAGGCTTCTTCAGGAGTAGAGGCATAACCTTCTTGATCTGGATCAACAGCAGAAGTAAAGCCGAGAGAAAGATCATTATCAAATACTTCAAACATATCTCCACGGTTTAAATAGTCTGTGATAAGAATACGGGTATTAGGTTGAGCATCAATAAAGAATGTCTCGCTTGCAAGTACAGCATCGCCTTTCCAACGGAAGGGAGTAAAGGCATCATTGGTTAATTCAACTGTAGAGGCAAATAATTCATTGGCTTCAAAGTCAGCATTGGAAGTATCTGCAGCAAAAGCAGAAAAAGCTAGCAAGATAGAAGACAGATAGAGCGAAAGGACTGGACGCATTCTTTCTTTCTTTCTTAATATCAAAAAGAGAAAAAAAAAAGAAAGAAAAGGGTATGAGAAAGAGGAGAATATGATTATGATTACTATAAGACAAGCATTTTTAAAAGTAGAGTGGTCGTTGATAGTAAAGACCACATATAAGAATGTGAATAGCTGGTTTTTCAAAACCTTAAAAAAATGAACGAGAACGTTGTCCAAAGACATTTCCATACTAAGCTTAACCTAAAAATTGTTACGACTTGATTACATGATAGTATATTTCAGTGGTACAAGACACAAATCTATGGTATGTAGGGCTATTTTATTAGATCACTCTGACTGTATAGACTGTTGAAATCCAACGTATTTTAAAACCTAGTCATTGTATTTCAAGGCAGATGTTGATATTACAATATGTTGATCATTCTTTATGTCCAGTGATGAAAGAATGACTGAGTCCTACAGCTTAAAGAATTTTACTCAAATAAAAGGACCCTTTTTTGTTATTATTGTTATAATTTATCCACTTCATAAGTTGAATGTTCAGTGCGTGTATGTATGTATGTTCTCTGTATGTACATTTGATGTGATTGGTATAAAGCGGATTAAGCAATTCTAGGTTGACTGGGTTCTGGTAAATCACCACCTCGAAAAAGATAGATCATTTCTTGAAGACCTAGACGAGAAGTGGGTGGACTTGATCCTTCACCTAAAACACCATCTGCAATAACCTATATATATATAAGAAACACATAAACACATAAACATACACCTATTGTTACCTGTTTCTTGTTTTGTAGTTCGAGAATACGATCTTCTACTGTATGATTGATGAATATACGATGAACCTCAACTGGCTTTGTTTGACCAATACGATGTACACGATCAATTGCTTGATTTTCAAGAGCAGGATTCCACCAAATATCCATTAGAATAACACGGTTAGCACATGTTAAGTTAAGGCCGAGAGAGCCACATTTAGTAGAGACCAACAGAACCTTGTATTCAGGATCTTCATAGAACTTGGAGACAGTGTCTGCTCGTTCTTTAATGCCCATGGAACCATCATAACGAAGGTATTTATGGCCTCTGTCCTTAAGTGGTCTTCCAATCAAATCAAGCTATGAAATCATCAGTCATTTGTTATTTATAACAGAAAGAATACATTACAAAAGCAGTGAATTGAGAAAACACAATCGTCTTGTCTTTACCGTCTGTAGAAGCAGCTGTTTCATCCAAGATATCAATCATTTTATTAATCTTTGCACTTGCAATAAATTCATGTGCTCGTTGTAAAGCTTCTTTTTCTTTTGTTTCTTCCTCTTGTTCTTGTTGCTGTTCAGCTTCCTTTATCAAACCAGGCGCATTTACCTTAATAAAAGCATCTAAAGAGACCATACTCTGCTTGCTAATATCACCACGACAATGAGGACATCGTTTTGTGCTGCTATCATCATTCGTATTCAAGAAGCTATCAAGACATTCTTTACAGAGAATATGACCACAGTCTTTAGCTATTTGAGCATCTTGTGCAATATCCAGACAGATAGGACACTCAATTTCAGAAAGTGTGGCAGAACTACTCAACAAACGCTGAACAACTTCTGGCTTCATCTTCTTGGCCAATTCTTCTTGTTTTTCAGGGTCGGCTTCTTCTATATCACCTTCAGTAAATGTCAGGTTAGGATGCAGACATGCTTGACGAAGGCGCAACAAAAGCACCAAGACAGACGAATAATTCTTCATGACAGAACCAGCTTGTAAATACTTGTTGAAACGAGCTTGAGCTCTTTGTTCCACAAAATCGTAATGGATTCTTTCATCAGGCGAGAAGTCAACGTGTGTCATATGGATATTTCTTTCAGGCAAATCAAGAATAGGCCGGCCATCAATCTTGGCCTTCTTGGATCGACGAAGGGCAATAGCCTTCATTAGTACATAAGCAACACGTATTGCCTTTCGATGGCTGCCGTCTTTCATAGGCTTCACAATCGCATCTCTGAATTCATCCCAGTCACAGAAGGGTCTGATACGCAAGAATTTGATGAGTGAGTACAGTTCATCTACTTTGTTTTGAATAGGCGTAGCTGTAAGGCACCATCGATACGTAGCTTCAATTCGACAACTAGACAACCTATAAATTACCTTGTTTGTTTTTTTAGCACTTACCATCCACGCGCACCCAGTGTTTGTTTGTTTTTGATTGTATGCGCTTCGTCAAGGATGACTCTATGGAATCGAATATAACTTAATGGACCCTTTTGTGTCTCATGAAAGTTGTTTGCAGTAACAGAATAAGAAGAGATGATGACTAACAAAAGAGTAAGCTAATGATGACCCTAACAAGACAATTACCATCATATTGAGACAGTTCATAAGGATTGTTTGATCTTTGAGAGCCATGATAGACCAACACTTTGAGACGAGGTTCTGTCTTTTCTTGTATTTCTCTTCTCCATTGATCCATAAGAGACACAGGGCAGACAATCAAGGTTGCTTTGACCCGAATCTCTTCAGTTGGAAGTTGTCTGGGTCTACAGCGAAGATAGGCAGGATCCAATTCAGTCAGTTCTGTACAAGGATTCTGAATAATGATAGCTAATGCTTGAATTGTCTTGCCTAGACCCATATCATCTGCTAAAATACCACCCTTGTTGTTTGAATTCTCCATCTTGACCATCCATTGTAAACCAATCTTTTGATGTTCAAGCAGTTCAATTGACAATCCTCTAGGCGTGCCTGTTCTGTCTTTAGGTGGTGGTGGATTATCATCGACTACATTCTCCAACAAATCACGCAATTCTCTTTCTGTTTCTTGTTGTGATAAGGGTCTTGCATGGTTTGGATTAGCATAAGGATTGCCTTGTTGTCTAGCAATGTTGGTCATATGACAAGAACCAGCGTTCGCTTGTGAAGCAGAAGAAGAAGAGGAAGCATAAATGGGAAAGCGAGATCTTGCCTGTAAGGGAGGAAAATGAGATCCTGCTTGAGAAAGAGGGGAGCCATGACGAGAAAAGAGTGGAATCAAATCACGTAAACCATCAGGAAAGCCAGAAAGACCATTATTTGCGGTTGCTTTCGTAGGCCTCATTGGATTGTATGGCACAAAAGCAGGAGACACATTTAAAGGAGGCATATTCAAAAAAGACACTTCAGGCTCATCATCCGATATTGTCTCAATATTGTAAATGCTATCTTCCGTTGTAAGATCAATACAGTCTTCATCGTCAATGACTTCAATGGCTTTTTTGCCTTTATAAGTTGGTTCTAGTTTAGGACGTTTTGCTTGGTGACTTGAAATATCAAGATTAGCCGTTTGATATTGTTTGCCTTCTTCTTGTAGTTGTTGTTGTAATTGAGCAGCCAATTCAAAATCTCGTTTGTTGGTGTTATTCTCTATTCTTTCTACAAGTTCTCTTTGTGCTTTGATCTCTTCCACATTAATACCCAACGTGGCGAGATCACTAGGATCTTCAAGACCTGCTTCAACAAAGAAAGCATAGGCATCATCATCCAAATAAATGCTGTTATTGATGTTTGATCCAGCTAATTCTTTACCCTTGTTGTTGCCGTTGTTGTTGTCCTCAACTGTCAAATCAAGTACTTGTCCTGAATCATTCATATTGTCTCTTGATATGTCAATAATAGGAACACCTTCTACTGAATCAGTGTCAGAGATTTCAAATACTTGATATTCAGGACTATTCATAGTGTTGCTTGCAAGACAAAAAAAACAGAGTCAAGTTTCTATTGTTAAAGGCTGCGGTCGGCGATTAAAATACGTGTTTTTTTGTTCTACTACAAAACAAAAGAGTCATGCTTATCTGTATTCTTAAAGACCATCTTTATTCTTTTTTTTTTAGAAAGAAGAATACATCTCCATATTATATATATATATATATCTTCAAATAAAATGTAAATAATCAAAGAGGAAATGATGCCTTTTCAGACTGTTGACAGGCATTTTTTAGATTGTTCATAAAAGTGGGCACACCTGTCTTTGCAGCCCAATTTACTACAGATTTTGGGATATTGCCCTACAGAACGTTCTAGATAGGATCAGACTTGTATGAACTTACTTTAGGATCTTCAAAGTAGTCCATCAACACACAACAGCCATTGTAATGTGATGTGATGCATATATGTTGTTCATAGCTGTCAATACGAATTACGTTTTTTTGTTCAGGATAACAATCCAAAGGTAAAGATTGGCCCAAAATGACTTGATATTCTTTATCATCCCTTATGACGATTCTATTTTCAATGATATACGTATAATCCCGATGAGCTAATGGCCACGGATATTTCATATGGAAATGAGTGGCTATCTCGTCTTCAAAGTCAAATAGTGTATAGGACTCCATATTCTTATCCCACTGCTTCCTATAATCAAGATCAAGATAGACCTTGGCTAATGTGTCTGGCCTTATATCATCCCAGATCCCAATCGATCGATATCGGTATAAACCTTTATCAAGCACTGGCTGACGATAAATACTGAATTCATCTGTCTTTAAGTAAAATTCCCAATTGTCTCTTGATTGGTTTCTGAATTGGTCTAGAAAGTCTATAAAAGACGCTTCAGTAAAGAAAGGCATACACAACCATATCTTGCCCCTTCTTTTTTTCTTTTATTTATTGTGACTTTATAACATAGACACGTCTCTTGTCTATGAACAATGGTTGGATGATAAATTATGATGCTACGCATATTACATATTTGATTCCAATTTTGGACTGTTTTTTTTAATTGTAAGGTGACACTGCATTATAGCTTTTTTTTTTTTTTTTTTTTTTTTGGTACTTGTCATGATGATTTTTTGAATATGTCATATTGATGAATAAGATAGAAAGAATCCATTGTGTATATAAACCCACATTTTATGCTAGTTTTATTTTATTTTTCTTTATTCAATCTTCATCTAATTGATTAATTAAATAAGAAAAAAAAATGGATTCTCAACAAGCCAACATTAGCAGTTTTGTTCAAGACGGTTATGTCCGTGGTTCTTGGATTGCTTTCTTTACTCTCTGGGTTCTCTGGGGTCTTTCTTACTTTATTCGTCATGCCTTTGGACGTACTGGTTATCCTACCAACACAACAAATGCTGCTACTGCAGAAGATCCGGAAGCACAAGCAGCAACAGCGGGTACGACGGGTAAAAAGAAGTTTGGTTCTGGTATCATGAACAGTTCCATGGCTGATCGTTTGGCCAGATCCCATGAGATTTTGTTTGAAAACACCTTGTTACTCTTGTCTGTCTTGGTCTTGAACACATTGGGTGTTGGTTCTACTCGTGCTGTTATGATTTTGGCCTGGATTTTCTTTGCTTTTACTGCTTTGGATGCATTTACTGAAATTGGTGTCAACCATCACTTTATTCGTATGGTCTTTAATCTCTTGTTCTTCGCTGTCACTCTTGCCATTGGTGGTCTTGCTTTCCATTACGGCTGGCACCACACTACTTCTGTCTTTTAAAGAAATTATCTAGTAGTTATCTAATCTTTTTTTTCTTTTCTTTTTACTTATGCTTATAATCCCTTAATATTAATAAAGTCCTTATTTTACTTTTACATCTATTGTATGAAATTGACATCTGACGTTTTTTTTTAATTTCCAAACAAAGGCAAACTATAATTTTATTCGCACATTTAGCATGAATTCTGGTTCACCATGACAACATTTTCAAAAAAAACAACGCCACTTTATTATCTGGCATTACGTCTGGTTTTGTTCACTTCTTCATTTGTATGATATGAAAATACCTCCTTTTTTATCATTAAAATCCAAATAGAACATTTGCGAAATAAATTAAACAAAACAAAAAGGGGGCTGTTTCTTTGAATATTTAAATTAACCTTTTTTTTTCTTTTTTGGAAAGTGAACAAAATGACTTTCATGCTTGCTTTGTCCTACATTGTCAAACATCAAAGAAAATCCTCTAAATGGTAATTTACGTTACAGAGATATAAACCTTATTAATCTCAATGGTAAGTGTCGTTCTGAAACATATAAGTGGATAGAAAGCAGTATTATCATGGATGTAATAATAAAGATTTCACTAAACTGAGTTAGATGCAGTAAAGTAAATGAGTTGACGTAATATTTAATAAACAGAGGATCATCTTTTTACGTTTATCATGCAAAATAAAAATAACTCTTTTTTTTGTAAGACATAAAACCATGCTTGTCCAGGTTAAGTACATAGCGTCTTTATCAGGTTGATACCCTTTAATGTATGCTTTATCTTAAGAAGAGAGAAAAAAAAAGCCAGCCAAAGAATGGTGCGAGTAAACGCTTTTTGCGTTTTGATCAGTAACCCTTGCAGGTTTGAAAAATCTGTTTTCCTTAGTATCTTTCTGAAATAGAAACGTCAATAATTTTCATCAATAAAAGACTTTGCCTGAGCGATGTATCACGTAATTAAGAAGTCTTGACCAAGCAATTGGAACTTGTCAAGAAGAATCTGCTTATACCAAATTTTTACAAACATTTAGCTTCTTGTAAGTTATCATTCACTTTATTCTATAAGTGTATTCTAATTACATGCTTTTCTTTATAGACTTCACAGCTTTGAAAACTGGAGCAAGAAGCCTAAAGACTCTGAAGCAGAAAAGGTACGCAAAATAAATGAGATTACGATACTTGCTCTTATTTTCAATAAGATGCTTCTTGAAAACAATAGTTAGTTTTTTTTTTTTTTTTTTTTTGCTAAACATGATGAGTAGTGGTCTCAAGGAACATTGCCTCTTCCTCCTCTTTCACTTCTGGCCGTAAAATCGATCTTCTGGTGGCTAACGAAGATGGCGACGAACTTGCTTTCTGCGAGTTCAAAGCCAACAACAACACGACTTTAATACAGCACCAACAAAGCAAGAGCCTCCGGCTCAATCAACAGATCCTGATGAAGATGAAAAGAAGATCACTTAATGAGCAATTGATTTTCTTCAATGGGAAAGGTAAGTAGAAAAAAAAAGTTTATCTCAAATCATGCTCACTTTATCATAGGAAACTTTGGGCGCTTTGTTGTGTTGGAAGAAACTGGAGAAATCTATTGTAGCCGCCCTTCTTCAGCCTTCATTGTATCTCATAACATTCTCCAACTAGATGATGATACAATCAAGGCATTCATCAGTTGGAAGGTAATTGAGTCTGATTTGTTTATCACTTCTAACAGCTGTCTTCACATCATTTAGAAACATTTGTTGCTGGTGAACAAGAAGTTGGTTGCGGCAAGCAACAAGCCAGAGAGAGAAGATGTGGGTATTTACCCCAATACCTGCTTCACAATTGTGAATAAAAAAGAATAACCCTTTTAGCTATCAAACATACTGTACTTTGTTTTTTGTAACCTTTTCTCTTTTTGATCTTTTAATCAAAAATAACATTCATCAATACCAAGTATCAAGGAAAATAGACCAGTTTTTAGAAGATGAAACGTATCAAAAGTTTTTTACTTGAAGGGGAATAGATAACCTGTTCTTACTGTAACAGCTGCTTTTTGTTTTCTTTGAATACAGCTTGATAAAAGTATATGTTGATCATTTGAATAATCAAGAGTTTATTTTAATCGTTTCTTTTCATAGTTAGCACAAGTTGTGCAAAACCTTGTTTAAAGCCAAGAGAAGACTCTCTTGAAGATGGTTCTCCTTGTAACAGGTCTTCATGAGCGTATTCATTTATAGGTAAAACCGGTAAATTATTCAGCCCATCTTCACTACTATAACCAGATAATAATGGTTGACATGCTGGTAATTTCTCTTTTGGTCTAGGAATAGGATCAGTCGGCTGATAAGGAGCAGAAAACAAAGCCGAGATACGGTCTTGCTCGTCTATCCAATGTGCACAACACAATCGTTCATCCAAAGCAATCCATTGTCTACCTGATCTTTGAACAAACCGTCCTCTCGTGACAAAACTATCAAAGTAAGGCCCAGAACAAAACGAACATGTCTGCTGTCGACTGAAATAGTCTGATAAATGACTAGGGTATGGTATTTGATATTTGACGATTTGCCGTGCACATATCTCTACAAGACGAGGTGGATCATGGGCTCGTGTATGCATGAATTCTGTCTTGAATGAACATCCTTCTACTGTGAGTTTTCGAAGTGATTTGAGGGTGGCTATTTCAGCTGGTATAGAACAAAGTGGGTTATGGGATACGTTGAGTGTGATCATGCCTTTCAGTTTAGCAATTTCTCGAGGTAGATGTGTAAACTGGTTATGGTTCAAGATAAGCACAATCAGACTCGGTAAGCTGCCAATGCCTTGGGGTAGTGTGCTTAATTTGTTATGACTCACATTGAGTGCTTTGAGTTTAGGCAATATGGTGATACTGTCTGGAAGGTATTCTAGCTGGTTTTTAGATGCATTTAATACACGTAGGTTCACAAGTTGTCCTAGTGTTTCAGGTAGATATATCAATTGGTTTTTTGACCTATGGACCTAGTCAATGGAAGAGGCATAGATGGCATGGACTTACAAATCCAACTTGGTCAAGTTGTTCAAATGACCTATGCTTGAACTCAACTTGAACAACGATTTATTAGATACATCTATCACCAATGAAGATACAAGTCGATTTTTCGGATTGATTTCACCAATCGTTAATTTTGACCAGCCTTCCTCATCCTTCAAGGTGTCTGTGTCACCCTCTTCCTCATCGTGTTTGATATAATGAATCATGTCTGGATAATATGTCTTGTCAATGTAATCCAGATCATGAACAAGGTTTTGATGTAATGGGCAATTTGCATTGATTTGTTTTGAACAATGATGGCAAGAAAGTTCAAGTTGATATAGATGAGGATGATCTAATACAACATCATGGCTAATTTCTAGTGTATTTTCCTCTTCTTGTTCTTGTTGTTGATTTATATAGCCAAATATGATGGGTATATCTGATTTACTTGCATGTTGGCCCATCTTATGTTGAAGGAAAAAAAATAAAAAATAAAAAATAAAAAGATAAAAAAAACAGACAAAAAAAACAAAGCATCACTTTTGTGATACTGTAGAGTTACACAATAAAAGCTTGGGTTGCTGCAACGACTTCCTGCTGTATTTATTATTAGAGACAAGACTTGAATTCAGTCACAGTACGCTGAAGTTGACGGTTTTGAGCTAATATAAAAGTGAATAAAGAGAAAAGAAAAAGATGATATTCTTTACCTAACACAGGTAGAATTTGATTCAACAAATCCCTTTTTAATAAAGTGCCCTATAAAAAATATAAGTTTCGTAATTGAAGATCAATCAACCATACCATGATTTTTGGTTCCCATTCAACAAGCTCTGAAGATCTAAATCAATGTCAACCAAAGTATCAATCAACAGCCTGAATTCACACTTACATAAAAGGTGGACCAAGCAGCCATTGACATAATTCTTTCACTTTTTCTGTTGCATTTTCCTCTGATAGTTTTCGAGCATAATACATCATCCAATCAACATATTCATGAGGTGAATTTAACAAGGCAGCCACAGCCAATTGTGTCTACATCTAAATAAATTGCTAAACATTTTCTTGTTCACTTACTTCAATATGGCTGATTGTAATCACTGCTGTTGTACTTTGATCTGCATTGGCTATATCCAGAATCAATTGAGCTGTAGGATCTACGCCTGTCATGATCATCTTTGACGCTAACCAACCCAATGGATGTGTACTATGAATACCAGAACCCCAAAATTCAGACACAATGTACCAAGCATCACTGATACGCAGCCAAACCTTCATATCAAGATGGTACACAAATGCCTGCTGTAGACTTGTGATTAAGATAGGCAGTCCATTCTTCTGAATCTGAATATCGCGGATACGAGGTGCTTTATGTACTTGATCTGATAACTGTGCAATCTGTAAGATGGGTCCAATGGAAATACCATCCAATACACTTTTGAAATGAAGTATGTCCCAGGTATACAACAAGCCTGTTGCTGTTAAACATACAAGCCACTGCGAACTCGATTGAAGTATCACTGCTGTACTTTCCATTATGATGGGTGGTAAAAGACGTCGACCTACAGGTGAATAGACATGAATCGAACCATCTTCACAACTCGCCACAGAGAAATGAGGGTTGCCTGTCATCAACAGGACAGGGCTCGACACATAATCCACCCATATCACTACACCTCCTCTTGTTGTGACTATTTTAGTTCGGTTGTGTTCATTGTTGCGACATTCCATCACGACAGTAGGATCATCAGGCTTTAATTTAGTCGTCAAGACAGATTGGATTTTGGGTAAGCCCATTTTGATTTGACTTTTAAGGACTGTAGGTGGCACAACAGCTGAATCAAGCCATTCAGGTCGAGTACGAGTACGATGACCATGGATTTCATTGTCTTCTTCTGTTGATTTACGTTTATGGCCCATGATAGTACTGGCAACACCTACTGAAGAAGAAGAAGCGGGTATGGAGACAGGATCATCGTAAATAGGGTTTACATCTGGCTGTCTTTGTACAGGTGGGGCTACTGTCTTTGCTGTTGTGGTAGTCGTGCTTAACATCATGGGTTGAATACGCTTTTTACCGTTCTTTGCAATCGTTACTTTTTGTTGTTCTAGTACGACTGAAGGTGGTTCTGGTTTCGAAGGCGGATTCGCAGGTTCTGCTTCTATCATGCGTGTATCGGTATCAAACGATACCATACTTGAATTGCCCGTCATTAATTCAGCAATGCGTTTTGAAGAAGACGCTTTAGCCACAATGGCATGGTCTTCTTCGAGTTCTAGTTGAACAGGTGTCTCTGGTAACTGTGTGTGTTTTCTGCCATACCCGTATTTCGATAGTTCTTTCTCAATCGCTTCATCTGCTGCCATATCTTGCAATTCTGCTTCCAGTTGTAAACAAGCCACTGTACCATCTTGTGAACAGGCAAACAAGCTCTTTCCATCCGGTGTCCAAGCAATATCGTATACATTATTATCAAAGATATCTGTGGCTACACAAACCGGTCGATTGAATTTCGTGACCCAGATAGAGATGCTTCTGTCTTGACTTCCCAAGGCACATACAGTCGCCAATGATTTCTCTTCTGTATCTTCCTTGTCTTTAAAATAAAATAGTTTAGGATTAAATGCAGCGACTTCGACGGGTAATTGATGGCCTACAAGAGAGACATCGGCATTCCAATGGTCTCGGTTGATGATGGCAGCAATACACTGAATTCCATTCACAGCATTGGCAGCAGCAACATGAGCACCATCAGGGGACCAACTAATAATAAAGCATATAAGCAATCACTTATAGCTTATTCTCACTTGCCTTAGTCTTCTAAATAATGTTGTGCCTGGTGCATTCACAAAGGGTTGGATCAAGTCTGTTTCTAATCCCCAATCAGAAGTTCGCCATACTTTGACCATTTTATCATCCGACTAATCTTATGAATTTGACACATCCTTGATGCTGTCTTACCTGTGAAGCAAGAAACTTGCCTGCTGGATCCCATGTTACTCCCTTAACAAACCCGCCATGTTGATCAATCTTGGTGACTTGATCTATGGGCATGTTTAATAAGACATACATACAAAAAAAAAATAGATATTGATATTTTACCAAAATTTGATCCATTCCATACAATCACAAATCCATCAACACCACATGAAGCCAAGTATTGATTGTCTTTAGACCAAGCCAAATCTTGTACATCAGATTCATGTCCTCTTAAATACTTGATGGCCCTCCATGTCTCATGATTGACTTCACTACTTCCAAATACTGAACCAATGGCTGCATTTCTGTCTTTTTCCCAAATAATAATCACATTATCATTGTCTGAACCAGAAGCTAAATATCGACCTTCTCGATGAGACCATCGTACACACAAGACAGCACCTAAATAATCCATCAATACTTGTCTTTTTTTTTTTTTTTTTTTTTTTTTTTTTTTACCATTATGCATTGTCATGGTACAGAGTAATTTATGACAATTGGGGTCTTGTTCGGCTTTTTCATCAAAAATAGGGTCTGTATTCCATATTTTGACATTACCATCTAGTATGGGGTTAGAGTGATAAAGAAGAAGAGCTGTTTACCTAAACTTCCAGTAGCAAGTCGTTTGCCATCAGGATGAACATCTACTGAATAAATACAAGGCTTCTTATTTCTAGCATCTTGAGTACGGTCTATTTTGAATATGAGTTTAGAAATAGAATGAATAAAGCCAAACCTCCATGAGAAACCCAGTCTGGTTTAATAATAATCATGACACAAGCACAATACGCGTTTGTATTGTTAATACAAAGAAAGGAAAAGAAGAATCTCTTTATTCACAGAAAAAAAAACCAAAAAAAATATTGAATGTGACTGTATCTCCAACAGAGAAAAGGCACAAGTAAGGGTAAATGGATGGTCTAAGAGAGAAAGAGAGAGAGGGTTTAAATACATGAAAAAAATAAAAAATAAAAATAAAAAAAGAGAGAGAAAAGAGAGGAAAATAGATAAAAATCATGGATTTCCTTATTAAGAAGACGTGTTCCTGAACCTTTTTATTTTGTTGGTTTTCTTTTGAGTTTCGTTTGTGTCTTTTTGTCTTTTTTTACTTCTTCATCAAACTCATTTCTTGCTTAAAATGAGCGCTATCAAGATCAAAATTTTTGATTTGATTTTAACAATAGTATTTTTTTTTATTTAAATATGGCATTAAAAAAAAGCAATTCAAGAGACATTCTGAATTTTTCAGGTCTGTTGTCTATTCAAGACACAATAATAACAATGCAGTACACATAGTTTAATAAGATAAAGAAAGGAAAAGTAAAGAAGTATCGTCACTGTCAAAAATAAAATAAAATCATATTTTAATGTCCGGTTCGTTTTTTCCTTTTTTGGATTCTTCTTTTTCTCTGTAATTCAACCTATCTTTAGTGAAGGGATTGAAATGCTTATTATTCCTAAAAAAAGAGAGAGAGAGAGAGAGAGAAAGAAAGAAAACATATGTATATATATGATTCATTCAAGACAAGCATACATAGAGGGTGATTGCATTCATGGCCAATCAACAACAAACACACAGATGTATATTAATTTATTCTCAGCATATGTCTTTTTCTTTATGCCTTTACTTAAAACAATACTCTCCTTCACAGTTGCTTTTCAACTTGTAGCACTTTCTTTACAGTCTCAATATATCCAGGACGATTTATTGGCCTTTCCTCGTTACAATGTTGTCTTGACCCATGATAAAGTGTCTTCTTCCCATCTAGCACAGACCAATGTAGAGGCAAGTAAAGAACTTTTCGCCAACTAAACTGACAGTATACCTAGGTTGCTTCAAACAGTATTGTCATGATCTCTTCTTTAGGGCAACCCTTTTCATGCCTTATTCCTGATGTTCAGGTAGAACAAGAACGCTTAGCAAGAGAAAGACAAGAAGCAAGACAAGAAACAGCACAAGAACAGCAAGAGACGATTGCAAGAGGACTCAAACTATTAGAACCTCTGGAAGCCAACTGCATTCGTTTCTTTACTAGTGTAAGTCTATTCTCCTATAAAGGGATTTTGATTGATGATCCATAGTCGCATCAATACTGGGCTTATGAATACTGTCATCAACAATACGTACGTCAATTTCATGTGGAGCGTACTCATGATGGCAAAGTAGAAAAAGAACAAGAAACAGCTTCTTTTTATTTAGGTCATTACCCAGCTCAACCTGATCAGTCATCAGCCCCTACTGAACTTAAAAGTAAAGGTGATCAACGGTATTTAGTACAGACATGGAAAGACGGGTCTGAATGTGATTTAACAGAAAGACCTCGTACCATTGAAGTACAGGTAAAATCACAAATCCATCTTTCGTTATCTCACACTTGAAGCATAGTATCACTGTGATGTACAAGGTCAAGATCATGTCTCTAGTTTTGTTGAGTTATCTACTTGTCATTACCAGATTGTGATATCTACACCTCGTCTATGTGAAGAAATGAGTTTATCTCGTCGTCATCATACTGAACCTCATCAGATTACGTGTCGACCTATTGTCTCTGAGCATTTGCTTGAGCAGGACAAACAAAAACAAGAGCAAGAGAAATTAACAGTAGAACAACAAAAGGAAAGTGAAGTGCTTCCTCTTAAAGAAGAAGAAAAAGAAGAGGATTTATTAAGCATGATATCAGATCTCAAACAACAAGTCAATCAATTAAAACAACAATTGGATCAAACAAAGCCTGAAGTTGCTTATTTCACGGTAGACGACAAGGGCAATATTATTCCTGGCGTTGAATTAAGTCAATGGATCGGTCTTAAAGAACCCAAGCCAAAAGAAACAAAAGCACAAGAACAACATCAGAATCGACAAGCATACCATCAACATTACCTTGCTGTAGAATAAAAAGGAAAAGATTCAATGACCGCATCTATCTTTTTTTTTTTGTCTTTTTTTTTTTTTTTTTGTATTTCGAGTATGGGTGCTTCACAGTCTACAGTAAAAGAACCTGTTATTTTCTATAATCCCAATGTTCCTCTTCAGGTATAAAATCAATAGACTTATGTGTGTTTTTAATACTTGCTATTAGTTCTCTCATAGTTTAGTCGGGTCGATTGAGAAGAAGGCTGAACAAACAGCCGAAAAGATGGAAGCGCGTCATGTCGAATCAGTTGTGCGTCAACGTGTTGCTGAAGAATTAGAAAAGATACAACAAACACAAGCAGAATTAAAAGAATCTATTTATGTTGACTTGACTCAAACCAAGGCTGAAAAAGAAGTGGAAAGTGAGCCTATTACTCAAATGATTTCCAGGTAAGAGAAAGAGTAAAAAAAAAAAGTCTTTTTTTTATGTATCCTTAATGGCTGTTTAGACCCATGGCCAAACAGGTGCCTGAAAATATCAAGAAATACCAAGACGAATTGATGGCTTGTTACAAGTAAGTGGTTTATGGTTATCTAGATGAAATTCACACTCTATACAGTCAAAACAAGGACAAATCACTCAATTGCTGGAAGCAAGTAGCTGATTTCAAACAAGCAGTTGTTGAAGAACAAACTAAGCTTGTTTCTTCAATGTAACATAATAATAAACATCCATGTTATCAGGACAACAAAAAAAGACAGTCGTTCATGTGGCTTGTTCAAACTATAAAAAGACGAGTTAAATTCAGAAATTGTTTTTTTTCTTTGCATTTAACACCTACCTCTATCCTGTGGTCTTTCTTTTTATTCTATTCTATAGATTGTGCCCTTCGGGAAAGGTAGGATAGATTGACTTTTGGTTCGTACTATCCTGTTTGTAGAGAATATGCATGTATTCTTACTGTGGTAGTGAATCTATATATGTTAACAAAAATAAAAAAGAAAATGAAAAATATATATGTACTTTTTTTTTTTTATTTAATACAACCATTCATTATATGCTTTTAATAAAGTACGTTGATTGGTGCCTCTTCCTCCTTGAACATCTCTTTCCATCACAAAGATAGCATCTTGTACAGTCACTTTTCTTTCCTGTGTTTGGGATTTGAGTGGCTTTTTAGATCGATTTGAATACCATCCCATTTCCATGGGTTCATCGTCTTGTTCGTCTTCTTGTTGTTGAGGGTCTAAATCTAAGGCAGCTTGTCTTTCTACTTGTTCAATAGCTTCTAATTGTAACTTAACATTTTGTTTCACTTGAATCTTGAATAAAGGATGGCCTTCAGGTGTCATGGGTGGTTTTTTAAAAGGATTAAATTCGCGGTGTTTAGAAGCAGCCACCATAGCTTCTAATACAGTTCGAATACGATCTTGTGTGGCCAATGCCATATAAGACACAAAATCACTATCAATCTCTGTAACATCAACACATTTGGCTATATACGATCATTAGCCATATATATATATAGACACACACATACACAGAAAATTACATACGATACTTACCACAATTTAGAATTTTAGCACGTAATAAATCAGGATTCATGAAATCCTGTGCTTTGGATCGATCCATGCCATCTGGTAATAGATGTTGAATGCCTTCTTCTTCACGCATAAAATGTTCTGCTTCTTCTTTCAAATCAACACCTGCATATCCCATAACATCTGTCAGCGTATCATAATCAATACGACTATCTCCAGCATTGCTTGTTGTTGTTGTTGTCATTGTTGTCTGTGCTGTATTGGATGCAATAGGTATAGGAGGAGCAGAAGCGGATTTACTAGTAGTAAAAATGAGTAAACACAGGGTTAGATTAGGAGAGACATACTTGGGAGTAGTTAAATTGGTTTTTGTAGGTACTTGTAATGGTGTATTTGGTGTCTTGAAGACAGTGGGTTGAACAATTTGAACAGAAGGAGAAGAAGAAGAAGGTGGTGGTGGTGATTGTACTTTAGGCTTTGATTTTGTTTTCGCTTGTTGTTGTTGTTGTTGTTGTTGTTGTTGTTGTTGTTGTTGTTGTTGTTGCTTTTGAAGCATTTGCATTTGATGTTGTTGTTGAAGTTGCATTTGTAGTTGCTGTAGTTGCTGTTGCTGTTGTTGTGGTATATGTTCTGTCTTGGCTCTTTTCAATTGAGGTATACTGTTTTACATTGTTTAAATCCATGTAGATTCCAAAATAACTTACATCATGCTAGACATAGACCTTTGTGCGTCCTCATTTCGTAACTGTTGGCTAGATAGTGTTCTTTTTCGAGTCTCTTCTTCATTGGTTTTCATATGCACTGGTTTGTTTTTTAAGTCTTCTAACTGTTGATATTCTTGTTGTCCTAACAATGTCTTTGCTTTTGATAAAAACTGCTGTGCAGATACTTGGTTGGTTTGTAATTCCCTAAACAATTGGATAAACTTGTCTTTTCTTTCAGGTGGTAACTGAGCTGTGATGTTATCCAACAACGTAGTAGAAGCTAGTCATATGTCAATAAGGGCTGTGTGTGTATATGTGTATCTTGGGATGAATTTACCTGTTTGGTTCAACGTCGTTGGCACATGCAATGAAGACATGGCAGGTGAAGAAGTTGAAACAGGGGAATTCATGTTTGTTTGAAGAGAACTAGTGGGATTCTCCTTTTGCTGTTGCATGAATGGTTGTTGTTGCCACATCAAATCACCTTGAAGAATCGACGCGTCTGTATTGCTGCTTTGAACAGATAATAGATCGTCTGTTTCGTTGTTATTAAACAAGTCTTGTAACTCAGCAGGCAAGTGAGCATAAGAAGGCATAATATGCTGCTCGTTGCTGTTATTGCTTAGTGTTTGTACAATAGATTGAAATGAAGAGTCATTGACATCATGATTATTGCTTAGTATATCATTCAATGAAAAGTTGAGATCTTGATGTGTTAACTGTTGTGGTTGAGAAGACGAAGGAGGGTTGGAATTGCTCGAGCCATCACCGTCTACTGACATGTTGTTTTCTATATAAAAAGAGAAAGATAGAAATGGTGCATTTCAAACAGAAAAAAAAAAAATAATAGAAAAACACGCGGTGTTTAAAAGGCATCTGATTCTCATCCATGGGTCAAGAGATATCAAACGAATGATTCTTTAAGAAAAAAAAAAGGAGCAGCTACTCTGTCAGCAGGCCAACGACTCATAAAGAAAAGATACAATGAAGACTATACAGTTCCCCCTCCTTTTTTTTTTGAAGCCTTTTATTCTTTTGTAAAGAGGTAAATAATGTATTGAATTCTAGAAATTAAGTAGAACATGAATTATTGTACTTTTCACCTTTGAAGCATATATCTACCTAATGTCTCTGCTACATAGATAAGACGTGTAATACCAGACTGCTTATTCAGATAAAACACTTTATTAAAAAGATCCTTAATCTGCCTGAATAGAAGAAAAAAAAAGGAAACGTTCTGTTTTTATGAAGAATGTCGAAATATCAAGAAGCTTTTTGATGCATAATATATGGAACATAGCCTTTAAAACATGCATTGAGGTTGCTTTGAACCACCATATACTCACAACTCTAGCTTAATTATTCGTTATTTCCAAAATAAGGGTGCATTCAGCATAAAAGATCTATGATGTAATGAAATTAATCAATAATCAATAATTATCTATACACCTAATTCAAGACATTTCTTTCTGATTGTTGCATGGCTCTATGAACTATTATGTCGATTCAGATTCATGTGTATATTATTTGTTTTGCTATTTCAACCCATTTTTTCATACTTTTATTTGTTTATCATTTTCCCTGTCGTAAGATTTAAACCTATATGAATTTTTCATAATACTTTTTTTTGTTCTTATGAGCAAAATCGTGGATTTGGCACAGAAAGGCTTTTATGTGAATTTCTAATGAAACGAGCATTTTTCGAAAAGCACCTTTGTTACTTCAATCAAACATAAAGTCAAATCAGAGAGTATTTTATTATTTTATTTGCCAGACTTATATTTTTGATAGAGTTGTTAGTAAATCGTCCATTATTTTTGACATTAAAACAGTTTCTCAGAAGTTCCATATATATCCACAGTTTTTGTACCATTCAAGGTTTTGGTGGTTTGTAAGCTGATTTTTTCTGCTTCTTTATGGTTATGCTCTGCTTTGGCTGGTGAAAAGAAAATATTGGTGTTTAAAGTACCAGATCCTCCATTTGTATGGTCTTCATGAATGTTCATATTCAAGACTATTCTCTTTGAGCTCAAAAGTGCCGTGTATTATAGTATGTCTTACTCGCAAATACTCTTTATATCATATGATGTAGAACTAAGAATCAGTTTGATGATCAATATCTACTAAAAAGGGCCTCTTTTCTATCATTTACAGTATATTATCAACTTTAATTGCTTTTTTGAAGGCAATACTCAAATGAAGCCAATTTTTTCATCTTAGTAAACTTGTTTTCTTTTTTTTTTGGAAGTACCTAGACATGATCTCACCTCACACTGATTGGATCAGACCTACATTAGGTCCCCCATAGGTCAAAAAATGTATTTCACAAAACAACCAAACCAATGGTGCATTCGATTTCTGGACTCCAAAGAACATGTTCTAAATAAAAAAAATGGGCTGTTTTGATAATCTACTTGTTGAGCAATGGTCCATCAAAGAATGGCTTGTTTAAGCTGTGTTTTGAGCGTTTTTGCTCTAGATACTATATATAAATTGCGAGTAATGGGTCTTTCTAAAGCATTTTATGTTATTTTGAGAGTCAAAGAACATACAAAAATAAAAATAAAGGCATTCTTTGCTGTAAGTGTGAGGGCAAATGGACATACCAGATGGCAGTGTGCAGAGATTGAATTGGAAGGCAACCCCAATTCTCTATCCCATCGCATCAAAAATCGGGCTTTTGCTGAGAACTAAAGACGCGGTTATTGGGCTTTGGTGCAGTGACAAAAGTTGTAAATTTTTGCTTTCTGAGTCTATTAATACAGAAAACACAACAACTTTGCTGCTAAAATGTTGAGTAAACAGGCAAAAATGTCTATAAGGTTTTTCACTCTTATTGTACTACTTTTATAATACAACTGGCAAGAAAACACATTCATCAAAAACTAGAGCGTTTAACGCACATTTTTAGTATTTAACCTTGTCAATAACTCTATTTTTCATTCTACAGCATCAAAAAGAAGGTCTTTTTTTTTTTAAATGTGTTTATTGATTGAGCCGCGTACACTAAGAGTAATAGTCAAAGTGAAGAGGCGGGTGCAATTAAAATGAAAGTTAATAAAATAAAACGAAACATACTAAACAAAATAAACTAAACTAAAATAAATATATAGAAAGAAAAAAAAAGTTACATGATTGAATGGCATTGATCCTCTTCAATGGTCTGACGAACATTGAGTCAGATGCTTGTTAATATGGCCGTGAGTACAATGGGGGTCTTGCCAAAGATAAATCTCATATGAGCAAGCCAGATTTGTGAAAGAGTAATTATGAGGATTCTGTATGGTTTGATTCCTTTCCGTTGGCAGTACCAGATGTACGAGAAGTCCAGGGACAGAAGAGCCTCTTTGATATCAGATATTGAGGTGGTAGAAAAAGAAGATCCAAAGTTATTAAACGAGTTTTTTTTTCATGACCAATACCCTTTGGTCGAATGGTCATTTTGGTCATTTTTCACAAGTCGCCTTTTTTGGTCCAAATCAACTCCAAATGTACCCTATATGTTAGCAAACATTGCCTTTATATGGTGAAGTAGCCCTGTATATTTTTCTGTTCTTTTGATGAGTTCAATCTTACTGTTGATTAAATCAATAATTCAAGAGAGAGAGTGTGTGTTTTTTTTAGACGAGTAGACGTATATATCAAGGAATAGGATATCCTTTGTATGACTTGATGAATTCAGTGCCTTCTTGAGGTTATGAAGGACCAAACCACCATATGTATAAACATTCTTTTGTTTATTGCTGCATGTTTTTTTTGAGTTATTTCTGTCTATTATTTTTGCTTTGACTATTGTGTCCATTAGAGTTTAAATTTTAAAGCAATGCTCAAATTAACTCGACATTTTTGCCTCGTTAAACTTGATTTCTTTTCGTCAGAAATCCACTTTTTCTCGATTTTTTAGACCTTGCCTGAATGTCAAAGGTGCTTGGTTGAACTTTTTTTTTTTTTTTTTTTTTTTTTTTTTTTTTTTAGATTTGGTGATGATTGCCAAACGAATGGCATTAAGCACACAATGCATATTGGATCATGGAGAATAAAAATGAAAGCTACAAACAATGACAGATCATGCCATTTTTGTCTTTTTCAATAAATCTTGCCTTACTTTGTTAGTTTGCATGCAAATGAATGACAATACTAGTAATCTTATAATAGAACAAATTTCTTTAGGCTTTTTGGACAGATAATGTCCAAGAAGAGATAAGCTCAGATCGAAGAAACATGTTATTCTAGAAGCATACATCTACAGATCTTATTTTTCTCGCTCTCTGTATTATCAAATAAGCAGACAAGAACCCTGGAGAAAAACCCTTAGCGTGTGAAAAGTAAAACGATCACTGTCGGAGCTTATGCAATAAAGTGTATAAAGGACCCTGTTAAACCGCCTTTTTTCTTTCTCTCTCTTTTTCTCTTTCGAACAAAAAAAATGATTACTGATATTAACAATGTCCCTATTGAACAAGCCATCAAGGAAAACGGGTTTGTTATCGTTGACAATTTGATTCCTCAAGACATGTTTATTCGCCTCAAAGAAGCTTGTGATCGTGTCGTCAATCGCGCTCGTAAAGGGGACTGGAAATACAGGTACGGTTAATTTCTTGCTCCGCCTAGACATGAATTTATATTTTTAGACGCCTTGTGGGTACTCAGTTCCCTCCATGGACTGAAGGCACTGATGTATGGGGTGTCCAACACATGATTCATCCCGACCTTAAGGAACCTGTTTTTGCTGAATGGTATGGGTCTCCAAAGTTGTTAGAGGCTGTGCAACAGTTATTGAACACAAAACATGATGATCTTCAGTTAGGTAAGCTCTTCTGTAAGTGATTATAATAACACTCGATAGAATTGTTTAATCTCTTGATCAATCCTCAAGATTCTGATTTCGATTTGACATGGCATCGTGATGCTATTAAGGCTGAAGCTTCGGAAGAAGAAGAGAAAGAGAAGCTCACTATTCCTCATTATGGTACTCAATGGAATACGTAAGTAAATAATTCTATGCTCTCATAAACTCAATGACACAGTGCACTTTATGACGATGCTTGTCTTTATGTTGTTCCCAACTCTCACCGCCGTGTCCGAACTGAAGCTGAGCGAGACATTACCATTCATGATCCTAAAAGCAACAAGATGCCCGGTCAATTGAAAGTGGAACTCAAACCTGGACAAACTGTGTTTTATGATAACAATATCCTCCATCGTGCTTCTTATGTTTCTTCACAAAAGCGTGCCACTTTGCATGCCTCTATGGGTACCATTGAAGGTGGCCATTACCGTGCTTCCTGTATTCTTCAACACGGCCTTGGTTGGATGAAGACAGAAGAATTCAGAAGCACATTGCCTAAATCATTAGACAAACCTTATGCTAATCTTTTAGCTATGGCCAATAAGGCAGGCATGTCTGATTTGGAAGCTAAACCAATTCACTGAAAATAAATAAACTCCCCTTTCTTTTCTTTTTTCTTGACATGATGCTTAATTTAGTAATACACTGGAACAGACTTTATTTGTTCATAAAAAAATGAGCTGATGATGGTGATTTGTTAAAGGAGTGCTTGAGAAAAGAATTCTAATTGGTGTAACCACGCAACCTGCAAGAAAAAACAAACAATCGAAAATGATAAAGACAGAGCTACTGTTTATAGAAAATGGCGGAAAGAAAAGTGAAAGAAAAACGGATACCAAGAAGAAGAAAAAAGAGTATTCTTAAATCAAACAAAAGAACAGGAAATACACTAAAAATAAGACTTAACGGTTTATAAAAAAAAGAGAAGCAAAAAGAAAAATAAGGAGAAAGGGATGAAAGATATTAAATAGATACAAATGTGTGTTATTCTCTTTCTTTCTTCTATTTCTCTCTCTTTTTTTTTTCTAGTGTAGATATAATTATTATGGATACTCCCGGAAGTACCTTTAGATTATTGCAACCAGACAGTTCCGAATTGGCTGCTAAGATTGTCTCGCTTCTCTCTTTTTCATTGTTATCCACCCTTTTTGGAATTAAGACGTATAATGTTCATTTCAGATACTTGACATATTCACGATGGTTGGTCCTTGCACTTTATGTTCTTTCATGGACTTTTACTATCACCAGTATGTTGCTGATGACAACCAACAATAGTATGCAAGTTCTTTTTTTTTCTTCATTTTGACATTTGTGCCTAGATAATTACATTTCATGCTTTTTATCTATCATGGTGTGTGACATTTTTTATGCTGGCACTAAAATTACAATTTATGCATGGTAATAAGATCAAGTAACAAAATAATAAACTCATGTTATGATAGGTTAATAGAGAAAATATATGTTGTCTCTTCAATTAGACAGACAAGGTGGCGTTCTAAAGCCTACCGTTTTCACGCATGCCTCATGTTGCCTTATATCGCTATTTTTACATTAATGGTAACCAGCAGCTTTCTAGTCTCTCCCTCCCTCTCCCTCTTTCTCTGGATTGACCTGATTTTATATAGTTAGTTTTTCATACAGCAGAAATTGAAGAAAGTGGTGTGTGTATCATTGGATTACAAAATGTTGCCTCTCTTCCGCTTTTGGTAAGTTTTGATTTTCTCAAACAATTGACTCATGTTTACTAGATTTACGATTTTGTAAGTTTAATTTTCATAAATTGTATATTCACTGCCCCAAGTCGATCAATTTGTACATGACTATTTTCTTCATTCGTCCTCTTGCCAAGTTAGGATCAAGTGCTAAGATTGGCTGGAGGGCTTCTAGATTGAATGAGGTCGCTTTACGTACTTTGATGGCTTCTCTAGTCTGTCTTATTGTCTCGTTTGCGAATATCTTTGCACTTATCATGTTCAAAGGACGGGAACGAGGTCTTGTTTGTCTGACTTGTTGTACTGTTGATGTTACTATTAACGTCATTACTGTGCATTGGGTAAGACACAGCCTTGTTTTTTTTTGTATGTCACTGATGTTTGTTAGGTAACTTCACAAACACCAGGAAAACGCATGAAAGACACAGGTGTTGATGTATCCTCACATCACCAACCCGATACAAATGAAGAAGAACATGTATTTCACAGCAATCATAGCGATATCGACTTACGAGTAGCACAACAAATCAACAGAATGGTGGATGAAAACCTGTATGGTTTCACAACTACCAATTTCCATCATTTTGATAGCGATTTCAAAGCTGCACCTCCTTATTCGCCTCCTACTAACAACAAGAAAGAAGCTGATGTGAGACCCAATGATGACCAAGCCTCAGCAGACAGTCATTTCTGTAACTCATCTATTCATGAATCACAATGTAGTCGAAAATCACTTACAAAACAATCATAATGTACTTTTATTAAACTTTGTATTGCGGCACACTAAAATTTTTATGTGTCTGAGTGACGTCCTTTTTTTTTTTCTTTTACTCTTTTCTTTCTTTTCTCTTGTAGCATGACAGAAATACCCCATTATTTTTATGCGTTATTTAAATCAGTACAGAGTCTAGAAGACTATCTAAAAACTAAATTTGATTTTTTGTCTCTAACAGACCAAGACGCCTCCCTTATCTCTGAGCTTTCAAGACAAACGCTGATCGTTGATCCTGTCTTTTTAGAGACACCTATAGACACTTGTCAACTAAACACAGAATTGAGTGATATAGACCAAGTAAAAAAAAAAAAAAAAAAAAAAAAAAAAAAGAATTGAGAAAATATGGCTTACACACATTAGGTGTTGCATGAATTAGTCTTATTTATACTTTCTGATTGGAATATACAAAATGCTTTGGCTACAGGCTATCGATTGGTAAGAGAAACAAAAAAAGACACTTTGTTGATTTGATAGAGAAACATGAGATCCAACTGTACTGTGGAAGCCAAGTTTGAGAATACACCTGTGCATGAAATCAAGTCTGATCAGGCTTGGATTGCTTTGTTTCACAGGTAAATGTGGATGTTTCCTATTCATAACTTATACAGTGTAGTATTCAACATCTCGCTTTTTATGATATTTTTTTAAACCATGTCATACTAAAGCGATTACCCAATGGGTCTTATTATCAGTTAGCAGGTAACTTGAATGATTCATAAAAGCATTTATTGATACATGTCAAGGGCCACTCTTGTTTGGAAAACACAATCGAAAAGAAGGCCAGGCTGTACCTACAAAAAAGAAAAGAAAACTGAACGATTATTTCTCTACTTTTTTATCAGATATTGGTTCAAATGCAAGCCATTTGTCTCATTATTTAGATAGCTTATTGTATTCAAAAAAGAGGCCTTTAGAATTGCCTAAATTATCAAGACGCCAAAGGCGAAAACTCAAAAGCAACAAACGTTCAGAACCAGCAAAACAAAAAAGACCAGTAGAAACCATTGATCGCGCAAGCTTGTTTTATTGTGCTAATTATGTGATTCCCAATACAGATAAAGTCATGATGCGATTACCTAAAGATCGTATGTATATGCATCCTTGGCTTACAGGACTCAATTCTGAGTAGATATCTTGCAAAAATTAACGGCTGAGCGATATGATTTTATTGAATATTGTCTATCCAAATTGTTTCCAAAAGAATTTACCAAAGAACCAAAGCGGGTATACCTGTCAAAAGATAAGTTTGGATGATGATACTAATGATAAGCGTCTAGATCAAGTTTTTAAAGCGATTCCATGGCTTGAAAAAGATAATGCAAAGTATCTTTGAAAGACATAATGCCATTTATTTTGAACATGTATTGAATAAACGATGTCCCAAAAAGGTAAAAGTGACAACGAACAACTATTTTTTTTTCTTTTTGGTCATAAAGTCTCTCTAGGAACTCAAAAAGGATGTCTCTTTGGCTGCTACTAGTTATTCAGAAGTAAAATAGTATATGAGTCAAGCAAAAGGGATTAACCATTGTTCTAGGTCTTTGAACTCTTAAAAGAAATGATGCGTAGAACATTTCCTTTAGAATTCTGGGGTTCACAACACAACCTACATGTGGTTTGCAGAGGTATAGATGCTTTGTTCAACGCATAATGACTCAACAACGTTTAGCTTTAAAGCATTTTATATCCAGAAGAAGATTTGAAAAACTTTCCATGACTGAAATCATGCATCAATTCAAGGCAAGTCATACCATAGCTATCCACACATACTTATGCTATCACTAGATCAAAGACTGTCAATGGCTTATTTCCAGCTCAAATACAACAAGACTTGTTCCTTCTGACCTAAAGAAAAGACAGAATATACTAAAACAAGCCTTTTCTTGGTTTTTCAATGACTATATCATGCCTATGATCAGAGTAAGTTCTATGCCGAACATACCACATTTGCATTAACCATGCTCCAGTCTTTCTTTTTTGTGACAGATCATGCTAAATACAACAATATCTCTTTTTATTTTAGGCGAGATGTATGGCAGCACATATCTCAACCTCGTTTATCTTGCTTGATAGAAGAACAATACTTTACTGAAATCAAAGATATTGTATGTATACTCGTTTTCCTTCAATGGCTTCTGCTAAAACAGGATATAGGATGATGTGGCAAGGCTCAACATTGGTGTAGGAAAAGTTCGGTGGATGCCTAAAGATCAAGGTCTTCGTATGATTATCAATATGCGAAATACAGTTCGATATGTAATGTGTTCATACAAAATGCTTCTTTGCTAACCCTTTGAGATAGACGAGGAACAACACTACGGGTGTTTTGGAAAAGAGAAATATCGATGCCAGTCAAATTCTAAGTCCTGTCTTGAATGTCTTAAAGATGGAAAAAGTAAGTTTTGTCGCTATCGTCTGCCACAAATCAATGTATCCATAATAGGAAAGAAAACCAGACATGATGGGTAGTTCTGTGTTTGGTCGTCATCTTTTATATCAACGGTTTAAGGAATACAAGCAAAAAGTGTTTGTGCCAGATGCAAAGTAATCTCCTAACAAACAAATAGCCATTAAGCCATATCATATAGGTTTTATTTTGTCAAGGTCGATATCACAGGTTGTTTTGATTCCATTGATCAAAAGAGACTCTTGAAGATTTTAGACGGTATTCTTGATTCAGTATGTCACTCTGTGTGTGTATGTGTGTCTGTGTCTCATTATTTAGGATGAATACATGCAACGTACTGTATATAATGTTCGCCCTTTTTCAAAAGGGGTAAAGACAAGGCCGTTTGTATCGATTGGCACAAGTGATTATATGTCTCGTCTTGAAGACTATATCATGAGTTTAAAAGGTGTTCGTCCAGGATCTATCTCGGTGGATCAGGTTTGTGTATAGACGCAACAAAATAGGCAAATAACATGTCTCTAGAACATCTACACGACTACAAAAGCAGAACATATTCGAGAACTACTTTATGAAAGTATTTGTTCGAGTACTGTCAAGGTAATAATTCGAACAAAAGAGGCAATATTTTATCAGAGAATAGATAGGTGACAAACATTATAAACGCAATCAAGGCATTCCTCAAGGTTCTTCTCTATCAAGTTTATTATGCAGGCAAGTCAATACGACGATTGTACACAGCTAAATATGTCTTTAGCTTTTTTATGGCTCAATTGGAAAAAGAAAAACTCGCTTTTCTGAAAGAGGATACAGATGGTGTATGTCAAACAAGACCTGTTAATGCAATGACTAACCCAGATTTGAACGGTAGATTCTGTTTACTTATATTGATGATTTTCTGTACATATCTAAGAATCGTAGACATGCTCAGCACTTTCTTGATAAAATGTCTATGGGCATTTTTGATTTTGGACTCTCTGTCAATGAATCAAAGTGTGTTTCTAATCTGAATCAAGAAATAGAAGGTAAGAAAAAAAAAAGACACCTCCCTTTTAGATGTCTATTGACCTTTCTATAGAATTTACTTGGCTTGGTCTTAAATTCAACACAAAGAATTTAGATGTCTACATAGACACTTCACGTAAAAGAAAAGAGCGTATGTTGAATAGATGGCAATGTCAACCATTGACTGTGAATTGATAGATATAGCATCCTCACTGACAGTAGAATATGCCAAACACCCTGCAAAAGCAATCCTGAATAGTACACTCAGGGCTATTAAAATCAATTTTCATGATATCTTGATGGACAGCCAACTCAACTCAAAAGAAGCAGTGAAAAGAAATCTGTACGAAAATTTTTTGTCGGCTGCTGTCAAGATGGAATGCCAAATCAAAGACTTGAGTAAGAGCATTCTTGGTTTTATCAATGAAAAATGCATGTTAGGTAATCATGTCTAACAGCAACAAATCTTACTTACTATCCATGTTAGATATCATGATAGAACTTGGGCGTATCATGATTCCATTGACACCTAGATCCCTTACTCGTTCAGACACACTCTTTCTTTTGTTCCTTGCCTTTTTGAATGCTTTTAGCCCAAGGCAATCTAAATACCCTCATTTGATTCCTTGCCTCAAGTCTATCATCAAGAAGTATCAAAAAGGAACTATTTATTAAATATCTTGTTCTTCTTGTGCTTTTCTAGCATTCTTTCTTTGCTCTAATTTAACTGCTTTTTTCTCTTGTCGTCGACTCATACTGGTGGTACTATAGATCTTTTGATGTTCAAAAAACGCCTCTAAGGCTTCTGGACTCACGTCATCTAATGTGTATTGACCCAGTTTACCTGTCCTATAATGTTTTAAAAAGAATTTGGCAGCCATAGTCAAGTCCATTTGACCTCCTTTTGCTACAGCACCAATACGCTTAGCAACACCTTGTAACAACACATGCACATCATTGGTAGGTTCAGTCAGCTTGAACCAATCCACATACCCATAAGCACCGCATGCGTTCAGTCGATAGAGTAAGTAGTCTGCCATGACTTGTTCGTCCGACAAATGGTCACGAATACCGCCCGTTAAGGCTACTTTGAGACTTTTGACAGGGTCAGCAATATGAGGTACCATCACGCCAGGTGTGTCGACTAAATAGACAGTAGGGTCTTCTAAGACTTTGATGGTGCCAACCACGGTGCGTGTGATACCCGGCTGAGCACCCGTAGCTGCTGCTTTGCCTTTACCCACACCTACACGTCTGAGAGCGTTGATCAAAGAAGATTTACCTACGTTGGGCATACCCACCACCATCAGACTGATCTGAGGAATAGGATGAGCAAGTTCAGCTGCGTGGTTCAAGATCTGTTTCATGCTGGCATCATGCTGACAGCTTGTAAACACAACAGGTGTAGCAGGTGCATGTTTGGCAAATGCTTCGAGAAGAGGTTGTTTGGTTAATGGATCAGCTAAATCAAACTTGTTGTAGACAATCAGACGTGGTCTTTTACCCACGACTTTTTCGAAATTAGGATTGACAGAAGAAAGAGGAATACGTGCATCTCTGACTTCAACCACCAGATCGATGGAATTCAAGCGTTCTGAAATGAGTCGTAAACCTTTGGCCATATGACCAGGAAACCAGTTGATCACTCTATCATATGGAAATGTAGTTCGAGGAATAAAACGATGGGTCATGATCAAAAAGAACAAAAAAAAAAGATCTACATTTTTCTCGAAACAAGCTGTGTGACTTGATATGTACCAAAAAGTGAATCCTCTATTTTTCTCTTTTTCTTTCTTTTCGTTACCATCATGGCAAGTGAAGAACCCAAGCAGGAACAAAACAAAGAAGAAGTGGAAGAAGAAGTTCATTATGCTGGCGAAGAATATGCAGTCAATGACTATGTTCCTCCTGCAGAATATACTGTGCCTAAAGGCTATTACAATGACAATGGTGAATTCATAGAATACTCTGAATACGAATTTGCAGATCCAAACAACCAACTCTACCCTGATCAATATTATTATGGTTATGACTACAACTACCATGATCCTAACAATGCGGCTTATCAGTATGACCAACAACAGCAGTATTATTATGATTACAGTAAAAACACAGCATCCACTAAACAAGCAGAACCCACCATATCAGCCAGTGCAGCTGTCTATACACCACCTACAGCTACTCAAGTTGCAAAGCCCTCGTTCTATCCGCCTATTGCGAACTCAAACAACCCTATTGGACCTGTGACGATAACACGGTCTGGTTATACAGGCGGTATTCACTCAGCCAGCTCTCCCATGATGGATTCCAGTAGAAATAAGAAAAAGAAGCCTGTGGTACGAGCAGCAGGTGGTGAAGTATGGGAAGATAATACACTAGCTGATTGGGATGATAGTGACTTTCGTCTGTTTGCTGGTGATCTGGGCAATGAAGTGACTGAAGAATTGCTGTACAAGACATTCTCTAAATACCCAAGTTTGGTGAGAACACGTGTGGTACGTGATTCGCGTACAATGAAATCAAAGGGATATGGATTTATCAGCTTTAGAGACCCTGATGACTTTGTGAGAGCCTGGCGAGAAATGAATGGTAAGAAGAGATAGATACAAGAGAAGTGACTAAAGTATGTATAGGTAAATATGTGGGTAATCGTCCTATTAAACTACGTAAAAGTAACTGGAAAGAACGTAATATTGATGTCAAACAAAAGAAAGAAAGAGAACGTTTTGGTCCTTACACAAAGCATAAATAAAGCATTTTATTTAAGATGACAACCATAAGGATGATCATTGACTACATTCAAGGCAATTAAAATGACATCAACAGTCCACCAAATACCACCCAGACCAGCAGTGATTAACTTGAGAATACCAAGGAAAATATAACCGAGATAGAAGCGATCCACACCTATATGGCTTAAGTACAAAGGATATAAAATACAAAAAAAAAAAAAAAAAAAAAAATTACCTAAAGGACCGAGGAAAATAGAGAGCATAAGAGCAACAAACCAACTACGATCAGATACACACATTTCATTAACCAAGTCTTCATCTTGAGGTTTTTCAGGGATATGAGGCTTCTCTTCTTTTAAGGCAAAATAGAAAGAAAGGGTCAAGACAGCAGTAACAGCAATCACAATGATCCAAGAACCAATGATTCTGAAACGATGCTTGTGAGTAATACGTTGAAACTTTTGTCTTAGGGATTCATTTTCATGAAGGATAGGGGTTTGTTCTTCAACACTACCGTATTCAGGCATATTTATTTTATGAGTAAAGAAAAAGAGAAAAGCAAAGAGAAAGAGTTTTGGCTTATAATATACTTGGCATTGTATTACATCACACAATCATACTGTTTCAAGAAACTCTCTTTTTTTCTCTTTGTCTTCTTTTTTTTTTCTCTCTCTTACACAATATATATAAAGAAAGAGACAATCACTTGTTTTTTTTCAGAAAAAAAAAAGAAAAAAAAAAAGCTTAGGTTCTATTTCAAAATAACATAGTGAGCAATGACCTTTTACTTCTCTGACGGTTCAGGGGAATAAAAAGGAAATAAACTTTTATCTCCTATTGAATAGCATAAAAAAAAAAGACGCGTTTCACAATAAGAAAAAAAAAACGGATGTACTTCAACGGGTATATCCGGAGTTTATATCCTCCTAAAGAATCATTTTATGCAAAGCATCCAAAGAATCATGTCAAGCCATTCAATTCTTTTTCCCGGTTCAAAGGCTGATTTTCTTGTTCTAGTATATCGCCTGAGCACAACTGATATTGAATCAACAACTTTGGAAACTCTAAGGTGTCTCTCTAAACAGATTGCCAATTGTACTTGTTGGCTAAGATTCTCGATAATTTTTAGAAGCAACTCGAGCATGTTTAGGACGCTTTTGAGCGTAAAATCAAAAACAAGAAGTCCAAAATTACCAGTAGGAAAGGCTTGGAGTCTCTGTTGAGAGAAGAGTGGGAGTAGATGCAGATTTTGCTCAATGTTTGGTTGGCAGTACGACTGACAGATAACAAGCAGTAATTGATGCCAAAGACGATCATACTCATTATTCATTCTTTGTTAAATAAACATTACAATTATCATTGTACGAAGTTTTAAAAGCTAGGTATGAGTGTAGGGCAAGTGATGCACTTTACAAAAACAGAGTTCAAAAAAAAAAAATTAAAAAATCGCAAGGTATTTCTAGTTCCCACTATATGAGACACTCTTGTTTTATTCAAGAACGATGCCAGTCTGAAATAATCACTGTTTCCTTAACAGGATCAATCTATCATATACACACATAATAAGTACTCATAACAATATATTTTTTGTTACTTGCCTTGAAATAAAGATAATCTTGCTTTGGTTTCAAATGATAGACAAAATAGAATGGATGCTGAGTAGATTGCTCACTTGTAGGAATAGCAGGGCCTATTTGTATTTGATTAGACACAATCAAATAAACAAAACCACTTACCTGGCATTGTTTGAATAGAAGCACTGGATTGATCCAATGTAGGTGTAAGTTCATCAGGTTTACCCAACTTGGATAAAATATCAGCAGCGGGTGTACCTGGTAAGCCAAGTTGTTCACCCAATGCCTATATATATATATATATATATATATATATAAATACTGTATATTCTATTTATAACATGTTTACCTTCATAACATGATATTTTTCACCAGTAGAAGAATCGATTCTTTCATCGTACTCTCCTCCTCCTATTCTACCTGGAATTTGACGAAGGGATTGGTATTTTGTTGCTAATTCATTTAAGGTATCTTCAGCCATTTTACACGAAACAATATAAAGCAAAAGAAAAAGAGAAAGTAAAAAAAAAAAAAAAAAGAAAGGGCAAACACGTATTTAAATCAATATGACGTAACAGTTGCATGAATTACAAAAACAAACAAATAGTGACGTTTTATTAAGCAAACTGAAGCTTTCTTGGCTTCACCCTATCTTCATTGGATGTAGGCTTCTGCTCCTGTTTCTTTTGTGGTAGTTTCTCTGGTGGTGTAGCTAATGGTGTATTTCTAAAGTAAGAATGTCCCAAACATTCTTCTGCTGACCATCGTTTATTGGGATCAAACACCAACATTTGTTCTAATAAAGAAAGTGCATCTGTACCAGCAGCTGTAAAGTATTGTCTCAGAGGTACTTTGGGAAATTGTTTGAATTGGATATAGTCTGGTAAAAGAGTCATGCCTGGCCAGTCTATTTCTGTAGGCGTACCTAGTGCATGAAATATCTTGGTCAATTGGTCCATATCAGATTCACCTGCCACATAAGGGGTTCTCAACATGAGTTCTGCAAATATACAGCCTACTGCCCATATATCCACTGCATACGAGTATTCTTTTGCACCGAATAATAATTCAGGTGAACGATACCACCTAGACTAGATGAGTACTCTATCGATGGGCATAGCTCAAGTGTTACCTAGTGACAACTTGAGATGTCATTTGTCTATTTGGGTCACCCCAATCTCTTGCTAAACCAAAATCTGCTATTTTGAGTACACCAGTACTAGTGATCAACAAGTTATTTGGCTTCATATCCTAGAAAGAGATTGAGTCGTCTTGATGGAATAAAACTATAGTTACTCTATGCAGTATAAAATGACGGTGACAATGATCCAATCCTCTCAACATCATTAATAACCATGACTTGATATCTGCTGGCATAAACAAAATACTCTTGTCTTTAATAACTTGTTCTAAATCAGAATCCAGATATTCAAGTACCAGATTCAAATTGGTTTTATGAGAATAGACATCAATCAACTACATTGTGTTAATCAAACATAATCAAAAGTTTGACTTGCCTCAATCACATTAGGATGGCGTAATTCTTGAAGGTATTTCACCTCTCGAATAGCTGTTAGGTCAAGACCGTCTTTGAACTGACCCATTTTGATCTTTTTAATAGCTACTTTTCTATCCGTAGAGATAGATCGACCTAAATTGTCAATCATGGTTGCTTTTTTTTCTGATACTTTACCACTATATACAACAGCGTAGGTACCTTCACCTACTTTGGCATCTTTGATATATTTCTTCTCAGTATGAATATTAGTCTCTTCAGCATCGTCTGAATCCATCATGTGTTGAGAAACAAGAAAACGCGTTTAGCGCGAAATGCGTAGTATCCTAGTTCTTTTGATTCTCCGAAGATAAAAAAAAGAGACTTTTGGCTGATATGCATAAAAAGAAATAAAAAAAAAAACTTTATGCTGTAATCCAATGATATGAATACGTTAACAAAATAGCAACAGGAACACTTTGGTCTCAAGGAAATGTTAGAGAGAAACATAGCTTCTTTTGACAATAGCAGGTATTTGTATAGCATTCTCTCAACAAACGAAACTCAAGGTGACATTTCTATACCTTTATCTTCTGCAGCTCCTTAAAGCGCATCCCCCTTTCTTTTTTTTTTAAAAAAAGGAAATTGATTCGCGCGAAACAGCCCATTCTGTTGTGTAACTTGTCAAATACCATGCCCAAGTTCCTTTTCAGGTGCATTCATGTATTATTAGCTCATTAAACAGACGTGCATATGATTTAAGATGAAGAAAATTAACATTACACAGTGACTCTATTTGTGAAAATTCGCTTTAAAAGGGCAAATTGTCCCATTGTATACATTGATATGAAGCATTGACAATCGTAAACAGATATCCTTTGTCACTTCAAATGTTAGCTATCATAAAGAAAGAAAAAAAAAAGAGAAAGGAGACAAAGAAATACATTTCTTTATTTATTGATTTCTGACAAATGTACTATTTTAAATAAACCAATTGTTTAAAGAAGCAAATAAATTAAATGCACGAAATAAAACAGCACTGTGTCTTTAAATCTCATTGACTATTGTGATTGGTATATAGATGAACAGCATCATTCAAATTTGGACTCTTTGTATGACTCGAGAACTATTTTGAGGTACATGTTGTTCTGATTGAAAGAAAAAAGTTTATAGGAGGAATAGGACCAAGTTAGGAGAAAAACTAAACTTTGAGCTTATTGTTATCATTCGAAAATAAAATTCATACAATGATAATATGTATCTTCCAGAAATAAAGATTGTCAGTAAGAATTCATGAATTTTTCTTTACGTTACATTGAAATAGACCTTAATAGGAAAAAAAGATCAATTTAATTGCACATTTAAAGGAACACGGTACTACAACTCTTTTGTCGTATGACAGCAGCCATAAGGAAAGCCATAAAAACGGTTTGATGTAGTCCTTTCTTTTTCTTTTTTCTTTTACTTTAAACACATACACACTCCTTTCTTTTTTTCTTTTTTTGAGCTATTATACCAACATGCTCATTACTAAATCCATTGTCTTCATTGCAGCTGCTTCTCAAGTCTATGCGGCAGCCATCCAAAAGCGTGGCTACGCACCTCAATTCAAGCCCACATTCCCTAATCTTCCCAAAGTAGAAGGTGTTGTCACTAGCTATAACCCAGGTCCTTACGACACTTCTGCTACCTTATCTACTGCTCAATTGAGTGGTTTCCCTGAGCCTTGGGCTGCTCCTCCTACTGATACCGCTGAAGTCAAGGCTGTCTATAACCAAATTGACTGGTCATTAGTTCCCAAAGCGCCTGTTCGAAAGCAAGATTCGGATGGTAACTGGGTCTCTAATTCAGACGGTGCTTCTGACCCCTATTGTTGGTGGTCTTCTACCAATTGTGTCAAACCTAAGGCTTCTTACTTGCCCCCTGACATCTATACTTGTCCTCGTTCTGGTGATTGGGGTCTTAATTACGATGATGGACCCTTCAATCGATACACTGACTCAAATGCAAAGACCGAAAATCCTTATGCTGAGCCTGCTCTTTATAACTTCTTGGCCAAGAACAACCTTCATTCTACCCTCTTTGTAAGTATCAGAAAAAAAAAATATACCTATTACTTTTTTTAAACTAACATTCTATAGTACATTGGTTCCAATGTCGCTACTTTCCCTGCTGCTGCTAAGCGTGGTTTGAACGATGGCCACCATCTTTGTGTTCATACATGGTCTCATCCTCCTATGACGACTCAAACCAACAAGCAAGTAGTTGCTGAATTGTATTGGACTTTGAAGGCCATCAAGACTGCTACTGGTGTTACTCCTAAATGCTGGAGACCCCCTCAAGGTGACGTAGATGACCGTGTTCGTTCCATTGCCTGGCAAATGGGTCTTAGAACTGTCATCTGGGACGAAGATACGAATGATTGGGCCATGAAGGTAGAGTTAGAAACGCTTGTATACATGCCATACTTACTTTTTTTTTTTTTGAATTAGGCACCTGGAGGCGGTAACCTTTCTCCTCATGTCGTTGATGGCTACTTTGAAAAATGGATCAGCAACTACAAGTCTGGTAAAGACAAGAAGGGTCATATTGTCCTTGAACACGAATTGAACCATGCTACCGTCAATATGTCCATGTTCTGGATGCCTAAGCTTCAAGAGACTTTCAATGTTATTCCTGCCTTGGCTTGTAATGGTATCACTCAACCTTACTGGGAAGAAAACTTTGTTTATCCTACGGATAACTCTGGTGCTCCTACCACCAAGACAACGACAGCTGGTGCCAAAACAACCACCACTACTGCTGCTGCTAGTACTCCTACTTCTTCTACCTGTACTTCTGGTTCTTATGGTTTGGGCAATGGTGATGGTTACAACGGTGCTTGTTGTCAAGATCAATCTGACTGTCAAGATGATTGTATCAGTGGTAAATGCAACGGTCCCAAGAACCCTAATTCCCCTACGACCACCAAGGCTGCTACCAAAACCAAAACCACTAAAGCCTCTACTAAAACTACCAAGGCCACCAAGAAATCTAGCCCCACTTCCTCTTCTTGTATTGCCGGTGTTGCAGGCAAAAAAAAAGGAAATGGAAAGAATGGATACTGCTGTACTTCCTCTAATGACTGCCTCGAAACCTGTAGAAAAGGCAAATGTAGTCTCTAAACCTTATTTAACTTAAGCTTTCTCCCCTTCCTATTTTTTTTTCATATATTCACTTTAATAAAGTGTAACATTAGACTTTTTCTTGTATAAGAGAGATATTTATTTGTTTATTTAATTAAAGGCCACATTTGCCACTCCTGCAAGTTTCTAGACAATCATCTGAAGATGTACAACAGTATCCTGTTTTTCCAGTACCATTCTTTTTGCCAGAGACACCAGGGGTACATGAAGAAGCGCCACTGGTAGTGGTTGTGGTAGTCTTCTTGGTAGTAGTAGTAGTAGTAGTAGTAGTAGTAGTAGTAGTAGCCTTTTTGGTCGTCGTGGAAGAGGTAGTGATCTTGGTATTTGTAGGACCATTGCATTTGCCTTTAACGCAGGTATCCAAGCAGTCATCACTACTAGTACAACAATAACCATTATAGCCATCACCGTTCTTTTTACCAGACGATCCAGAGATACAAGTGGTAGTGGCAGTAGCAGTGCTTGTTGTCTTAGTAGTAGCAACACTTGTTGTTGTTGTTTTTGTAGCAGTAGGACGAATGTTTGTCGTAGGATAGACAAAATCAGTTTCCCAATAAGGTTGAGTGATATCATTACAAGCCAAGGCAGGAATAACATTGAAAGTCTCTTGAAGCTTAGGCATCCAGAACATGGACATATTGACCGTCTTGCTGCTGAGTTCATGCTCAAGCACAACAAGACCTGTGGTGTCTTTACCAGCCTTATAATCATTGATCCAGGTTTGGAAGTACTTGTCTACTGTTTTGGCAGACGTACCTTCTCCAATGTCCCAATCATTGGTATCTTCGTTCCATAAGATAGTACGCATACCAAGTTGATAAGCAATAGCACGCACACGATCATCCACATCACCTTGAGGAGGTCTCCAGCATTTAGGAGTAACACCAGTAGCAGCCTTGATGGCCTTAAGACCCCAATAGAGTTCAGCAACCACTTGCTTGTTGGTGAGGGTTGTCATTGGTTGGTGAGACCATGTGTGGACACAAAGTTGGTGACCATTGTTTAATGCTCTCTTTGCAGCAGCAGGATAAGCAGCGACATTGGAGCCAATGTACTAAATAAGACGGTTAACATAGTCATCGTATTTCCTATGGACTTACAAACAAAGTGGCTTTTTGGTTCGTTTCTGCCAAAAAATTATAGAGACGAGGTTCAGCGTACGAATTCTCATAGGTTTGACCCGAGACTTTGATAAAGGGTCCATCATCATACGTAAGGCCCCAATCACCTTTTTTAGGGCAATTGTAGATATCAGGAGGCAAGTAAGACACCTTGGGCTTAACACAGTTGGTGTCACTCCACCAACAGTAAGGATCACCGCTGTTACCAGAAAAGATCCAGTTACCGTTTGAATCTTGCTTTCGTACCGGGGCACTAGGGACTTTAGTCCAATCAATTGAGTCATAAGCGGCTACAACTTCAGCAGAAGAAGTAGAAGGTGTTTGACCAGATGCAGGGAATCCAGAGAGTTCTTCAGAGGATAATGTAGAAGAAGTTTCATAAGGACCGTAATTGTAAGATGTGACTACATCAGTAGGAGTAGCAATATTAGGGAATGTAGGGGAGACTTGAGCAACATAAGTGGCTGCATAAGCCTGACTGGCTCCAGCTACTAACAAGAAAGCACTGGTAATGAGCATTGTTTAAAAAGGAGGAAGGAAAGAGTGTGATGAGTATTCAATTACAATTGGACTTTATTTATATACATTTTTGTTTCTTTAGTTACACTATGAAATCTATTGGTTTTTAGTAGTAAGAGGGATCTGCGTAAAATTAGCCCGGCTTAGTTGAATTTTTCCTTTTTTGGCAAATATAAAGAAAAATGACACGCTTTTGATTTCCTAAAAGTATGACCCAAGTTTTCTTTGGATACTTGTGTAATAATCCTCAGAGAGAAGTAAGGTCATTTTGAAACAACTTCTTTAAAACCGTGAGTGCCAAGAGTCATTCACTATAAAAAGATATCTCAAAAAAGTGGCACTATTGGACATGTTTGATTTGACATAAATCAAAAGGGGATAAGAAAAAAGAGTACAAAAGTAACAGGCACTTGCTTCAAAGCATGTCTAATTTGATTCATAAAGTAGAAAAGAAAAAAACTGCTTTTTAAGAAAAAATGTTCAATGTATACTTGTACATTATTCAACAATCACCTTGTTCATACTTCTTTTTAAGAATGAACATAAAGCATATGAACTAATCAAAAACAAAAAATATATGTTTTTGCATAAATTTATTCAACATGGTAAGAAGCTTTTCGGACACATATTTACGCTGCGGTCACAACGCATTTATTTTTTTCTTGTCCTCTTTTTTCTCTGTGAATCAGCATGGAAAACGAACCTTCACAAATTGCACGCTTAACAGCCAAACCTCGCATTCATTTTGGTTCATTAGAAGGACAAGAGTCTGTCAAACGACCTCGTCTTGAGGAACCCGCTGCTAAAAGTGGCGGTATTGATCTTGACGCTTTAGGTAAAAAAAAAAAACAAGTGAAAGACCCAACACCTGCATATCACTCACACTTAGCTTAGTGGAAGCCAGAGATGCTGGGTATTCTGTAGCTGCAGGAGAAGCTGATAGAGAAGTGATGGAAGAATTCGAAAGAAGAAAGAGAGCTTTTCAACTAGCAGTACCCACAGATGATGGACGTGTTCGACAACGTCTTCGAGATATTGGTGAACCACAGTGTCTTTTTGGTGAAGGAGTAAGGTTGATTAAGATCACGAATGAATGGCATTGACTTTCTTTCTTTTTATAAGCCTGCAGATCGACGTGATCGTCTAAGATATTTGTTGTCCAAGATTCAAGGACGTGCTGTTGAAAGTGAGGATGAATCAGGCAGCGATGAAGATGAGGTATAGAGCGAGAATAACCATCACAAGCTTATTCTGTATAGGAAGAATTCTTTACACCTGGATCAGCTGAATTATTAGAGGCTAGAAAATGGATGACAAAGTACTCTCTTCCTAGAGCCAAGCAAAGAAACGATAGACAGAAAGTAGAACAAAACATCCCTCTTGCTTTACTTAAAGCAAGTCGAAAAGAACTTCATACCAAGCTCAAAGCCTATGGTAGCTGGGGCTCACAAATTGCTGATGATCGACCTGTGGCTCAGTGTGTATTTAGTCCAGACTCCAAGTTGCTTGTGACAGGTGCCTGGTCAGGTTTATGCAAAGTCTGGAGTGTACCTGACGCTGAGCATCTCTTGACGTTAAAGGGACATGATGATAAAATAGGTGGTATTGCGTTTCATCCTGAAGCAACCATCAGTCAAGAGAAAAGTGCTTTGAATTTAGCTACCAGTGGTGCTGAGGGACTCATTCAATTATGGGGTTTAGAAAAGTAAGTATTGTTTTTTTTTTATGTATTCTATGACTTATAAGATATATCAGAGAGACACCTTTGGCGACAATGGAAGGTCATGTTCGACGTATTGCTCGTCTTGGTTTCCACCCATCAGGAAGATATTTAGGTAGTGCTAGTTTTGATGGTACATGGCGATTATGGGATGTAGAAACAGCTAAAGAACTATTATTACAAGAAGGCCATGCTAAAGAAGTCTATGCTATCTCATTCCATGGTGATGGCAGTTTAGTGGCTACAGGGTAAGTTTGTAGGTGGAATATACTTTATTAATAGATCTCCCTATAGTGGATTAGATGCTATTGGCAGAGTATGGGACACAAGAACAGGTAGATCTTCCATGACACTTGAGGGCCATATGAAGGATATTGTGGGCTTAGATTGGTCTCCTAATGGCTATCATTTGGCTTCTGCTAGTGCTGATAATACAGTCAAGATATGGGATGTACGTACACTCCGTAACTTGTATACTATTTCAGCACATCAATCCCTTGTGTCTGATGTAAAATACAGTAAAGGTGTTCCTGGCTACAATAACAACAGTAGTTCTGATCCTCATAATATTGCTGGTCTTTACCTTGCTACTTCTGGTTATGATGGTTGTGTCAAGATTTGGTCTGGTGATGATTTCCAAATGATAAAGAGCTTGGATGGACATGAAGGCAAAGTGATGAGTGTAGATATTTCAAAAGGTATATGCTTTATAGTTTCATTCGATAGGCTTATATTCTGTTTAGACAACAAGTTCATTGCTTCTTCTGGCTATGATCGTACATTTAAACTATGGGCAGATGAAAATATGATTATTTAATAATAAAAAGCAGCGAATTTTTTTTTCTTTTGTTTTCTTTTTACAAAAATGGTGCACGCTGGAAAAAAGAGAAACGCAAAGACACAAGCTAACCCAAAGCCTACCAAGGCAGCAAAAAAAGCAGAAGAGGTATAAATCAAAGTAGATCTCAAGTCATGGCTTACTTACATATATATATATATACTAGATTCAAGGTAAACTATATGGATACATGGTATATGTGCTGATAATGAAAAAGATACAAAAAACAATGATTTATTTGACAATCTCGATGAAGAAATGGATCCTGAAGAAGTAGAAAGCTTTATGGAACAACTTGACAATGACAGCGAACAACAACAAGAAAGTGACAATGAGAAGCAAGAAAGTGATGATGAGGAGCAAGAAAATGATAATAAAATAGTTGAAGAAGAGGAAGACGCAACTATGGAAGAATCAAAACAAGCTTCAGTGCCATCAGAGCAACAAAACACAGCCAGACAATTCCGTGATCTATACATGTCAAAAGTAACTCAAGCTTTTGGATCTGATCTCGATCAAATTAGACAAGTACGTATATTTTTCATATCAGCACTTCTCATATCTCACTCTTTCTTTCTTTCTTTCTTTAGGAGCCTACACTTAATGGACCTCGCTTGAACATTTTGATTGACTCTTTAGAAGCCGGTATTGATATCTTTTCCTCATTAGAACAAGAGATTATTCTTGCAGATGAACAAAAAATAATAAAGTAGTCACAATCGAGTCACATAAAAGTCCTTTTTTTTTTTATGTCAAGATCGCCTTTGTTCTTTTGTGAATCATGTCTACTTACGAAAAGAAAGCTTCCAATCGAAAGGGCAACAATGCCAAAAAGGGCCAAGCACATCAAAACACAACTGCCTGGAAAGTCAACAAAAACTCTAAGAAATCAAGAGAAATCGCAGCTTTGCCAGTCTATGGTCTCTGTCAACGCTGTACAGATGTGATCATGTGGCGCAAAAAGTATAAGAAATACAAGCCTTTGACAACTGTAAAGAGATGGTAAGTGACTTATGGACTAGTTTATGCCTAATAGAGACCATAGTACTTGTTGTCAAGAAAAGGCCATTAAAGAAGCATATCATGTTCTTTGTGATAACTGTGCTCGTAACAAAGGTGTTTGTGCTAAATGTTTGGAATCAAAAGAAATCCTTGTTACGTATGTATTTTGCTTGTATTTATTTGTCTAAACAGAAGGATAGTAAGGATGAAGTCAAGACAAGTGCTGATGAACTAAGAGAAGAACAAGAATTAGAACGCATGTTGAGTAGAATGACACTTCGTCAAAGAAGAAGTTATATGCGTAAATTAGAAAGAGGTGATGATGTGTCTGGTATTATTAACAAGGCCGAGGACAGTGATTTCGACTTTGAAGAAAGTGATTTTGACGATGAGGAAGAGGAAGAGGAAGAGGAAGAGGAAGAGAAAGAAGAGGAAGAAAAGAAAGAGAAGCATTAATTTTGTTACTGTATAGATATAAGAAAAATACCCTCTACTCTTTTCCATGCACTTGTCAATTCATAGACTTAAAATAAACAACTTTGCATTTTATTTTATGTTTACAAGAGAAGTTTAAAGGGATATCCGCCATTCTTGACCTTGAATAAGCCCAACAAAGCACTGAAAATGAAAATAACGCATGCCATCCAGACATAAACACCAATACGTTGACGAAGAGGGTCATCCAATTTAGGTACAGAACTGATCAATGCAATCAATGAAAAGGCAAGAATACCATCTATCAGATATGTTAGCTTTTTTTCTTTCTTTTCTTCTGTTATCATAGTGTACATACAAATACTAGCGACGATTTGAGATTCAACACCTAATTGGGAAGAGAATCTGACAACAAGGATGAGTAACAAAGTCATATATATATATAGTTTTTTTTTTCTTTACCCAGAAGCAATGTAATTGATCTCTCCATTCTTGCCAGGCATAAGGAAAGGTGGTGTACGAATGCGATTCCACATATAGCCTGAATTCATGGTCAATACAATAGCAATTGACACAAGTGTCCAAGTGTTTTTGTGATAGATAATAAAGGAAAAGTTACGATAGACAAGCTTAAGAATAGCAGCGGCACCAATGGCCAAGAAGACTTGAGTACCGAGTTTGACATAATCAAGAGGACGACTGACAGGCACTTTGTATCCAGTTTCTCGGCTCAAGAACTCAGCAAATGATTCTGCCTTGAATCCACTATGAATAAACTATATCAGATTCATGCTTACAGTCTTGTCTAAGCTTACTGTTTAGATAAATCATATTTAACAAAGCCTTTGTTTTCACCAGCCTTTTGAGGAGGGAAATAAAAGACATTAGGAGCAGACATGAGTTTAAGCTAAAGAAAGTATAAGCATCTTCTCTCAATACAACAATGCGTTTTACTTTTTGATAAATAGCTTGACCATCTTGGAAATCTAAATGACCAAAGAAGAGATTATCTTTGTCTCTGGTATTTTGGAAACTTTTTGCAACCAATGTATATTCAGGGTCAAATTCACTATAAACGCGTTAAATGTTTCGGTTCTTATTATCATTCAACTTACCGACAAGGCATACAGTTGAACTGAGGACCAAGTGCTGTTAACAAGACAACAATACCATAATCGCGCTTTCCTTCTGTGAATCTATCATACGTGTTGGAGTTTAACTTGATGATGTTCTTGTCATTCTGTACAAGAGACACGAGTTTTTCTTTCTTGGGATCAGCATGAACAAGCCCAATCAGAAATAGTTGAACAAGTGCAAAGAGAAACGAAATAGGTTTCTTCATTGTGTAAAGAAATAAAAAAAAAGAGAAAAGGGACTTGATTACACAGTGTGTATTCTTCACTTTTGTTTGCAGTTTGCTATTGGCTGAATTTAATGAGTTCAGGCCCAGAAGCATACTGCCAAGCAACAAGCCAAAATTAAAAGCAAATCTCGATTGTTGTAAATAAGAAATGCATTGACAGTATCATCATGGTCTAAAAAGGGAATAAAAACATATAGAAATTGATAGAAGAACTTTTAATCTAACATCGGGAATAAAGTGTGTTCTGCTGTTTAGTAAAGTTTAAATTAAACAGACATTGTAGTCAAAAAATGAGCGGAATTAATTGTTTTCCAGTTTATTTCAGCCAAAGAAAAAAAAAAGCAAAAGTGGAAAAAAGTGGGTATTTATTATACATGTATTTTTTGTTTGTTTGTTTGACTCTAGTAAAAAAAAAAATAGTATATAACATGGCATATTATAAAGAAAAGAACATATAAAAATATATAAAAATATATACATGTATATAGAGTAATGTACGACAATAAATTAAATAAGCTTATCGCATAGAAGAGAAAGAAGATTCGCGGAGTGTTCTAGTACGAGAGCTTGAAGGTTCTGAGGAAACAGAACTGGCGGAAGAAGAAGATTTAGGAGCACACATCAATGGGAGACGTTTGCGGGGTAATTCAACCACAATTCTCTTTCGACGGGCATTGTCACTGCAAGAAGCATCACAAAACCAAGGTTCTTGAGAGGCCACAAATGCATCATTGAGTTCCTCTGGATTTTGGCAACACTTCTGATGGTATGCTTTAGGACATCCTTCACAACGAACAAGTACGTTTCCTTCCCAAGAATCTTTGCGTTGACAACCTGAACAATACAGTTGAAGAACAGGGCGTTCTCGGTCATCAATACTTTCTCTGGTAAATCCTGTGAGATCAAGACGTGGAAGTTTACAAGCAAATCCATAGCCTTTGTAATCACATCCATGTTTACTAAAAAAAAAAAGAGGGGAGGTTAGTTATGTTTCAAACAGCCAATGATAATTACTTACTTGCAAAGAGTACGTTTGCCCCAAGGTCCAGGACGCCAGTTGACACCTTCTGTGGTACCACAGTAGCGACACCAATCAATATTGGCTTTGGTCAGTTTTTGATAAATAGTAGGGTATGCAGTAGCTCTTGGAAGGGCCTTGGGTAAATGGCAATTTTCGTTTACAAAAAGGTCGTCTACGAAGGAATTATCTTTGATTGATTTCTTGGTTCTTTTAGGGTGGTTTGTCTTAGTAGGGGCTTTAAAGCTTTTCTCTTCTTCCTCTTCTTCATCATCTTCTTCGCTAGCTGAATCAGAATCTAAGACTTCATCTACTTCCCAAGAAGTAGTAGAAAAAGTATCATCTTCGTCTTCTTCATCTTCAAAGGTTTGAAATCCTGATGCACTAGTATCAAATCGGTTGTATTCTAAAGATAATCTAATCAAAAGAATAAGTCTGACTATTCCCTGTCTCTTTCTCTTTCTCTCTTTCTTACCTATTAGAAACTTGTTCATCTTCCGATTCTTCACCAGAAGCATCATCAAAATATTCGTTGGATTCAAATAAGGCATCGTCCTTTAAAGTGCCAGGAGAGACAGGGGGAGTTGAATCAGCGAATTGGCTTCTTGAATAAGCAGTCTGACGTTGCTTTTTGTTCTTGATACGATCTTGTATGACAGAATCAGAACAACGGCGCTTTGTACCTGTATATTGAAATCCGTATTCTGAGCCACTATCTGTGTTGGCAGGAGGAGTGGGTAAATCAGTTTGATAATTAAACTTCATGCCCTTGGATAGAGTAAAACAAGGTTTCTTGTTATGTTGCATTCTGACTTCTTCATAGGAACTGGTGATAGTCTGATTAGAAGAGGCACAGTTGGTAGCAAGATCAAGACCAAAATCAAACAGATCCTCATTGTCATCCAGCAAGAATTCGCTGGGAGGAGAGTATTCATGAGGCGGAGTGGAGGCAACGTCGGACTCGTTGTCACTCTGGGTGCACGTGGATAAATCAGAGGGAGACATTTCCCGGCCATCTGTTGTCATGGCAGGAGAGAAAAAGACGTCCTTGACTAATTCCTTTTGGAAGCTATGTTCTACCGTATCATAAGAAATGGTAGCATTCTCCAATGTATGGTGAATGGGAATAGGATGCATGACTGGTGCTGGATAGTACTGGTAATCGGAGAAAGAAAAATAAAAAATGGTTAGATATTTATAACTGATATGCAAACGACTTACGGTTCTAGTATGTACAGGTTGGGAATAATAGCCTAAATTGGCACTAAAGTCCAAGTATTGAGGCTGTAAAGCAACAGCAGACATGGAAGGAACCACAATAGGAGAAGCTTCGGGAGACATAGCAGCCCAGGCATCCTTGGACTGACGAGTGGTTGTAGATGGGATACGGTGATATGCAGGGCGATAAACAGAATAATTCTTTTGCTGTTGTTGTTGGTATTGTTTTTGCTGAAAGTGATATGGCATATCGGCATGTGTTTCTTGTTGATGAGGGTAAGGCTTAATATTAGGCATAGCTCGAGGGAAGCTCATTGGATAAAGAAAGTAATATTTAAAGAAAGTGTGATTAACAAAACAAAAAGTTCATCAATTTGATGAAGAAATATATATATATATGAAAAAAGAAAAGAGAAATATTAATAAAAGAAAGAAGAAAAAGAGATTAGAGTTGCAAGTGGGATTTATATACAAACTTTAGTATCACGCTAGAAGAAAAAAGGAAGATCCTTAATTGGGGGGAGAAAGGGGGAGATGTGTTACCTTGCGCGTGAACCAAATAGTCAGTAATAAATATAAATATTAGCTAAAAGGTCCAAGAGTCTATTTTGCTCAGTTGAGGTTATTCTAGTGGCAAGTCTCTCTTTGAAATTAAGAACGTGCCACCTTGTTCCATTTATAAAATACTCGTCCCACTGTATTCAATTTGTCAGTGCACATTCTCCGACTTAATCCAGTTCCAAAAAAGAAAACAAGAACAGACCAAGTGTATCGAGATGCATAAAGGAGAATGATTTAGTATAAATTCGGCTTCTTTTTATTTTTTAATTTGGCCTGGGTCTTGGTGGGGAAACTGGTTCTTTTATGCCTTGTATCTACGGAGGTCTTTTGTTTATCTCGGAAATCACTCTTTATTTTGTTTATGTTGAGAAAGTGGCAGATCAATTTTTTATTTCAGGCTCAGATGATTTTTTTTTTTTTACCAACCAATTTTGTCTCTCCTTATTATTTTTTACCACAGGCAGATTTGCTTCAATGCAAAATAAAGAGAGAAGCACATGTAGCACTTGCGTTGTACACCTCGTGCTCTACCATTTTAACCATACTACTTTTCTCATACACTTGTGTGTATTAGACAAGGAAAAGACTAGTAAGCTAGACAACGCATCATTATGGTCTAGACAACAGGTTTCGATACAGATCTATATAATTCAAACAAGGAAAAGAAAGGGATCACAGTGTATGCGGGCTGTCAGATTCCACGTTGCCTTATTGCTCTTTGTAAAAAAAACGTGGAAGCTTAAATAAGGGTTTGTATCTTGGTTCATAGGATGAGATTTCCTCACTTACTCTTACTTTCACACTAAATACAAAATTTCCTTGTAAATTTTTCACTTTCTCTTGCTTTTTTCGTGACCCTTCTTTTTTTCAGCAGTAACACAAAATTCATTCCCAAAATAAAACGCAACCCTATTTGACTGTAATTTCCCAATTCGTGAACGTCATTAAGACATTTTACAAGAATAGTACAACTAGAAAGAAAACTTGATGGACTGCATATTTGTTTACTTATAACTCCACTTATAAATAACGTAAACCTGTCTTTATTGTTTATTAAATGACGCTTTTAAAGGTACATAGCTTAAGTTTATCATTGGATGAACCTTAAATTTTTACTGTTAGCTTCCACCCCCCCCTCTTTATCTATTCGTGTCTAAACCACCAATCATTCCGAAAAAGAACAGATAACAATTTTTTTGTACAATATTCCCAATCAGTCAATTTATTATTATTATTATTTGTTTAGCTGACTGAAGTATTGTAGACCGTTTTTTTTTTAGTAAGATTCGTAAAAGACAAAAAGTAAAGCTGTATTTCTGTTATTCCGGCCCCCATTTCCAATTGCTAGATTAAATTACTACATCTCTATTTTATGTTGCGCCATTAAATAATATCAAGGTATCACAAGAAATTATACAGAGTTACAAAAATCACAAGAGTAAGCTAGACACAACAGAGATAGAAGGAACCAAAGTAGGCGGATTTAAGTAGTTTTTTCAGCCATTACAGTCTTTGATTTGTGTTTAGCTTCAGCCATTTACTCTGAAACGCGCATAGTTGATTAAGTAAACAAGTTTTCTTTCCCCGCTTTAAGTTGGGAAAATAAAGCCTCTCTACATGATCTAATACCTTATCTCAGTAAGCAAGCTCCGCGCCAAATACTAGATCTCTATAGTATTTTATAAAATAGACATCTCTTGAAGTTCTCAAGATATTATATAGAAAAGAAAGTGTATATATATGTGTAACTAAACTTTCTTTTTTTTTTCGTGTTCAACATGGAAGCTTCTCGTATAGGAATGCTAAAAGAAACAATAAATCCTTCGTTTTTCTTGTGTTCAGAATAAAAGACTCAGAAAGATATCATGTGCTCGATTTACTGGTGCCGAATAGATCTGAGATAAGGCTTATAAGCGGGCTCTCCTTTCTTGCTCTTAACAATGAAATATCCTAGACCAAAACAAACAAATAGCTACTGCAGAAAGTAGAAACCGCATCAATTATGTCTAAAGAGAAAGAACGTTTGTGTTGTTTATCACATGAGAGTATAGATTGTGTAATTGTTCTATAAAATGATACTTTTTTTATGCAGTGTCTGAATCTTTGAATCAGGTAAAGAAAACCACGATTGAACCTCAGAAGCTCACTATGATGAGAAAAACTAGATAGTGCGTGTGGGAAGATCACAGTCCAGTTGTTTCCTCCTCTCTCCTCCTCCTCCCCCCCCCAAATAGTTTGAAGATCCTATAATATTACTTCTGTGTAACTTTTGTAATATCAGAATGTATAAATCCTGGCATTAAAATCTAAAAATACATGTATACACAATCAGTTTACTTGTTATGAGAATTGGAATCATGTAAATTGCATGTAAATTGCATTGAACTTGTTTTGCATGCGTATTTTGCTAAATGCAGAATGATTTAAAATTGTAAATAGTTCTTTTTTATAAGAATCATTGTCAATAACTCTGTTGATCTGTGCTTGTCGTTACTTCAACTTCAGTACATCATAGAAACAAAAAGATATGTAGCGTCCAAGCTAAAGCCGAAAGGTACATTTCATTTCTGCGATCCGCTATTATTATTTTTGTTTTAATCGACAGAATGACACATTGTTCTTTTTTAAATACTTTAAAATGCCATAGTTGGTTATAGGAGAGTTGTTCTATAGACGTCTTAATTTGGCATTACTATACTCACTGACAGCACAATGATAATATAATCCATTAAGCTCAGTTGCCGCATTTAATGCACAAAATAAAGATCTCAATAGCTCTAGTTAAACTGCAATAAAGTTTGACAGATTTTAATCTCGGAATAATAAAGAGAATAATGAAAAGTTTGGCAAGAAACCAAGCTCTGTAAATCTAAACAGCAAGTGTTTCTATTTCTAAACGTTTTCCCGATCCACGAGAAGCAGGAGTTTGAAAGATGCGTAGGTAATTTAATTATGCAGAGGGAGAAAGAGAGGGGTCATAAAATCTCGATCTTTGCTTCTTATGGTATACTACAAGCTAGTTCTTAGAACTTATCATTCTAGAATACCGAGGCTGGCTTTCAGTTAGTATTTCAAATATATATATATATATATATATATATACAAATGATCAAAAAGAGAGAAAGAAAGAGAGAAATGCATCTTATCTAATATGTGCTACATGAAAGGTGGCATTGTTGAACCACAAGATAGTCAAAGAAAAGTGTATTTTGATATGAGCTTTAGATTGATTAAAATAAATTCTATCAATTTTGAGAAATTTTTCAAGATAATCAAAGATACCCCTGATAAAGTGAAAGGTCAAATAAGAATCGAAATTTTCTTTTAGAAAGATTTGATAGCAATCTTGATTAAATCTAGGATGGAGTTTGGTTGGCTAGTTTTACATCAGGTTATAAAGGAAGTTGACTTGAATAGCTTAAATGAAGAAAAATAGAAAAGATAAACGTAAGCTTATTCAATGGCTATATCAGTATTTAATGTCTCTTGTAAGCAACCATAAGAAGCTCAAAGTGCTATATTACGCATCCTTTTCTTTTTAGATACATATAGTCTGCCTGACCCTTAGTCTTTCTGCTTTTGTATTTTTTTTAGCTCAATTAATTACTTTGGGCTTGTGGCTTCATAAACAAGAAAACCTTGACAAATTGAAAAGCTCGATTTTTTGAACTCTAAATATACCTGGTTATCACTGTCCCATTTTCTCGTAGCTGCAATGGCCAACACACGAACACTAATGGGTACTAGCACATCAAAGTATTCTTTTTTTTTATATATCTTTTCAAAAACCATTTATGCTATTAAAAGTTTCAAGTTTATTAAAGTATGTCAGGGACGTTATAAGCACTCATATTAATGCAATCGCTTTATACCATAAACCAAGTGATAGATAATTCCTGATCCTTCTCAAAGAAGAGGGGCATACATCTATTTTATAATAGCAAAGGCGAATAAAGAACAATAAAAAACAAATGCTTGAATTCATGACATACTGTGCAATAATATTGATGAACCACAAAGTGCAACAGGTTGCTTGGACATGTTGCATTTTGAGACTCAACCATTATGCTAAAAAAAAACCAAAAGAACATGCCATGCTTTTTTGATATTTGATTAGTATCTCTCTTTCGAAAGGACTTGGGGTTACACATTGCTATGTTAGACAGTAATATGTAAATGGCAAAAACAAGCGTGCTTGGAGTTCAAATGTTTCTGAAAACGACGGACTATGGAGTTGGAGAAAAGAAGCAACAATACACACGTTTATCTAGTTGGTTGCAATGGGTTTTTATTCAAAAACCTCTTTCTTTAAAAAAGAGAGACATTGTAATAAGCAATATACATAAAATCAAAATGGATGCTGTATGGTATGAAAGACCTTATAAGGGATTTTTCAAGTAGTTTTTAGATAATATTACCAAATAAACTTGCAAATAAGAAGATTCTATTTCAAGGTCAATATGAATAGAGTAACATCTAAAAATAGGCAAAGAAAATGAAGGTAGAATATTTTAACAGAATTTACCAGGTTTGATTTAACAGCATTGGTTAATTTTTAAAGAAAGGCATAATTGTATCCAAATACTTCCCAATAAAACGACAAGCGAATGCATTATGCTGCTTTCTTGTAGAAGTCTTTTAAGTATAAATTTTAGTGCTTTCCAATATTGGACCAAAAAAGCCTATAAATAATTGTTGATATAGCAGTGTAACCATTTATTATAGCCATTTTGTTGCATATAAAAGGCTCAGGATTTTTGCAGAAAATCCAAAAATAAACAAAAAAAAAGCTTCATCTTCTTTCCTTTCTCTTCTCTTTCAATTCGTCATTCATTTAAATGCTCATTACTAAATCACTCGTCATTATTGCAGGTGCAGCTCAAGTCTATGCTGCTACAAAGACCAGCGGAGATTATGCTCCTCAATTCTCTCCTGTGTTTCCCAAGATGCCAAAGGCTACAGGTGTTGTTACTTCGTATGATCCTAATGCCTTTCCCAAGACAACCAGCTTATCCAAAAAGCAATTGGAAGGATATCCTGAACCTTGGTCTGCTCCTCCTACAGATACTGCTGAAGTCAAAGCTATCTACAACAAGATTGACTGGTCCAAAGTTCCCAAGGCCCCTGTCAGAAAACAAACAAAAGATGGTAACTGGGTCTCTGACACAGATGGTCCCAAAGATCCCTACTGTTGGTGGAGTGACACCAACTGTGTCAAGCCCAAGGCTTCTTACTTGCCTCCCGATATCTATACTTGTGAAAATGATGGTGAATGGGGTCTTACTTATGATGACGGTCCTTTCAACTTGTACGATGATGGCAATGCCAAAACAGAAAACAAGTATGCTGAACCAGCTCTCTATAACTTTTTGGCCAAAACTAACCAAAAAGCTACCTTGTTTGTAAGCGATCATTGCGTGCTGAATAGAAATCAGTTTCTAACCATTTCTTTTTATGTTAGTACATTGGTTCCAATGTTGTAACTTATCCTGCTGCTGCTAAGCGCGGTTTGAACGATGGCCATCATATCTGTGTCCATACATGGTCTCATCCTCCTATGACGACTCAAACCAACAAGCAAGTAGTTGCTGAATTATACTGGTCTTTAAAGGCCATTAAGGAAGCCACTGGTATTACCACCAAGTGCTGGAGACCTCCTCAAGGTGACGTAGATGACCGTGTTCGTGCCATTGCCTGGCAAATGGGTCTTAGAACTGTCATCTGGGATGAAGATAGCAACGATTGGCAAATGAAGGCTCCTGGTGGTGGTGACCTCCCTACCAGTACCGTAGATGGCTACTTTGAAAAATGGATCAACAACTACAAGTCTGGTAAAGACAAGAAGGGTCATATTGTCCTTGAACACGAATTGAACCATGCTACCGTCAATATGTCCATGTTCTGGATGCCTAAGCTTCAAGAAACCTTTACTGTTCTTCCTGGTTTAGCTTGTAATGGAATCAGTCAACCATACTGGGAAGAAAACTTTGTATACCCCACTGGCCCTACTAGCAAGCCTAACAAACCTAGTCCTTCCAACCCTTCTAACTGTGATTCTGGTTCTTATGGTTTGGGCAATGGTGATGGTTACAACGGTGCTTGTTGTAAGGATCAATCTGACTGCCAAGATGATTGCATCAGTGGTAAATGTGATGGTCCAAAGAACCCCAATTCTTCTTCCTCTTCTTCTAACTGTGATTCTGGCTCTTATGGTTTGGGCAATGGTGATGGTTACAACGGTGCTTGTTGTAAGGATCAATCTGACTGCCAAGATGATTGTATCAGTGGTAAATGTGATGGTCCAAAGAACCCCAATTCTTCTTCCTCTTCTTCTAACTGTGATTCTGGTTCTTATGGTTTGGGCAATGGTGATGGCTACAACGGTGCTTGTTGTAAGGATCAATCTGACTGCCAAGATGATTGTATCAGTGGTAAATGTGATGGACCTTCCAAGCCTGATTCTTCTTCTTCCTGTAAGTCTGGTTACAGGGGAAAGAAGAAGGGTAACGGTCCTAAGAACGCCTGCTGTTCCACTCAATGGGACTGTAACGATGACTGTGTTCAAGGAAGATGTACATAAATTGAAACTTTAATATTTCTTTTTATTTACACAATAAAGTTTATACTACCAACAAACTCATGTTATAAAAGAAAAGACAAAAGTATACATCATATGCATTCGTTGGAATTGTTTATATTTAACTCTCTCACTGTGTATGTGCCAGCATAATTCGGAGTATGGAAGGACCCTTTTTTCATTTATCTTTAAAGGGTAATTGCATGTCCTTAAATACCAGCTTTCAAAGTTTTTTTTTTCTTTTCTTTGTCCATCATGAGCTCAGCGTGTGTAAAGAGCAGCTCGAATGAACTTCGGAAGCGGTCAAAACCTATTGCTTCTGGAGAAAAGAAATCAAATACTGTTGAGCATTTCGATGAAGACATTGCTACAGTAAAAAAGGTACATGTCAATATAATAAATCAAATCATTATTAACTGAATCTTAAAAGTCTTTAAAGTACAATGCTTCTCATCATGAAAGAAAGCACAATATTGCATCCATAGCTGTTGTCATCATGTCTTTTTTCACTACTTTCTATAAAATATGGTTTCCAGCACAAGTCGTGTAAGTAAGATACCAACTCCTTTATGAGTGGTCTCATCATTGCCTTGTAGATTTGATGAAGTTCATTTTGGTAAATTTGCTGGTTACTACCTTCAGCGTTCTTTCTTTTTTGACGTCCATCCGCCTCTTGCTAAAATGATGTTTGCAGCAGTGGGTTATCTCGTCGGCTTTGATGGTGTTTATAAATTTTCTAATATTGGGGAGAGTTATGCTGCTAATCATGTACCTTACCTTGCTTTACGCGCATTGCCAGCCACACTCAATGTGTTTAGTGTAGCCCTTGTCTATCATATCTTGCGCGCATCAGGCAGTTCTGTCTTGACATGTTTTGTTGTTGCAACACTTTACCTTTTGGATAATGCGTTTATTGGACAAAACAGACTGATTTTGCTTGATAGTATCTTGATTTTCTACATGCTGGCTACTGTGTATTCATACATCCAATTTCGCAAATATCGACATCTGTAAGTGTATAAAATTAAGGTTGTTATTGTTTCTTTTTCGTATGCTTATGCATCTTGTAGTTCATTTAGTTATACATGGTGGAAGTGGTTGATTAGCACTGGCATTTGTATGGCACTTACATTAAGGTAAACTTTAATTCTAATCAGTTTTGGGACTTATGCATATGACAGTGTGAAAATGATTGGTTTATTTGTTGTGGCAGCCATTGGTATGTCTGTCCTGATTGATCTTTGGGATTTATTGGATTCAAAGAAATATGGCTTGTCTAATGTAAGTTGTGTTCGATTAAGATCAGATAACCAACACGGATGATGTAGAAACAACTTGTACAACATTTTACTGCTCGTTTTATTGGCTTAATTACTATTCCTTCTATTGTCTATATGTTTTGGTTCTATGTTCACTTTGAGATCCTCAAGTATTCTGGTCCTGGAGATGCTTTCATGAGCCCTGGTTTTCAAGATACACTTTATGATAGTCCTTTGAGACTACAGGCACTTGGTAAATATAGGAAAAAGAGCATATCATAGACTCATGTGTTCCATAAATAGATATCATGTACAATCAATCCATCAAACTTCAACATGGCGAAACAACTGCCTTTCTTCATTCTCATGCACTTCGATATCCAGCTCAATATGAAGATAGTCGCTATAGCTCGCAAGGTGTTCAAGTGACAGGCAACTTGAAACCAGATCTCAACAGTTACTGGCGTATTAAACCCACTCAAGAGATTGACTATAGCTTAGGCACACATTATGTTCGACACAAAGACATTATTCAGCTTGAACATGTTGGTACTGGTCTCGACCTCTTGACGCATAATGTGGCTGCTCCTTTGACTCCTACCAATCAAGAATACACTACTGTGAATCATATTCAACATTACAATGATACTTTGTTTCGTGTCGAGTTGGATTCTCATAAAGACTCCGATGTTTGGTCCACCATGACAAAAGCAGTCAAACTGATCCATGTGAAGACAGGTGTCGCCTTATGGTGTAATAGTAAAAACTTGCCTGCTTGGGGTATGAACCATCTCGAGATCAGTGGAAACAAACTAGCAAAGGAGCCCAGAAACAATTGGGTCGCTACTGATATCTTGGGTGTCAATGCTACTGAAGTCAATCTTGGCAAAGACAAGACAGTGAAACATATGCATTTCTTGGTCAAGTTTGTTGAATTGCAGCTACGCATGATTCTTCATAACAATCGATTGACAGGCACTCATCCTTATCAATCCAGTCCTATTGTGTGGCCTATGATGTTGCGTGGTATTTCTTACTGGACAGAGGCTTCGTCGAATGGTCAAATCTATCTTACAGGCAATATTGCAGGTTGGTGGATAGGTCTCACATGCATTGGGGTCTTTAGTATGATCTATATGGGTCACATGATCCTCCAAAAACGGGATAAAGTCATGATGCATGAGGCCACTCGTATTCGGTTGACTCGTACAGGCGGCTTCTTTTTGCTGTTATGGGCCATGCATTATTTCCCCTTCTTTTTGATGGGTCGTTGCTTATTCCTTCATCATTACTTACCTGCTATGGCATGTAACTATTTGTTATTGGGTACCGTGTTTGATTACCTGTTTGTGGATGGGATCAATACGCCTATTTCCTATCAACCTCATGATAAGAAATTTAGTCTGAACCAAGCTCGCTTAAAACTCAAAAGCTTTGTTGCAGCTGGTATCCTGATTGGTATGCAATTTATGGTCTATCTCTTTTTATCACCACTGACCTATGGTACACCCGGATTGTCTGCTGAAGAAGCTACTCGGCGTAAAGTATTAAAGACATGGGATATTCAATTTGGTAAGTGAATAGCTTTCTATGTGTTACCCTTTGCTCATGATAGATATAGCCACACCCTAAAGCGTATATATGTTTCATAACAATAACAATAAAATATATCATGGTACAATTAGGCTGGTAAATATTGTCATAGAATTGATAAGGAAGGGGTATTTTCAAAGTCGAAAGCCATAACGTATAGTTCAATATTGAATCCGTTAAATACCGCATCAAAAGTAACAAATTGTTTTGGATCCTTGCTCTTCATAAAACGAACATGCAGTTGTCTTTTAAGTAATTCAGATGTTCTAGCCCGATCTTCCTCTACTAATTGAGAGGTGGTGCCTGGAGGCTTTATCTCACCATAACCAACCTCTTGACCATTTGCGACCAAAACAAAGTCAACTCGAATCCTTCTACAGGCATTATTAGTTGTTAAGATTGAAGACTTTTCCCTTTAATAATTTATTTTCTGGCTATACATGTTTCAGCATAATGGTTAGAATCCTCATCTGTGATAAATGAATCAAACTCCTCCAGCCTCTGGCGATAGTGAAATTGGTTCCAGTTGAGAAGAGTCGTTCACTCCAAGATAATGACCATTGTCATAATCGTTATTGCTGTTGTGATCTTCATGATCTATATTCGGAGCAGTACAGTTCAAATAATGTTTAACTGCAGCCACTTTTTACCATATTTTCTTGCTAAGATCTTGGCTCTCAACATTTCCGTAGTTGATGTATTGGTTAATCACTAGACTTTTTCCTTTATCGCCCTGTATCAAGAAAAGTAAATTAATAATCCACATTAGCTCACAATATTCATTTAGTATTACCTCTGAGTTCGTACCTTTAATCAAGGAGTCCAAGTAGTCTTTCAATTCGTCATTGATAATAGAATGATTACCAATAGTCTTGATGGCTTTTTTCGTAATTTGCTCTTATCCTTTTATTTCTTGGCTGAACTGTTTCGTGTTCTTTAAAAGATGGATAATCCCATAATCGAGGTGGACAGTTATTGAAGTATTTGAAAATCAGGTTACTGGGGTGCTTTATTTTCTTGTCAATATCAAGCATTTGCAAAAATATAAAAAGGTCAAAAAAATTTGATTGACTAAAAAAGTGTCCTTTACATATTTATTAAGGATGTATTTCACTTGTAATATTGTTCTTTACTTGCAATGATCTCAATGGACGGAATAGATTTTGGTTGAATAAGCTAAAATGACAAGACTGCCGTTAATGCTGTGGGACTTTTGAAAGGCATTGATGACGAGTCCGAACAATTTGCGCTGCTTGACGTTGTTCCCTACAATATGACAGTAGTTCCTTCTTTAGAGGAGATGGTATTGTCTTTTTCTTCTGGTTAAATCATTGGTTATGCGTCTGAGTATTTATGAGATAAGCATGGTATCTTATAATCTGTATAACATATTCTAGCCCTTTTTCTTGCTTAGGTAAAAGGAAACAAGTCAATTAGCTATCGTCCTATATTCAAATTGGCGTTTGTTCAACAATGCGATACTGCTTATTTGAATTAGTGTGACCAATGCTATCTTGTGTCTTCTGGATAAGGATTTTATTCTATTGCATCTTGTTCTTGGTCAGAACTCCATCTATTTTTTGTTTTATTCCCTATTACCAATTTTATATTCCCTCTCATAGGTATAAGTCGTTACCAAAATAAACAATATATAATATTATTTCAATATTATTATCTAACAGCAGCTCCCACTTGAAAAAGCATAAGCCTCTCTAAAATAACATCAAAAATAAGAAACAAGCAGCCCGCTTCGAATTATCGAGGAGTACAGTGAGACAAAAGACCATCAAGGCTGGCTAAAATTTACTGGGACAGAAATATTGGTATGAAGTAGTCTGAAATCTGCCAGAGAAAGAGAGATGGCTGTAGGGTGATTGATGTAATGGTGTTATGGATACACTTGATGAGCATGAAATGTCAGGTTGTCGTCTCATCCTGAATAATACCACTATATACATGTAAGACTTTTTGCTGTTCAAAATCAATCAAAAGTCGCAGACACTTACCCTTTTCTGAACCCAATCGAATTCTTTAGGTCAAAAGTTAAGGCTAGAGTAAAGAGAGACTGCTTCACTGCAGTTGATGATATCACTGAATCGGCAACTGGCCTTTTACTTTTACCCATTCTACTTAGCCTGCCTCAACCAACAATACACTTGAACAGAAACCGAAATTCTAAAAATCAACAATATTTACCAGCCTAACTATACCATGATAGATTTTATTATATCTCGAGAACAACTCTCTCGTTGATTCGTTAAGTGTTAGAATAATGAGGTCATTTGTTTTATTTGATTGGTTCTGGCTGCATAAAGATAAGACCTTATGGTAACTGAGACTTAAACGCGTATTTCACGTGTCTCCTGCTGAGATTAAAAAATCAGTTTAAATAGAGTCTATTCAAGTTTTTTTTTTTTCTATTTCTTTCTTTTTTCTTTACTATTCTGTTACATGTCTACTACCACTGACACACGACCTGGTTTATCCACTTTGTTAAAAAGCAAAATTGGTAAATTCCATCATGCTCAAAAGAGAAAACCATCCTCATTACGTAGTAAAAGTAGCCCAGCCCTTATTGTGGCGGCACATGAGATGAAACAAAAACCCATTCCTACTTGTCAAACCATCGTTGATCTTTCGTAAGTATCTTTAAAGAAAGAGGAAAAAATAAGCTTATGTTTTTGCATAGTGCACTAGATGAGGATGGATTTACTCAAACAGTCTCTTTGTTGCTCTCTCAACTCTTTGATATCCATGACACAAGCCTCCAGCTCGAAAGAGTAAGTGGCGCATTAACCAATGCCGTCTTTTTTGTTACCGCAAGTCATAAACGTATGCTATTACGTGTCTATGGTGTGGGATGTGAGCAAATACTCGACAGAAACAAAGAACTTGACTGGCTCAGTCGTCTTTCTGAATTGCATATTGGTCCTCGATTGCTTGGCATCTTTGGTAATGGTCGTTTTGAAGAATATTTACCTTCCACTACGCTGACTTGCAAGGACATTCGTACCTCTTTTATCTCGCTACAAATTGCTTCTCGACTACACCAATTACATTCCATTGTCAACACGTTCCCGCCTGAACCCAACGAGCCACTCGAAGTCTGGACAAACATCGATAAATGGTTTGCTGCACTTGACTTGGCTCTTTTGAAATCCAAGCATCCTGATTGGACAGCAGAAATTGAATCAAAACTCGATGTGGACTCATTACGTGATGAAATCGAGTGGTGCAAGTCTATTTTAATGACATCCACCAGTCCAACTGTGTTTGCACACAATGATGTAAGTTCCATTTGCTATAGAAGAAAGGCTAAATGATATCAATAGACACAATATGGTAATATTCTTAAAATCAATGGCACAGAGGAATTGGTAGTGATTGATTTTGAATATGCTGGTTATAATCCTCGAGCCATGGATATTGTGAACCATTTCTGTGAATGGATGTATGACTACCATAGTCAACAACCAGCCAAGATGCATGTAGATCAATACCCCACCCTACAGGAACAATCCTTGTTCCTGGCTTCCTATCTAAACACACAAGACCAAACTCAAATACAAGCCTTACAAGCAGAAGTGGATGCTTGGAAGATGGCTTGTCATTTGTTTTGGGCACTTTGGGGACTTGTTCAAGCCAGCCAAAGTGAAATTGAGTTTGACTATCTTTCTTATTCTCTTCAACGTATTAAAGCCTTTCGAACAGAATTAGATCATCATAGGCGATAGAAAGAAAAATAAAAAAAAAGCCTGTCCTACTCTCTATTACCATTTTTAGTTTAATCGCTTTCTGCAAGCATTTTCTTTTGTTTTTTTTTCTCTCTTTCTTTCCCTTTTCTTTATATAATGCCAAAGAACAATCAAAGTAGCTTACATGATAGACTATCTTCACCTAAAGAGTAAGACTCAATGATCAAAAAAAAAAAAAAAGATACTGAATGTAAAATAGAGTACCAGCATTTGCAAAAAAACCAATTTTAGGCTTTTCTACTTGGTCTTCTCAAATACTGGATGATATACCTGGTTATGGTGGTAAACACATCAATCCATGGTAAATCCTATTCTTTACTCTGTATTTTATCAACCCTTGAGTTAGGTTTAATGAACAAAACATAAAAGAGATCTCTGACACAATGAAACTCAAGATGCCAGCTTATGAATATATTAATCTTGACTCTGGCTGGTAAGAAAAGGGAAAAGGCATCACTTGACTGACATTGTCTCTGTTTAGGTGTAGTGAATGTGATGAATTCGGTCGTTGGACTGTACGTCAAGATCTGTTCCCTCATGGTTTACGTCCAGTATCCGACTATTTAAAAAAGAATGGACATAAACTAGGTGTTTATATCTTGCCTGGTATTCGACAAGATGCTGTCACTCAACAAAAACGCATCAAGGGCACACACACGACACTCGACCAAATCACACCTTCACGTAAAGAAGGCTGTGGTTTCAAAGGCACTACATTCATGCCTGATGAACATAATGAACTCGTTCAAGCCTATTATGACTCCATTGCTGATCTATTTCATGAATGGGGTATTTCCTTTGTCAAACTAGATGCTGTTGGACCTGGTGGTGGCAGTGAATATTATCCTTATACAAGCCCTGATAATCGTGCCTGTACTCAAATGATGTACCATGCTTTTAAACGATACGATATTTGGCTTGAAATCTCCTGGCAGATTGATGTGAGCTATGCAGACGAATGGGCCCATATATCCAATGGTGCCCGTGTCTATGTGGATATTGAATCGTATTCGACTCGAAGCATGACTAGTTCGCACCGTGTCATGCAGCGTATTACTCCGTGTGAGAAATGGGCAGAGACGTGTGTGGTAGGCAGTGACTATGGATTCTATATTGATCTGGATGCTGTCTTGGTAGGCATGACAGTCAATGGCAAATGTGTAGATGGACTGGATAATGACGATATACGTCAGACGTACATCAGTTTCTGGGCCCTTGTGTCCTCTGTGTTCTGTACTGGATCGGATCCTCGGGCGATTCCCGACAAGTATTTAGCCTGGTATAATCATCCTGAAATCTTGGAGATACATCAGAGTGGTGTGATGGCCAGACCGATTGGTTCTGGTAATGTGTGGCAGAATAGAAAACAAGTCTGGTGGAAGAGACTCAAAGATGGTCGTATCTATGTATGCTTAATCAATGCTCATACGTATATCTTTATGCTTGGTCTAAGTCATGAAGTCACACTTGAATTGGCCCATCTTGGCTTACATCGTGCTAAATTAAAAGATGTCTGGACAGGTGAAATGTTAGGTGTGTATGACAACAAGTACAGTATTGTGTTACGTGCTGGACAGAGCCAGACGTTACTTGTTAGTCCTGCTTAATTTATTATTGTGATAAATCTGTTTAATAATAAAGGCTGCTACATCAAGATCCTATAAGACAATGTAAATCCCTTCTCTCTATACCATGGTTATCTTACCTGCCAATACTGCATATGAGCACTAAAAGCACTTAAATAAGGGTTTTCTAATAGACCTTCTTGAATACAATAGTCTACACGACCTGTTTCATTTAACATTTTGATCTTTTTGGCTCCCTGTAAATAAGGTGTAGCATGCGTCGTAGGAAGCTTCGTATGAACAGGATCACTGTTGGATCGAATACGGGTCAACTGAGTATCTTTTTCTTTCTCTTCTTCTTTTTTTTTTCTTCTTCTGCTTCATGGTCACTGCTCACTTCTTGAGGATGTGTGTCTTCATAAATCTGTTGTCTTGATAACCCTAATCCACGCATAAACAAGCTGGTCGTCAAACCCATTTTGAATGATTCGTACATGGCACCTGCTCGATTGGCAATGCCTGATCCCATATTAAAACTAGCATCAATCACACCTTTTAGGCCACCCTTCATGTAGGGAATAGGTTCTGGCTTTAGTTTAGCACTGTAATGACGAGCAATCAAGGGTTCAATACGATACGCCACAGGATCAGACTATAGAGTTGTGAGTAAATATACATAAAATGGTCTTTTCACTTGCTTTATGAAAGATATTGTATAGATTCTCTACGGCTGGATAACAGAGATTGATAGCACGGGGTGAAGGTGATTTTACATCAGAAAGAGCAATATGAGCATCTGTCTGATTCAATGATTTTCTAGAGGCAATCTTAAATCCACGCAAGAGCAAGATGACACCTAAAGGAGATCCAGCTGCAAAAAAATTCTGGACAGGAAATAAGAGAGGAGGTAGTTTTTGTGAACTGGTGGGTATAGCATGTTCATCTAATGAGTTGGTTGTATCGGGTGGTGTCATGGGCTGTAATGTCAACATATCAAATGCTAAAAGAGACTATATATATATATATATATATATATGGGATATCATCAATATATAGGCCTCGCTTGATTCTCTCTACTTTACCCCTAATGAGTGTCCAAAGATAGACACTTTACCATGCTTTAGGAAATCAGGGTTCCTTGTGCCAAACAAGCGATAGATACGATTGATTTCTTTTGTGATGATCTGCGTCATCAACTCACGATAACGCGGTGTCATATACAAGGGGACTTGAAAAGTGAGCGATCCTATAAGATATAGATAGCCTTACCATCTAACAAGACATCAGAGACAACCGTACGTATGTTGGGAACACCCTCTAGTGTTAATTCATCCAGAGTAGGACAGCCATCTTCTACACCCAACATACCAAGATCTGCTTCCATTTCTTCTTCATCATCAGCAGCCATACCAAACTTAACATCTTGTCTCCACATGACAGGCAATACTTGAATACCATTAGGTCGATGTGGTTCAGAAGCCATTGCTGCAGGATAAGCCAATTTAAGTGTCTTTCTCATTGTATTGACATCTATACATGTTAGTTTTTTTTTTTTTTTTCTATTTGTCTTTACCATGAACAAAAGAATGGCCTGTACGTTCAGACATTTTCTGGCCCACACTAGATGGGTTAGTGACACATCAACAAAGTACAACTTACCCATGGATAACAAACATAAGATGGTCAATCTTTCTTACTTCTTCTTCACTATTGTCATAGTCTTCCATCACTTGTTCATCTTCAGAAGTATCTGATTTCTCGTCTTCTGTTGTAGGCACAGTGGGTTTTGGTTTTGATTTCTTGGTCATTTCTTCAACAGCAGCATAACCCCGCACAAGACGAGTTCCGCCTAAATTTTGCTTGTTTGTTAAACGCGTAATGATACTCTTGGCAAATTTACTACTGGCACTATTACTAGAACAAAAAAAAAAACAAGGCTATCAATCTACCAATCACAGGAATTACACTTACGATAACAGCCAAGCAGTATGTTCGCCTGTATAGACAATGTATTGGCCTAAATAAGGACCTAATAGATTCCATTGTTTATCCACTGATTGTTTAGAAAGTGACATTTCCAGCTTCTTTTCTTCTGCAGATTGATTGTCTTCTTCATTTTGACTCAGAGTTGCTGTTGATGTGGTCAAATAAGGCTTATGTTTACTAACATATAGTAGGTAAGCTACACGAATACAACCATGATTTCACTTTACTAGTAACCCAATTCAATTTGCTCAGCCATGTTTTCTTCACAAGGCACCCAACCATCTGACTGCATAAACCAAGTGGCTCTACGGACTTCATACGTGGGGCCTTCCCAGTAAACAGGACTAATGGTACGTTGTGTTACATCGACTTCAAATAAATGGTCTTCATTGACAGGCACTCTTGCTCTCACATCATGATTCTTGTTAAAATATAAGTTCATACACTCTCATATACAACGATTGGCTTACTTGATAGGCTTTCTCTAAAGCAGCTGAATCACGTTGAGAAAAAGGAACCCATTTGCTTGACAGTTTGGGCTTAGGACTACTGGTTTGCTTATTAAGCGTAGAAGAACTCTTGGCTCTTCGAATAGAAACAGGGTCTAGAATAGGATTATCAATAGCATGAAACCTACAAAAAAAAAAGAAGAGAAACCCCCATCAATTCATTATACATCCATCAAAAGAAAATAAGGTACCAAAGGCATTTGTATTGCATTTATTTTTTTAATTACCAGCGAGTTATAAGTGGAGGTACATCAAGGTCAGGTATTAAATTATGAGGGCGAGGTGTACGTCTTTGAAACGCCATACCCTTTTGTTTAGCATCGGGTTCTAACATGATAAGGAAAAGAAAAGAAAACAAAAGAAAACAAAAATAGGTGCTAGTGTATTTAAAGACATCAACGTCACGTCCTTTTTTTTTGTTTTTATTTTCTTTCATCATGGGTAAATGGACAGACAAGTTATATATCACACATTCAGAATGGAGTGGTGAAGTGGGTCAACATTCAGCTTCTGCTGGTATTACAGGCCATAAGCCTTCATTAGGGTTTAAACGACTTCCTTTTTATTGTTGTTCACTTTCATTACAGCCTTTTGAACATCCTGTATGCACACCAGAAGGCACTGTGTTTGATCTCGTCAACATCATTCCTTACATCAAAAAGTACGGTACCAATCCAGTCACTGGAGAAAAGCTCGAGACAAAACAACTGATCAAGCTCAACTTTTTCAAGAACGAAAAGGATGAATATTATTGTCCAGTCACTTTTAAAGTGTTCTCAAGTCATACAGCCATTGCAGCCATCAAAACAACAGGCAATGTGTTTGCATATGATACGATCGAAAAGCTTAACATCAAACCAAAGCATTGGCGAGACTTATTGACAGATGAGGTGTTTACGAAAAAGGACATCATTATGATCCAGGTAACATGGACATTATCGAATGATGTTTCTAACTTGCTTTAGGATCCACATAACCTAGAGAAGAAAGACTTGTCTAATTTTGATTATGTCAAAAACAACAAGAAAGCAGTGAATGTGGCTCAAGAGATCGAAAAGAGAAAACCAGAGAACAATATCAATATTGCCGGCATGGGCAATGTCAAGAAAGTCTATGATCAACTCAGCCAAAAGAAAGAGGAAAAGCCTGTGCCTACTTCATTTCACCAAAAAAAGGCCAATTTACCTTACAACGCAGCTCATTATTCAACAGGTGAAGCTGCTGAATCGTTCACTTCCACAGCCATGAACGCCTATACACAATCCACGCGTGCATTGATTGATGAAGATGAATTTATGTATAAAAAGATCAAGTCAAAAGCTTATGCGCGTATCATCACAAATTATGGCCATATCAATGTTGAATTGTTCAGTGATCGTGTGGCTCGTACATGCCATAATTTTGTACAATTGGCCAAGACAGGATACTATAACAATGTCATTTTTCATCGAAATATCAAGCGGTTTATGGTAAGCACATATGGACATCAAAGATACTTACTATGCGTTAGATTCAAGGTGGTGATCCTACAGGTACAGGCAGAGGAGGTGAATCCATTTGGAAGCGTGATTTTCCTGATGAGATCAAGACGACATTAAGGCATGATGCAAGGGGTGTCCTTAGTATGGCCAACAAGGGAAAAGATACGAATAGTTCTCAATTGTAAGTGTCTTCATGACTCCTTGCGATATTGATTATCTATGTTAGCTTTATTACTTATGGTCCTGCTCCTCAATTAGATGGTCAACATACTGTGTTTGGCAAAGTAGTGGGTGGAATGGATGTACTGGCGAAACTAGAAAACGTGCCTGTGGATGATAATGATCGTCCTGAACGAGAAATTAAGATCAAGCAAATACAAGTGTTTGTCGATCCATTTGAAGAATACCAAACACGTCTTAAAAAGAAACTGGCTCACGAAGCCAACAAGGAAGCAGAAGACGAGGAAGCAAGAAGAAAGCGAGAAAAAGAAGACAGAATGGGTTGGTTTGGTCCAAGTGTAGTCAATACAGAACAAGGAGGTGTTGGCAAGTATTTACAGCAAGCAAAGAAGCGTGCGTCTGAAGCACAGGCAACAGAAAGTGTGAACAAGAAAGTGAAAGCGAAAAGCACGTATGGTAATTTTGATAATTTTTGAATAAAACACATTTGAGAATGCTTGTATTCAAAGATAAAAAGAGACACAATCACACAGGATAAAAGTTTGATATGGTGTTCTATAGAGCAAACCCATCTGAAATACAAAGGCTTCGGGCTAGTAACTATTCAAGTCTTGTTATACACCCTAGAAAGTAGCATGTATAAGCAGCTTATTTAAGCCAATTCTTTGCAATGGCATATCGATATAATTAAATGTGCCTAGACTATACATCTCAATTGAATACTCATTGCACTTACTAGACTTGATGGAATAAATGTACCTTGTAGTACCTTGTTTAAATAAACATTTGACTAGTATGTTATTCATTTAATAAAGACAACTAGACAGGAAATTGCTTCAACAGAGCAAACAAACAAACTATTTATGCAAATCTTCTTCTTCTTTTTCTTGGGCGTATAAAGATGTTCTAAAGCCTGTTTATACACGCATAAATGCTCCAAATACCTAAAGGCAGTGTTTGCTAACATATAGGGTGCATTTGGAGTTGATTTGGACCATAAAAGGCGACTTGTGAAAAATGGCCAAAATGACCATTCGACCAAAGGGTATTATTCACAAAAATCCTCCTTTTGAATACTCTTCTTCTTCTTTTTGACGCTACAAGACGAAAAATAGAGCTATCAGCAAGTTTAAATACTCAAAACGTGCAAAGATGCTAGTTCTTTTTTTTACTAAAGTATTTGTTTATTGATTGTATTACAAAAATGATGAGACAAGAGCAAAAAGCTTTATAAACATTTTTGCATATTTAAGCAGAGCTTTGCCAACAAAATAGCAGTAATTTATACATCATTAGACTCGCAAATGCATTACCTACAGCTTTTACTAATCCATCAAAGTCTAATAACTGCATCTTTATGTAGTTTTCAACAAAAGCTTGATTTTTGATGCAGTGGGAAGAACTGGATTACTTTCATTTTGTTGTGTTCAATCTCCGATGGGAAGTTTTTTGTATGTGTACTTCGTACTCAAAAAGTATGAACAGAGTGGAAAGAGTTGACATAGCTTTATGCTTACTGAAGCACTTGTAGCAGTTTCTATTGCAACATGAACATGTCTAGGCAAGAATGGCCTCTTTCCTTCAAGTAAACGGAATGCTCTCAATAAATGCACCTTGAAAGATACTAAGCCACCAAGGCAACTGTCACACTCATTGCTTCAAAAAAAAAAGGGTGCTTTTGAATTTTTTCTTGTTTGTAATCAACAACAAAAATGGCACCTGCTCTCAAGGAAGAAAAGAACACAACTGCTACCGTCGATCAAGAAGAACAAATGGATGTTGACGAAACTTCCGAAGTGGAAGAAAACTCAGATGAGGACATGGACGAAGAGCCTGACTTGGTTGTCAGTGCTGACAAGATTGAAATCGTAGGTAGCCACGCTGATCCTACTGCTATGACTTTCTGTTTCAAGGAAGAAGACCATACACTTGGCAACGCACTTCGTCATGTTATCAACAAAAAGTAAGTGACATTTCATTGAACTAAAAGAAGATGCTAATGTCTGTGTCAGTCCTCATGTTGATTTCTGTGGTTATTCTATTCCTCACCCCTCAGAAGCTAAAATGAACGTTCGTATTCAAACCACAGATAAGACAACTTCAATAGATGCTTTGAAGACAGGTCTTAGCAATTTGTATGATTTGGTAGCTCATGTGCGTGAAGCTTATGCTGCTGATTTAGCCAAGAAAGAATATGTTGAATTTGAAGAAATTGCATAAATACTCACAAAAAAAACAATAAGCATTCTATTTATCCCATGTATACATCATTACCAACATTACATATACGTTTTCTTTAACTATTCACTATAACGAAAATAAAAATTCATTCAAGTTAAAGCATGGATTTCAATAATTATTTATTGTTTTTCTTTTTTCTTTGTTCTCTATGGATGAACACAGACCATTTAACTCTAATCTGTCTAACGGCAGTAACACGACAGAAGAGAACAGACTTGAGTTTGCTTCTGAAGAATATTTACGGGACGATTCAGCCTTGCAAGACTCTTTTTATTCGATTGTTTCTGAATCAGCAGACAATGAATTCGCTTCTGAACTAGGTCTTACGCATGTTCAAAGAGAAGACGATGAAGCAGAAAACCCTCAATTGGACGATGCAGTCAAAGAAAGTACAGCTTTATCAATCTATAAAGAAACGCATCCAGATCACGAGCAGTTCAGTTCAGGAGGACGTGAAGTAGCAGACCATGAAGCTATCTGGAGTGTATCTACTTTTAGACCACCTCATTGGGGTCCTGATAAACTAAGGGATAATAATGCATTAACATATTGGCAGTAAAGTACGCTACTGTAGATTTAACAAATCTTTGTCTATATTTGCTCACACTTACTTATAGATCAGACTGCCCTAATCCGCGACTGGATCATACCATTGATATCTCTTTTCACAAAGCCACTTATATTCGACAAGTCTCTCTGTTTATTGATTTCTTTCAAGATGAGAGTTATACACCAAAGACAGTGGTTGTTCGAGGAGGATTGACATTTCGCGATCTACAAGAAATCAGTCGCATTGAATGTAGTGAAGTAGTAGGCTGGATCAATATGGACATTACCTCTGTCAAGTATGTCTTGTGCATTATATGTCATGTTACTTACACATTATTCAAGTGATAACAATCCTTTTCGATTGTTTTATTTACAAATAGCTATCTTGAGTACACATTTGAATGGTAGAGATACACATATTCGTCAACTCAAAGTGTATTCAGAAGTGCCGTAAGTAAAAATACTCATATGATTGAATGAATCATTCATGTGTCTATAGATCCTATATTCAAGCTGAAGAAAACGAACAAGAGAAAGAGATAGAAAAGACAAAGAACACATACAGAAAGCGATTTAAGCATGGTATTCGATAAAAGGGGAGGTGTTTATTTCTTATTGCTTCCAGTCAAACCACTAACAAGGCCATTGACAGTACCAGTAACAGTATTTAAAGTGCCTTGAACAACATCACCAATATTGGCTGTTGTTTCTTGAATTAAACCATTACCATGTTGTGTTTGTCCTTCAGTCTTGAGTCTTTCGTTGCCTACTGCAGAACCAGCAGTTTCCTTCACATCACCCACATATTGATCTTTCTTTGCTTCTGTCTTGTTTGGTTGCATTATTGTATATTATGAAGAAAAAAAAAAAGAGAGAGAGAGAGAGAATAAGCTTATAATTATATACATGTATGTGCATGAAAGGTTTTGTTGATGTCATTGTAAAACAAGATTATATCACTATGAGCAAATGGTGTGAGAGCTTTATTTCCTTTTTTGTACTTCTTTACCATGACCAATTACAATCACAATCCTTCCAGTGAACAAAGAGATATTTGGAGCAAGTAAGGCAAAGTTAGCTGTGCTTTACTTATAAGATAGAGAACAAAATAAATTAAGTGCATTGTTGGACACGCAAGACAACCTTGGATTTGAGTTGAGTGATCTCAAGTATGTTGCTGGTGTCGATCTTAGTTTTCCACTAGGTGAATATGAGAATGCTGTAGCATGTCTTGTTGTCATGTGTATTCCCGAATTAAAAGTAAAATAGTATGGATGTCGTCATAAGCTAATCTAGTTAGATTGTATATAAGCAATTTCTTCAAACAAAGTTACATCTGCCTTATATTGCTGGCTATTTAGCTTTTAGGGAAGTCGATCCGCTACTGAATTTATTGCTTCAGTTAAAAAAGGAACAGCCTGAATTATACCCTCAAATCATTCTTGTGGATGGTATATAGTTCATTTGTTTATTTTTAATGAAATACATAACTCATCTTTATAGGTAATGGTCTCTTACATCCCCGTAAGTTTGGTATTGCATCCCATTTAGGTGTATTATCAGACACGCCTACTATTGGTGTTGCAAAGAACTTTTTAGCTATTCCGTCAGAATTTGATGATTTGAATGAAATCAAGAAAGCATACAAGTCAAAATTACTAAAAAAGGGAGATATATATACACTCATAGGAAGTGCAACACAGTCAGTCTATGGTGCTGCTGTTAGAACCTCTGATTCAGCACCTAATCCTGTGTTTATCAGTCAAGGACATCGAGTCTCTCTCTCTACTGCCATCAAAATAGTCCTTGCTACATGTCCGAAATACCGTATTCCAGAGCCCATTCGAGCTGCAGATTCAGAAAGTAGAGCTTACATTCGATTAAATAGGTGTTTATTCAATAAATAAGGATTAATAGTAATAATAAGAATAGTAATAATAAGAATAAAGGAGAGATAATTTTATAAAGAGTCTATTCAAGAGAAATACTTAGTTCTCTAATTTGGGATGCATCTAATACTTGAAGATTTCTACACTTTTCCAGTAAGAAGCCATCTTCATCAAAAGAATAACGCATAGCCAATCCTTGGAAAGTCAAGACTCTTTTGATTACAGTAGCAATCACACGATATTTCCTGAAATTCACAAGAGGTTGGTCAAGACAATCAGGTAAATGTCTAGTATTGTTTACATTATAGATTCTTTGATTTTCCAGATTGGGTTTTAAGTATCGGGGTTTTTCCGAATTGAAGACAAGATCAGATAAGTAAATACCCAAGAAGGGAATACATCCACCAAAGGGAATCTTAATACGTGTCTTTTTAAACTTGTGTTTATGCGAGGTAGTGCCTGGTAATTCAACTTGCACTTCAGCGGGTGAATTACCGTACTCTTCAGCTACTTCTGTCATGCTGTCTCGAATATGTTTCCAGTTCTTCATAGGTGATGTAAACTCTGTAAGTTTGTTGAGTTGCTTTTGACATCTTGTGCTGACTTTGGACCATGTTTTTTCAAGACGGGCAACAGCGGGTGATTGCAGACCTAATAAGATCTGAAGCAAGGTAGCATAGTTGGAATACATTTGGCATTTCTAAAAGCGATTAGTGCATGTATATAAAATACTGTATCTTACTCTAGCAAGGCGAATAAACTTTTCGATTAACTTGACACGTTCATGAATATTTCTTGTTCTCACAATTTCTGAAGCAACCCATTGACAGACAGTATTGAATCTCTGGATGACTTGTTCAATACCTTGCTCTTGAATTCGTCTCTGTTCTGTTTGTCGTGTATAATTGATCTGCTTATCATTGTAGTCTTCATTCAACGCCTGCTGTTCGTGAGAGAACAAGTCAGTGGTGATATTACCACAGGCATCCATTTTTGTCCATTTACAGTGAATCAGTTCTTCCCAACCTACTTTGACTAGCACATCTCTCTCTACATAGCATAATTGACTGGCTAACAAACTGGTTCTGTAGGACATGATAAAGCATCGGCCGTGGTGACTGTCCACCATGCCTGGACCTAAAGATCGAGGAATAGTCTGAATATCTGTATTTTCAGTCATCGTGGTTTCTAAGGCAGGTAACACAGGAGGAATACCGACTTCAATCATTTTAGATTTAGGACCATGGGATGTGACATCTGAAAGAAAAGACATACGAGCACGGCTCGAACTAGCTTGTGCTTCTGTTTGGATTGATCTTTCAGAAGGTGCACAGCTTGTGCCATCGTCATCATCATCAGAGGTATCTGGATCATGTTGAGGATGATCTACTGTAGATTCAATCAAGGATCTTGCTTGTAAATTGCCTAAATAGACAGGACCATATTGGGCTTCTTTAGCTTGCTTGGCATCTTGATGAAAAGGGTTATTCAATTGGTTTACCCTAGCATGTTGATCCAAATCAATGCTAGCCCCTCTCTTTCTTCTCAGTTCAAGACTGAGTCTACGTTCTTCATCTGCAATTAACATCATGCTCAATCGACGACAAGTGATATTGGATCCATGTTTATTGCCAGAACAATGGGCACAATCACACTTGTTATCTTCTGTATTGTCTTCATCTACACTACTATGTCTTAATCGTTGGGCAATCAAATTGACCAATTGACCACCATGCTGTTTTTGTTGTTCTTCTTCTTCTTGCTTTGCCTCTTGATCTCCTGGAATAACCTCGTTGTTAGCTACCTCAGTTTGAGCTTGATTATCGTTTTCTTTGATTTGTGTCTTTTCATTTTCAACAACACTATGAGGTCTCAACACCTTGGAAAGCACTTTAGATAGTCTACGCTTAGGCACGTTGTCTTCTTTTGTAGTTGTGTTTGGTTTAGCATCAGGTGCCATGGTAGCTTCATAAGGAATAGAAGCAAATGCCTCGAGTTCATTCATATCAGTGGTTTGAGCTGCTTTCTTCTTTGATCCTGCTTTCTTCTTTTTGAGTGTCTTGCTTGGGCTCTTTTTAACAACTTCTAGAGATGAGGGCAATTCAGGTACTTTTGGAATATCTTCAGCATGTGTAGCTGTTAGATAAGGTGACGTTGTAGTAGATGAAGGTGCAGAAGACCAACCCACTGATTCAGTATCATGCAAGTTCTTTTCACTCTTGCGCTTTTCAATGCTTTTCCTCGACAATTTCCTTGCCAGTCCAACAGGTGATCGGCTGCCACTCAATTCATCTCCACTAAGTTCTTTCAATAGTTCATCAGGTAGAGTAGCGTCCACTGTCTGCTTGTTCTTTGATCTACTGTATTCACCATCTGATTTGCACCATCTTTCTGAAGGCACACGACGAATACCTGTCTTGGATATACTGGTAGGTGTTGTTGGCATTGAATTCTCGCTTGTCAAATCTGCTTTGTCCACTGACGGGGGAGGTAATTCAGTTGTAGGTACATCAGGTGCATCAAAAGGCACAGGATGTTCATTGGCTACTGGTTGGAAGTAAGCTAAGGTTTCTTGTTGTTCCTGTAACCAGTGTCGATCAAGGTCTCCTGTTTGGTGTAATCCATCCTCCTCCTCTTCGTCTTCATCTTCGTCCGACTCGTCTGATTCGTTTGGCACTGTTTCACCAGCACTCAGTTCGCTTTCAAGCGAATCGTCTGAAGCAACACTGATCATTGAACTAGCATCTACAGGTGCATGTGGTTCTGCCATACTTGATTCATGAACGCTTTTATTGTATTGATGCGATTGACCATCATCAAATCCGTTCGCTTCAGGAACTACAATGTCATGAGCAGAAGCATGTGAAAGTCGATGAGCGAGCGTATCCACAGTAGGTGAATCTACAAGAGTACTCTTTAAGGAACCTACCACCACCACACGAGCATAACGAGCATCTTGCACTGCCATATTACCATTATGATGACTACTCATGTCCACACCCAACGTTGTCTTGCGACGAATGACGTTCTGAGAGAGTTTGGCTCTGACAATTTCACCCATCTGTTCTTGTTCGGCTGTAGGGGGTGGAGGGGCAATGACCTTGACGCGCGATGCTCCTGAAGATCGGTTGTAGTACAATTTTTTTAAACGTCGTACAACACGCTTTAATATCTTTACAATGCGCTGATCGCGTGGAGACTCCTTGACGAGTGGGTGGCGCGGGAGCTGGTTCAAGAACTCGGTTAGAATCACTCGCAATGAACGATTACCAATAAAATCATGAACAAAATAATTATTGAGCCAATGACGAAGGACAACAAATGTTCTATTATAGATCGTGTTAGCTCTGACGTGTGAATGCCATGTTACTTGCCTAATTCTAACAACTCTTCTTGTTTCTTCATCGTTTTGTAAAGCCCAATAGAACCGAGACATCAAAAGCTGACAGAGGTCAATAGAACTTAAAAAGTCTCTGTAGGTTAAAAAAAAGTCCGTCATAAACGTATAATCTAAAGTGTTTGTCAATTTCTCAACAAGCTTATGAATCGTGGCTGCTTCAATCACTTTAGGAATATCCTTTTGTGACTCCATCTCTTGATCCTTTACTGATTTCTTGTTATTGCTCTTTTTCAATCCAAATGCTTTCTTTAACAGAAAGGAACTGTGTTGAGCATGATCATTCATGTTGTCTGAGGATTTGGTGGATCTACCCAATTTCAGGTTTTCAGATAAGAGTTGTGCTGATAAACGCACCGAAGCAAAGCTAGGCTTACGTTCTTTGGAGATATGATTACTGGATTTACTGGTTACTAAAGTCGATGTTGTATTTGAAGAAAACCCTTTTAATTCGGGCCGTGTGTGTTGATTATTGTACAAGGTAGCATATGATGATGGTCTTTCGGGAGAAGTAGTGGTGGCCATAGAAGAAGAAAGGGCAATTGGATCGGGCCCCCAAATGATAAAGCGTTCATCTTCATCCGAGATGATCAAATCAAATATCTCGGGCGAACCTATGATCACTTGGGTTTCTTTTATGTCTTGTTGTTTCTGTAGAGAAGGGAGTGTATAGTTACTGTGTACAGATGAAATAGAGCCAGATCGAATGATAGGTGTTGTAGAATGAAGCAGAATAGAAGAAGGATTGGCTGGTAGCATGATATCAATCCCATTTTCGTCTTCAATCAAGATATCGTTGAATTTACTGACATTGGGAATACGTGGTAATGAGAAACTTTTAGATGGTGTAGGAATAGGTGCTGATGTAGATGTGGTACCAAGGGATGGAGATCGTAATAGCTCATTAGAGCCTACTGGATCCAAAACAGAATCAACGTAGGACGAGATAACAAACTTGGATCGAATATCGTGCTGTAATATGGCGTTGTTGTTCATGGCGTCGTTGTCTTCCTGAGATACTTTGCCAATAGGTCGTTTCACTACTGAGATATGGTTGACAGAGACATGGCCGTATTTACTGTTATCGGATGGCGTTCCAGGTCTAGTTACTTGTTTCTTTGGTAATAGACCTTCGTGTTGGTATTGTTGTCGTTCCCAAAAGATTTTTGAATCAACATATTCAGGTACACCAAAGACAGTCGCAAGTGCAGCACACTCTCGACCACCTTCACCACTGTTGTTCAAGAGCTCGATAGGAATGAGTGAATTGTTTCTCTTTCTCTGTGGGTTGGTGTTTTCATCTTGTAGGGGCATTGTCTTGGTCTCTGTAGCACTATAAAATGATGGTTTAATTTCTTGAGTATTTGTTTTCTATCTACCTATTCATTTCATCCGGTATCGGACTATGAATCATGCTTTTGGGTGGAGACCAAGGCGAGATAGACTGTTGGTATTCAAGCATAATAGTAAAAAAAAAAAAAAAAAAAAAAAAAGGAGAGAAGAAAAGAAAAGAAAAATTTTTTTTGTGATTGTTTTGATATGCAAAAGAAAGAGAGGGGAACACAATTATCATTTCACATGTACCATTGACTTTGATGGAAGCGTGTCACTTTTGGTAGATCAACAAAACCCAAAGCAGCAAAAAAAAAAAAAAAAAAAAAAAAAAAGGATAGGCAACAGTTACTCTCATAGAAAACTTTTTTCATTTGTTAAAGAAACGTGTATAACAATGTTGTTACACATCATTTAATCCAGAAAAAAAAGGAAAGAGAGTTCTGTCTACCTTTTTTGTTGAAGTGTGATAATAGCTGAGGTTGAGTTCATAAACACTCCTGTAGAGTACATACTGAACTTCCAAATAAAGAAAGCTTATTGATGCAACTTCAAATTAACCTTGCATAATATCCACATGTAACACATAAAAACTAAATGATGGGCTTATTGTTTTACATAAAGAAGAGTGTAACTACTAGTTTTGTGTCTAGAATCATTTATTTATTTACACGATTAGTTGTACAATTATTATTGCTTGTCTTTTAAGCGAAGATAGTCATCAATACGTTTGTATAAGGTATCGTTTTGCGTAAGGTAATCTGACGTGAGTGGAGTGGGTATATTATTGCTGGTACCTGCTTGAGTAGTGATGTCTTCTTCATCGCCGCTAAAAGAAGAGTTATTGTTTGTGTTGTAATAGCCAATGGAAGACGAATTACGTTTTGTGTTGTTCAGACACATACTTCCTCCTAAAGTATGGTTTGATTGTGCTTCAAGTGCACCAACAGCATACAGTTGACTTCCAATAGAGTCTGTTCGATGGTTATAGGAAGACTGAGATGAATCATCTGCAGCCACATAATTCCCTTGGAAAGCCCAAAGGTATGACTGGATCCATAGCTTGGAGGTCGATACTCGGAGGCAATGGAGGGTCGATTGCTTCTTTCGGCAAAAGGTAAATTTGGGGCACCAAGATATTTTCTTGTCCAAAAGATGAATAGAAGTCATTAGGTACCGCATCATGATGCGTTTCATCGGCATCTGAATATACTTTGTTTTCAACGACAGATGTTCTTTTATCGTTGGTTCGTACAGATCGCTGTCGCTGTGGTGGTGGTCTTAAAGACGCTCGCTGGTTTGAGGATGATGATGGGCTGCTATAATCTAATTCGAGTTTTTCCATATCATGACTATCGCTATCTGGTACATTCTCATTAATCACTTGGATACTTGAGGTGTCGTGAATGCTTTGGTTTTCAGAATAGTGAGCATACGTATCGATTACAGGTGGAGGAGACAATTGAGAACAAATGATGCCAAAGGCAGTACAGACCACAAAAAGACCGATTGAAATTCCAATTAATATAATTTCAAAACTAGGTGTGTAACTTGAGCAGATATAACCATTTTCCAGACCCATACAAGCTGATTGAATATCAGTTGTGTAATCTCTTAGGGTTACTCCCAGCGCAGTGGCGGTTAATGTCGCGCTGATTAAACTCTGTAAGCTGATGAATTTCAAAATTGCCTTTCTCTGTAAGTCTCTCTTTTTTTTCCGGGCAATAGAGCTAGTGCTATAAAAAAAGACAGCACAGCCCCCAAGGTAGCAAAGAGCAAAGAAATGACACGGACGTACGATGTGGCCGACAGAGCAGGGACATTGTTTAAATGATTATTGTTTAGATAGTGAATAATTGATTTCGTATCTAATGTATTCGGTTAGCTACCACTGACTGGGATCGGGATACTTGCCGATATGAAAATTCATTCGTGTAGGTGAGCATACATGCGTATGGTTGATATGGTCTATAATACAGTACTTCCATAAGCCAAATGTCAACTGAATGGCATGATTTGCCTCGGAAGAATGCAGGGACAATTTAAGGAACGAGAAAAGTTCACTGATAGTAGCTGAAGATGAGCTGATTAAATTGTTTGTTTCAAACCAACTTCCAAATCCTATTGACAGGCAAGATAAAAATACAATGAAAAGACATAGCAATGATATAAACCAGTTGCTATACATGTCAAAAAAAAGATAAGATATAAAGAAGAGAAGAGAAATAATTTTTCTATTTTATTTTATTTTGTAGAGCAGTTTTTTTTTTTTTTTTTTTAATTAGGATTTGTATGACAAAACATCCATATTTATCATAGTTCTATTTTTTCTGTTGTTGCTTTTCTGGATCTTTTGGTGTCAAGGCAGCAAATTCATTAAAGTCAATGAAACCATCCTGGTTTGTGTCAGCATCATTCATCATATCCTTAATTTCTTGGTCCGATAGTTTTTCGCCTAAGCCCTTCATCACTTCCTTTAACTCGTCTTCTGAAATTTGACCATCACCATTCTTGTCAAATTTACCAAACAACTGTTTCAACTCGTCTTTCTCATGTCTGCTTAGACAACGGGAATAGTTTTCTCTTGACTTTTGCTTGGTAACTTGAATATCTCGTGTCTTGTCCTCGACTTGCTCGGGCTCTTCAGTAATTTCGGGTGTCAAGAAATGTGTCATGGCACTTACGAATTCGTCAAAGTCAATATGGCCGTCATGGTTCTTATCTGACTTTTCTACAATCTTCTTAACCTTTTCATCATTGTGCTCAATATGAAGACTCTTGAGGATCGTTCCAAAATGCTTATGGTCAATAGATCCTTTGTTTTCAGTGTCGTACAATGCAAAAGCTATGGTATATGAGACAAAAGTTTCCATTTTGTTACTTACCTTCTTTAAGGCTTTTTAATTCTTCGTCAGTAATAGGAGAACCACGGGACATGTTAATAAATGATAATAATAATAATAATAATAATAAAAGAAGAAAAAAAGTTGTTTTTACTACTCGAGCAATTTTGTTAATAAAGGCGGAGAATATGATGGATATAAATCGTACGTCACTTGGATGCTATTTCTAGTCTATGACCAATAAATAATTTGGTTTTTCATGCAAAACATCTCTGCAACAAGCCCAATCATCGACTCAGGCACTCGACTCCCTGTTTCTTTTTTTTTTTTTCTTTTTTTGGTTAATGATTCTTAAACCTATCAAAAGACTTGCATAGCAAAAAAGATCATCAGATCATAGCTTGTTTCAAGATGCATAAATAAAAACCACTGTTTCTCATTTTTTTATTTTATTTTATTTTATTTTATTATCTTTCTCTTTTACAAAATGACTGAATCATTTCCCCAAACATCTGCTGTTGATATTCCTCAAGCAAAAGATACACATGTCCTTGTCCAAGCTACCTCGGACGGAAATGCCACATTGACTTCCATTATGACTGATGCTGAGGGAAATCAAACACATCACTACACTGAAACTGGTATTTCACCTACTTACTATTATACTTCGGGTGGCTCCATGATTCATGATACACATCATGTTGGTTCTCCAGTCTATGGTGATCAATCGCGTATCTTTTTCTCTCATCATTCAAGCTGCAGTTGTAAGTAAATCTAGTCTTTTTTTTTTTTTTTTTTTTTTTTTGTTACTTATCTCTCTATAGGTCGTGGTTCAGGCGTAGGATGTGAATGTACAAAAAAATGCTCATGTTAAAAATTGAATGATTATCTTTATTGATGAAATAAATAAATAAATAAATAAAATGTATATGGCATGAAATATTAACAAGGACAAAAATCAGTTGAATGAGGACCAGAACAATTGTGACAAGATGTTGGTCTTCTATCGTTTTCTGTAGGTGATTGATAACCAAATAAAGAGAAATGCAGGGTAGGCATCAAATTGGGTCTTGGAAAATTACTCATAATAGAGCTCTCTGTCACTGTTTCTTTTGCCTGACTTGCATGGCTTGGTTCTTCTGGCTTGTATTGATAATAATTAGAAGACTTTGGAAGTGCACGGTTGGTTGTAGATGAAAACGGTTGTCGCTTAAGAACAGTAGAAATAGGACCAATACTCTTGCGAATACGATCAGATTTAGATTGATTTGAGAAGAGGCTAAAGAATGGTAGGCTTCCAAGAATTGTCATGATGGTTTAATTGAATAAAGAAGAAAAAGAAGAGAAAACGTGGTTAAAATAAGAATTTCATTTTTAGTAACCAAAGTGCAAGCCTCAATTTACGGCAAATTAATCTTTTCCGTAGTTGCCCGTATGAATCATAATCAACCTACGAAAAGCCGCGCCCCCTTTCTTTTCTTTCTTGAAGCTATGTTTAAGACGAGAAAGAAAAAAAGCAAAAAAGAAATCAACTGTTTCTCTTTTATACTTTTCGATGCACTTTTATGTATAAAAAATCGGCTCACTTTTTTTTTCTGTATATCAAAGCTATGTTTATTTTCAATACCCGCTCAACATAAAGAGAGAGAGAAGGGGGAATCATCAATAAGGTATGTTTATGTATACAACTCTTGAATATCATTGCCAATAAAGGGAATGGATTCACCTTGGAGATCGACGTTTTCCAAGAAATGGTAAGGGAATTCAACTAAATGACCACGAATGGTAGATAAATGATCCCTGATCGTATCAACGGACATTTCAGGATCATGAACATGACCAATATCAATATGAGCAGGGTTAGGGTAAAATTCCTTGTATTCCTCCCAGTTAGTCACTATTTAGGGCTTTAGCATCATTGTTTTTTTTTTTTTTTTTTTTTTTTTTTTTTTTTTTTTGTTTACCTGTGTCATCAGGAACACAATGGAATACTTCTCGGAAAGCTAACGTGTTGGTTTTAGCAGTAGCGTTCCATCGCTCAAGTGTTTCGTCATCAAGAGGATCCATGACAACCTTATCTTCTTCACTCAATGAGGTATCAATTTGAGGAACAGGTAAAGGCAACATGTTATCTGTGACTTCATCTGGAGGAGCAGGTGCAAGTAAACCCAAGTGTTCTTTCCACAAGCTACGTCTTAAACTAGCAGCAAAACGAGCAGCTTCATACTATGTGGAATGAATATATATATATATATACATGTGGACTATCTTTAGCAGAAACTTACGTATTTGCCATTCATTTGGGAAGGAATTGTATCTTGGTCTTCTACAATAAGGGCAATTTCAGAATCACGGTCACCACATTGAGAACGATCATTTAAGTTGGCAGAACCCATAATGACGACCTTGTCTAAAGGGAGAAGTTAGGGAACACTGCTACAAAAAAATACACTTACCATCAGCAATCAGAAGCTTAGCATGAATATAGAGTTCTTCACTGACATAATCATTGGCTTCTTCCTTTTCAGCAGCTTCATCACGAGGCTGCTCAGCTTCTGTGTCATTGACCCAAGGCTCATCTTCAATATCACCACCCAACATGGCATCTTTAGCAATAGAATCAGAAGCAATACCTTGATCGGCTTCATCGACAGCTTCAGAACGACGGCGTTGATAGTTTTCAAAGTCTTTATTCTCACGAACACGACTGTATTCAATTTCATCTTCGACATTGAAAGCACCTTCTGTGTTACGAGCAATGTCTTGATCACCTACACGATGAACAATCTTGGCACGGTCACCTGGTTCGCCACCGGCTTCTTCCAGTTGAGGTTCAGTAGAGTCGCTATAGCCAGCGGCCTTCAACAAGAGTTCTTCCATCTGGCTACGGTTGATACGATCATAACTTCTTAAACTGTAGAAACGAATGTATTGGTCAGGGTCAATACCAGTGGCTTTGAGTTTTTCAACAATACTATCAGGACCACGACAAATAGAAAGGTATTGATAATGCATCACTAATCTATAGCAACAGGATTAGTTTTTTTTTTTTTTTTTTTTTTTTTTTTTTTTTTTTTTTTTTGTAACAAGTTCGTGCTGTACGTACCTTGCAGTAGCAGCATCCTTTGTACTGAGATCAGCGGGAAAAGCAGGCATCAAAGGCATCAATACAAACACCTTAAATTTGTCTTGCTCTTCATGGGCACGAACAATACGCTTTACAATAGCATTACCAATTTGATTCTTGAGCAAGTTTTCTTCCTTGTTATCGGTGGAAGTAACTTATTAAAGTTAGAGATCCAAATCAAAAAAAAAAAATATATATATATATATACATACTAAAGAATTGGTTTTCAATGTAAACATAATGTTCAGCACGAAGAATAGTAGCAATATAAGCATTTTGAATCGAGTGCTAATATATAGATCAGTGAGTGATTTGTGATAGTGACGCTTTTTCTTTCTTACTTCAAGCTTAATACCAGAACTCCATTCAGCAGAACTACGAAGTACTTGGGCACGAATGTTGCCCTTGACGCCACGTGTTCTATGCTTATGGCGTTGTCTTGTAAAGTGATGTTCTTCAGGTTGTTCTTGCATGAATCTCTCTTGACTACCCATGCCACCAAGAGGAGGTTGCAAGAAGGGCACATTGTCTTTATGCATGGCTTTTTCATGCTTGACAAAGTTCCAGCGCTCACAAAAGTGACGAGCCACATCAAGGACAGGTGCGCCAATCTAAATGTATATACATGGTTAACTGTGTCACGTGATACAATACTACTTACAACACATAAAGACATGTCGTGCCATGGCATTCTAGGAATCACAGTCTTATCAATGAGTTTCATATCCCAATCCTTAACTATACAAATTGTCAGAACAATATGTTTAAACGCGCTTTTTGATTACCATTTTCGAAATCTCTGACACGGGCATCACTATAGTCTTGACCTAGAATATGATGTAAGATATCTATAACATAAACAAATAGGGATAGTTACCGATAAATAGTTCACTTTCAGGATCATTTCCGTTAAAATCAGCCAAAGCATGACCGTGAGTATCCCAACGACTTATATACATATGTTAGTTAGTTTAGTACTCTTTTTTTTATGTGTGTGTCTACCCAAAGCATAAATCAATACCACCAAGGAAAGCAATACGGTTATCAACAACAACAAATTTTTCATGATGAGACCAAAAGAAAGTACCACCCAAATTATGGTCAGGATGTCTTAATACTATAGAACAAGTCAATGTCTATATACTATAGATGCGACCATTTACCAATGATGTTCTCACTCAAGGATTGAAGTGTATCTTTGGTGTGACGACTGTCTAAAGTCAAAGCTAATTCAACTTCCTATGTAATTTCCTTTTATTAACCAATCCCCGCCCCTTGTTTTGCCTATTTACCTTATAAACAACAATATAAATCTTTACACCTTCATCTGCTTTTCTCTTGAGTAAACGATCAAGACGAAATTCAGGATACTTGGAAGGAGGTCGACGCATATACTATCCTCTACTTTTTTAGTGTACACTCTTTTATGTATATATATATATATATATATTACCAATTCTGGAGTCTATATATGAAATAAAGTTTAGTTTATTAATTTCGGCCCAGTCTAATTCTTACCAGCCACCAATCTTCAATGTAAATACACTCTTGAGCGTGTGCAATAGCTTCAGAAACAGCCCTGAATAGGTGTCAATCATATGAAATAAGGAGGATCTAGTATTTACCAGCAATAGTTTTGACCATCCACAAAATACTTTACTTGAGCATTATGTCTTACTGCAGCAAAAGAATCATAACGATGTTCTTCAGCAGCAAGTTGTTGTTCAATAAAATCGTCATCTTTTGTTTCATCTTTGGTCTCATCATGACAAGAAGGATCGAAAAAACTTTCGACTTGAGCAGCCAAGTTTGCAAAGAAAGACATAGTTAAAAAGAAAGAAAAAAATAAAAAAATAGTTTTTTTTTTTATAAAGTCTATTTAGTGTAACAGTTTCATATCTCTGTTTTATTCAATATCTGACATATCAGCCTAAATAGCGCTTATTAGTCTGTGTATACAATAAAAAGCAACTTACCATATCTTCATCACTAGAGACATCTTCTTGTTCTATTTCTGCTTCTGCTTCATCATCTGAATCCATTTCTACATAGACATTCTCAGGTAATTGAGCACGCTGTAATTGTTTGTCATTGATATTAGAATAAGCCTTGACATTCACTTGACTCTGAACAATATCTAAGCGACCTCTTAACGCCAGTAATTTAGGAAACACACCGAGACGCGTGTCTAACGCCTGGTAGAAATTAGAGAGTTTGCCTACTAAATCAGGTACAGTCATCAGATAAGCTGTATGGATCAATAAAATAGACTTGATCCAGATCAACAGGGCAGGAGCACGGGCAGGTTTTTCTTGAAATCGTTGAATCACTTCTTGTAACAGAGGAATCAAATACTGTGTAGGTAATCGTCGAATTGTGTTGTTGATCACATCCACTTTAGTGTGTTGTAGACATGCTTCTAATAACTGAACATCACTTGAATGTAATGCTTGCACCAAAACTGTCTGTAATGAACCAGCAGAAGGTGTATCAATCGCCTTCTTCTTGTTGCTCTTTTTAGCCTTGTTGGAAGTGGCATCAACAACATCTAAACTTTGAAGTTTTTGTTCAATAGAAGGTTCTGTATCCTCTTGAACTTGTTCTTCTGCTTCTTCTTGTGTGGCCATGGTGGGTGCTTTAATAGCAAAATCAGCATTACCAATCACAGTAACAGTAGATTCATCATATGCTTTGCGAGTTGTTCTCAAGTTATTAGCAGCAATAGAAGCTGTATTAATCAAATAGTTTGTCATGGGCTGTCGAGTGAGTGTGATATCACGCAAAATAGCACCTGTTTCTTCATCAACATACTTGACCACTTCAAAAGAAGGTTTGATACTCGATCCTCGGGCAATCATGATGGATTTACCACCATTGTCTGTCACGAATTTAGCTGCAATAATAGGAATCACTGTCTCGCTGGATTCTGAAGAGACAAGCTTAAGATGAGCATCTGCTTCTTTTGTCATAGCACGCATCATTTTTCTCTTGTTGTTTGTAGGTTGTTGTGCAGTAATCAAAGAAGCATTTTCCCAGATACTGACAAGGCCATTGTCTGCTACAGCCAAGGCAGAGGGTTCTGTGCTTGAGAAGTCAATATGTGCTACATTGGTTTCCATGGTGAGTGCTGTTATATTGTTGGAATTAGTGTTAGGTTGAGCATCCCATACATTCACATAACGATCATCTTCAGCATTAGATACAAGCACATCATCTTGGTGTGAGAATGCCATTTCTTTAATAGCACTAGCATGACCTGTGAATTTCTAGAGTGTCTAGGGTGAGTATGGTATAGATATACATATCAAGAGGTTACCTTCATTACGGCATAAGTACTCAAGTCCCAAAGTGTGATAGTATGGCCCGCTGTAGCCAACTTGGTCTCGTTATGACTCAATTTGAGTTTATGTACATTCTTTGCGTCTGTCTTCCATTTGTGCAACTCTTTTCCTTCCTCAATATCCCATTCAATAATCAGATTATCTTCAGCAACAGAATAACCTCGAGAACCTTCCTTATTCATCACAAAATCAGTAATGGGTGTCGTATGTGATCCTTGCAATGTCTTGATAATAGCACCATGAGACAAAGAATAGAAAGCAATCGAGCCAGAATGCATACCCAATGCAATCACACGAGTCAATGAAGTCATGCCACTCTTCTTCTTCTTGAATGCCTGAACTGTATTAGCCTGTAAGTCGCCTGTGTCTTTCAAATAACCCCAAGTCAAACACGTAATCTTTTCTTTTTCTTGAGCAGAATAGTCGTTACTGACAGTACCCGATCGTACATTAAAGATACGAAGACGGTGACGATCAATACCATGCGTGATCAAAGCGAAATAATCAGCAGTGGCACTATTGTCAAAGGCTGAAATAACAATGCCTGCATTTTCTGAAGCATTCGCTGATGTTTCTACAGTAGACGTATCGGGATTTCTCTTGTGGGTTACTTTGCCCATAATGCTCTTCTCTCTTTGCTTTGATAAAAAAAAAATCTATTCTTTTTTTTTTCTGTAGGCTGCCATCAGCAAATACAGTCACAAAAGACTGCTCTTTAGATTTAGGCGGGATTCAAATAGGTTAAACAAGCAATGTCCCTCTCTTTCTTTTTGCAGTTAAAGAAATTAGATTGAGCCACGAAGAAAAAAAAATGATAGATTACTGGTTTCTTTATGTGATAAACAGTTTAGGTCTGAGAATGACTGATAGGGGATGATACCTAAGAAAAAAAAGAGGGGTAATGCATAAGAAAACCGATGAATCTTATTCTACTAAACAAAACGTCAATTTACCTAGACGCCAACTCAATAATAATAATAATAAAAAGTTAATACAATCATTGTTGAAGGAGGGGGCTATAAATCGCTAATAGATATGGACCCAATCACTCACATCCGGCAGCTTGGATCCAAATTTATTTGGAAACATTAAAACACAAAATTGTCAAGTGTTTTAAGAAATGTACAAGTTTGAAAAATGGAAATGAATCCATATAATACATACTTTGTGGCTGCTAAATAACTTTTGATTCCATTTGTCACATTACATACCCAATATGCTTTTGATGCTCAATGTGTGCCTTTTTCAAGCATCAAACTTATTGTGCAATATTAAATCATAGCCTGAAATTTCTTAAATAAACCTACAAAATAAACTACAAACAATCTATTAGCATAACACCACCAAAAGTGTATTGGTAGCGAGTGTTTTTCAAAGTAAACCATTATCTCTGTCTTCTAATTCCCGTTTTTTGAGTTTTCTATGTTTGAGCACCCATCAAAGAACATGTTGATGCAAAAATAGAGCAAGTTTTCAAAAATTCAAAAAATCGTCATTTTGACCTTATGATAGCCTTTACAAATCTTCATTTCTCACTATTTTGCAATTGGTGATCTATAGAGGCATTGTAGACATAACATGCCTTAGTAAGAATTGTTTCTCTAGGTCTATGAAACATACTCAAAATGTTAGATTTACAAAATTACTATGAAAAGTATACGCTAAAGCTCAAAAACAGAAAACAAATTTTTGAAAGATATTTCATTATTTGAATAGCTTTCTTTACACCATTCAATGCGCTGTATTTGCATCTATTAACTTTGTTAGTGGACTTTTTTTTATTTTAGTTTTTGACATCAGAATACTAATTAAAACTCAGAATTTCTTTATGGTATACTCCCTTTATGTCAAGCTTTAAAGCATGCCAACTTTTTTATTTCGTTCTACAATGCTCTTTCTTGTATATAATTGAAAATGTTTGGGACTATCTTAAATCAGGTTTTAGAGTCTAGTTATACTATTTTCAGTATTGTATCTGCCAGTCAAGCCATTCCTTACAAGCATTTTATGGCCTACAGTCTTTAATCCAGCTGCATCCCAACTTCTTAACCTCTACCTCACCATGAACGTAAATAATCACTATTTCTTTGGATTTCATTTCTTAGAATCAATTTACTAAAAACGAATACATTTCATGCCAGAAAAACGTAACCAGACAAAAAAGAAGTTCCCTCTTGCGAGAAAAAAAATTAAGTGTAAAACCATTTAGATTGCTTAAGTATCTTTGCTTTTTTTAACTTTTTGTCCTGTTTCCAAATAAGTGTCCCACATTTTCTTGGCTGAACCATCTTTGAAGTGCTGACTCATTTTGAAAAAGTGTCCCATTTTCAAACTTGGCGTCCTAAATATTTTTCAATTTTTTTTTTTCTCTCTCTAATTTCTTCACACACATCTATCAATGAACCATATTAATTTCAAGTAGGCTTGTACTATGAATCATGTTCTTTTCTTATACTCTATAGATTTAAAAAATGAGTAAAAGAAGAGGGGGGACACCAAAAAGAAGAGATAATGAATTTACTCGCCATGGACTTACAAGAGAAACTGAAAAACAGTTATTTAATCCTCGCTCTGATAATCCAATCGCATTCAACAAAAGGTCATCCGACACACAAGAAACAAAAAAACCTACACGACGCTTATGGTCTGCTGCTGAAAGCAGTTCACAAGTAACGATAGAAACCAAAAAGCAACCTGTCTCTGAAGAAGAACAACTCAAGAAAAAGAAATGGAAATCATTGATTGCTTCTCTTCGCCATATTGAAAGTAAATTGGAAGCCTTGACTGAAAAATCACGTGCAATTGCTTGTTTTCAAGAAGACCATGATGTAGATCAACAGCGAAGTGATAAAGAAGAACAGAAATATCATGTTTTGTTGGTCGAACAAGACATTCTGGACGCAGAGTTGATCTGGAAAGAAAAGATTCAACTTCATCTTGATTTAAGTCACAAGTATTTAGAGGTCCTTCGCTGTGACCTTGATTATGCAGAAAAGAAAGGGCTAGAAAGCCTGTGTTGGAAACGAGCTGTCTATAGTTTAGTAGATCAGTTTCGAAAATTTATAAAAAAGTCTGCAGATAAGATTGCTGCCAGTCAAAACAATGCTAAAAAATCAGCTGCAGGTGAATTGGCTGCCGAGTTATTTGAAGACGAAGATGAGATGATACCTGTGATCCATGAAGGAGGAGGCATGACATTGATCAAGTCAGAAAAGCCTACTAGCAAACACTATTTTGAAAATGATGTGAAATTGCAGATCAAACAGGCAAATATGACATTAGGCTTATTTCTGCATTATCTTGATTTAGCAGACGCATTTTATGTTCAGTTAACCCTGTTCCTTAAAAGCGTGGATGATGACGATGATGATACCATGGAGCAAAGCTTAAATCAATGGAGACGAACAAGAAGATACAAATGGTATAGTTGTGTTTCTTTAAGAGGCGATCTTGCTCGGTATCGATGGGCTTATACACCTGAAGAAGATAAAGAGGGCCTGACTCGATGGTCTAAGGCAGACGCATTTTTAGAGGCTTGGAAACGTTATGAGTTGGGTATTTGGCTCATGCCAGCCAAAGGCAATCTCTATTTCAATCTTTCGTTACTTTTGCCTGGACAAAGCTATGAATTTCATAGATTCTATCTTAGCATGCGCAGTTTGATGGTGCGTCGTAATGGGTTTTTGAATGCAAGGGAAAGCATGCTCATCTTATTTGAAGGCAATCGACGTTGGATACAGAAATACACAACCAAAAGATCTAAACAACCGATTGACATTGCCATACCAGCCTTGTTTGTTCGTCTTCATGGCATGCTGTTTACCAAGATTGGATTGGACGAATTCCCTCAAATCAAACGTATCTTTTTCAATACCTTGTTTGAAACAAAGACAGAAGCTCATGTCATGGCTGAGCGATGTGGTGTCAGTCTACAGAAGCCATCCAGAATGGGTAAGATCAACAGTTTTTCAGCATCTCATTTGTTTTGGTTTGAAATGATTGTTCTCTGTCTGTCTTCTTTATACACCTATGACTATGCTAATTCAAAACTCACCAAGTTGATCTCGCTATATTCAACAAAGGTTTTTGACCCTGACAGTCCTGATCAATACGAACCCTTGTTGAACGAATTAAGGGAAAGTGTTTTGTTTACGTATGAAATTGATTTGACATGTCAAATGGCTGTTGAATTGTTACAAAGATATCTTAATCCAAGTTTACCTCCTCCCAAAGTACCTATGCTTCCTAAACTGCCTCATGTTTCCTTTCAATTCAAGCAAAGTAAGCCATTTATCTTTAGTGATGCAAAGGAACCTATGCCCACACAAGAAGATGATGATGAAGAAGAAGACGACCAAGCATGGCTAGTGTATATTGAAATACTTTTACATTGGATGGTATTGAATGGTATATGCATTCGAACAAAAGAGTTGCCTTCTTTATGGGAACGACTGGTGGGTGATATTGGTCATGATCTCATACAAAACAAACGGTTTATGTGTCGAGACAATGCTAAGATTTCATCTGCCTTTTGGCCATTGTTGCTTCAATTCTTAAATAAGCTTTTATCTGAACTTACAAGTGACGACAAGTACGATATGGTCAATAAGCATTTAATGGATGAAGAAGAAGAGCAGGATGTAGAACTGGCCTTTGCTAAAAACGTATGCAACATCTTGGGTCAAGCACCGGATCTTCCTGAAGAACATCATTTGCGTGGATTAGGTTGGGTGGATGAAATTCATGGCAGATTTTTGAAGTTAGAGCCAGATTTGAAGAAGGACTCTGTGGTTGAAGCTACAGATATGCTAAGTCGTCGTAAGACTCGAATTCTTGAGTATGGTTTCACACTTGTTAAGGTAAAATAACTGTATACAGACGCAATGTCTAATGAAGGATAGCATTTGGACGGTATTTTATACTATGATCCAGTAGAAGAAATGTTTACAGTTTCAAGATCCATTGAGGAACGCATGTCTGAACTTGAAATAGAAGAGACCAAAGCAGCGTCTATGCCATTAGAAGAAGAACAGAAGGAAATACCTATGGTTACTATTGAAGAAATGGACGATGATGTCTTGTTATCGAGCGAGACAGAATTAGACGATACTCAAGATGGAGATGATGATATCATGACGCAGCTTAAAAAGAGACGTGAACAATTACAGTCGATTGTAGCCACAGCAGAAGCAGAAGAGCGTCATGGATTCCGTCGTTTACCTGGCCGAGCCAAAGAGAGAGAAGCACGTTTGAATTATTTGCGTGAATGTATTATTCCAGGTAAAACTATTCTGGTACTTGACACCAATTGTTTTATTGGTCATATTGATCATGTTAAAAAACTACTTCAATCTCAAAAATGGTCTGTGATTGTGCCTTTAGTGGGTAAGTTATACAATAGCCATATTTGTATACTCATGACTGAATTAGTGGTGACTGAGTTGGATGGTTTAAAAACAAATCCTCATCGGTTAGGCTTTGTTGCTCAACAAGGTATTCAATTGCTGGAGACTACCTTGTCTTCCAAACCTAAACAGAGTACACTGCTTCGTATACAAACATCTCATAACAACTTTATGAACGATATTTCAATTCGCTCTGAGCAATTCGTATTTGGCGAGACAGACAAAAATTTGGATGACTTAATTCTTTCTGCATGCCTTTGGTGGATATCACAGCAGCCTCAGGATGATAATGTCGTGCCTGTTTGTTTGGTGACAGGAGATCGTAATTTAAGTGTCAAGGCTCGTGCTAGAGATGTGGAAGTGGTACCTGTGTCTGCTATCATACAGCTGACACCACGTTGACAACCCTTGCTAAGCAATATTCAAAATAATAAAACGGAAGTAGTCCAGCTGCTCATTAATCAGCAAAAATGAGGGAAAGACTATGTATTAAATTCAATGAAAATAAGAACAATCAAACACAATTCTATGAGCGAAAGCTTAATCACAATTCTAAAATTCGAGAATGAACAATAACGACATAATTTGACAACTAAACTTGGATTGCAATGATACCGTCATTGTAATGACTTGAAGAAGATTAAGCACCTCATACGCTTGGTAAAGAATGCGATAAAAGTGTCTCAGCTATATTGATTTGATTTTTGTTGTCTGTTCCCAAACATACATGTAAAAAAAAAGAGGTTGTGCACAGTGAACACATAATGCTTCCTTTAATCATACTTTATGAAGATAATCTTAGTATTTTTGTTTGGAAGAAAATAAGGAATTTGACATTGGACATCTTAGCATTATGCTTTTGCAGAGAATATACAACATTTCCGACCAAGAAAAGACGCTTTGTTCTAGACCAAAAATCAGCCGTTGAACAAGATAGAACCATGATTGAATGGCTCTTTCTTGTAGTCATCCTTGACTGCAAAATACGTGCAGTACGCAAAATCCTAAAAAGACAAAAAAAAAACAATGCACATTTGATGCCATTTTTCTCCTGATTTGAAAAGAACCAATCAAGTAAATTGTTATTTCTTTATCTTCTGCAGCTTTCACTCCCCATTTTTCTCTTTTTATCATTCTTTTTCTTTTCTTTTTCGGTAAAACATGATTGGCAATCACGAAACAACTGTGGATATTCATGCACCTGCACATACGTATTACACAACTGGCAATAATGCTCGTATGCGTAGTCTTTCTGTAAGTTGTTTGAAGCGCAGCACATCACTCATTTCTGATTTAGGGACACTATAAAATTGCTGATGGTTTCCAAAGAAAAAGAAGAGCTTCTCATGGTAAAAATCTCAGGCGTTTTACAATGACTTGTCTAATTGTTTTGGAATCCAGATGATAAAAGCAAGGCTCGAAAATTCTTGCTCGATGTCAAAGAAACACAGCGCATTTTAGTTGAACAAGAAGACACAGATGGTGATTTTCAAATCACTGTCAATGATTTAGGCCCGAAATCGCTTTCTGTTGGCAGTGCAGATTCAGGCGGTTATCTCAAGATTGAAATTCGCGGTACGTATATGTTGTCAAACCTACTACAAGAACTTGCGCTTGCAGAAGATTGTGGACGAAAACATATTGTGCTAGATGAAGCTCGTCTTAATGAGAATCCTGTCGATCGCCTTTCGCGTATGATTCGCTATCATTTTTGGGATGGTCTAACAAGACGCATTGATGCTGAGGGACTAGAACGTATTTGTCTTGATCCTAAGAATAGATCTGGTCATCATGGTCCATGCATCTATGTTCCCTTTGATGAAGATGAGGCTCTTGAGTATTATCGACAAGTGGCTAGTACAAAACCTCATTTACAGTTGCAAGTAGAACGCTTACCTAAAGAAATTACGCCCGAGTATGTCCAAAGCATTAATGATAGACCTGGCATTCTGGCTCTGGCACTCAAGAAAATCAAACAAAACGACAAGATAACATTTGAAGGTGTACCCTTTGTTGTTCCCGGTGGAAGATTTAATGAAATGTATGGCTGGGATTCTTATTTTGAAGCTCTTGCTCTCTTGATGGATGGTCGTGTTGACTTGGCTCAAGGCATGGTAGATAATTTTGTGTATGAAATTAAACATTATGGCAAGATCTTGAATGCGAACCGCTCTTATTATCTTTCAAGATCACAACCGCCCTTTTTGACAGATATGGCCTTGCGTGTTAAACAACATTTGCCTGATGTGTGTGACAAGAAAGCATGGTTACGCGGTGTGTTACAAGCTGCAATCAAAGAGTATCACACGGTCTGGATGTCAGAACCACGTTTGGACCCCAAAACCCAACTTTCTCGGTTCCGGCCTGCTGGAAAAGGCATTCCTCCTGAAACTGAAGCATCTCATTTCGACCATGTGATCCAACCTTATGCTACGCGAGCTGGTTTATCTGTTCAGGAACTCATGAAACAATACAACGAAGGTACTTATATTGAACCTAAACTAGACGAGTACTTTTTACATGACCGTGCTGTTCGTGAATCTGGACATGACACCACATATCGCTATGAAGGTCGGTGTGCCAACCTCGCCACTATTGACTTGAACTCGCTACTTTACAAGTATGAGACAGATATTGCAGATATGATCACTAGCGAGCTTGATGGTGATCTGGTAGATTATGATGGTGTAGTACAAGATGCAGGCTTATGGCGCGAAAGAGCACGTCAAAGAAAAGCGCGTATTGACAAATATTTGTGGAACGAACAAGAAGGCCTTTACTTTGATTATGATACAGTTGCTGAAGAAAATATCCATTATGAGTCTGTCACTGCATTTTGGGCCATGTGGGCAGGTTGCGCAAGTCAAGCACAAGCTGAAAGAATGACACGTCAATCACTTCACAAGTTTGAAGTGATGGGTGGGCTTGTGTCTGGCACCATCAAGTCAAGAGGCGAAATCAGTCTAGACCGTCCTAATCGTCAATGGGACTTTCCGTTTGGCTGGGCTCCCCATCAAATCATGGCATGGCATGGCTTTGAAAGATACGGCATGATAGATATTCAGCAGCGACTAGCTTATCGTTGGCTCTATATAATCACTAAATCATTTGTTGATTTTAACGGTGTTGTGCCCGAGAAATACGATGTAGTAGGTTTGACTCATAAAGTTCAAGTCGAGTATGGCAATGTAGGTGTTGATTTCAAATATGTATCTCGAGAAGGCTTTGGTTGGATGAATGCTTCGTATCAAATCGGTCTTAGTATAGTTACAAAGCAAATGCGACGTGCTTTAGGTACCTGCACAAGTCCAGATGTATTCTTTGAGAAGACTGCTGCTTATTTACAACAAGCAAAAGAAATTACACAAAATGGTCAAACTATCAGTGCAATTACTGTTATTGAGCCTGTAGCCACTTCTGCTGGACTATCTAAAGATAAAGATGAAGAATTGGTTACTCCTCCTGATATTGTCGTTGATCGTGCTTGCAGGAATGAATCTGTTGTACATGATTATTTTAGTACTGAAGTATGATATAAAACGGGTTTATGTTTGACATCTGATAAAATAAAATTTGTTTTATTTATACAACAAACAAGAGGTTGATATCAATTGGATGAGAAGAAGATAATTGAGGACGTTGGGAATATTTTGACTTCAAAATATCACGAACACCATTGAGTAATTGAAGGTAAGTGAGCTGTCCGTTTTGACGCATAACAGCTGTAAAATAGAATGTGATTAACTGATATAAACAATAATAATGTACTTACTCGTAAATGCATAAGACATGGCACCAGTAGAGGCACCATTTTCCATAGCATCAGCAGATGTTTGGTTATCTTTACAACCAGAAAACATGATTACGTCAGCTTCAGAACTCTTAAACTTTTTGATGCGCTCATCTACATTCTTCTTGCTCATCAGGTTCTTTCCAAGACCAATCAAAGAAGACAAGGCACCAGATTTGTTACCAGTAGCATAAGCAAGTCCTGCATTTAACAGACCAGAACCGGCGTCTTTAAAGATACTGCCTTCCTTGATATTACCTTGCGTAGAATATACATAGGGTAGATCAAGTGCAGTACCTGAATGACATGAATCGAAAATACAAGTCAAACGTACTCCTCGAGGCAATGAACGCACCATAATTTCATGCATTTCCTATTGGTGTTATTAGCTAATTTTCTCGACCTGTTTGCTAAGCATACATCATCTACAATTTGGCCTGATTCGCCTTGATATTGTTCATGATCTACTGGGTAAATAGTTTCATCATAGCCATCATCTTCATCACCATTTGTATCCTTTACTCTACCACCATGACCACTGAAATGGAAAAAGAACCTACAGCAAATGGTCAGATACATTTTTTAGACAATAAACATACGAATCATTCTCTCTTGCGCCATTCACAAGCCATTGCATAGCACTCAAAATGTTTTGCTTGGTTGGAATAAACTTGGGATCACTTTGGTCATCTGTCAAAATGACCATATCATCCTTTAAATAATAATGAGCATCCTAGTATTGTTTTTTTTCTTGTTTACCTCTCTAAATCCATGACCTTCTGTTAAGAATTGCTTCATATTTCTAACATCGTTTATACAACCATTCAGTTCATTTTGAGACCCAAAATAGTTGATACCAATCAACAAAGCTCTCTTTCTGCCTTGACAAGTCGAGAGCTTAAAATTGGGTGGTGGTTGGTTTTGCATAGTAGGGTTTACATGCATCACAAATTGGTCTGCTGCAGGACCTCCTTGCTGTTGTCCATAAGGAACTATGCTAGATTAATAACCTGTTATTGATAATGCAATGTTCTTACCTCCTTCATTATGAGTTGAATGAGGGGGCTGAGGATAATTAGCTTGACTCAAATTCGGGTCATTAGGCATGAATACGGGATCAGGTCCTATACATATAAGCATGAATACCGTGTTCAAATCTTTTTATGTCTACCTTGGTAAGGTGGGGGTTGAATGTGGCCTCCTTGATTACGGTCTTGCTATAGGTAGATACAAGATATGAGTTTAGGTCTGTGAATTCATATCGATTTAACTTACACTATGACTAGGAGGAGGGGGATAATTACCGTAATTTGATTGTGGAGAAGGAGAAGGATATTGTCCTTGTTGCTGAGTAGGAGGAGGGGGATAGTTACCGTACTGCTGTTGAGCTGGAGGAGGATAGTTTCCATATTGCTGAGGAGAAGGAGGAGGATAGTTACCATACTGCTGAGGAGAAGGAGGAGGATAGTTGCCATACTGCTGAGGAGGAGGAGGATAGTTACCATATTGTTGTTGAGGTGGTGGGGGATAGTTGCCGTATTGCTGTTGTTGCTGCTGCTGAGGTGGCTGGCCATAGCCATGAGTGCCATAAGATCCAGGATACGCCATTATGTTTTCTTTTCACGAGATGAGTAAGACGAAAACTAATAATAACAATGCAACGCCTAATGTTAGACAAATGACCACAGTCACGAAAGATAAGTCCATTTAATGCGCTTTATTGAATTCCTTGATAAATTTGCAACAATACCCACTTTCGTCCAACTACAATTTTGAGTACTTGAATGATAGAAAACGTCAATCGTATTCTATTTAGTAGATTGTGAATGAGCTTAATTTGATACAATCTGCTATATTTGGTCATTGATTTGACGTTACGAGAATCAAATGACAAACACTCCTCCACTCCAAAAAGAAGCATAGGTATATAGATTTTGAGAATTCAACTGCTATTAGTTTTAAAGTATCTCTCTTTTCATCTCTTTTTTTTTTTGTAATGCTCTTTCTTTAGACATGTTTATTTTTAAATGCATTTGATAATGATGGAAATGTGGTCAATGGAAATAGTTTTTAAAATCATTTCCTCTTTAAAAATTTATATTCTCGCAAAATCAGCCGATTTTTAGAGTAGTCATTGCAATGTTCACTTTCGACAACTGCTCGACATACATGTCAATGCCAGAGAAAATAACGCTGTAAAGATATTTATCTTCCGGACTACAGAATTGAATACCACGAAGATGACAAAAACCTTTGTTGCAATTTTCACTGTGAAATCAAACCCCCCAAAAAAAGCTATGAAGGCATGCCGGCAAAAGATCTATAAAAACTTTTACAAATTAGTAATTTTTGCAATAGATGAGATGATAGAAAGTAAGCTCTAATCAATTATGCCTTTCCATGCCATGCATGATCACTTTGACTTTTATCTACTTGCTGACAAAGACCAATACTTTTCACTGCTTCATCTCGAGCAAGTCAAAATCCCATTATCTTCAAATGATTTCAAGTTTGATGTAGAAGAAATGTTGAAAATGCATAAGCTTGTACACTTTATTGAAAAAGAAATTTGTGTTGAAAAAATAAGCAAAAATTGAATTCTAGAAATCAAGCAGAGCATGAGATACATAAGTAACATTTATATTGTTACTTACATTGGGTTATAAGAAAGAGCAGAAAATAGAAAGGAGATGAATTAGTAACAGATATTAACCAGTATATGTAAAATACTTAAACGGATACGAGGAGATAGTTAAATACCACTATCTTATCAATTGCATGATTATCAAAAATGTAAAGAACACAATAGCTTTGCTAATAACATTATGAGAGAATGAGCCGAAGTTTCTTTAGGTTTTATGCTCATATCATGATGTGCTCATAGCGCAATTGACAAGCAAACATATCCATCAAAAACTAGAGCTTTCAACGCACATTTTGAATACTTAATTTTGTTGATAACTCTAGATTTTGTCTTCTAGCGTCAAAAAAAGCTCAAAAAGTTGTCAAGTTGAACATTTCCATGAGTAGTGCCCTTTGGTTTTGGAAGGTTTTTGGTTGAACACCTTTTTTTCGAATTTTCTGTCTTGGGTACCTAAGCCCCGAAACAGCACCTTCAACTAACAAAACACAACAACAACAACTTCAACAACTTCAACAACTTCAACATAAATGACATAGTCGACAGATCTCCAGTAGAACCTTCTTCTGTACCACTACAACCGACATCGCCTTCAGTTTCGCCACCACTCGTAGACGTAACATCTGACGCACCTTTAGCTATTTCATTCGGTCCAACTCTACCTCCCCCAAGGAAACGACTTCGATCAAATTCATTAGACCACGAATATAACTTCGTTATGAATACCCCTACTATCAAGAAGACCACCCCACGTGCGAAGCGTGTTGAACCTTACAGCAAACTGCCAACTGTTGTGATGTAAGAGAGAAGATAAAAACAAAGAAGTCGATTAGAACTTGTATAGGTTTTATTATCCAAAAAAAATATATCTCTTTTCTAGCTCTTCATTCTCTAGGTATTTATATATGAAGAGATGTCGGAGTAAGTAGTAGTAGAGTTCATGCAAATGACTGAGTCTCTATTATCATAGACTACTTTAAATTAATTAAATAATATAAATTATGGACTTCGGTTATACGTCTTGATCTATTAAAAGATACTTTGTCTTATTCAGTACAAGAGGTTCTTTTATGTCTATTTCTGATGTAAATTGATTATGATATATTTTTAGTATGTAAATGAAGACTTATTTAATGTCAGATCATCATATGCATATAGATCCTATATGTTCACAACACCAACCACTGGTAGTCCTTCCAAGGCTACTAGACAACAAACCGCCGCCCTCATTGCGGAAGCAGTTGCTAAGGCTGCTATACCCACCAGCTTGCAAGACCAGATGCTCTCGTTCCAAGCTCAACTAGCGGCATTTAGCCAAGACAACGAAGGGCTTCGTCAAGAGCTCCAAGGCACACGCTCTGCTTTAGCGGAGACGCAAAAGGCTTTGGCAGAAGCTTATCAACAGATTGCCGCCTTGCAGTCCGCCGCCAACAGTCAGTCAGACTTGCCTCTGACTCAACCAGAGGCAATTCAAAATACAGATCATGATATGACAATGCCTACTGATTTCCCTCCCTTGGCTAAGGGAATTGAAGCATCTCAATATGCCCATGCTTACGAACCTTCTGGGGAGCGTGTCACTTTTGCTACAATAGCAAGACGTGCGCCCACTCGTTCTTCAAAACGCCTCTCTCCTCGTCAAGTGGCTAGCGTAGCCAGACAATTCATACCTGTGTCCACTGATCAAGGGTTCCAATACCTTTATCTCCCATGCAGACGAAAGCTCCCTATCAGAGACATGCGTCAACAATTTACCCGCCTCGGACTTGATCGTGGAAGAGTCTTGGATATTCACTATCCTGATCGAAATGTCGTCGCCATCCTCGTACACAACGAGTACGCCTCCGCTGCCTCTGCTGTCTTTGAAAAGCATAATATTAAGCCTCTCCATAACTTTGATCCACTCGATCCAACAGTAGTCCGAAACCCAGCTTTTGCTGAGGCTTTTGAGGAAGAGCGCAGACAAGAAGCATGTCGTATCAACTCTACCAGAGCTCTATCCACGCTGCAGTACATCCGAATACCTGTCAATGTAGCGGTTGCTAGATCCTTTGCTAAGAAGAATTGGATTACCGAAGAACAACTCCCTGCCTTCCTCCCTCAGACCCAGCCAAAGTCTGCATTACATGAACAAGATCAAACAGACAATGATGTTCCAGCATTTATTTTCTCTCGCCCAACACCTGAGAAGATACCTGACGACTCAGAAATGCAAATTGATCAAACAAGTAGTTCTGAACCTCTCGCTGAAGGTGAAGCGAATTCGCAACGATAAATATGTCGACTTCAAGCACAACCCAATCTCGTAAGTTCCCCTCACATTCATTTACTGACCTTTCTATATGTTCCCTTAATTGTCGAAGTTTAACAAAACCATCAAAACCAGAAGTTAGCAGCAGCTTTATTCGACATTTAAAAACTAAACAACTATACATCCTATGTTTCCAAGAAACACATGCCAGCAACATTACTATGCAACAACAACTCGACTTCCTTTTCAAACCGACTTTCTCAATATGGACTCAGCACTGTGGGATAATTAGCAACAATCCTAATATCCAAATCGCACCATACTTGATTACCATAGACCAAAGGGTCATCATATGTAATATTACACACGCTTCTAACCTTTTTCCTCCATTCCTTTTAGCCAACATTTATGCTCCAGCGACAAAACGCTTAAGACAGTTCTTTTACAACGATCTGATGACTATACAACCATTTTCAGATTTCTTTGATCCCCTCTCCAGTCCTTTACCATCAGAGGATGACGATACATCCACACCTTCCCTCGTCATTGTAGGCGACTTCAACTACGACTTTCACTCATATTCTACCCGCAAACTTCCTGACAAAGAGTCTCCTGTCAATTCATCCAGCATTCTTTCTCAATGGAAATGGCACTATTTGCTATCCACCTACTTTACAGAATGCACTCATGCGCTTCAACACGATCAACGAATTCCCACCTTTCGTTGTGGAGAGTCGGATACACCCACCATTGACTACATATTTGCTCCACCTTCCTTTGCTGACAACATTCTTTCTCATGACATTGAGTTTCTCTCTCCAAGATGGACCGATCATGCTCTTCTCTTAGCTACTTTCCGCTTTGCACAAAACAAACAAGGTCGAGGTCTGTGGCGTGCTCACCCTAGTCTGGCCAAGAACTCTTACTTCATCAAGCCTTGAATTCTGCATTGGATGATTATCATTCACTGATAGAAACCTTTTCCGAAGATTCATGCCCCACAACACAAAAACAATGGGATGTTATCAAACAGATCACAAAAACTATTGCAAAAAAGATTGGCAGACAACAAGCAGCATGGAGAGTTCGTCTGATGAAGCGTCTTCAACGCAAGCGCAACAAGTATTTCAAAGAATACAGTACAGCTCGCATTCCTCATCCACTCCTTTCAAACGTTGAAAAGAAAATTGCAATGGTACAAGAGGACTATGTCAACAACCTTGCTCTTCGTGCTGGTCGACACTGGAGAGAAAATGGTGAAACTTCAGCAGGTTACTTCAAGAGAACTACTGAATCCAAATCAGCTAAGAAATCCATGCCGCCACTCATTCATCCCATCATCGGCAACCTCTGTCAATCGACCGAAGAAATGGAAGATGCAGTCTCAACTTTTTACGGTCAGCTTTACTGCCCTGACCAGGTAAGTATGAAACATATTGCAGATCTCACTAGCACAATTCCTTCTAGTGACAGCATTCCAGATGTAATGCATAATCGATTATGTGCTCCCATCACCCTACAAGAACTTCAAGAAGGTGCGGCTAGAACCCCAAGTCAAAGCAGTCCTGGTATAGATGGGTTACCGTACGAACTACTTTCCATTTTATTGCAGCATCCACTTACTGGCGCTTTGGCCGTAAAGGTATACAATGATGCACTCACCTCCTCTAGATTTCCAAAGTCCTGGTTACAAACTTGTATGATTCTACTACCAAAAAAGGGCAATCTCTCTTCGCTAACAAACTGGCGACCCATTTCACTCATTAACGCAGATGCCAAAACTTTTACTCGATTAATCAATGCTCGACTTATGCCTTACCTCAACAAATATATTTCATCACACCAACTCGGATTTATGCCTGGTAGATTCATCGCAGAAAATGGTCAGATCCTACAATCGATACAAGCTATTGCACACCATGTTAATTCCAACTCTATTGCCCTTCTTCTCGACCAAGAGAAAGCTTATGATAGGGCCCATCCTACTTATCTGACTCAAGTTATGCATGCATTTAACATACCCCATACTTTCATTGAATCCATCACATCTCTTTTCTTCTCTACTGACATTAGTTTCAATATCAATGGTCATATCTCTTCCACAACAGTCCAACAACATAGAGGTCTCCGACAAGGAGATCCACTCAGTCCTTTATTATTCAACATTGCTTTCGACCCATTCCTTCGTTCTATTCAACAAAATCCTAATATTCAAGGTTTTAACTTTCAACTAGAAACCAAAAACCATCATCCGCCATCCTCCATATCACCAAATGACCTCTCACTTTCCTTTCAACAACTACAACTAGACAATCCCTCATCTCCTTCCTTCTCAGCACCACCTGTCAAAGTTCTCGCCTATGCCGATGATACACTCGTTTTACTTCATAATCACCAAGACCTTCTATGCCTTCAACAATTAATTCACAATTACATGCTAGCCTCCAATGCTAAACTCAACTTCAACAAAACTACAGCCATTTCGCTGTCAGGTAAACCTAATCCAAGATGGAAGTACTTTTTAGCTTCACAGAACATTACAACTTGGCATGACAACACCTCGCCTGAAGCAGTTATTTATCTTGGTTATCCAATTTACTCCGGTCCCCATCAACGAAACTCACATATCGACAAATTATTCCGAACCATCCAGCAAGCATGTCTCATACACAGCACTAGAAATTTATATGTTAGAGGCAGAGCTACTGTCCTCAATTCACTCATTCTATCACGACTATGACATGTACTTCGCCTGCTTCCTCTCAACAAAACACAACAAAGCACATTGCAACGCCTCATCACTTCCTTCATCAACAGTCGTCGTTTTGGTGCCATTCCTTTCTCAACACTCATTTTACCTCGTTCTCAAGGTGGACTTAACGTCATTGGTCCTCATCTACAACAGAGAGCTCTTCAATGGCGATGGGTCTACCCTTTATTAGTTCCTCACTCTTTTGCTATTTCTTTACCTTTGCTTTCTTATCTCCAATTTACCCTCTCTTTCTTCCTTTGTTCCCCACAATATCCTACTTACCACTGGCCTTTGTTATTCCCCTTTATACGAAAAAAGCTTTCTATTGACATTCCTTACTTCAATCGTATTTTCTTAGCTATAGATTATCTACCCCACAACTTCTCCAATTGTCATGTCCCCCTTCACGTTTGCCTTCGCCTTCCACTTCCTGAACTTCTACATTCTATCTGTCCTTCTCCACCTCCATCCAACCCTCCTATTTCTAAAGATAAATACTTCAAACACAATCCCAGTATGCTAGTCTTAGCAGGTAATCACATTTTTGTTTTTGATTCTTCTAGTGAATGCCTTCGGTTTCGCTCTCGGCAAGAAGTCCCTCGTTTTGAATCAGCCACCTACCGCGCTTTACTACACTTTCGTCAAAAAAAGCTCTTCCTCAATCCCTTTGTCCTGTCACTCTTTTCTCCTGCTCCTCGTATTTCTTCCTCTTCTATTCTTCCTTCAACCTCTCACATTAGCTCCACTGATTTACAGTCATTCATTTCAACCCTTACATACTCTCAATTCCCCATTACATCTTCCACTCATTCTTATCGTAAATTATGCCATAGCTCCTCCCCTCCTATACCGCCTGATCCCCGCCTATCGCCTAACTGGAAACGCTTTTGGTCTCTCAAGATCCCTCTCCCTGCTCGCAATGTCCTCTACAGGATGCTTCACAACAAAGTCAAGAACCGTTTTCACCTACATCGTCTTATGCCCCATACAGTTCCTAATAACTTTTGTATCCACTGTCCTTCAAATCTCATTACTTCCATTGATACCCTTGATCACTTTTATTTCCTCTGCCCTACCAAGTATGCTGTTTGGTCTCATGTCTTCTCCAAGTACATCAATCCCAACATCCATGCACCTTCGGTCAATCTCCTACGTCAAGTCCTCCTCCTTCGGGTTGTTATCCCTCGTGTTTCTCTCCTCCATTTTCCTTCCTTAAGTACCTTCCAAATCTTTGCATGCACTGCTCTAGCCCTCTGGCAATCTCACTGGCAATCTGTTTTTTCTGAAAACCCATTCCTCTCCAAAACTATAACCAAGGCGGTTTTCCGCTTAGCAAATAAGCTGCAAGATGAATCCCGCCTTGATTATGAACCGTAAATTCTCTCCTCCGCTTTCCTTTCCAGTGCCTCTCTCACTACTCATGATGTTCTCTCCATTTCAAGTATCTATCAAGCTCTCTTAAACTCTTATTCTTTTCTCAATTTCTTCTACCATAGGCTCATTTCCCTTTCCTTAGTCTAGTTCTTATAATACCACAGTCTTTTCTTCCACTCTTTTGACGTCTAAAGGACTTAAAATAAAATTGGAGCAAGTCTCCCTTACAAAAAAAAAAAAGTTTTTGGTTGAATTTTACAAATCGCTTTTTTTAGTTCAAATCAACTCCAAATGGACCTCATATGTTATTGAATATTATTCGTAGGCATTTAGAGCATTCGCGGTTACATAAACAGGCTTTATGCTATTTTTATATGCCCGAGAAAAAGACAAAGGTTTATATGGGTTTTATCTTTCTCACTGCTGAAACATTCATTTGTCTGTTGACTCTGTTACCAGCGTAGTTAATTTACAAATAAATTGCTTATTCGAGTAAAATTTCAGACTAAAAAATATGCTTACTTGTAAAAAAATGTCAAAGCATTGCGAATCTATGTGTTGTACACTACACGACAGGTAGTCTACGGCAAACGCATTAAAATATGACATAGGTAACCATATATTTACTACTCCAATTCGATCACTCACTTTTTCATAGTCAAAATGCGTCCAGCTTAAAAAAACTATAATGTTATTTGTATGATTTAATAGCATACACTGTTGAAAAAAAAATCTACCCATTAATAAAAGTTTATACACATAAATTAAAGCATCTCTTTCTTGTTACTGTTAGTCTTTTGTGATATTTCTTTGGCTGATATATCTACTTTAACTGCTACGTTCGCCAAAATTCAGATAAATATATGTAACATTTGATCGCCAATGGTAAGACTATGGCATACAATAATTATCGTTTCATTATATCATTTCTACAAAGATATTTATAACAGACATTGACTTCATGCATAGTCATTTGTTCATTTACTAGAAATAATCATTGTATGGATTTGAAAGGCTTTTACATAAAGTTATATTGCACATCACATACAACAAGATTCAAATCTATGAAGCATTTTTTCATTAGCCTTAAGTTGATATGTCTTTTGCTCTTGTTTGAATAACAATATTGCTATTATTCTAAAAGTAGAACAACTTAAAATTTCAAAAAAAAAAAACTAGGCAGAAGCACAGTATAAAAAATATGACAACATAACAACTTGTTTATTATTATTTTTGTCATACTATTATAGATGCTCTTGAGACTTTGAGCATTGGCATAGTTCTTTAAGAAATCAGCCTCTCGTCCTTTTGTAAAACAGTTTTTCCCATTCATCCTCCTGTTTTCTGCCTTTTGTTCTTCAACGAACTTTTTTGAGAGGGCTTCCATGGCTGCTACTACTATTAATCTTTCCTGATACTTCTTGTGGCAAGGATATGAGGCTCTGGCATAGTTGAGTTTGACCCTTGAAAAGAGTGTTTTTGATTATACGTGCGAATATATAGCAAACCATCATTTGTGTACAATTGGACCCTTTTCGCATTGCCATCTTCTTCTAAAGCATTCAAGATGCGTTTGACTTGAACGCGACTATTACGACAGACGTTCAATAATACATCGACTGTCTTTTGTTTTTTTTTTGTGCAGTAGCGGAAAAAATAGCCTTTACCGATACGATTGTTCATCAATTGTCAATCATATTAGCCAGTAATGTTAAGATCGGAAGGCAAGCTACCAATAATCAGGACATTCTTTGTTGATTTAGGCCAAATTAAGTTTTTCTTAGGAGAAGCAATCCATCTTGGAAAGAAAGTGACTCATTTTAAATACTTGTGTATTCATCTTTGCTTTAACAACCAATTCGAAGCCCCCTTTTTATCTAGCCGAGTGATATATCACTCAGCCTAAAGAATCCAACAAATGAGTATAATGAACTAGCCAGTTCCTAGCTTTCTTTAAGAGAGCCGGAAAGCTATGTTGAAATTACGGGAAATGCATTTCAAGTCTGGCTGAAGCTATGATAGGTATTCATCCTATGCATGACACATATTTATTGCTTGACAGCTTGAATGTCACACAAATGTTGTACGCTAAAAATGATTATGTAATGCATATACACAGAACCTAATAATGTATAATAACCATGTTCAATGAAAAGCATTATCAATGCAACCTGACAGGTCTTTGATATCAACCTTAGTGGTTACTGACAATAGTCTATTATCGGTTTCCGATGATCTTATTCAAAAACTACACATTGGATATTGACAATTTCTGCTCATCTTTTAGGTTTTTAAGAAAGCTGAATGTATAACATTATATGTTTTACTAACCAAGGATTTTGCGGACGTGTTCAACAATAGCTCTTATGACAAAAAGATAGAACAAATACAGTCCAATATGTACAACTAAAGACACTTTTATTTAGTATTGGGCAATTCTTCAGGAACCACACTTTGATAGATTGTTCCAATCAAACCAAGTGCACGAATACGACTTTCAAGTTCTTCTTTAGAGCATTTTGTGTCTCCCAAAACTTCATCACAAACATCACGTAGTACACCTTCAATTTCCAATTTGGATCCTTTCCAAATGGCTTCTAAACCCTAGATAGACTTGAGTAACACAGCATGCAGACACACACACACTTACTTTGGCAGCAGCAGCCTCTTCCAGCTTTGCTCTCTCTTCTTCTGACAATCCCTTTTCTTCTGCTTTTTGAAGCTCACCAAATGTAGACTGTAAATCATAAGCAGTACGCAATGTGCCCACTGTTTGACTAAAAATATAACCCTTTTCTCGAAGACTATAATACATGCCACCCAAACCAAACACAGACTTCCTGCTGCTGTACTGAGTTACTTTAGAGTTGTACGTGTTACCAATCACATGCAATAGTTCAACACCATGGTTTTCCAATTTGAGATCTTCTGTTTCTTTCTTGATTGTGTTGATGAATTCTTGTTCACTGTTTGATTTGTACAAGTCCAGTTTATGAATCAATTTTTCACAAAGCACTTCAATGCGTTTGGCACGCACTATGTTGCGTTCTTGTTCAGATTCTGCTTTTTGTGCTTCTTTTTCTGCTTTTTCAGACGGTGTCAATTCGCGGTCCTCATTTTCTTCTTCTGCTGTCTCGAGTGCTTCTCGCATATCTTTTCCAATTGATATCTCACCAATAATGTCCACAAAACGATCTCCACCAAATGATTGTTTAAAGAAATCCTCAGGATCAACTAATTTTATAGATGAGTTTAGTGTTGCCCTCTCTCTCTTTTTCTTTCTTTTTTTTTACCAAATCCTCCATCAGGTTTCACTCCGTTTTCTTCACCAAATTCATTGTATCGTTTTCTTAGTTTAGGATCTGAAAGGATCTGATAGGCTTCAGAAATACGTTTAAACTAACACATATCATAAATAAGAGCTGCATCCTAAATCATAGTTTTTATTATTATTATTCTTACCTTGTCTTCCGCAGTAGGATCATTTTGATTTTTATCAGGATGGAATCTGATAGCCATTTTACGATATGCTTTCTTGATTTCATCTTGATCTGCAGTGACTTGGAGACCCAATAGTTCGTAGTATTCAGTAGACACTGGTTTTTCATCTTAAAGAAAATAAGTACACAAAAAAACAACTGCTGTTGCTTACCGGTTCCTTTTCTTCGGTTAGGTTTTGATTTGTTTTGATTGGGTTTTGTGTGTGCTTCATTGGCGTCTGTCACTGTGTATGTCTCGACTTGTTCACAAGCCCAACACTTGACGGATACTTTTTGACCCACTGTTTGTCCTTCAGGTAAAAATTCAATAGGTGTAATACATTTTCGACAAGAAGTCTTGATATAAGGTTCTGGTTTTCTTGACTCAAATACTTTTGTCATATTGTATAACAAAAAAAAAAAAAAAAAAAAAAGAGAAAAAGGGAAAAAAGGAAAGAAAGAGAGACCGCCTTTTTAATCAGAAAAAAATAATAATAATAATACAAGCCATTTGTGTAATACACTCGTTTTTATATATAGAGAGAGAAAATGTATTATATAAAAAAAAAGAAAGAAATGATATAAAGAAATGTACATAAATTCTAAATGCTGATAGTTTTGAAAATGTTTAAACCAGTACTAGCTGTGCTAACAACACAACCAGGTATTTGTCTATGGAAATGTAATTCCTTGATATCTTCTTGACCTTGATGAACAAACAACAATTGAGGAGGCACTTCAACACCATCGTTAGTCAAACGGCCTTCTTGTTCTGTATCAGGTTCAACAGACAAATCCCATAAAGTCAATTGGTTATCTGCACCAGAAACAGCCAATACAGATTCTTCTGTAGGGTGCCATTCAATGGATGTGATAGGACCATTGTGCCACTTGAAGGTAGCCACAGGTGTAGGTTGATTGCCCTTAAATGTACGCAAATCCCATACACTAAAGACACCATCATCATGACCACTAGCTAACAAGTAAGAAGCCTTCTTGTTCCAAGTAATCACATTGACATCAGAATGAGAAGCATGAATACCAACAGCAGCGCGCTTCTTGTTACGTGTGTCCCAAATCTTGACTGTTTGGTCTGCAGAACAAGAAGCAAACACATTGCGTTCAGTAGGAGACCATTGAAGGTCTTCAACAGATGATTTGTGTTCTCTGAAAGCGACATTTTCAGTATTGATACCACTGGGGGTAATTGTTGTGTGGAAAATACGACCTGTATTATCACCTGTCAAAAGACTATAGGTAGCTGTTAGTCTTCTCCCCTCCTTTCTTCCTTGTTATACTTTACCGGCCAGCATCAAGATAGGACCAATCCATAGCATAACCTTCTTCACGACCATGGTTGTTAATGTTAAATAAAGGCTTTTGGTTCATTTGAGAAGGCGCTCCTGCTACTTCTAAACTGGCTACTGCAGATGTCAAGTCCCAAATATGTACTTTGCCTGTTTCAGCCCAGGTAGCAGCAATGTGTCTATCTTGTTGTTGGGGCATAACCCTTAAACGATTCACACAACCAACATGAGGAATAGATCTATATTCAAGCACAGGATCCTCATCTAAAGCATCGGGATCATCCTCATCATCAGAGTCTATAAGAGTTGAGTATTCCAATTAAACTCAAAGACATGACTTACCATCTTGTTGAGTCTTGTGTAAAGAAGACATCTTCATAACCAAAACTTCATTGTTACGATCACCAGGAAGAGAAGTACCAGCAGCAACATAAGCAGTAGCAGGATACTATATATCCATATTTAATCTTCCCCTTCGCTCTTAGAAAAAAACTTACATTCTTTCTTTCTTCACCTAATTTGTCTTCCAAAATATCAAAACTCAGAAAGGGAAGACGCACATCAAGGTTATGAAGCATGACATACACTGAGGGATCAGCTTCCAATACTTCACCTTCTGCTAAAGGTTGACCGGGCAAATATAACTTTAAGTTTTTATCGCCCTCTTCTTCGTCATCGTCTTCCTTCATATCCACATCCATGCCTATCTATTATAAGTAAAAGCAGAAAAAAAGAGAGTCGAGTTTATGGATCTTACCGTCTTCATTATCGTTTGCTTCAGGTTCCATACTTTCGACTACTTCTTCTTCTTCCATTTCATCTTCCCAGGCATCTTCAAATTCACCCATTTCGTTCTTTTCTTCAGCATGTCTCGAGACGCCGTTGCCAAAGGCAGTAGTTTTATTTTGTCTTGAATCAGAAGGATCGGCTTGACGTTTTGACATGTTGTAAGGTGAAACAAGAAAAAAAAAAAAGATTTCAAAAAAAAAAAAAAATAAGGACAGTCAATCTGTGACGGTGATTCTTAGGCATAGGCTTAAAAACAGTATGTCTTGTCCTTCTTTCTTTTATTATCAAGACATGCCTGCATCTCTCTTCCAAAGATACGCTCCCCCCATTGCAATTAGCCATATATGAGACAATGGAAATACACTCTCAGTAGTGTTGAGTCATCTTTTTCAATTAAAAATAAAGAAGCAGGGGTTAATAGTATGATTATTTACAACTAGATTTTAAATATGAATGCCTCTTGAGGCTAGTTCATCATAGCAATGGGGTGGAACAAGTTTCTTATTCAATTCTGGCTGAATAGCTAATTCTGATCATAGATGTGAGAAATGGAATTGACTGTATGTTCACTTACCTTCAGTAGTGAAATTAAACAAAGGAGGAAGTGGTTTTCCTGTAGGCATTTTTGTGTCAGGATCACGTAGTTCATCAAAAAATGGATGTGCAAGCGCTTCTATAGCTGTTGGTCTTGCTAGTGGATTGTACTGTAAGATGCTTGACATTAAACCAATGGCTTCTGGCGGTGTTCTTAGTCTAAAGATCTATAGAGCCATAAGAACAGAATCACTGTCTGTTTAAATTTACCTTTTCAAGAGGGTGTGGTTTAATCAAAGGGAATTTATGATCATGATAATCTGGATTCATCAATTCAATCTGTTCTCTTGAAGGAGTACCTAATACTTTGATAATCTCAACCAGTTGATCAATGCCACTTTCCCCTGGAAACAAGGGTTGTCCTAGCAACAATTCACCCATCACACAACCAGCAGACCAAACATCAATCTTGATAGAATATTCAGCTGCACCAAAAATAAGTTCGGGTGCACGATAATACCGAGAACAGATATAAGATACATTTGAATCCCCTGAATTCAAAATCTTTGCACTAATGATGATAATTCAGCATCCTATTGTGTATATCATTCTTTACCTTCCAAAATCACATAGTTTCAATATGCCACTGATAGGCTCTAATAACAGGTTTTGTGGTTTAATGTCTCGATGACAGATACCAATACTATGACAATAAGCCAATGCTCTAAATAGTTGATACATATAAATCTTGACCTGCAAAATGGGTATAGGTTGTCTAATCTTGGCATAATGTCTCGCTACTCTATAAACAGTCTCTGGCACATATTCCATCACTAGATTCAAAAAGATTTCATCTTTCTAATATATATGGACACTTAATAACATACCCTGCTTTAGTGTTGTTCTTGCTTACCTTTTCACCTTGATTATAGAAATAAGCAATCAAACAACATATATTGGGATGATACATTAATCGCATCATTTCTAATTCTCGGTTCTTTCTTATTGTTAGTAATTTGCCAATTGAAGTCTATCTATTTTACCTTAAATCGTTTATCCTGCAATACCTTTTTGATAGCTGCATATTCACCGTTATGCATCAATTTCGCTTGATAGACAACACCAAATGACCCATTGCCAATCACTTTTTCATGTGTATAATGTAGTTTCATGTCTTGTCCAGTCTGACCATCCTTGGCTGCTACAATGACATGTCTCAATGGATGGGTTGGTAATGGAGATCCTATTTCATGAACATCATTTTATTCTTGATTACTTCTTTACCTGGAACAGAAGGTCTTGCCAAGTTTGTTTTCTTTTCTTCTATTCTGTTTTGTGGTTGTTGATTCATGTAACTCTTCTTTTTTTTTTTTAAGAAAAAGAGAAAGAAAGAATTTTATCCTTTTTTTTTTCAAGGCCTTTTTATTGGTGATTGATAACAAAACCTTTTTTCTTTCTACTTCAAATCCTCTTTTTTTATCGTTTTGTCAGCACAAGTAGAATATTCACCTTTACCTTCTTCTTCGCTTCATCAGCGACAGAGTTCAATACAAATAAAGCAGCAACAACAACAGAACAAGATGAAGATGTCTTTTTCAAATAAAAAGCGTGTCTGGACAATAGTTGGACTTGTGTCTGCTTGCCTTGTATTTGCATGGTTATTCTTATCCACACCTTCTTTTAGACAGTTCCAAGGTAATAAAGTAGCTATTTTATTTTTTTCTAATACGTGGTACACAACAAGATTCGCCATCAGACCATTGTACTGTTCCGTATCCAGGGAAACCACTTGTACAATACGCTGTCATGATAGATGCTGGTTCTTCTGGATCACGTGTTCATGTCTATAAATTCAATCATTGTAAACAAGAGCCTGAACTAGAGAATGAAGTATTTCACATGCTTAGGCCAGGTCTCTCTTCTTTTGCTGATGATCCTTCTTTAGCTGCTGATTCATTAGATTCCTTGTTGCAAATAGCACTTGAGAGTGTGCCTGACTCCATGCAAGCCTGTACTCCCATTGCTGTCAAGGCAACAGCTGGTTTACGTCTGTTAGGTACAGACAAGAGTACCTCGATCTTGGAGGCAGTGCGTGACAAACTAGCACACTATCCATTCCATGTAGCAGATGTGAGTATCATGGACGGTAAAGAAGAAGGTGTCTATGCTTGGATCACAGTCAACTATCTCTTGGGCAAACTCAAGCCAACAGAACAGTCTGCAGCCACATTTGACTTGGGTGGTGCTTCTACTCAGATTGTGTTTGAACCAGACAGTATGGTACCAGGTGAACATGTCTATCAACTAGACTATGCACATCAACAATATGATCTATACCAACACTCCTATCTTGGATTTGGTCTGAATGAAGCCAGAAAACGAATTAAACAAGCCATGGCTGATCTATGGACATCAGACAGCAGTGTCTATCACCCATGTCTACCTGACAACTATACAGAAATGATCCATACCTCAGGCAACGATACAAGACAAGTTCAATTGATAGGCACAAATGCAGGTCATGCTGCTTGTCGAGCTGTGATTGAACAGATCTTTGAAAAAGAAAAGACGTGTCCACTCACACCTTGTGCCTTTGATGGTGTCTATCAACCTCCATTGAAAGAGGCCTTTTTGGGTCGTGATTTATATGTATTTTCTTACTTTTATGACTTGACTCAACCTTTGGGTATGCCATCCCAATTCACTGTGCGTGAATTAGGTGAACTCTCTGAACGCGTCTGTCGTGGTGATTTAGAGTTGTTTCGACACATACCCAATGCGCCTCGTGTGATTCGAAAAGACCCCAACTACTGTCTTGACTTGACTTATACCCATGCCCTTTTAAGAATTGGCTATGATATCTCTCCTGAACGCATTGTACACACAGCTCAAAAAATACAAGATGCAGAAACAGGATGGTGTTTAGGCGCTTCTATTGCCATGATGAATGACAACCAGTTATGTTATTAACAATAAAAATTTTTACAGGGTATCATGGCAAGGACATTCTATTTCATTATGTAAATCTTGCATCTTTAGGAATTCACATAGACTTGCTGTCAAGTCATCAGGAAACCCTTTGTAGATTAAACTACTGATTTTCAAGATTCGCATGAGACGATAAATCATTTTTTGTGCCTTGCTTCTTAATGTCACATCTTCCTTAATTAAAGCATTGCCACAATACACAGTAGAAGCATGATAGAGACAATTAGGTGTGAGCTGAAAGACACACCAACCAAAACAGCGTGTCAAGACTTCGCATACCTCAATCACAGCATCAGCTGCATTCGTACACACAGTACTTGATCGCTTTTCTTGTTCTGATAAATAATAGGAAGGGGGGCTTTTGCTTCTGGAACGTCGTATGCTGCTAAGAACAGCCTTGTGCAATACAATCCAAGTTGTCTCACATTGGATCTTGAGCAATAGGGCTGCATGTGCTTGAAGTGCATCTGCGTCCATGGTTGCAGTAATATCGTGTTGTCTTTCTCTGTTTAATTTGAGCTGTTCCAGCCGCTCATAATCATGGTCATCAATACGAAAGGCTTCTGATATACACTGATTCCATTGCTTGAGATGCTCTTCTTCAGCCAACAGTTGTTTGATAGAAGCACCGCGTTCAGTTAGTTTAACGCATTTGTTATAAAATCGAAACAATTCAACAGCATAGACAAAATAAGTGTCTTTGACAATCATTTTGTTGTATTCGAAATCACACACTTGTTGAGGATCATGCAGTTGTTGATTCAGTGTAATAATTTCATAGAGATTGATATCCACTTCAGATTCATTGATGATGCTTGCCTCGCTTGTATGACAAGATAAAGTGCAGTCATTGTAACACAAGATCAAGAACATCTTGAGGTATTGTTTGCGTAAGGCTAGATCGTCAGTTGGTAAATTGGCTATACGGTGAATACCCCATTCAAATGCCACGTGTAGAGAGAGGCCAATATAGATTCTTGCTTGAGAATACCGTTTACAGATAATACAGAACATGGACATGGTTAACAAGGCTTCCATGGTTGAATGATCTGGTGGTTCATCAAACGACTCCATCAACTCATTCCGTGCACGGTCATAATAAAAGCCAGCAATTTCCTGTGCATTTTCACAGATATATTTATCATGTCGCATCACATGTAGAAACATCATAGCAAGACCAGCGTCTGTGCAAACTTGGTTACGCTTTGGGTCGCCTGATCGTTCCCAGAACGAATGCCAATTGGAAGAAAATTTGGGGTGCAGACAGTCCCAAAAGACTTGTCCAATATAATTCATGCCTGCAGGTGAGATGTTTTTTGTCAGACCGTTCAGATTCATTCGACAATGATTGTAATTCTCCAGATAGATTTCGGGACGTCGACCGATCACATTGTGCCAGAACTCAAGCGAAGACGCGTCCTGAGGTAGATCATACGATGGACTTGGTGAAGAACAAAGTAGTTCGAGAATTGTATCGTCTTCGTCTGTTAATGTGATGGAAGTGGAGGTCGTACTGCTTGCTTGTGGAGTAGGATCACCAGCCTGCAGTAATCTTATCTGTTGTACTGCCTGAATGAGTTGCTCTACACTTGTGATGTTCGTATCTAGTCTCAACATATTGCCTGGTTGAAACGATAGCAACCATTGCATTGTATTATCTTTTTTGTTACTATCGACCAGCGCTGTACTAGTGGATGAATTCTTTTGTTGAAGTTGAAATAGATGCTGTTCAAGTTGCCTTGTTTGCTCTTCTGGAGACTCTTTTTTATGCTTCACAAAATGGGTAGACGCTTTATCAAGGTCTTTTGAGATGCGATTTAAAAGTGGTGAGGTTTTCTCTATCCATGATTCTATTTCATAAAATGTTACTTGAAGTGATTCTATATCATCGTAAATGGTTCTTGGTTTTTCTTCTGTCTTGTCATTTGTATTTCTTTTTTTTGCCATATCAGTAAAATAAAAAAGAAATAAATAGAAAAGAGAGAAAAGATCAAGTTTGACTCACTACAGCATTTTAACTTCAGATTACGCTTTTTCTAGACGAATCAAATGCATTTGAATAGAGTTTTGATAAACAAAGGTAAAAGAGAGTACTTTATTATTAATAAGAATAAAAAAAATGAGTCATATCAAATTGCTTATGTTAAATGATTAGTTCTTTTTGCGTCCCAAATTCAAGGCATCTCCAAGACCAAAACCTTCAAGGATCTTGTTAAGACCAATACCACCTAAGAGAGAATTGATAATGGAACCAAGACCAAGACCATTTAGAATATTGCCTACAAGACCGAGAACACCAGTCAATAAAAGACCGACAGCAGAAAGAATTTGTAGCAAGGGACTTTGCAAGATGTTCCATAAGGGGCTAAGTTCTTTCTTTGCGTGTGGCATGTTTCTAATCTTCTTCTTGGCTCTGTCAATGGTTGTAGTAACCTCACCCGAGAGTTGAGCCAAAAGATCTGCCAAGTGATATTCTTCAGGAGAAGCCTTTCTGTTGGAAGTGTTGGATTGAGCCTTCTTAGCGATACGACCAGTAGGATCCAGACCACGAATAGCACCATTAGCTTCTTCAAGAATTTGAGAGCCTTGTTCAATCAATGGTTTAACAGTATCAACCAGTTTTTGTTCATCACGTTCCTTTTGAGGCTTGGCTTCTTCTTCATCAATGGTTTCAGTAATGCGCTTAAGGATAGGCTTGATCTTATCAAGAGACTGTTGAATACAAGTAGACATTTGGTCAGCAATCTTGCGGTATTCTTCTTCCTCAGGGTCTCCCTTAGGCTCCTTGTCTTCCTTGATCATTTGAGCCTTGCCAACGATATGCCCTTCAGGGTTGATAATGTTGCCATCGTCGTCAACAGGGAAATCAACCATTTTATGAGCAATACTCTTGTCAACAGTACCCACAATATTGTCGTCTTCATCAACAACCTTGCCTGATTTTCTGACACGAGGCGAGTGTTCATCAACCATGGTATTGGGATTGAAAGGCTTGTTCTTGTCTTCTTCTTCCTTAGGTTCTTCTTCTTGTTTGATCGTATCAGCACGACCTACGATATGACCTTCGTTGTCAATGATATCACCATCGTCATTGACCTTGAAACCATCAAACTTGGAAGCCAACTTTTTATCAACATAACCAACGATATTGTCTTCCATATCAATAACCTTGCCAGACTTGCGAACTTCAGGAGAATCTTCGTTCACACTGTCATTGGGGTTGAAGGGCTTGTTCTTATCCTCCTCTTTTTCTTCCTTGGGTTCTTCTTCTTTGATCATGTCAGCCTTAGCAACAATATGGCCTTCATTATTAATGACGTTGCCTTGATCATCGACCTTGAAGCCAGCCAATTTGGGTGCCAACTTCTTGTCAACATAACCAACCAAGTTATCATCCATATCAAAGACTTTACCAGACTTGCGTACCTCAGGCGAATCTTCATTGACACTTTCGTTAGGATTGAAGGGCTTCTCTTCTTGTTCAAACAATTTGGCCTTGGCAACAATATGTCCTTCATTATCAATGACTTCACCATCCTTATTGACCTTGAAGCCAGCCAGCTTGGAAGCCTTTTCTTTGTCAATAGTACCAACAACGTTATCTTCCATATCGACGATCTTGCCAGATTTACGGACTTCGGGAGAGTCTTCATTCACACTGTCATTGGGGTTGAAGGGCTTGTCTTTATCTTCTTCTTCTTCAGGTTGGATCATATCAGCACTACCAACGACTTCGCCGTCATGGTCAATGATATCACCATCAGCGTTGACTTTGTAACCAGCAAACTTGGCAGCAAGACGCTTATCGACATAACCAACAATGTTGTCTTCCATATCCAAGACTTTACCAGACTTCTTGACTTCAGGAGAGTCTTCATTGACACTGTCATTGGGACTGAAAGGCTTTTCTTCATCTTTAGCAACATCAAGATCCTTGACATCCTTTTCAGCGTCTTCGGCTTTTTCTTCAGTTTCCTTCTCTGTGTCTTTGACGGTGTCCTTGGCATCTTCAGCAGCGTTCTTGGCATCATCAGTAGCGTTTTTGTCTACTTTAGCATCATCGGTAGCGTCTTCAGCAGTTTCTTTAATATCTTCAGCGACATCTTCAGTGTCTTTGGTAGCGTCTTCAGCAGTGTCTTTGGTATCATCGGTAGCGCCTTCGACGCCACTGGCAGCATCTTCAGCGTTATCTTTGGCATTACCGGCAGCATCTTCAGCGGTATCTTTAGCATCATCGGTAGCGCCTTCGACGCCACTGGCAGCATCTTCAGCGTTATCTTTGGCATTACCGGCATCATCTTCAGCGGTATCTTTGGCATCATCGGTAGCGCCTTCGACGCCACTGGCAGCATCTTCAGCGTTATCTTTGGCATTACCGGCAGCATCTTCAGCGGTATCTTTGGCATTACCGGCAGCATCTTCAGCGGTATCTTTGGCATTACCGGCAGCATCTTCAGCGGTATCTTTGGCATCATCGGTAGCGCCTTCGACGCCACTGGCAGCATCTTCAGCGTTATCTTTGGTATTATCGGCAGCATCTTCAGCGGTATCTTTAGCATCATCAGTTTCTTTAGCCTTCTTTTTAGGGTCTTTGATGTCGTCTTCGACCTCATCTTCTTTAGCCTCGGTCTTTTCAAAGACTATAGATCAATTGAGTTAGAAAGATCTGAATACAATTAGATAAGTTACCTTCTTCAGTTGGCTCATCTTCTTGTTCATCATCAACCTGAGCCTTGGAATTTTGTTCTTCATCGTTATCTTCGTCACCATCATCGTCAGAGGACTCATCGTCATCATCTTGAGAGATAGGCTCTACTTTACCAATGACCTTGCCCTTATCATTGACAATAGTACCATTTTCACCGACTTTCTTTCCAGCAAGTTTTTTAAGCTTGCCTTCAACGAGCCTACCAAGAACAATGCCAGATTTCTTGTCAACGACCATACCAGACTTGTTAAGCTTTTTGCCAATCATTTGTTTCAAAAGTTCTTCATAGTCTTCTTCGTCTTCAGACTCTTCTTCGTCTTCAGAATCTTCTTCTTCTTCTTCTTCTTCTTCTTCTTCTTCTTCTTCTTCGTCTTCTTCGTTTTGTTCTTCTTCACCTTCTTCACCTTGTTCTTTGGTGTCACCAGTGTCTTTTTCAGCGGCATTTTGATCTCCGGATTCATTCGTGTCTTGTTGTCTTTGTTCTTCCTGAGACCCTTCTTGAGCCTGTGCTTGATCTTGTTGATCATTCTTTTGCTTAGCAGCAGCAGCTTCTGCAGCAGCTCTTTGTTGACTTGCTTGTTGGTTCTTCATAGCTTTAGCAGTTAAGTATGGAACAATAAAAAATAATTCGAGAATCTTATTACTATAATAAGGAGTAGAAAATACTTTTTCGATCAGGAAATAGTTCTTTTTTTTATAGCCAAGACTTTCACCAGGGCTCCAAAATGGGATGATCTTTGTGCCCACGGTAAATCATGACTTCATACGTAGATCATTGCTTGTCGTTTTCGATTTAGAATTAAGGTTCAGAAAAAAATTAAGGTTGCAGTAACACATATGTGTGAGGTAATGGTAACAATATATACTGGATTGAAGTTCAGATAGATCACATAAAAAGCCAAATTGTTTGTTTTTCCTTTTTTCTGCTTTTCTGTATTAACCATGTCTAGTTTGATTGAAAAGAAAAAGAAGTCATCAAGCAAAAACCTTAAGCCAAAGAAATCTTCAAAGCACTCTGTAGACGATATGATTGGTGAACCTGTTAAAAGCACTAAAAAGAAGAGTAATAAATCAAAAAAAATCAAGAACAAAGCATTGCCTACCTCTACCCTCGAAGAAGATGGTGTCACTGACCAAGCTAAGAATGTAACTGAGATTACTGATCAAACTGAGAATGAAGCTGGCGATGTTGTTCAAGATGCTATGGAGAAGGCTCAAGACCAAGGCGAAGGTGTTTCAGAAGAAATCAAGAACCAAGCACAGGAGACTATTGATGAGGCTCAAGAAACAATGGACAGTGAAGATGAACTTAATTTAGGAGACAATGATGCCTTAAGCACAATGAATGCCATTATGGAATACAATCGTCAATTAATGCAACGATTAAATGAACTTGAAAGTCAAGCTCAATCCCAAGGACAAGAAGTTAGCAAGCAAACTGTACAGGATACAGTTCAAGACACTTATAATGATATCAAGACTAAATATGAAAAGACACAAGAAGGCGATGGTACTAACCATTCCTTTGAACTCCCTCTTGGTGATATGATGAAGGGTTATGGTAACTTGAATACCGAACCTCTTCCTGATATTCATGATTCCTTATCAAAAAAGTCTGACAAGGACGAAGAATCTACTGTTCATGGTGGTAATAATGAAGGAAACAAGATTAGCATTGGTAATGGTGGAAAAGACGATATTGTCGTCAAGGTAGAAGCAACAAAGACTGGTATCACTTTCTCAATTCATATTCCTCGCGATTAAGTAAAATAATATTAATAAAAAACCTATTTGTTTATACTGTAATACTACTATATATATATATATAAAGGGTAAAATAGAGGCGTTTATTGATGGATAAGAATATGATATTGCACAGAGAGAAAAAATAAGAAAATATTATGATAAAAGTGTCAAGGTAATATCACCATGAGCTTTGGCTTTTAAATAGAGTTCGGCTTCAATATTAAGGTCTAGACGAAGCTTGGGCATTTTACTATTACTACTTTCATTCTGGTCTTGTTGTTGTATTTGTTGCTCTTGCTGCTGCTCTTGCTGTTGCTGTTGCTGTTGCTGTTGCAATTGCTGTTGTTTCTGTATCATTTGTTGTTCCTTGTTTCCCTTGCTGGAACGAGACTTCTTTGGCTTTTCGGTTTTAACAGGAGCTTCTTGTTGAGACATGTTTGAATAAGAGAGAAATAAAAAAAGAAAGAAGAAATTGGTTTTAAAGAAGAAGGCCTTAGTTCTAATTTGTTCTAGACGTAGATAGTGTGCCACAATCACATACATGAGTGATGCACAAATTATGTAACGCTTTGAATAAGCTCATAAACTAGCAACAATAAGGTGATCTCCTCATGTATTATGGCTTATGCTGTCATTCTTTTGTCATTTACCATTATCTTTTGCTAGCTTTGTTCATATAAACTAAGTAACTTTTTTTTACATTTTCTTTTTTCTTCTTCTTCTTTACCACCCATCTATTCAATCATGGCTCCAACAAAAGAAGCAGAAAGACCATCTAAAATAAAGGAAATTACTGAATCAGAAGAAGAAGAACCAAGCAAGTCGAAAAAATCCTCATCAAAAGACAAGAAGAGTAAAAAGTCAAAGAAGAAGAGATCTTCAAAATCCAATAGTCTTGTTCCTTCAGATCAATTGTCAGGGCTAACTGATGGCGTCATTGGAGGAGGCCAACAACAACAACAACAACAACAAGGTGGTGGTGGTAAAGGCGGACAGCAACCATTAAGTTTGCGTCTTGATCTTAATCTTGATGTCGAAATTACCTTGAAGGCTAGAGTTCATGGTGATGTGACCCTTGCTTTATTGGCTTAATTTACTATTATTATTGTTATGTTATACGCTAATAAATAAACAAATATAAACTATAATTCCAAGTTACAATATGTCAATTGTTGAATGTGCCCTACTAGGCGTTATTTAGCCGAAGTATTGTACCCTTTTGGCTTGGCAATGATTTATGTCATCCGCAATGTTTCACGAAACACGGGTCTTGTGCAACAGCATATGTCATTTCAAATGTTATTATAATACAATAGATATTTACGAATTCAAGTCTAAATGACGAATGTTTAGTACTACCATAATAATGTGGAAATAGAAAAAAAATCGCGTGGTTTATTGTAAGCCTATGGGGAATCGCTAATACAGTGGGCGAAACATAGGTCTGTACCACATGATCGCCCTTAGCATAGAAACACTCACAAGAGTACGTAAGAGATTCTGTAATGTATTATCATGCATGTCATCGCTATTTAAAAGAGGGGAGCCGAGTATAGAAAAAACTGTTTTTTCGTTAGTTTCTTGGGAAAATTAAGGAATCAAGTATAATCATTTTATTTTAAATATATTACAGTATGGTTTACAAAAGAGTTAATTTCACAGAACCTCGGATTCTTGCTTTAAGTTTGATATCAGCATCCAAATTAAGATCAAGCCTTAGACGTAATGCATTTCTACCTCCCGCCTGAGGATTAGACGCCAACTCTGGTTTTTTGAATTGTTCAGCGTTCTGTTTTAATTTGTCTGCCTGAGCCTTTGCTAACTGTTGTTGTTTATTGTCAGGTTGTTCAATTGGAGGCTTATCTTTTGATTTCTTTTTCTTGCTACTCTTTTTTGTTGAATTATTGTCTTCTTTAGATTTCTTCTTTTTTGGCTGTTTGTCCTGGTCTTCTTTCCTGTCCTTTTTCTTGTCTTTTTTAGCTTTTTCTCTTCTTTTTTGTCCTTTTTTGATTTCTCTTTATCTTGTCCTTGCTTTGATAATGTTGAATTCTGTTCTTGTATCATTTTCTAATTCAGAGGGGAAAAAAGGAAAAAAATGCATAAAAGGTTGTTAATCTAGAATGTTGTTATCCTTTTTAAAAGTGTTACACAAAGCAGAAATGATGACATGATTATCATGTCATTTAAGGGGGATCCACTCGAAATAAGGTTTATTGTGTTACCTTATTTGTTTACATGATACAAATTCATTGTTTTCATCTTAGCGCCATTTTCATTACGTGTGGATATTGTCAGATGTGTTAACCCCGAACTCAATAAAAATGTTGTAGAAACAAAGTGAGGCCTCTTTTTCTTTGTCATTCATTTTTTATATCCATGCCTCCTAAACCTACTGCCACAAAAGAAGACACTTCAAAAGACGCTTTAAAAGACGCTTCAAAAGATAAGCAAGAGTCGAAAAACAATGAAAAGGCCCAGGATTCGAAGCCTAATGGTCAAGAAAACAAGCAAGAAGGTGCTGCTAAAAAAGAGCAACAAAAGCCCAAACAAGAAAAGAAGGATGAAGATAACTCTGATTCAGATCAATCCGACTCTGAGAATGAAGATGATAGTGACGACGATAATAACGATAGTGATGAAGATGACTCTGGCTCAGATGAAGAAACAGGATCTGAAGATGATTCAGAAGAAGAGTCTGAAACTGACAATAGCGAGACAGATTCCGAAGAAGAATCTGATGAAGAAGAAGACTTGATCCCTAACCAGCTTACAAAACTCAAGAAGCAAAAAGGCGGCCTTGTCAATGGTGCCACTGACACTGCTGGTAAATTAAGTAAATCTGTTGGTGGTGCTGTCAGCGGCGGCGGTGGTGGTAGCGGCGAAAGCGAACACCCTCTTAGTTTACGTCTTGATCTTAATTTGGACGTTGAAATTGAACTTAAGGCTCGAGTACACGGTGATGTCACTTTGGCTCTTTTGCGTTAATACCTTTTTTTTGTAAACCTATCTTTATTTATTATATACAATAAATTTCTTAATGCGCTTGTCAACAAATCATTCGTTTATTCAGTACTAAAGTTTAGCATTTGAATTCAATTTTTGTCTTAGATGTTATTGAAAAGAACGTTTTTAGCCGTAAACTGGAGAAATATCAGCTTGTTTCATGTCGTACCTACCGCACAGACATTAGTTTGTTTGTTTGTGTATACATAAAATTGTTTTAAGAGCAGTATACGCAAAACATCCTTCAAATTGAAAGGGATTTACGTTCTCTGCTTGTCAAGGTAAAAGACAAAAAATCTGATGATAATATAAATGAATACTGAAATAAGTATTAAGCCTGACGAATTTCATAAAAAACCACGGTTCAACAACAGCACAATTGGTTCTATCATCACTCACTTTCGTTAATTATATGGAAAATAAAAGAAACCAATTCTATTATTTACATTTATTATATAAAAAAAGCAGATTATATCTAAATTTTGTGTGTCTTATAAGCTTTGTACATAGTCAATGGCAATTTCCAGTCTTTCTTTTGTAATTTCACATCAAATATGTTGAAATTTACTTTCTCCAGGTTCTCCAAAAACTTGATATGAGGTACCTAAAACAACAAGTAAGTACACAGCAAACAGAAAACATTCATTAAAACATACAGCTGATAACAAGGCGGGAAAAGCATCTCCAGGAACTTGATTCAAGATTGAACGAGCAGTCAATAGCTGGTCATAGGCTGCTGTAGCAACATCATAAACAGCATCTTCCATACCATCAATTTCTCCACGGAACACATTTTCTTGAATGATATCGTACTAGATCAAGATGAGTTTTAGAAAAACCTCTACCTGCAATTTCATACCTTTGCTGTAATCTCGGCAGGTAAGACTAGTCTCTTTTGGCTGACATGAAAAGGCAATGATCTTAAGAAAGTTGTAATACCAATCATTTTACCAATATGACTAATAGCGTGATCCGCATTGACATCCTTGACACCCAATGATTCAAGTTGAAGGTATAATAGACTGGATTGTGTGTTTTCAGAATAATTTTCCATATCCTTTATTGTCATGAATTGGTGATCGTCTAAATTACTACTCTATTATCAACTCAGTATTCGAGTTCTTTTAATGGTCCATCAAGACTTACTCTTTCAGATATAATGCGCTTCATCCACATGGCTGATAACTTTGACGTCTTCAATGCTTCTGCAATAGCTAAAGCAATAGGCTGCTCGGGAGGATTTCCCTTTTTTAAATCGAAGAGTCAATAAAAAAACATCTTGACAATCTTTACTTACAGCATAAATCTTATTAATTGTATCTTTCCAAAACTCCATTCTCATTTTACCAATTTCTGGCTTCGAAACATTTTCACGAATAGAAGCTAGTTCAACGTTAAAAGCCCTTATAGCATATTGAGTGTCTCTTAGGTGAGCTGGAAAGAAAGGTGTTGAGAGATAGCCTTCGTAGTCTCTTTTTCTATTGAAGCGTTAGAAGTACGGCTTTTTTTTTGCGTAGTATTTTACCTAACCAAGTCTTTACAGTATCCAACAGCATTTTTGACACGCTCGGGCGAGACAGTAGAATGGTATCTTTTGGCTGCTTGGGTGATAAGTCGAGATCGAGAGTGGAGCAACAGAGTCATTGATTAGTTTAAGGAAAGTGTAATAAATATATACTCGACTTCCCCAGGGGTTTTTATTACATGTAAAAAGCCACTGATCTCTTATTGGAGGTCCGTTTCGCAGTGAAGAAAAAAGACCAATGTCAGTTATACGATGGACTTCATTTTTATTTTTGCATGAATATTTGTTTTTTTTTATTTAGCTTTAAGATTGATTATGTTTAGCGTACAGGCTTTAGAGTAGTAAAAAGAAGAAAAAAATAAACGAATGGAGAACAGTTTGGGCATAAGGTTTGAATAATAGCAGACAGGGTAATAGAAAAAAAATATACAAATACTTGAAGTTTAGATAAATACAACTTGAAAGACTAGAAGCACATGAACTTGCTCTTCTTGTTCATGAGCTCGTCCATACGATTCTCAAGAATACGTCGTGCTTTTTCAGCTTTCTCCTTCAGTTGTTTTTGTTGTTCTAACTTTTCTTCAAGTTCTTTACGCTCGGTTAATGATTCGTCAGTAAGCGTTCTCTGTTGCGATTGTATTTGAGTCACTTGAGTACGCAAGTTTTGGATTTCAAGGTTGTAAGCTTGTTTTTCTCGGCTCAATTGATCCAATTGTCTCTTGACTTCACATACGGATGATTCTGATTTTATAAGCTGAGCTTCCAATTTGCTGATGACTTCTTGATGTGAACGAACATCATTTTCAGCAAATTGAGCCTTGCGTTGTAAAGAACGAATCAATCTGTCGTATTTTTCGGCAGTGAAACCGCTGGCAGAGTTTGTAGTCATGATTTCACTAAAAGTAGTTGAAGCATTGGAGTCTTGACGTTGAAGAGAGGATTGACTAGGACTTCCAACAGACATAGGACGCATTGGGGGAGATCCAGATTCGCTTTCATGAGCAGACAAACCGCCAATAGAGCATGGCGATGAAGGAGGAGGAGGTAAAGGTGTAGGAATAGGAGGAAGAGGATTAGAAGGTGGTGCTGAAGGAGGAGGAAGAGCTCCCAAGTTACTAAGAGGTCTACTGTTTCGTATCGAAGCACGAGGATTTACAGTTGCATCAGATTTAGCAGAAAGAGTAGATAGTCGTTTGACTTCATCAGCTGTAGCACTACCATTGCTTTCTAGCAACATGGCAGAGACTGATCGGTAAGAACCAGACTTTGACGTTCTTGAAATGCTGGAATTTGAGATATCACGCTGTAGCATATACTGAATAGTACTTCCAGTGCTCTGGTTAGCTGATGGATGAGCAGGAGGTGGTGAAGAAACTCGTGGCGTCTGAGGTGGAGATGTGAAATGGATTGATTCTCTATTATGACCAATGAGGTTATTGTTACTTTTGGAAATGATTTGTTCCATTTCTTTTTCAAGACGATCGTTGGCAGCAGTTAGCTTCATCAATTCAAGCTCCAGATTCTTGGTTTCGAGAGTCAATTGACCACGCTGCAAAATCAGTTGAGATTCGAGATCATCATTATGTTTGAGTAATTGAGCATTGTCTTCTTGTAACTGCATGATTTTATCGAGCATTTCTTGCTGACCAAAAGATTCACAGCTTACTTGCTTGAGATCGAGTACTTTCTCGACGTCCTCTTCATTTTTTTTACCGTCTTGAAAAAGACTTGATCTTGAATGATAAGGTGAGTAAGTGATACTCAATGTTGATGAAGATTTTTCTTTTATCATTTGCTTCTTGATTTGGTCAAGAGACTCTTCAAGTGTCTCAACCATAGTTTTGTATTGATTGTTTTCTTTATGAGACAGGTAAAGTTCTTCTTTGATCTTTTCTACTTGATGTTTCCAGATTTTGTCATCTTTTTTCTTTGCTTCTTGCAAGATAGATAACTTTGTTTCTAATTCAACAATCATCCCCGTGGAATCTTTAGCAGAAGCAAGAGCTCGCTCATGTTGGATTTGATGTTGAAGTTCACTGACAATTTGTGTGAGTTCTTCATTTTGGATTAATTGTTGCTGCATTTGTCGTTGAAGATGAGAAAGCACCTCTTCCTTTTCTTTTTTGTTTCTTTGTTCTACGTCAAGCTCATGCTCAAGCACTTGTACTTTGGTTTCAAGTTCTTGTAAATGATGAGAGCCCAAGTCAGTATGGGGATGATCTTGCTTTAATTGTTCAACTAAAGTGCTTTGTTCGTTTAATGAGCGACGTGCTTCATTGAGTTGAACAGTTAGAGATTTGACCTTTTCGTCGTCTTGTGACACACGTTCAGAGGCTTGCTTTAAAAAGTCAGAAAGTTCTTCTTTTTCGGCAGAGAGTAAATCAACTTTACGTCGTTTTTCTTCAATCTCTTGTTCATTAGCTTTGTATTGATGCTTAATGTCTTTTAAAGCTTCCATTGCCTTTTCAGACTTCACCTCTTGAGCTCTCAAGGTATTCTCCATAACTTGCATTACTCTTTCGAGATTTTTCTTCTCCGTGCCAATAGTACAAACATCTCTCAAAACATTTTTTAACTGCTTTTTCATGTGGGCAACAATTTCTGCCTTGGAGGTATTCTCAGCTTCTAAGAGTCTGATAGTTTGATCTCGCTCATCTAATTGTGTATGAGCAGAGTTCAGAAGACGACTCATTTCTTCTAGCTTGGTTTCAAGGCCTTGAATAATGACATCTTGTTTTTCCTCTATCATTTGTAGAGCACCAAGGTCTGACTTGAGCTTTTCTATTTCTTCGTGTCTTAGTTTTTGAGCATTCTTTTCTTGTTCCTTCATTTTATGCTCGAGTGTTTGCTTGATGAGAGTCAATTCATCAATTTTGCCTTGACTACATCTTCTTTCTTGAAATATCTCTACTTGATGTGTCTCTTTTAACTTCCTTATAGCTTCTTCAAGACGATTGGTCTCTTCCAAATGATTTTGACGTAGATTCGAAAGCTCCGTCTTGAGTTGCTCAATTTCACCCAGCTTGGAATTCAATACCTGCACTTGAGCATCTTTTTGGGAGAGTAAGTTTGAAAGCTCTGCTATTTTTGAAAGTTTCTCGGATTGTGCAGCCTGTTCTAAACGTATACGCTCTCTGAAAGAGTCTAACTCCTTTTCCAATTCTTGGCATTTTGTTTGGCATGAAGCAAGTTCCTTTTCGAGTAAGTTCTTTTCTTCATTGGAGTTGTTTTGAGATTTTTCTGTAGACTTGGCTGTCAAGGCAGCTATTTTCTCTGATAACCTTTCACGTTCTGCTTCGGATGTTGACAACTGGGATTCTAAATCCGTAATGTATTTTTCAGTCTGAGTGTCCATTTCTTTGAACTTGATAATTTTTTCTCGTAATTCAGATAAAATTTGTTGATCTTTATGGCCATCGCGAACTGATTTTTCAAGCTGAGCCTCGAGTTGTAAACAGTATGCTTCTGAAGAATGTTCACGCTCTAAAGCAGCAGATAAACGGGCCTTAAGTTCATTGAGAACCTGTATTTCGTTGATTTGCATGCTTTCATACTCTGCAATCTTGGTTTGTTGCTCAGTCAGTGCTTGGTCAGAATGGTTCAATGCGGCTCTTGCCATGGCTAACTGAGATTCTAAACCAGAAATTGATTTTTCGTATTCTTCAATGACAGGCTCGACCAAATGCTGAAATTCATTATTAGTCTGAGGTTTGTTTTCACCTCCACTTTGTTGCAACAATTCATTTTCTACATGTAAATTACGTTCACGGGTCACAATGAGCTCGTTTTGAAGCTCTTCAATTTGTCGGCGCAAGTCTGATACCAAAACAGCTGCATCATTGCTTTGATGGCCATCACTACATAGCTCTGTTGATATTGAACTATCAGGCATAGTATTGTGAGTAGTTGCAGAGGTTGAAGGATAAGTGGAAAGATGAATATCACTACCAGATGTTGAAGAGGAAGAAAGTGACATGAGTTCATGGCTTGCTCGATTAAATCGATCTGATTTAGGTGAAGGAGTGCTATGTTGACTAGATTTGAGTGATTTTATCTCTGCCTTTAATTTTGTGATGATGTGTCGAAGATGATCTACGTTATCATTTGTCATCCACTCTTTAGTTTCGTTTTTCTCGGTCTTATTGCGAATGTTACGAGCACGATAAGCATATTTGATTGTATTACTTGTTTCTGTTAAATTGATTTCAGCAGGACTAACACAAGCAATCATCATAGTAGTAGAATTGCCTCCAAGTGAGTCTTGAAGCAAGCGCGTCAATTTTGAATCGCGGTAAGGGACATGTGTAGATCGCTTATGATGGGGGTCTGAAAGTGCTGAAATAACATTTCCAAGAGCTAAGAGACCAGCATTGATATTGATGCCTTCTTTTCGACGGTCGCCTTGAGCAGCAGTTCTTTTAAGTCTTTCTGAACCAGCCAGATCAACGAAATGAAATTTTGAATGCGTTACCATCCATTCACCTGATTCTTCTTCTGGACCAGTACCACGTTTTTCCATTTGTCCAATCATGGCTTTTACGTTTAGAGTGCTTGGTCGACGGTTGATGGTTCGTGTAGCGGCTGGTGCTTTCTGAGTGGGAACCCACTTCTCTTGTTTGAGTGTGACAGAGAAAATAGCATGTGATCGAGAAGATTTGGCATTCATGTCTGTTGAACCGGTAGCACGGTTTTCTGTGCCAATTTGAAGGTGTCTACAAATGTTAGTTTAGTATGCAATAACTATTTATATGCTGCATTGCATCATTACCTAAGTACATCTTCGGTATTCTCAACAGGAACCTCCCTAAGACCAGTCCAGATAATATGACCTTTTGTATCTTCTCTGATCGTGACAGGAGTTCTTTCCTGAGGTTGAGCAGGATTTAGTAAATCAACGAGTTCTTCATTATAAATCTCGATAAACGAGACATGCACGGTATATCTGGTTGATTTGTCATCTTGAGAAAGAGTTTTTATCGATGTATTTGAGCCACGACGAGGAGACATTGATACTGGTCTTAAATTTAAAGTAGAAGTCCTTTTAGGTATTCTTAAGCCAGAACTAGGAGCTGTTGATGTAACCAAAGATGGTGTGCGTTTAATTTCTGTAGTACTACTTGTTGATTTGCTCATCGACTCATGTTTAATGTCGTTTAAACGTTTGAACAAGGCTGACATCGCACGAGGTATGATACCTATTCATCAATCTAAGTATTGCTTGTTCATTTTTTCTTTTATTCTACCTTCTTGTTCTGAGTTTGATCCTATTCGACTATCTATTGCTGTTCCCATTGTATAAGTCTTTCCAGAGGATGTTTGACCCTAAATCAAGAATAAGTATCATGCTTAGCTAAAATGAATTTAAAATCTCACATAAGCCAAAATGGTAACATTGTAACCTAATTTCAAACAAATAAGATGATCTTTGTTTATTCAACGCAAGCACTTACCGTCAATAAACCTGTCAACAAGTTTCGAGCCAACAGCCGAAAATACCTGTTCTTGAGTGCTTGAGGCGTCAAAAACATGATCAAACTGAAAAGACTTTTGATGGGGGACAATGACTACTGAATTCTCGTACGTTTTTATCACATCTGAATCAGTTGAATTAGAAAATCGTGGTTGTGCTCTATCTTGCTGGGTCAGTGGTCGCACTCGTAAAGCTATTGATACATGAGTTTTGTTGCTAGAGAGCAGTATCTTTGAAACTTACCCACTTGTACTGCAGTAGTTTGTGTATGATTGGTGGTAGTAGATGAATTACTGCTAGTTGGTGGTAAAATGGTCATTATAAAGTATCATAAACGTTTATCCTATATAATAAAGAATGTAGAAAAAAAATATTAGGAGACAAAAAGAAGAAGAAAATCGAGATAGTATTTTCAATGCTAGTTGTAACTTACAGTTTGCTGTATTTGTGTATAGGGGTTGATGGAATACAAGGGGTTGTGATCAGTAATACTGTATGCGAAATATTAGTAGTTATGTATTAATAAAAAAGGAGGTATTCAGTACTTGTTTTCTGCAGCTACTGTCAAAATAAATGATTAAACAATGATAATCAGTAGGTATGTAAACGATAGTAAGATACAAAGGAATGTAAAAATGTATGTGTGAAAATTTAATACATGAACTGTTTTAAAGAAGGATAGAAAAGAAATGTAAATGAATCAATACAAAATTAAATCTATATGTATATGTGTACATATCATGATTATTTTTGTAACTTGTTACACGCTCTTGTATGAAGAGAATTCGCAAAAGAAGATAGACCATTCTTTATATATAGCTTGCTCGCCGCCAACAAACTATGGTGTAACCTTTAATTTCATCTAGAAAAAAGTATGAGCTTAATTGTTTCTCAGCCCTGAAATGAAATGTAGAAAATTTTGGTATATTTGTTAGCATGAAAAGAATAATTTCAATAGACTAAAGGTGATATCATTGATTTGAGCAATAATATGAATCAAAGAGAAGGCTCATGAAGAGTAAATGGTACTAATGATGCTTTGTGTAATTATTAATAAGGTTTTTGCAACAACTATCACGTTTTCAAATAACTTACTGGTTCAAGCAAAAGAAAAAGGGTAAAATAATAAGAATTCTAAAAAATGACACGTCTTTTATGCCTTAGAGAATAACATATGTTCTAAAACAAATTAAGACTGTACACTGTTTCATGTTCTTGTCCTACTCTCTCATTTATTAATGAGATTCTACAGACAATGAATGATGGAATTGTCAAACAAAGAATTATGATGTTCGAAATGCAAAACAAGGAACAAGGGCGTTTTTTTTTCGGGGGGGGGGGAAACAACATGCATAGAGACATACATATAGTTTCATTTGAAAGCGACATAAGCTTAAAAGGAAGCCGGGGTACCGAGGATTTATGATTTTCTTCAACTTGTTTTTCTTAGTATACTGGTCCAATTAAAAAATACAATAGTAATTCTTACAGGTCCAGACATTTTTATTTTTATTATTCTTTTCACTCGGAGATAGGATTTTACAGCTTTGACTTGCCTTTTCTTCGGTTTTGTTCTCCCGAGGTAGATAGTGTCATTGCTTTGATTAACGAATGTTTGTTACATGACTTAAACGAAAAACAGTTTGAAAAAAAAGATAATCTTGCTTTACCATTTTTGAAAAATGATATACGTGACTTTTTTTTGTTGAAAGGAGGAGAGAGAACTCCGTTCAATACATTTAAGAAAACAATGTACTCATTGTTACAAACGCAATGAAATGATAGAAACATTTAATGCATGAATCCCTTTTGCTTGTTACTTACGGAACACTTCTAGTAAAAAACTGTCTAGATTTACGCATTTATGCATTTTAGAGTAGAAAAAGCATTCTATTCCCGAAATGCTGTCATCACTGTCAAGATCTCAGTTACAGTTATACTCAAACTGTGCCTAGAAGGCTCTCTTGCTTCTTACACGGAAAAAGATGAAAATTTAATTAGAAATTTTCAAGAAGAGCAAGCTTGAATATGCCAATATATTTCGTGAGTACAAAGTTGCTGCCTTTGGAAATCTCGAATCAACACTAGACGGTTTGCACCGTCTTACTTTGTTCGCAAAGAGTAGCACGGATAAGAAGAATGACTCGATCATGCTGACGATACAAGATGCTGGTGACAAGGTTAACTTTTACTTGAGCTTAAGATTAATTGACTGTACTATGATTTGTACTTACCTCAGCAATGCCATTATTACTAGGAGTAGTTGATCAAGCCATGGTATACCTCGCCTAATTGGATAAATCAGCATTGATATATGCCATTTATAAAAATTGTTGGATATCATCACTTACCTTGCCGTATATTTTTAAAACCGCTCATATCAAAAAGATCAAACATGCTCAGAAAGCTAGCTTGGACATAAACTCATCTTAAATGCAAGTGTCTTAACATGGACGCTTAGTTGGACTGATATTTTCTTAAAAAGCATTAAGAGTACAGATCTCAACGTACTCCTTTTTCTTAGCAAAATCCAAGTAGATTTGAATTTTTTGATATTTAACTTTTTGACTAGTGCATAGATGTTTGCATTTCAGCTAAAAGTCTAAATTCGTTCAATTGTTTATTCAAATCGCGAGAAAGCTATGCATACTTATGCATGCGAAATTCGCCTCCTTTAGTTTCATGTCTTCATGAGCTGCATTGATGGGTAAGCAGTAAAAGGATCGTGGATAAATGGCTCAATCAAAGTTATGATTACATTACTTTTATCTTTTTCTACTTGTGTCTTTATCTAGAAGATATAATCTTGAAAGGAAATAAAAATCCCGGCATTTACAAACCACTTGTCCTTTTTTTTTTTTTAGAGGTCAACACATGTATTTTTATTTTGTTTTCATTCGGAGATGATATGGAATTTTTACAATTTTTTGAGCAACTTCTTCCAAGTTTTGACTTTTCCTTTCTTTTTCTCGGTTGTCTTTTTTGGCTCTTCCGTAGTAGATGGTGTCATTGCTTTGATTGACTAATGTTTGTAACATGATTAGAATGAGAAACAATCAACAAATAATTTGTCTTACCAATTTTGATAAATTTTTGTGATTAAATAACTTGAAGAGCGATGTCTTTGACTTCTTTTTCTCTGAAGAACATGAGGGAGTGGGAGTTATATTTTCGGAAATTGTGCTTGCATCCGAGTCTTCTTGGGAGCTAGTGTCCTTCATCTGTTTGTTGGGAACTTGATTTGTGTCACAAATTGAACCTGCAGTTAAGAGTGTTTCATCTTCTGTTGCTGTAGTCGCTACTGTTGCACATTCATAAGGATCATCATGAATTTTGCTTTCCAGGCTTATTTGGGAAGAAGCAACAATTTCTGATGAAACAGTCTTTGGCTCCTGGCTACCATCATCCTGTGTAGAAGACTGATTATCATCTTCATTCATTTTTTCCAAGTCCAATGTAGTATTTTCAGTGATCACATCTCTGGTTACTGTTACAACCTGAGGCGCTACCTCAATCTCACCTATTACTTCGGTTTCTTCCGATATCTCATTAATAGGAGTATCCGTTTTATTGTTTTTGGCCTGAGAGGTAATCAGTGGTTTCTTGAAAGAGGCACTTGGCTTGAGCGGTACGATTTTATGAGACTTTTTAGAATTGTACTTGCTGCCATTGGGAGCATTTTTCTGTAATTTCTTTTCTTCGCGACGTTGAATTTTGGTATGTGAGCGTTCTAATTGACGTCTCATGCTTCTGTTGGGACCAAATGGTTGAGTTTGATAGATTGAAACTTGTGACATATTTGTATTGTAAGATATTTTCAAAGAAAAGAAAAGAGGGAAAGAAAGAAAATATGTGAATCAACCTTATTTATATATGCATTTTAATGACAGATATAAACACTGTTCGGAAGCATTGAATCTAAATAAAAATATGATATAATGTTGATCCCGCTCTTTCTGCACGGCAATGCGTTCCTTTTTTCCCTTTGTATATATCTTCTTAGTGCACAAAACTTCAAGACACAGCAAATAGTTTCCAGCATAAAAATAACGCGATGATCTTACCCCTTAAAAAAAGTCCGAGAATTGTCTCCGCGAAAAAAAGAAGAGCATTTTTATTCACAAGCAAGTTTAGCGTCAAATGAAGTTAAAGCAATTGAGAAAGCCTGTAGTAAGCACATTGGGTATTTGTAATCCATTGTGAAAGAGTCCCTTTCAACACGTCCAAATTGCATAACAATGTAATCCACTAAACACAACAAGTAAATCCAAATGTGACGAATCTTACTCTCACTTACAATCATTGTCATGTACAATTTGAAAGTTTTTGACAGAAGCTTGTGTTACTCTACCATTAAAGTTAAGCACGAACGATTGTGTTTCTATCAAAATGTTAAATAGATCAACTTGTCATATCTACAGCTATAAACCAAACCTTCGTTCCACTGTGGACTCTTATTATGAAGTACTAGTAAATCACGGGCCCCACCTTCTTTGTACTTATTTAACAGCATTTCCGATTCCTTGACAGGTCTATATTCGGGCCGTTTTCCATCTCTGGTTAACGTGTGCATCAAAATGGTCATTTTTCGCGGTCCTTTAAAGCCAAGTATGTTTGGATCCTAGACAGCATGGATTGATAAATACAAAGAAAAAAAATAAACTTACATATAAAACAGCACACATCTCCTCTCTAATCAGCAAATCTTTTTTCTTTGTGCTTATTTCACGCTTAAGGGGGTTTCTTCCATGTGAGTAAGTGATAAATGTTGTACCTAGAAAGTTGGATCTAGACAAAAAGTACATATGGGTATCACAACAACAAGAAAAGTCGTACCTGACTTTGCCCAGCTCAACATATCCTTCAGGCACATTCATGCTCTCTCGATAAATACCGGTAATTGTATAATAACTTGTGTTGCTCTTTCTTTTTTTGCGTGCAGTCAAGACATGGTGAATATCTCCCGTTGCTAAATGTTCGATAAATAAATGATACTGAGGATAAAGTTTATCCAATCCGTCTCTACAACGATGAATACGACATGTAACACGGGTATTTAATGCAGCAGGTCTACATAATTAATAAATATTTCTCTGTTATTTCATTATACCTAAATGCAAGTTCCAAAAGCTCTTTTTCGCAGGTCAACGTTCTTTGTAGAATGAAGTCAGTTGGTTGAACAGGTCTTGTGATACGGACTGTTTGTGAGCTTGTATCAAGGTTAGTAGGTGCAATAGCCACTTCGTTGAGTTCTTCCTCATCTGAGTTGTCGTTGGTGAGAAGCTCAAAGTTTTCTGTTGAGAGTTGAGAGTATACGACTGGCGGTGTTTCTTGATCGTTCATTCTAGTACAAAAAAGCGAAAAGGAAGTAAAATAAAGAAAAAAAGCAAAAAAAAAATAATCGCGTAGACTATCCAAAGAAAATCTCGGCTTTTTTCACAGTTGCAAGTCTGACCTTCAAAAGCTAAGCTCTAATTCAATTAATGCAAATCACTACAGTTAAAGTTTATTGTTCACACCTTTTTCTCTAAATCATTTATAGTTGCGTGGAAGATGTTTGGTTTAAAGAGAGTGCAAGAAAAGCTAGACCTTTTATTTTGCAATATGGAAAAAAATTTTGTTCTACTAGTACAAATTTGGATCAAACCTACTCTAAGATGTTCCTGACTTTTCTTAATTTGCTTTATCTCCTTTGATCTTATTTTCTTCCCTTTTTTTTGAATTCGTTATTCCTTCAATCAGATGAAAAATAATACTTTTTAATTTGAGAAATATACATCTTTGTTTCCATAATAATCACATGGTTGCTATGACAAATGTCGTATGCGAATATCTGAAGTTCAGATGGCCAAAATGATTCATCATGCTAAAAAAGGCGGAGATCATACTCGAAAAAGATAGCGTGATACAGAACGTTAATTTGTACTAATTGCGATTCAATTGGATGACAGCAAACTAAAAAGAAAAATAAGCTTGAACATGCAAAAGCAGTAACAAAGTATAAAGAGCAATACAATGAACAGGGAATAAGCAAGTGATTGATATTAATGGGCTTTTGAGCTTACTTACACTATCCTTTTAGTAATCAGACATATCCAATGAAATAATTATCCTGATTGCTGATTTGCACGGGACAACTCGGAGTTCTTCCCTTTAAAATATAAAAATATAATTTCACTCCTTTCTTTGGATTTCTTTCATTTTTTTTTCCATTTTTTTTTTCTTCAAAAAACATAAATTCACTTACATTATGACTATACACTATGACCTTGTTCAATACCCAACATCTGACACAATAAAAATAGTGACCCATTTACTTGAGCGCATTACAAAGACAAACGATCGACTGCAACAAAAAACTTCACGGCACACCTCACGTTATGCTTGTTTCTACGCACGAGCCATACCAAGCATTGATATTCAATCGTATCTTGGACGCATACTAAAGTATTGTCCTTGCTCCAACGAATGCTTCCTTAGTCTTTTGGTTTATTTTGATCGCATGTCTCGCAACTCGTCTGGTTTAAGAATCGACTCCTATAATATCCACCGTCTTGTCATCACTGGTATTATGGTTGCAAGTAAATTCTTCTCAGACATCTTTTACACTAATGCAAGATATGCCAAGGTAAAAGAGAAAAGAAAATAGTTTCTTTTTTTAAACAAAAACTAAACACTTTCTCAAAAAGGTTGGTGGATTGCCTGTATCAGAACTGAATGCACTTGAATTACAATTTTTGAAATTGAATAATTTTAAATTAAACGTTCAAGTGGAAGAACTTCAGCAATACGGAGATCAATTACTATGGCACTGGATTCGAGAGAACCAGAAGTCAGCAATGTATCGTCCTGTTGTAGAATATAAAAACGAAGACTACAAGCCTGCAATTTCTTACAAGTCTGATAATGGCAACAATACACTCAACTCAAAAATACGCTCTTGCTCAAGCCATCTTTTGCTTGCTACTGAAAAACCCGTTTCAGAAAAGTATGATTCAATTACTCGCTGTTAATAATTCTCTTTTTGTATATATGATACCTTTTCTTTTTTGTCACTTTTTCTATTTTTGTATGGATATGGATATGTAGTAAATATACAAGCAAACCCCAATATATATACGCACTAATTACATATACACATATACATATATATACGTACATACATACATCTATATTTATCTCTTTTTTTTTTTGCAAACATTACATAAGTACAACTTTTTTTTCTTGATTATTATTATTATTTTATACGTTTATAAATATAAATCTTATGTAATTCTATTAAATAAAATTTGTTTTTTTTTCTCACCTATTTTTTCCTATTCTAAAGAAAAGAAACACGTCTAGTAAATCAAATTTCATAAAAACTATTATCGATTGTTTATATGTAAATATCTATGCAACTTAATGTGGCGTGCAGAATGCGGTTGACTCTTGTACAGCTCTTAAAAGTCTTTAGAAAAAGTTTCATTCCTTGTAAAGTCTAGAAAGTTTGGACTGATGTTGAATTACTATAATTAGTACTTTGACATTCAAGTTTACCTCTTTAAATTATTTTGCTCAAGGCTTTGAAGCTCAGTTCCAAAAGCCGTGTATGACAATATGCATTGATTGTTGTTTGAAATTTCAAAATGTGAGTAGAACCTATTCTTAAAAGTCAATCCAGATCTAATTATTACAAGTATTTGTATTCAGATTGAATTGACAAACAACTTTTAATGACTTTGTATGCATTCCTCTTGGTTCAAAACTTTTCTCTCTTAGGATCCACAACTAGAATTCGTACTTCTCAGCCACAAGGTGCCGTTGATTTCATTAAAGCACACCAAGGAAACTGTGCCATTTAAAATGGATGGATCTTCTCTATCAATTTAATGTTATACATGTAAGAGTAACATAAAGCCTGTTTATATCCGCATGAATATTCCAAATACCTACAAACAATGTTTACTAACATACGCGGTGTCTTTGAAATTGATTTGGACAAAAAAAAGCGACTTGTAAAAAATGACCAAAAATTTCGTTTTGACGATTCTTGATCTTCTCTTTGACGCTATAAGACGAAAAACGAAGGTATTAATGAGATTAAGTACTCAAAATGTGTGCCAAGAGCTCTAATTTTTGATGAATGCGTTTGTTCGCTTATTTTACTGTAGAAATAATGAGATATGAGCGAAACCCCTTGAAAACATTTCTGCATCTTTGCTCAATACTTTGATAAAGAAAATGCTAATTTCTCTGCATTAATAAACTCATAAAGCGGACTTCTATGACTTGTATTATTGAGCCAAAGGCAGGTAATTGCGTTTTCATGCAGTTTTAATCAAAGGCTCGAAAGAAAAATTGAATTGCTCTCATTTTTTCTGTACAATCGCCGCTTTAATTTATTTTTGTGTATGTGTATGTGTGTGTGTGTATGTTTGCTCTGAACCACTGATAGAAATTGCACTTTCAAAACAAATGTGCTTGCATAAAAATGATTGTATTTGGACTACACGTTGGCATGGACGGAGTGCTCATCTTTTCTTTTTTGGTCACATTGTATAAAGGGAGTATATTTTACTTGAGACAACATAAAATATGTCGTTTTTGATAAAGTGTTGAGATTAAAGGCTTTCATTCTATTTACTTTTAGCACCAGTATACCCTTCTGTTAAATTGCAATCCAAAATGAAAGGTAGGAATAGCACTGCAAGAGTGTCTAGAAAACAAAAGATGTAATAAATACCATATCATTCCCATATATAAAATCAGAGGTGACAAAATGATGATCTAAAGTTATTTTCAGGTCGTTAATTTAGCGCAGCTGTTGTGGATTGAGACGCCTATATCATTATCTTTGGCAAACAAGTTCCACTGATGTTTTGAGACGCTAAAAAAATGTGATAATGCGTCAAATTTGTAAGGAAATGATACTAGCTATCATACTGAAAGCCATGAAAATTGGTAGGAGACACATGAAGTCAGAGGTTTTAATTACTGACCAGTTCAGATAGCTGATATAAACTCAATTAAGCACTTTTGGAACATTTTAAAGTGTGAAGCTAGGTACAGGAAATCCAAGATGAACAACAAGCATAACTTAAAAGTTCCTTTAGAAGAAGAGTAGGAAAAAATACACATTAACTTTGCCAAATGTTCAGTTGATAGTTTGAGAAACATATATTAAATTTAAGAATTTGGCTTCCTTTTTTCCTTCAAATTTTCAATTCTAAGGATTGCGAGAGGTCTACTTAAGTAATTAAGCAATATACTTCGTTAGATACGAACTTTCTTGGAAAAGATCGAAACCAAACTCCGATTTTTTTTTTTCTGATGAGATTACTTTTTGAAAGCGCATTTCTTTCCGAAACCTTTTTTTCTTTCTTTAATAAACAAATTATGTCTAAACCTGTTACACCTGCCTCAAAAACCTTTGACTTCTCAACCATGGGATTTCAATATAGAGATATAAATGGTTTTGTTAAATATACTTGGACTGAAGAAAAAGGTTGGGACAAGGGGGTTATAGAGACCAATCCTTACTTGAATGTGCACATGTGCGCCACTGGTATTAATTACGGCCAACAGGTACAAATAAACATAGGCCAAGAATTCAACATTAATCATGTTATAGTGCTTTGAAGGCCTGAAAGCCTTCCGTGATGCAGAAGGTCGTGTTCGCGTTTTCCGTCCTCAAGTTAATGCTGCTAGAATGATTCGTAGTGCTGAAATGGGCTTTATGCCTAGTGTCCCCGAGGATGTCTTTTTAGAAGGTGTTCGTCGTTGCGTAGAAGCTAACCTTGAATATGTCCCACCTAAAGAAACAGGTGGTTCTCTTTATATTCGTCCTCTTTTGTTTGGTAGTGGGCCTTACATTGGTATGGGAGCTGCTGATGAATTTACTTTTATTGTATTTGCTATGCCTGTCGGTGCTTTCTATACAGGTGGTGTCAAACCTGTTGATGCTATTGTGATTGAAGAATTTGACAGAAGTAAGTTATGAGAAAAAGATAAACGGGATTTTAACTTTATCAAGGTGCACCAAATGGCACGGGTGCTGCCAAGTTGGGTGGTAATTATGCTCCCACTTTTAGTCATATCGCCAAAGCAAAGAAGGCAGGTTATGCACTCACACTTCACTTGGATGCAAAGACGCATACTCATATTGATGAATTCTCTACATCCAATTTTGTTGCTCTTACTTATCCTGGTAAATCACACATATAGGTAGATTGTAGGACTAACACCTTTCAAAAGATGCTAACGGTGTTCGTACGTTTGTCACACCTGATTCAAACAGTATCCTTAGATCTGTTACTCGTCTTTCTCTTGAAGATATTGCAAAGAACCTTGGCTGGAAGGTTGAAGAAAGAGCTGTTGCTTTGAAAGAAGTGGAAGAAGGCAAATTTGAAGAAGTTGCTGCTTGTGGAACAGCTGCTATTATCACACCTGTTAAGAAGATTGTTCATGGCAACCAAACCATCGTCATTGGTAGTGGCGAACAAACAGATATTGGTGAAGGCTTCAAGAAACTATACGATGCATACCGTGGTATTCAAAGTGGTGATATGGAAGATACGTTTGGTTGGATGTGGCCTAAAGAAGGCTTGTAAAATTAAAATTAAAATAAAATGTTTTATTATTGACGACCACCAATGACAATTCTATAGTGGGCTTTTCCCTGAATTAGGTCTTTGATACCACCATTTACACCTTCTAATGTATTCTCGACAGTTTGGATCCAAGGTCGAACACCTGTTTCGCTGGCAAATGCCAACATTTCCTCTAAATCTACATTACTGCCTACAAAGGTGCCAACCAAACTAATGTGACGATAAGAAAGTGCTCCAGCAGGCATAGAAATAGGCTCATCAGGCAAATCAATCAATACAATCTTGCCTCTTGTCTTTACAAGTTCTGCTAATTTGCCCCAGTTGGTAGATTTACCTGATCCACATACAAGCAAGACATCTACACTAAGAGCATATTTACTATCAAATTGGCCATCCTTGTCCAGAACAACAAAGTCGGTAGCACCCAATGCATAGGCATCTTGGCTCTTTCTAGTGGATGTTGAAATCGCTAATATCTGAGCACATTTTTTAGCACGGGCCCATTGAATCTGATAGAAAAAGACAAAGTTAATCTTTCAAATATAGTATAAAAGAGTATTACAGCTAAATGGCCAAGCCCACCAATACCAATAATGCCAACTGATGTGTTAGCATCAATATTATGATGCTTAAAAGGAAGAAAACTATAACATCATGAATGACTTCTTTTCTTGATAATAACTTACGTTGTAATTCCTGCACAAAGTCTAAGTAGTAGCTTTTCAGTATAATCCTTGTCTTATTCTGTAGTTACTTACAAAGGTGCACCCTCTTGGTCACTAATGTTGTCAGGAATAGGAATAGCCCAAGTTCCTTGAACTCGTACTCTATCTGAATATCCCTAATATGCAGTTAAGCTTCATTGAGATGCTTTCATACGGTTACTTACACCATAGGTTGTCTTTCCCTTGTAATTGCCATTATATGTGGTTACTTTGGAAGGACAAAGTTGGCCATGGGCACTGTTACACTCAACACAATCTCCGCATGATCTACATATAGGACTAACACCAACGCGTTGACCTACATATCTATCACGTACTTGACTACCGACAGCCGTGATTTGACCTATAAATTCATGGCCAGCAATAAGAGGATACGTGGCTCGCTTCCAACCCTGTATACATTTATAAATGAATTTATTAAGTAAAATTCTATGACTTACATTGGTCAATTGATGAACATCAGATCCACAGCTGTGACTAGGATTAAAGACTATCTATTGATACATAATGACTCACATGCCACAAGCAGAGACCTTTATCTCTACTTCATCGTCTTCAAGAGGACGTGGTTCAAATTGATAAACTTGCAAGTGTGTCTTTTCATCCTTCAAAACAAATGGCTCTAAACCAGCATAACCAGTAAACTTTTCTCCAGCTGTCATGTTCAAAATAAAAACGAAGAAAAAAGAAAAAGAAAAAAAAAGAACGCAGGAACAAGAGATAAGTGGCGGTTTTTTAAATAACCGCATGAAGGTAACCAATTTTTGCTTGGTATACCATATGTTTTCAATATAACAAGTAGCTATCACAATCCATTTATGAGTCCCTCAATAGGATTATGGCCTATGAATCTCATCTAGTTTTAGACGTTTGTCTCTATTATACATTTTAGTTTACAAAAAAAGAAAAAATGTTCAAAAGTAAATCTAATTGGTCTAAACACTGTAGTTGGAACTACGTTTCAAAGCAACACACTAATTATTTTAGCTGTTTAATATGTTTATGAACAAGATAAGGTCAGTTCGATGGCTATTGTTCTCCCTGTGCCTTATAGCACTTGTCTTGATATTCTCAGCACAATTCGATCAGATTCAATTTACCACGTTATCAAAACAAAACAGCATTACTCAGGACACATTGTCACAGCAGACGATAACAGACAAACTGCAAGTTCAAGAGCCATGTCAGTAACATAAAAGTATTCATCTAATAGCTACTTACACACTGTTTAGTTCTCAATGTATCCCATGTACAAGAACGAGCTAAGAAATATGACATTGCTATTCCTCATCCTTCGCTAACATGGACAGGTAGATCAGGAAAAAAAAATAGACTTGATCTCTAACGTGCCAATAGAACATGACTTGGCATTCTTCAAGACAGCAGCTGGCGAAACTGTCTTTTCTCAACTAGCTGTGATTCCTGAAATCCATGAAAAACCTGATTTTGCTGCCATGACAGCTGCTGAACGGTTGTTTAAGGCACTCTTTACCTATTTTGATCAGATCTTGGCTCAAGATCAAGATCCAGTCACTGTCGATCCAGACAGTTGGGAGCTCTATAAACGACTTGAACGCACACTATACCCTTGGATCTACCCTTATTGGGACAATGCTTTCCATATCAACAACCAAACACAAGGAAAGGGGATTGTGTTTTGTGTTGGTAATGATCAGTTTAAGTTTGCAGCTACTTCAATTCGTACATTGCGTGAGGTGCTTAACTGCACATTGCCAATTGAAGTATTCTTTATCCGAGAAAGTGATCTTTCTCTTGCCAAACGCACTTATTTGCAAACTGAATTTGACAACATTTCTCTTAGAAAATTGGAAAACTATGTAAGCTATTATTATACACGCTTTGGTGGATGGGCCATGAAGCCTTTTGCTATGTTGGCATCTTCTTTTACAGAAGTATTGATGGTAGATGCAGACGCTTTTTTTCTTCAAGACCCAACCAAATTGTTTCGCGACGAAGGATACAAATTGACGGGCAGTTTATTCTTTTATGATCGAACCCTGTTTGCCAACTGGGAAAAGGGTGCAGATTGGCTACGTTCATTTTTACCAACCACAAGCAACCTTGTGCCTAAATCGCGTTGGTTTAAAAAGACGTCTTCGCATGAACAAGAATCTGGTGTTGTCCTGATGGACAAACAAAAGGCTCTTTTAGGCCTGTTGTCTACATGTAAATTAAATGGCATCAATGAACGTGATGAAGTTGTCTATAAACACATTCATGGCGATAAAGAGGTAAACATTAGTCAGGAAAGGAAAAGAAAAGATACACTGACTTGTCTTTTACAGACTTTTTGGATAGGATTTGAAATTATGCAGACAGCTTATACGTTTATCAAATCCTACGGTGCTGTGATTGGTGGTATGGGCAGAGGTGGTAGTGATGGAGAGCCCACACAAGTATGTGGTATTCATCTTCACCTTGATACTACAGGCAAACCACTATGGCTAAATGGTGGTCTCTATAGAAACAAATACGCTCAAGAGTTGGAATATCTTACATTCACGCATTATGCAGAGGGTGAGGATTGGGAATTTAGTACATTTTGTATTCGAGATACAGATAAAATTCACCCACTTGATCCTGAACAAAGAAGAATCGCTTTAGCAGCCATAGAAATCGATAAGCAAAGAGTAAAAGATGAAGAATTGATCAACCAAGGCCAGTGGCGGCCTAAACAAAACTAAATAAAAAGAAATACCATGATTTATTATTCTATTGCTGAAAATTAGCCAGACAACTTTGACTATCGTTATCAAAGTTTTGCTCAGGTCTACATGAACACCTTTCCCATATTGAATTGTTGTTCGGACAATGAGAATAAAAAAATCGGTGCCGATATCCAATATCTTCCCAAAAATGCAATTGATCTTTGTCCAAAAATAAGGCTGCTGCTAATGACTGAATGACTGCATCAGACCAACGTTCATAAAAGATACCTTCCTGCGCATCCAAAAACTTAAAATAAGCAGTGTATTCGGGACTTTTAAAAAACCGTGTACTAGCGATCTGAAAGCTGTTCCAAAAAAAGCATCGATTGTATTTACCGTTGTTCAACATGTTGGACATAATGCTGTTATCGCCTTGATCTGCGCTCATGTACTTGAATTGAGGGTTTTGTTGTTTGAATTTACTGACAGACTTGAAAAGAGTGGGGATAGTTTCATGATTTTCATAGGTTGCAATAGAAAATGAAACTTGCTTGCCATGATCATACATGTATTGGAACGGATCAAAGTCAATAGGGCACATATATTCAGTACCTGGTTCAAAACGCCAGAAATAATCCAATTCACTTAGACGTGGGTGACTAGAACAGATGTGAATTTAAAGTATACACACCTTGTTACTTACTTAAAGATGGTTCCTGCCATCAGCCTTGATTTAAACCGGAATTCAAGTGTGTTGTCTTGCGTATTTCTTAGATATTTTCTTGCGAGTTCAGCTCTAAATTTATCCGTTGTGTTTGTATAGCCATAGTCAGCATCCGAAACCTTTTCAAATACAACGTCACTTTGAGTGAGCGAGGAAACGAGTTCTTTATATTCTGTAGATAATGCTTGATAGCAGAAAATAATATAGGGATAGTGGTAGTCTTTGTTAAACATGTCTTCTATTTGACGTATGGTGGCTCGTACGTCGCTGAGTGATTCTCGATCATTTTTGGCAAAGGTGATAAAAGCAGCTTTGAAAAGAGGATTTGGGTGTGTAAGATGACTCGGGGGTGTATATTCCCATTTATTTCGATAGATTGGCACAGAAGAGAGAAACGGGATATTGGATGGTATGGTTCGATACAGTGAAGTCAAGAAGAGTAAAGTAAGAAATGTTATTGCACCCACAATGAATAGAAATACGCACAGGCGTATCACAAGCTTTCTAAATAGAAACGACATGTATGAAAGAAAAAGAAAAGAAAAAGAAAATCACTCTTTCTTCCTCTCCGCGGGGGTGGTGGTCTTGGTTTAATTGCAATGGTTTGGTAACTATACACTTTGCCAAGAGAAATAACCTTTTTTGTAGAACAAACCGCAGATCAAACGAGTCTCCTGCAATTGAATTTCTTTGTGTCATTTGAAATTCAGATGCACAATTTAATTCAGCAAAAAATGATCCTCGGCGGGTATATTTATTATATAGATTAAATTAACATGCCGGCAATAGCTGCAGACAACCAAGTGCTTAGAGAACCACAAATCAAAGCAGATAAAGCTAATTGAGATATGATATCGGATCGCTTGGGAGCAATGGCACTCAGGACACCAATCTGCATACCCACACTTCCGAAATTGGCAAACCCACACAGAGCATACGTTGTCACCAATTCAGATCGAGGTGTAATTTGTCCCTTGTAAGTGTCTGTCATTTGCTTGAATGCAATAAACTCATTCGACCATATTTTGGTTGCCATTAGCCTTCCAACAATGACTAAGTCTTGATTGTCTGCACCTATCAACCAAGCAATCTAGTGTTTATGTCAGAAAACCCTTTTTCTTTATCTGCTACACTTACAGGTACAAACAAATAACCAGTAATGAGCTGTAAAGTTAATTCTTGAATGTTAACGAAACGACCCAGCCAAGTCAAAAATGCATTTACTGCATACAATGTTGCCAAGATGGAAATGACACATGCACCAATCATCAGCACAATCTGAATGCCCATCGATGCACCTTTTGTAGCAGCATGAACAATATTGGATATATCATCGTCTGTATGGACATTGATTTCTGTCTTTTCTTTGGTAACGGGAATCTTTGTCTCTGGGTAGCGTAACTTGGAAATAGCAATCGAACAAGGAATGGACATAATACAAGAGGTAAGCAATGCCTGTCCAGATACGCCCATAGAAGTATAGCCATACAGTGTAGATCCAGAAACAGTGGCGAATCCACATGTCATGACTTGATGAATCTCAGATAGTGTCAAGTCTGGTACAAACGGCTCGATTAATAAAGCGTTTTCGCATGCTCCAATGAAAGGCTTTTTTTTTTTTTGTGAATAAATAATATTTTCTTCTTTATCATAGAACTTACTGTAGCAGCAGCAACAATTGCTTCTGCACCTGAGACTTCCATAATAGACATGAAAATCAAGGATAGTTTCTTCAATATCCATTGTAATGCCCCAACATAATATAACATTTGTACAGTGGAAGCAAAAAAGATGATAACTGGAAATAGGTTTAATGCAAATGTGTTTGCATTTACAGCTGCTGTGCCAAATAAAAACTCGGCCCCATAAGAAGCATTATGCATATAGCCTTCAACAAAAACAGCAACCCAATTGAACACATCATGCCCTACACTGGTTCGAAACACAAACAAGGCTAACAGGAATTGCAAAAGCAATGCTGTAAATATCGTATTCCATGGTACTGCTTTTCTATGCTTGAGTTGTATAAATATATGTATGTATTTATATAGCGTATAATATCCCACGAAGCCTTACCACTGATGCCAAATAACTACAGACAACAAACAAGGTCATGCCTAGTAATGGGATAAGTCGTTTGACCCGTGGTGATTCTTGCTTTTCGGGAAATGAAAGTACAGTAGCTATAATAATACAAATGACAGTGATACCATAACATAGAGTTCGAACCCGATCACTGGAATGATTGTCTAGGTAAACAAAGATTTTTTGAATAATACGTGAGTAGATTTGAGTGACCCTATAAGTCGATACGTGGCAGGAAAAAAGGTAGAGGGATATGAATCCATACAAAAGGCCCAAAACAAGCAATTCTTGATTATAACCCTTAGGGATTTGTAATACATATGCAGCACAAATAAATCCAGTCATGCCCAGCCATAATAATAAACTGGTGCGGAATAGTTATTAAAATGCAATGTATGTATGTGTATGTATAAGTGTGTGTATTAATACTTTACTGTATGTGCAGTCTATATTTAATCAATCTGTGCTTAGATCTTGTACGCCAATTTTGTTGAACAGGTGGGTCTTCTGAAGGTCTATCAAGCTCAGCTGTAGTTACTTCAATGCGTTTCTCATTCCGTGACTGGACAGATTCTCCGTGATTGATAGAGACCGACAAATGGTTGCTGTTTGATTCTTCCTTTTGCATGTCAAGGAGAGGGGAAAAGGAAGATAAAAGGGATATAAAAAAAGAAACCTTAAAAATAGAGGTGTTTTGCATTAAAAAGTCGTAAACAAAACCAGTATTTTTAATAGTTTCTTTACAGTGTCATATCTTTCCCTCTCCTGTAAAATAAAATAGGCAAAGATTATTCTTCTCCTTGCATTGACACAAGCCTATATGATGCACAAGGATGATCCATGATAGTATCACGGTGGTATTGTTTATTAGTCAAAGTTAATGGTATTGTATTAGTTGAATTAACAAGTAGTATTAAATTAATATAAGTGTAAGAAGAGAAGAAGATAAAGTTAGGGAAGTTTTGATATCACAATGGTACATGAGAGAGGGGGATGAACTCTAAAAGAAAGACGCTGATGTTCTTGTTGATTCGACGGTTGAAATAGTGATGGAAGATTCTGTTGAACTAGAAAGTCTTTCAGATGTAATAGATGCTTCAGCAAGTAAAAGAAGATGGTTATTGATTTCTTCTCCATGGAATGCAGTGGCCATCCTTTCCGGATCGATACCACAGTTTTGTAACATGTCTGGCAAAGTGCCCATTCTAACTTGTCATTAGTATGGTTGTACAATTTTTCTTGTTCTTACCTGGCCAGGAACATTTGTAGTTTCAGCCGAATCAACTGCTCATATAATTCATGAAGTGAACGATGTTTGTATACACCGGCACGGAGGTGGCGAATAAACAAATAAAACTCAATCGCAGAAAGTAGTCTGTCACGGCAATAACGATCGATACAAGCCCATTCATCAAAATAAGATATTCTAAATCGATATTTTAACACATTCGGTCTTGCTTCTTCCTTGACTTGTCTTCCACAGGCTTGACAGCCTAAAAAGGCAGAAGAAGTGACAAAGCGTTCCCAAAGGGTAGCTGTGGCTTCTTCTTTTAATAAGCGCATGGCTTGTTCTGTCACAAAGCCCTCTGGGCACTCTTCTACAAAACATGTCTTGACCAAAATAGCATCAATGATCTTTTTGCTGGACAATTTAGGATTTGGACCGAAACGCAAACAGGGTTCAATATCTTCTCGGATACAGTATTTCATATACTTCAAACTATTGAGTTTTCTGAGTGGTGTCTTGTATAGCGTCTGAACAAAATCGTTAAATTCCATCAAAGCACCATCATTCTCGAGCGTGTCCATAAAAATGCCTAGATCAAGACTATGCATCAGGCTCATTTCTATTTGAGCACGAGTGTAGGTGTCAACAGCCTCTTGTTCAGTACCTTCTGGTGAAGGTAATTCATTTCTAATTAACTTTAATTGACTTTCAGCATCTACTAAAACAAGTTGGGCGGACTTGAGGTCAGTCTCTAATTGGCCATTTCTCTTTTTCAGGATTTCTTGCTCAGCCTTTTCAGCCTGTATCATCTTGTCTGCTTCTTCAAATAAGCGTATGCTTAATTCTTCTAATTCTTTTTTCACATTCTCTTTAGACTGCTGAATGTCTTCCACTTGTGATGTTTCTTCCTTGCATTTGGATTCTAGTACCTGAAGGTCGTATTGTAATGATGTAATATTTTCTGCTGTCGTTTCGATGCTTTTCAGCTTATCTCTCAGGCTATCTCCCAAGTCTGATATCTGCGTTTCCAGTTGATTTTGTTGCGTATTCAATACTGCTTTTTTCTCTTTTAAATAGTCTAGTTGTGCTTTTATTGTGTTGTATTCTTGTTGAATAACAGCACACTTGGTACAGTCCAAACGAGGTGCGATAAAGTCGTTACAAGGACACAGTGGTTCTAACTGATGAGAAGAGATCACAGGACTGTTTGTACTTGTAGTACTACTACTGCTGTCTGCTTCATAAGACTTATTCAGAAGAATAGGTTCTAAACTAGGCTTGTTATACTGGCCCAAGTTGAGGTTTAGACTAATCACATCCACCGTTGTTTCTGTTGCCATGGTTTGAAAAATATATAAAAATAAAAAGGGAAAGAAAGTGAAGGGAAAATATGGGGGAAGACAAATTTATATGTACGCCTTATACACGCCGCATTTTCTCCTTCCCTTTTTCCTTAAAAAAAAGTTTTTTTTTAATAACAGCACGCCATGAAGAACTCCATGGCACCTACAAAGTTATACTTGGACATAGTAAATAAACGGTCTACTCAGTTGGAGAAATGCAGTAAGAACCAATTATTAATATTAGACTTGAACGGTACCCTTGTATCTCGAGTAAGCAAACGTTCTATGTATGTTCGCCCTTACAGCCAAAAATTCATCGACTACGTATTTGACAATTTTAATGTGATGCTGTGGTCAAGTGCTAGACCTCACTCAGTTCGCAACATGTGTCGTATGTTTGGAAAAAGAACAAAGGACATTTCTGTAATTTGGGATAGAACGAGTTTTGAACTTTCTGAAGTAGACTATGGTCGAAAAGTAGTCACTGTCAAAGACCTTGACAAAGTATGGAAGCATTTCAATTACAAATACGATCCAACCAACACCATTTTAATTGACGATTCACCTGTCAAAGCACAATTGCAACCTTACAACTGTATTCATCCTAGCGAGTTTAAACACACCTCTAAAAGTTTTGTTTCGAGCGGAGAATCTGAACTATTGCACCTCATCAATTACCTTAAAGTACTCCAATTTCAAAGCAATGTAGCCAATTACATCAAACAACACCCCTATGATCATGCAGTCAATGATAACGCTGAGAATATCTACCTAGTAGAGCATTATGTCTTTGCCGATCCTATAGACACGCCACCACGATTAACAGACTTGAAGCCCGTGGAAGATGAATTGACAAGCAAGTTAGCTAAACTAAGCTTTTAAGCCAATCAAATTATCACGTATACCAATGGCCAATGGGGGAAAGGAACTTAAAAATAAACCCTTTTTTCTATGTTACGCGAGAGATATAAATAAAAAAAAAAGGGGGGTGGAGAGAGCTGATTGTTCTATAAAAATAATATTCTTTCATTTCTTTCTTGTTATCCCCTTTTCCTATCTTTTTAAGTCATGTTGTATCTTACAGATGATTTAGGGCTTTTGCCCTTTTTCTTACCATTCGGTATCATTGGCTTCTACAGATACCTATGGTTCTTTATTAAAGTGGCTGCCTGGCTTGTCTATAAGCCAAGGTTACCTAAAGCAAATCCGACTTATACAGGTGAAAAAGATGTTACCATCATTGTTCCAACCATTGATGCTGGAGAAGAATTCAAAATAGCGGCAAAGAGTTGGCTTGCCTGTAAACCTAAAGAAATTATTATTATTACCGAAACAAAGATGCGTGAGCCTCTTCAAGAACTAGCCAACAGTGTAGATCCATCGAGAATTCGCGTTCTGACAGTACCCAAAGCCAATAAGCGATTGCAAATGGTGGCTGGTGTCAATGCCACAACAACTGAGATCATTGTGTTCTCTGATGACGATGCTATCTGGAAACCAACCATGCTAGATTATATCTTGGCCTGTTTTGAGGATCTCAAAATGGGCGGTGTGGGTACCAGCCAAACAGTTCATGCAGTCGATCCTAACGGTAGACAAACACTCTGGGAAATTCTTGCAGGCTTTAGACTTACAAGTCGTAATATCGAAATTGCTGCTTCTACACACATTGATGGTGGTATCTGTTGCTTGTCGGGTCGTACTGCAGCTTATCGCACATTGATCCTCAAAGATCCTGCTTTTCAATACTGCTTCACCAATGATCTTTGGCTAGGCAAATACCCCCTCAACTCGGGTGACGATAAATTCTTAACGCGTTGGATGGTCTCTCATGGTTGGAACACATATGCTCAGATCTGTAAAGAAGCTGAATTATACTCAACATTCAAAAACAATTGGAGATTTATTAAACAAGTTCTTCGTTGGACTCGTAACACCTGGCGTTCAGATTTTCGATCCTTGTTTACCGAACGCTATATTTGGAAAAGACATCCTTATGTTGCATTCACCATGGTCGATAAAATCTTCAACCCTCTTACCCTTTTAGCAGGTCCTATTCTTGTAGGTGTGTTTGCCTCACTTCAAGAACAAAGAGCAGGTCCCACAAACCCACCTTTGCCTGCCTGGAACATTGTTATCTCTTATATATGTTGGCTGTTATTAACTCGTTTTATCAAACTCATTCCTCACTTTTTAAAACGACCTTTGGACATTTGGGTCTTACCCGCTTGGTTAATTTTCAATTATTACTTTGCCATCATGAAGATCTATGCACTTTTCACCTTACACGAAGTTGGCTGGGGTACCCGTGCCGGTGTCGGTACTGAACTGGCTGCCAACATTGGTAAAGAAGCCCCGGAAACCGAAAAGAATCAAACTGAGCATGTCAAGATTGAAATGAGTGACTACAACCAACAAGCTCCTTACGAGGATCCCTTTTTCTCAGAAGAGGAGATCAGACGAGGAGAACATGTGAGAGAAATGGGTGTAGATGGTTCATTTGCTCCTACAACCTCTCCTTTTCATGATAACGCACACTTGACAACACCACCTTCAAGGCCCAATGGTCCCTCACCACTGATATAAAAATAACTTTACATTCTTGCATTTTTAGTAACTTTAATAACATAATAAAAAAAATTCTTTCTAAGCATCATAGCCCTCTACTTGGAACAATGTACCATAGTTAAAGTATCGTGTCATAAGTTTCTGTACCGGTTTTGGCAAGTTCATTGAAGTTAAAATGTTTTGCATTTTAGATAACCCTGCCTTTCGAATCAATGTATTCAAATTGCAGGCAATTTCAGTAGGATACTACGAATCAAGTTATGTTACATTCTTTCGTTGTTTAGGCTTACCACAATTTCATGGTACCACCTCTCATGATAGACTGTCAATTTGACAGCTGCCAACAGTGCTTTTTGTGAGTTTCCTTCTTTGGCATAGATTTGTAGTAATTTCATCCATGCTTTTGCAGAAAATTTATGATCTAAGCAAAGCTCATATGCTTCTTTTGCTTCTTTCTATACAACGGTCAATCTATGCGTCAATCATCAAACTCTCACCTCATGCCATAATCGAAGAGAGAGATCACCCAGCAATTCCCACTCTGTGCCCGTCTTTCTATATGCCAATTTCTGCATCTTGTAATGTGCTGATTCTGTTCTCCAATGTGTGTAGATTCTCAGATCTTCATACAACACCATAAACAGATTATCTAACCATCGCTCACATAACCGCTTGTTACCGAATGACAAGGTCACCTCCTGTTCTGCATTAGGATTTTCGTCTTCAGCAGCTTGTTTAGGTATCTCGAGTTCGTTATTCTGAATGCTTGCTTCTTGCAACTTTTTGGCTACTTCTTCAGGATTAAGTGCTGCTGCACTTTTTCGGTATTCTTCTTTTTCTTTGTGCTTTCGATACTCTTCTTCCATGACAAACACCTCAGAGCGATATCTCAGGAGCTCGTCCCATCCCAGGGCACTCACGAGTTTAGTCAAGAGCGAATAAGCTCTGGCAAAAGTACCATGAAGTGCAGGAGCAGGAAGTCTTGAGATAGTAGGGTCAGCCTAAACCACATGAATAATCAGAAATGACAATAGACAGTTACCTCAGATTCTCGTCCTGCTGCATCTTCTTCCATGATACCGGAGCTAACAATTTCGGGTTTGATGGGTAAATGTGTTTTTTGAGGAGGAGGCATACGATGCATATCGCGTTCACTGTAAGTAAACATGGGACATGAATTTAAAGTCAAAAGAGCCTATTCGATATCAGCCAAATTCGCTTTTTTGTTTGTAGGACTTACATTTTTATAGTCTTTTAGATCAATGTATACTACAAGCAACTGAATAACTGATTTATATGCTTATATAACCTACCTTCTGTTAATTTTGCCCAGGTCAAATATTCAGATGGTGTAGTATCTACTGCATATTTAGCCAATTTTAAAGCCATTTGATGTTCACCCTATAAAAGAAAGGTATAATAAATAAAACTCCCTTTTTTTTTATATTCCATTTACCTTGCTACGTAAAAAGTCTACTTGCGTATGTAATAAGGGAAAGCTGGTAGGAACCAATTTGAGATCTTCGTACAAAACCTTGACTGCTTTGATTTCTTCATGCTGACCCACAAATGCTTTCGCTAAAAGAGCACCTACTTCAGGATCTTTTTTGTGAAGTTTTTTAAATAGCTCTATAGCAGGACCGTATCGAAAACTATCTTCAAAGTATTTCATAATACCATCTGTCAAATGATTATGCACTGATGTTGCCACCTGAATTTCCGGTTTGCTTCCTAATTGCCATCCTTTCCAAAACAAAGCTTCAACTGCTTCCAAAAATCGAGTTTCTGCACTAATATTGGTGATGGGATCAATTTTTCGATAGCCTGCTAAACGATAATAACTATCATCTGAGTATAAAATTGCTCTCAAGACAGCCGATACATAAGTTTCTTGCCACATTTCAGTCGTAGCTTCATGCCTGACAACAGTAAGTTGAATGTCTCGATGTGTAACAGAGAAAAAAAAAATAAAGTACCTTTCACCACGCACATCAACATAATAAGTCTCGACACCACCAGGGATCTTTACTTCTACACGAATATCGACTCGAGAAAATGCATTGTAGCAACTATAATTTGTTATTGATCAATGCATCTTCATCATTGAAATACAATACCAATAGATACCGGATCGAATGCGCCACGAATTAGACTTCGTAAACCATGATTGTGTCTCGTCCTAACAAGAAACGCATTAAGGTATGCTAGGATAGACTCAATTCAAGTTACCATAGAATAAGTGAGTGAGTTCAAATAAGCAGCTAAAGAGGCAGAGGAAGAAGCATCAACTCCAGAAATATAATGATAACTACCAATCTAATTAAATGAATATTTTGTTAATACCTTGAGTTTTAGTTACCTCTTTTACACCAGGTTTCGCGTTAATTTTAATGATATGGCACAAGTCAGGAGGACCAAGTTCTCGAAAGGAACCTTTATGTACGGTATTAGTTTAAACTACCGAACAGTTGTCATCTTACCTAGAGCTTCAGTGCGAGAAACAATAGACTCACCAAGCTCACACTCAAAGAACTCAGGTATGTCTTTAAGAGTATCTGCCATTGCGTAAAGAAGGAGAGAAAGAAAGAGAAAGCAAGTGTAACTTAAAGAAATTGTCGGGGTTTTGAAGCAAATTAAGTATTTCTACTTGAAATTGAGATACTTTTAGTTCCTTTTTCAAAGGAAACTGTGTTTAATACGGCAATTCGTGAATTTGATACGTATAAATAACCTCTAAAATAAGCTTCTAGATTGCCCAAGTCTTTTCATATTACAAAAGAGATTTTCATTATATTCTTTGCAGCGTTGACTTCGCGTTGCCATAATATATTACATGTTTTACAGACAAGTAGACTATCTCCATTTGATACCCAAAGCATCAGTCTCATTTTTTTTGAGGTCTTGAATTCATTAATTGTCACAATAAGGTCACCAGCAGCTTCTCTTTTTTCAAGTAACGCCAAATGATACCAGCTGCATTGCAACATAAACCTTTTCATTTTCAAAGAAATAAAAATACTCGCCGTTACCTGCAGTAGGTAATCCATTTGCAATATGCCTTAGAGAAATGGCCAGTTTTATTACAATCTTTGCAAATAGTGGCAGTAGAAGAGCTGGTTCCCTATTTATGAAGTCGTAAAATTTCATCATCTTGCTATATTTTTTAATATTACGTGGTATAAGACCAAAAAAATATATACAACAAAATATGGGAAAGATGAAGAAAGAGAAGAATAGAGCTGTGGTAAAATTGCACTATTATGCATATCTACTACATGTAATTGACACGCAATAGAGATGTATATCACATAAAATATGAACCATCCCTTCTAAAGGAAACACTGAATTATACTATGAACACAGAGAGTCACTGTTATTTTTAATTTTTTTGACAACTTTGCAATGTTTCTTTGATATAAACCAAAGTCTTAGCGACTTGAACTTTAATGGGGCCTCCCAAACAAAGCTTTTTTCAACTTGATCTGAAATCAGGTGGGACTACCCGCTGAACTTAAGCATATCAATAAGCGGAGGAAAAGAAAATAACAATGATTTCCCTAGTAACGGCGAGTGAACAGGAAAGAGCTCAAAGTTGGAACCCGTTTGGTTTAGCCAAACCGGATTGTAAACTGTAGAAGTGTTTTCCTGACACGCCTGATGAAAAAGTCCATTGGAACATGGTGACATAGAGGGTGAGAGCCCCGTATTTCGTCAGAGCTGTTGTCTTTTGTGATACACTTTCAAAGAGTCAGGTTGTTTGGGAATGCAGCCTAAATTGGGTGGTAAATCTCACCTAAAGCTAAATATTGGCAAAAGACCGATAGCGAACAAGTACCGTGAGGGAAAGATGAAAAGAACTTTGAAAAGAGAGTTAAACAGTATGTGAAATTGTTAAAAGGGAACCGTTTGGAGCCAGACTGGCTTGATTGTAATCAATCTAGATTTCGATCTGGATGCACTTGCAGTCTATGCCTGCCAACGACAATTCATTCTGGAGGAAAAAACTAGGAGGAATGTGGCCCCTCGGGGTGTTATAGCTTCTTAGAAAATACTCTGGGTTGGATTGAGGAACGCAGTGGATGCTATTTGGCGAAGTTGCTGAGTGCTTTTATTGGTACGTGTTAGAATTTCTGCTTCGGGTGGTGCTAGCATTTACTGGTAAAACTCGCTTGGTAATCTTTTTATCCGCTTAGGTTGTTGGCTTAATGACTCTAAATGACCCGTCTTGAAACACGGACCAAGGAGTCCACCATACAT